TTTGGAGTACACAAGACTACTATGTCCAGAAGAATTCAAAGCGTTTTTTGGGCTTCGAAGCCACTTTCGAAGTTAGAACCTCTTCGAAACTTGAATGGCTGACCATCGACTAGCTGTGTATGGGGTGTGATAATTCAAACATACATGGAGCTTCATTAACTGCTCAAATATCGTTATACAGTACCTCTCAATCTTGCCACCAATGCTTGACAGAGAAATTCATTATTGTAAATAAGTAGTGATAGTCACGAGAACAACGGCAAACATTACAAACATTATAGCATTTTTGTAAACAAATGAGGATGCTCAATACAACGACGCTGAAGGAGCAGAACCGTTTGATGCTGGGCTACAATGCCAACAGGCAAATTGCACGAGTTTCTAGGTTCAAGCAACATAAACTCGTCGAAAATTACTGATCAAAAAAAATTATCCAACCTACGCTAGCCGAACCAATTGACCAAGGAGCGCCCTGTACCAGCCTGTACCCCCACCAAATGAACCCCGGTCCAGCCAACACCCTCCCCCAAAAGGGTCAGCGAGCCCCGGTCCCACGAACACCATCCAGCCAAAATCAGCCCATCCAACCCCGGTTTCGCGAACGGGCTCCGGCGCTGACGCGCCGTTTCAACCCCGGTCCGCCGAACACCATACAGGTGTATAATCAGGGGTCCTCCCAGTGTCGAAGTCAATTATTTGTCGATTATCCGCATGACATCTCTTTTACGGACAAGTTCCACGACGGCCTTTCGCAAATGAATGGTCCTTGGCGGCAGTGCAACACGAGGACCGCCCAAACAGTAACGCCGACCGATCTTGTCACAAGTCGCTAGTCCACCTTCCTTCCTTGGGGTCTACTTATCTACGTCTCTGTTAACGCCATCCTGTTGGACGCGCTAGAGTTCTCCTTGCCATGACACTTCCTTCCCCGGATCATGCCACTAAGCTTTTGTTCCAACAATAACGTATGCTCAAGAAGGACGCGTTGCTAGGCATCCGGGCGTCAACCTTCTTGGGATGACTTCTCGATATCTTCGACCTCGCGTTCATCACATTTACCGAGGCGGGGGTCACCGTTCCGATCGATCTGCCTCCGCTGCAATTGACGGGAATGAACATAGGCCCAAAGTCAGGGCTGTCTTCGCTGGAGCGCTGACGATCCACCGGAGATACAGGTCCCACGACAATGAGGACGTACATAAACCCGTTCCGATATTGCGCGTCTCCTTCACATGAAAAGTTGAACTCTCCGCTCCTTACTAACACCTTCACTCACTTCGCTTCACCTTCGTTTTTTTTCTGTATCACCACCGCCCACCCCGACACTCCCTCGATGCCAGTCATAAGTTGCGCAAACTACATCTTCGACAAATGCAACCCTCGCGATAAGTTCGCCAGGACTCACGTGCCTCTCTTCGCGTCATTGCTCGAGGACTTCAATGAACGGTGTTCTGAAAAGGTTAGCGAGCTCTTCCCCCTCGTCCGTGCGCCTAGGTTGATGAAGCATCGCAGAGCTTCTTAGATGAAGATCCTGCGCTCTCCGGCTGGCCGCCACGGCCTCCGACTCCCGAGGGGTGGAGATCCTCAAAACATCAGTCGACGACCTCCGTCCGGACGCGGAGCAGCTGCGACCAGCCAAGAACTGCTCACTCTACGCGGACGACGACGACCATGGATGTGTTGCAACGTCCCCTTCGGAACGTCGAACTCGACCCTGATTCTCTTGACTTCCTGAACCTCCAACCTCCTCCTTCAGCGGTTCCCTCCGTTGGATGCCTGACGACGACAGACACTGTAGACACGTCTAGGTCTTATCATCCTATCCAGCCTCAGTATCGAGAACGGCATGCCGTATACTACGACCGCCACGAGAAAGCGCAAGACGACGATCTATTCCATGACTGGGACGAGGATTACTCGGCCATCGGAGGTAAAATCAAGCCATCGGAACTTGTAAGTTAATCTCCGTTCTTTCAGCACTCGTCTTGCTAAGTCCTTTACATAGCAGACTCGCTCTGCACTAACGAGTTCCATCTCGCTGTTCTGCAAACCAGTGGACGCGATCTACGCGGACATGGAGTCCCGCATGCTCTATCACAACCCTAAAGAGTCTGTGCACTTCTTCCCCATCCCGGTTCAGCGCACCGAACGCGAACGTCGAAGCTCAGAATCTTCCCGCACGGTAATCTCCCGTTCATCGTCGAGGAGCACGCTGCGGCGTATCACCGGTCGAGACAGATCAAAATCCGATAGCTGAATACATCTTTTGTGTAGGTTATGCTTCTGTTTTCATTTCCGCTCATGTTTCTTGTTTGGATGTATCGTCCTTGTTCTTGGAGGATCACGCTGCTTGTTTGTTGTTCATCATGATCTATTCATTCCCTCCTTGCATCATTATCAATTCAGCATCACTTAATGCTTTCTGCACCTTTTCTACTATGTACGCCCGTTTTGTTTTGTAGCGTTGTAATCGCCTCAGCAGGCTTTGCTGCCTAGAATGTAGCAGTCCTAACGAGTAAAAGGAGTTCCCGTTGCCTCTTGCTTTTGTGTATGATATCTAGGATAGGATAACAGGAGGTTTTGGCTTTGCGATCGAGAAGAAGGTACGTGGGAGGTCCCTGAGCAGTGATAAGATGCAGAGGAAATCTATCAAGCCATTCCCAATCACCCTTGTCATATTTTAAGCACCAGAAAAGCTGATGGGTAGAGACGACGTTTCTGATCCAGCGGCTGAAATAGCTGGAGATGAAAGGCAACGCGTCAATCCGACGAAGATATCTATGGAGGGTCATGTGGTGATAAGGTGTCAGGATTCTCAGTTTGAAACATCACCTATGGGCGTCTAAAGTAATTTCTTCCGGAAAGTAACGCGTCCTTCGAACTACTGCCGCTAGCTTTTAATTAATTACCCACCTGGATACATCGTCTTGATACGGCACTGTCACACTAATCATCTGACGCCTACCCGTTCGTTACGCAAATGATCGATAATGATCAGTGGCATCCAGCATCAGAAATTCTTCGCCTTTGTTATGGCAGAGCACGGTAGAGAACCTCGCTCGTCTGATGAGAAATATTAGCTACTGATGAGGGCGTTAAATCTGCCATTATTAGATTGAGCTCGCATCCAAGAGGCTCCTTCGGGTAAGGGCAGACAATGAGCCACCAATCTCTTAGATATGCAACTGCGCACGTCTTCTTGGTAGAACATTCGGGCGAAGTTAAATGTGCTGAGAAGTCGATAGGCTACCCAAGCTGCCTGCAAATATCTAGTGTCTCGAGACTGGTTCAAAGGTTTAACAATCTCCTTCACAGACGGGACACAATATTGTTAGGCTTTGGACGCGGAGAGAAGTACTTCTTGAACGGCACATCAGGAATTAATATTATGTAGGAATTCGAGGTCGCACGGGCTCGCGACGACGACACAGCGTGTTTGCCTGGGCGAGATGAGGGTGCCCGAAGGGCAATCGCGTGAAGATTACAGCTAACTACGACCTATTCAAAAGCTTGCCAGTGAAGCAAAAACAAACACACTTATAGTAACACCGGGTCGTCAAACCAACGCATGCGGACCCTGCCGGGAATTCGTTCCCACGGCTAGGAACGAGTGAACCTCGCTCAAAATCTCGGAGCCTGAGCCGCGGTCAGCATGGTCAAGGTCAAGGTCAAGCTTCAAGCTTCAAGCTTCAAGCTCGATGGCTGGCATCGGCTAGCACTGGGGGTAAGTCCGTTTGGCGAGACCTTCCGCTCGAACAGATGGCCTGATCGAAGCTGTCAGTCGCCATTAAATATTTGTGACACCCAAGGATGCAGGTTTCAACTTTCTACGACTTGTTCTACGACATTCACGAGTCACGATTAATCACTAACAAGTGAAAAATCCCGACAGCGCTTATTGACCTTGTTCTCAGCAAGCTACCGGTCTGTGTGACTAACATCCACTGATATCTCAAGCTTTGTTGCAGATGGCATTGCCGAGCATATCTACGGAGGTACTGCGGCACAGGAATCGACTGTGCATGACAGTACTTCGTACAGCATTTTTCCACAGCATTTTCTACAGCATGTAACGGCGGGCATACCAACCCGTTGAAAAGAATTCTGATGTGTACCAGGTGTGAAACGGCACTGCTCTCCTACGATGCTTACGTGGCCTATGCTCAAAGGTCTTCAACTCAGACTCTATTCAATAACGGTCTAAATAATAACGATAAGCTGTCGAACTCCTACACAATCCGAAAATTTGGTGTCTCACGCCGAATTATCAAGAACCCGACAGGTTATCTGCCTCATGGTCCAGTATTCTTCAAGTCCAAACCAATGCTCATAGCGAATATCGTTGGTAGATTTGAGCTGAGACACGACCAGTCATTTGCCTCCATCAGGCGCCCGGCGGTGGCCCTCTATGCTGGCATACGGCCCCGAGTGTCCTACAGCTTCTGTTGCCAAGCAATCGTGTTGTAGAGGGAGAATTTAGCGCTAAGGTTGCAAGAACTGATACTGCGTGGCGTTAACCTAGGAACAACCCTGGCCATCAGAACTATGACCATTCCCGAGATATGCGGTGGCCCATCCCCGGTTGGCGTCTTACTTTTCACTCAGTGACCCACCTTCAAACCTCATAGTATGTACGACCACTGTTCCTGTCCTGTTAGGAAACTTGACCCGCACACGCTCTCCCTCAGTCACTATGTCTTTTCATTTAGTCTCGATGTCTCCTTGTCGTCGTCGTCGCCGCCGAAAAACCCATACCTTCGTCGCCGCCCTCTTTCTCCTCACCGCCGCTCTATATTTTCTCGCCTCCAAATACCCTGTGCAAGCGGCGCAGTGGTTGGGTAGACAGATGCCACCTCTTTACGAAGAACTTTCTGAGCAAGAACAAAGTCTGCCGCACTATGCCGATTACAAGAATCGGACGGACATCAAATACCTCTGGGTAGCCAACTACCCTTGGAGTGAGTTACTCACCTCTCCATTTCCTCCTTAGATGCGATCGTTAATTAAAATCCTCCAGACGTGGGATGGGGGAATACAATGCAAGACTATATCATGAGGGCACTTCTTGCACACATGACGAACCGCTCGTGAGTGTCGTACCTATTTATTTGTTTTGCATCATATCTTAAGGTTCTTGCGCTCGTAGATTCGTTTTTAACGACTTGATGTGGGACAACGGCACTAACCCTTACACGGCATTTTCGTGATCAGGCAGTATTATGCCCTCTCGTATCCCATTGAACGCTTTTCTTGGTGGTAATCTTACCACAATATTTTCATTGTGGTGATGCTAACGAGATAAATCAGGGCCAATCGTCGGTGGAGAGTACTCAACAGGAGATACAGCCCTGCGTTCAGTCTCCCAGGCATTCTTCGAGCAAGTCTGCCCAGAACCGGTCGTCATGCGATGGGAGAAAGTTGCGGACCAGAGAATGTGGGATGAGTACTGGACAGTACCTGCATCTCACGTCCTCGATGTTTGGCTTGCCGCGATAAACGCCATTGAAGAACCATGTCTGATGATCGCGGGAGATACTCACCAAATCATCGAGCACGAGTGAGTTTTTCGTGACTTTCGCAGTCTTGCCTTGCGTGACACGCTAATGATACTCCTCAGCATGTTTGGGCAGAAAGACCGGCTTCTCGGGATTTGGCCTGCACTCACTGCTTCTCCTATCCTGAAGGCATGGACATGGTCTTCGCTCGTATACGGTGCATTCGCGAAAAATATACAGCTCTTCACATCGCCCCCCCTTTTCGGCACTCATAATCAACCAGAGCAGGATGCCGTCGCAAGACAGCTCGCTTACTGCAATCCCCGGTCTCCTCGTCATTCACGCGAGACGAGGGGACTTCCCCGGCCATTGCCGATTCCTTGTCAAGGAGTCTATCCAGTGGTAAGCGTTCAACCAGTTCCCCGCTCTCCCAGACCACTATACCCTACACCATACGACGCACCGCTCTCCGAAAAGAAGGCAGCCTCTTGAGAGCGGTGCTATGCAGACATCTGTCATATCGTGGAGACGGTGCGCAAGGTGCGCTCGGAGCACCCCACACTGCTCAACCGCGTTTATGTCGCGACGAACGGGAAACGGTAGTAGACGCACGAGTTAAAGGACGCGCTCCGGAAACTAGACGATTAGGAGGGTGTTGCGACAAGCAGAGACCTAGAGCTGACGGCTGAAGAGAAATTCATTGCACAGGCGATGGATATGCACGTCGCCGAACGCGCTGAGGTCTTTCTCGGGAATGGGGTAAGTCTGAGCTCTGTTGGTATCAGTCACAATATCGGACACTGACCAAACGCGATATCCGCCCTGTATTTCAGTGGTCGAGCCTAAGCTCTAACGTAGTGATGATGCGCATGGCGCGGGGCATCGATCCGCAGAACAACCATTTCTTGTACATTCAAACAATCAAGTCCTGCGTAAGGTTTAGATGTATGCCGCACCGGGTTAATAGAGCACATACCATTAATGATCATGCTCTGAGTTTATAAGAACTTTTTGGAGAATGGGGAGTGGACGTTTGATGACCATGAGACTTGCAACGCGTCGCAGTGAAGTAAAGAGAAAGTGGAGACGCGTACTAGTAGTACGATCACTGGCAGCTGAGAAACCCCTGAGATGGCACTGATCCTGAAGCCTACATGTGAGCCGCCGATAGCGGCAACAACGGCGTCCACGACCTCGAGAGCGAAGCGAGACCTGTTTTCGACGCTCCCACCGTATTCGTCTGTGCGGTTATAGGAAACGTCCTGCAGGAATTGGTCGATGAGCCAGCCGTTGGCGCCGTGGATCTCGACGCCGTCGAATCCGGCTTGCATGGCGTTCTTGGCCGCTATCACGAACATCTCAACATATTCCTTGATCTCTTGAGTGGTCAGCGGACGCGGCACGCCCCCGCCTCCGGGAATATGGTCCGTGTTGGGAATATCGGACGGCCCGACAAGGGGGAAGCCGCCTTCGGCCGCAAGTATGCGGACGTCGGCGCCCCTACCTATGGCGAGAATCTATAGAAAGATGTGGGAGCCCTTCGTATGGACGGCAGAGGAGACCTGCACATTATAAGCATCTGTTAGGTTCAAATGAGCAGAGATTGCTGGTAGAAAGGCCTGCCTCTTTCCACGCGGCAATCTGCGGCTCCGACCAGACGCCCGGGAGGTAAGGAAGACCTCCAGCCTTTGGGGAGATGGACGTCGAATCGGTGATGAGAAGCGTGCCGTGGGTGCAGGTGCGTTGGCTGTAGTACTCGGCGGCGTGAGGGCCGGGGACGTGATCGTTGTGAGCACGGACGCGAGTCATCGGCGCCAGAACAACGCGGTGCTGCAGCTGAAGTTCTCCGACGCGGATAGGGCGAAAGAGAGCAGGAGTCTGGGAGTCTGTCATGGCAGAAGAAGCGATCGAGGATGAAGCTCCGAGGGTGCTGTCTAAAGCTGAGCGATGCCTGAGGCTGGTGGTACAGACTCCTCTCGGCTGGTCAAGCATTTTATACCATAACCAGAGCGAGGACTACCAAGGTCGAATATGAGGGACGTGTCGATATCCCGGTTCCATATCGCTGCCTTTGATGATTTCCAATTGAACTGGGAGAGAGCTGGCCTGAAGACGTCGGAAGGGACGAGGCAACTGTGCGAACGCGGTCCGAGACGTTGACAACTGAACAATGTCCCATCGGGATATCACACAGAGTTATGCGCGAGCGCAGCTTTTGCAACCAAGTACCCCAGGCAATTTCGATAGGATCAGTGCGGTGAAGATGCATTCCCTGGTGAAGATCAAGCGACCCTGACCTTGCAGTGATCAAGTCAACTCCGGCACATCGGCAAATTGTCAAATTCTTGTCATCGACCAGAGCTTTTGGCTAATATCTTGGTCAAATCTTGACCAGTTTGATGGCGGATTTAGAGCGAAAACGGGAGGAAACCATTGCGCGATCAAACAAGTTTAACTTCAAAATCATCAAATTATGGCGGAATCTAGTCTAGCATACAGACCAGCTGCTTAAATTACAACGAGGCATATTAGGAAGAATATAGAGTAGATTGAAACAACAAAGACTGGAACTGATGGCACTGCCATCACAGGCTTATCTTAGCCTCCACAAGCTTCCACATCTCCTGAACAGTCTCCTCCGCCTTCTTCCTCTCCGCTTCGGCGATGCGGAGGCGAGCTTTGAGGTCTTCGAGTTCAGTTATCTCTCCCTCTTCAGCTTTACAACTTTCCACGTCGAGGTCCTGGCTGACCACGCGGACAATCTCAGGCGCCTTGCCCTTGACCTCGCTAGATGCGTCGTGCACGGCCCTCTTGAACTGTTCCAGACGGGTATGCGTGTCCACGAGCATGCGAGCAGCCTCAGCCGCGGCGTTCCGAGCGCCGGCCAAACCGTCATTTCCCCTGGCCATGCCCTTAGATGATGCGTCCTGCCCCACAGTGAGGGCGAGTTGGAACTGCGCCTCGCCGAGCCCGAAGGAAGAGGGCGACTTGAGGAGGGAGAAGTTGGACAGGCTCGAGGTGTCCGAGGCTTGGGAGGATTCCGCGAGAGGCGTGTGGTAACTCCCGTCCGTCTCTGATTCGAATGCGCCTGGAACTTCTTCTTCGCGCTCAACAGCTGCCGAGCATTCGCTGTACACGCTTGCACTGCTGTTCGTCGGGGCGACGGGCGTGCTAGACTTGCTGTCTTCTTTCCGATCCGAGTGTGCGCTGCACGAGCTCGGTTTCGGGGTCAAAGCCGAGGACGTATCCGTCCACGACTCCGTATCTTCCTGATCCGATCCAAAGCCAAGGCCGAGACCCAAGTCCAGCTCCACCGAGAGATTCATGCCCTCCTCAAGCTTGGGAAGAACAGGCACATCGTCCGAGTTGTGCGACCAGCGCGGGCTGGGTACTCGTGGTTGAGTCGGGGTACGAGTAGAAGTCCACGATCCACGGTCCGATGGCCTGGGGGTGGACTCCTCTGCGTCCTGCACGACTGAATGAATGGAAGGCACCGGCTCGGGGAGCGGTGGGCTGCGAGAAAGCCCAACATCGCCATGCTGCGAATACGACTCTGAAGGGAAGCGTCTCTTCGTTGAAACTCCTCTATTTGTGGGAGCGTTTGCAGGGGATGCATAAGGCGGGAACGGTGTGGGGGGAGCGGGTTGAGGATAGTGGAAATGACTCGGTGCATGCGGTGCGACTTGTCCATATGTGGAGCGTCTAGCGGTGTAGTCGTTCAAGTCGAACTGCGGATTCCAGTGGTTGTAGCCTGGCGAATACGAACCCGGGTGCTGTGGCTGCTGGTTAGGGTGATCGTACACGGGCGGCAGAGGATAAGGGTTCGTAGGCGGCGAGAATTGCTGGGACTATTTGTTCTCAGTCAGTAGGGTTACTTAGAGGATAAAGAGGAGACAAACCTGGCGATGCCACTGGTGGCTATATCCCGGCTCCGCCATGAGCGATCGTCTGTGCATATGGTCTTGCACCCGAGGGCTCGCGAAGGATGGTCTTGAGTAATAATGCATCGATCCTTGGGGCGGGGGATGTGACATGGGCACTTGGGGCCAAGGAGCCCAAGACGGCAAGCCCGCTTGATCAAACGATCCTCGGATGGAATCTCTGTCGAAATGTTGAATACCCAACCCCTCCATTTGTCTCCCGTTCGCAGCCGAGCCACCTCTGCCTTTGCCATCATCCCGGACGGCAGGGCCCCAAGCAGTCCTCGGCGTTGCGTGATCCGCCAAAGATGGCGCCTGATCCGAATCCGGTGCGAGACTGGAAGGTGCAATGCTGCTCGAGTCCGTCGTTGAATCACTAACATCGTTCTCTATTCCGCAGTCCTCATCAAAAAGGCCGTTCGCGATTTGCTTCCAGCGCACGAGGAGCCACACGAGCATTTTCTCGCTCTGCATCCGGCTAGCAGAGATTGTGCCAGTCTTCGCCGGGGTGCCCTCGAGCTCCAAATCGTCATAACCCTGGGCGGTTGCCTTCTTGAACTCGTATTTGGGAACGCCTTGGACGCTGCTTCGGTCACCGTCGTCGCTGTCGTCGCTGTCGGAATCGTCACCAGCATCGCTTTCTTCCTCCTCTGGATCAAAGTCCGGCATCCTCCTTGCGCCGCCTAGTATGGCCACTGCGAAAATTTTGGCCACCTCTTCGTACTTGATCCCATTGGTTGGTGTTTTTTCTATCTTGGAAAGGAAGTTGCACAGGTACGCCAGCAGCGTCGCCTGGCCTCTCGGCACCATCCTGAGGAGAACCTGGGCGATGCTGATCTGATACCTCTCAGAGGCATCTCTCAAACGGTCCTTCCTATCCCTCTCGAGCGCCTGCTTCACCTCGTCGTCCGCGAGCGTGCTCATGTCGGGGAGATTGTTCTTGTTCTTGTTCTTGGAAAGCGAGCCCGACGGCCTGTGCAGACGGGCGAGGGCGGCGTGACTCCCCACTTGGTTGTGCAGAATGTCATCTTCTGCCTCGATTGCACGAAGCTGTGCAGCGCGAACACTTGGGTTCACGGACCAAGCCCACAGTGGCCCATATATAGTCGATGGGAGGAGCGGCTCAGGAAGTCTCGCGATGAACGCAGCTACGAGAGCACAGAGCGTGTGGACGGGCTGTCCGCGAGGACTGAAGCTTGCGCCGAAATCGAAGGAGGCATCGAAGATAGCCAGGAGAGTTTCGCAGGAGTCTTGGGGCAAGGTCCGGAAGAGTCCAGGTGAGTGCATCCCTATATGCGCACATACACCAGTAAATATGGGGCTGTTAAGGGGGAGAAGGGTGGACTCACCAACTCGATTAGCTTCCTCGATGCATGTCGCAGCCCAGATTGGAATGTCATGGGTGTAATTGCCAATGTGGACAGGCTTCGACGCATACATGAGGACATCTTCCAGAGGCGAACCCAGAACGTCTTCCAGTACGCAATCAGAACGCGGTACTCATGCACAGCATAGAAAGGAGAACTCACGAAACTCTTCGGGAACATCTCCATCTTCCTCCGCCCACCTCTTCGAACGTCTCTTCAGCTCAACGTCCGACTTGGCAAGGTGGAGAACATCACTGAACGCCAAATGGTCCATCGCCCTCCTCGCCACGCCTTGTTTCTCCACCGCCTCCTTTTCGTCATCGAGTTCGCGGCCCTTGAGCTTGCTCTTGCGGCGCGTCCAATTGCGCTCTGCCTCCGCGTCCTCCTCATTATCATCGCCGTGATTGTGGGTCGATTTCGCCCGTGTCGTGTTACGCACGAGGTGGTCGAGGCGCCTGTAGAGCGTGTTGGGTGGAATGAAAGGGACACGGGGTTGTGCATGCGATCCCTTGAAACCAGGCGACAAGGAGCGCCTAGCCACCCCTTCTTCTCGCCGGGAGGGCGGTGCGATGGCTGGCAACGAGGCGAAGCGAACCCTGCCTTTGCCCTGGTGCTCGCCCGATTCTTCTTGTATCGCTTGCAGCGCGCCAGCGGGTGCTGATGCGCGACGTGGGCCGTCGTTACCGCTGGCCTCCGGAGGAGGATTATGGTTTGCGCGGAAGCCGAGAGTGTTCATGAGCCTGTGCACGGACAAGCGGTGATGATTGTCTTTCTCTTGATCATCGTGCGGAGAGTGAGAGTCGACGGGACCATCATGTTCGCGTGGGGTGTTGGTCGTGCTGAAAGGCTTGGCCAAATCGAAGGACTTGATAGTCATGGTTGCGAAGAGTGGTCTGGGAGAGTGAAGCTGGTGTGTATTATTGCGGTAGCTAGGATGCGAGTTGTAGCGTATTGATCCTTCCAGAGGTCAACGGGATTAAGGCTTGTTGATTGTGGACTTTGCGATTTGTGAAATTTCATGTCGTGCTTGAGAGGTTACTTATATACTGGTTGTAACAGGGGTCGGGGGGATGTTGACAATGTCTCCTCGACCCCTGTTACGAGGACGAAACACTGGGGGACATGAAACCAGCTGTCAGACTCCTAGCTTACAGTCCTTGAGATGTAACACAAGCTCAGAGAATACCTGAGAATGTCGTACACGTCCGCGGACGAACAAGTTACAGGAGATCAGTCAGTGTGATCTCCTGTAACTTGTCAAACCGGTGAAAGCCATTGGCGAAACACTGTATGTTATAGTGAGAAATGTCCTCTACTTCCGAAAAGGGGGAAAGGCTTACAGCGTTGAGGTGGATGTAGGGACATAGCGGGTGAACAACATGTAGGGATCCGGGACGTGGTGGGTTGCCAAGTGCACGTGACGAGGCAAGCGCCCGGTCTGAGTCTGAGTTTGGCATAGACGCCCGAGCGCTTACACCGCTTAGGCTTGAGCCTGACCAAGTTGTAGTTGAAACTGAAATCTTTGCCAGACCATATCACTCCAGCCTCGCCTCTCATGTTTCTTCATCTCTCTATCTCATGCACTCCCATCCTTCCTTTGCGAAGCTGGCCCTTTACCGCGACCAGCGACGCGCGGCCAAGGCGGCTCGCAGCCTCGACAGCACCAGGCCCTCTGGTGTCTCCAAGCTCAACAGGATCGGAAAGCTCTTCAGGCCTCGCAAGCATGTCTCGCACTCCCTCTTCCGCAGCATTCATGAGCGGGATCCCACTCCCCACCGGCCTAGGTCTGTCAATCTTCGCTCATCTTCCAGCTCTCGGTCGTCCTCGAACATGCTCTCGGAGGACGAAGTCCTTCGCCAGAATCTGGCTTCAAGACGCTACCAGGCCGATCAGCCTCCACAAGACCGTTTCGGCTGGTTCAGGACTAGCCCTCAGCCTCTGGACGTACATGTCAGACGCCCTCCCGCAGATACTATCTTCTCCCCCTCCCGCTCGGAGCCGCGGAACTTGCGCTCTCTCGCCACTGCCGCCCACGAGTCCATGGTAGAGGTCCCGCCTCTTTGGAGCTTCCCGTACTCCCCTTCTGCGTTCTGCCTGCGGCACTATTCTGATTGGGACGTAACCGACGAGCTCGGGAGGTCTCTAGGTAGACTAACCATCCGTAATCCGGACTGCGAGGACGAACAGCGCGACGACTGCGAGCTACTGCAGTCTCCAGAGGCGTATGACATGTCTTGTGATTCTCCTGCCGACGCTCTGGCGGAGGCTCGACGAAAGCTTGGGATGAGCTGTGACCAGGCTGCCATCTCTACTATGCACTCTGGCTCTAGAACTGACACGGGCGATACCTCATCGTTCAGACTCTCTGATCTCATGCCAAGCCGCGAAAGCATCGGTATGAGCTGCGTCGATGCTACCATCTCTACAGTCTGGACCGAGCCTGTACCCGACAACGTCGCTCAGCCAACATCTCGCTTCTCCGAGACCCCCGAGGGCTCCCCTATGGCCATCTCCCCGCCGAGGATTACGATCACCTCCACAAACGCCTCCTCTGAGAAACCGTACCAGCCTCCTCCCATCGCGCCTTCTGTTCCTGTTCCTGCAGCTGCCCCCTCCCAACGTCGTCACCTCGGCGAACTCACGAACCAAAACCCCGCCGTGCTCGAGATGCGCAAACGCAAAGGGGGCGCCAAGCCCAAATCCAGCGCCAACCTCCGGGCCAGAGTGTTGAAGAAGTCCGCGGATGACCCCTTTACGATCGGCACCGCCACCACCACGGCGCTCGTGAGCACCAAGTCGCTCCCCTCCGTTAAGTTCGCGTTCGCCTCGCCGCCGCCCGTCCCGCGCCCCGGCCACGGCGCGCACGCGTACCTGACGACGCGCTACCCGCACACGCCTGAGACGCCGACACCGCGCATGTTCTCCGCGGGCCACGGCAAGTCGACGACGACGATGACGCTGCGCAAGCGCGCCGTGAGCGACTCGAAGTCAGCGAAGACCGTCCAAGCTGAAACTCGAGCTGAAGGCGGCAAACACAAGACCGCGGCGTTACTCGCGCGCCCGTTTGTCTTGCCCCCGTTTCGGGATTTTCCACACGCGAATCGTGGCGTTTGAAGCCTTGGATTGCTAAGGGGCTCAGATTGCCTTGCCGTTTCACTCTCTTGCTTCACATTGTAACTCTCCTTTGTAGATGGATGCTGTCATGTCTGGTCTCGCTCGATTATACCCCTATTGGTTTCACTGTCTGGGACGTCTACGTAATTAATCTGTCATATTGTACAGTGCGGTGGTAATGGGACGTTTGTATCGGTAGCGCCGTGGGCTAGGTGTCTATTGACTACCTCATCCGAAGTCTGGGCTTCGAAAGGCTTGTCGAGGACTCTTCTCAGGAGGCATAACTCGTCAGGCACGTTGTTTCACTGGCGGTCCACTCGGTCTATAGTCTAATGCTGGCTAAAGGGTTGCATTCTTACTGTTTGACTAATGGTACATCAAGCATATCTGCGAAGTCGTCGCTCTTAGGCCTGCTATAGTACACACAGTATATCGCTCGTTGCACCTTGGACTATCTACGCCGCGTTCTTCGCGTTCCAAGCACCTTTCAGCATCTGCCAATAAACTATCGCGAGATCGTCAACGCTGAGCTCGAAGCTCTTATCTTCGTTTCTGGCCAAAGCAGCCAGCGCACGATCCGCTGGAATGCCACCCGGATTCTGTGGCTCACTGTAATCCTCGATCAATACTCTGATCATGTCTCTGTCGAGCTCGGGATGGCCCTGCGACGTGAAGATGTGAATCTTCTCCAGCGCTCCGAGATGGAGCGTAGGCTCATCGAGGTCATCCACCACGTCTTCGGTGAACTTGACCATGCCCTGGTTCGAGGTGAGGTCGGAGTGGCCCCAACGGCCAAGTCCGTCGATTGGGGTAACATCCTTGTCGATGACCACCTCGTCGCTGGGACGTTCACTGCCGGGCGGCGGTGCCGCTCCGTATCCTCCACTACCGCTATCACCAGTCCCACCAATACCAACGTTTAGGAGGACATGGTCTTGGTGAATCTGTTGGATGATCTGGTGCGTGGTGTTTTAGCAAATCTACACAAACATATCAGGTACCGTGGAAAAGACTAACCAAAGCGCCTTTCTGGAAGACGCTCTTCCCAAGATCATTCAGAATGACGTTCGTGGGGCCAACCTCCCACCCTAGAGGGTTCCTGTCGACCGCCATTCCGCTGGCAAACGACAGGATCTGGTGCCCAAAGCAGATGCCTGGAGATTATTAGCCTGAACTTCACTGTAAAAAGAGATCTCAATGCTGCGCTTACCAATTACTTTGATGCGCGGATGGTTGTCGATGACATAACGAAGGTACCGTTGCAGCCTCCTGATCTTCCCCTCCCATTGACCTCTCTCGTGTTCGTCCTCTACGTAGCGAACACTTTCGCCTAGAAAATAAACCTGTAAGCGAAATTGTACACGGCAAGAAGCTCAGGCTCACCTGACCCAGACACAATGATCGCGTCAATGGTGCCAAGTACGTCTTCAGAAGGGAGACGAGGATCGGTGTCGTCAAAATTGGCGGCATCGGTCGGGACGGGCTTCCCGTCGCCCAAGACATCGTAGACTGTGGTCTGCAAGTTTACGGCGATCGCGGCGAGCTCAGGGTTGAATATCTTTTTGGTGGGATCCAGCGGGTTGGCGATCTGTGGGTTTTCGGTGAGCAGCTTGTGGTAGAGCTCCCGGGTTCCTTCGGCGCCGAGAGTGTATCCGAGCTCCGTGTTCATTTTTCCTTCGACAGGACCACAGGAAAAGACGGCGATGCGAAGAGGTTGAGGTGAAGACATGTTGATACAAGGGAGAAGGTGAGCAGTATGCTGACTTTTGCTTGCTCGAATATACGAAGGCTGGTGTCTTTAAATACGAACATCAAGTCGAGTGCCTAGAGCGGTCGAAGAGATCGTCTCCTTACCAAATTTAAGTCCTTCCATGTACTCGTAAGCCAGCGTGAGAGAGAAGCATAACCAAAGAGTAACAAGCATGGCCAAGTCCAACAAGATTAGAAAGCTATAGAGCTTTTAAGGAGGTTTGCAGGATTCTTCCTTCCATGCTGCGTGACAGCATGCTTGGTTTTGTTAGACTTTCAAGTCAGTGAGCAATATTTCAACACTAAAGAAGCAGTTGAGTGAACGAACATGTGTTCCGTACCCCGCACCCTGATCATCACCTATCTCATCCGGAGTCCAGGTCTCAAACTTAGGTTTGTGGAGGACTCCTCGTAGGAATTGTGTTTACCTGAGTAACGTATACGATTCGGAGCTCGACGAGGCTATGCCGAAGAACGCCGTTTCAGATCGTTCAGTGGCGAAACCCTCGCTGGGGAACAGGCCTGCGATCTTCATCAGAAAACAAAATAAAACAAATAAAACAAATAAAGCCAATGGGACACCTTGGGAACATCTCATGAGGTGACGACTAGTGGGTGTGAGTGTTTATGACATCTCATATAAGGACTTGAGCAAATATTAATCAAAAACTCATAAGTGGCATCATAAGGCAAGTGGCCGACTCAGAATCTGTTATATGTGCGCAACAGGATGATCATTGTGCTACTGGCGAGTAGTACTTGGCTACAATTCCAGGACGTGACAAAGTCTACAAATATTCACTCGTCTGATCTGCGTGAGTCTGGCGAGCGCATACGCGCACTCGCAACTTGAAGGATACCTCAAGTGAAGCGTATCCGAGTCATAAAGCCCTTGACTCTTAGAAAGCTGGCCAAACTGGTTGCGACGGCATGCGGCTTGACACCCTCTCGCTCCCAAGTTCTGCACCCCATCACCGCCACCGCCACACACAGGAGGGCAAGGAACGCGGGCTCGGGCTCGGCGGACATCTGTTTTGGACAAGGCGAACTATCCACCAATCCTTGCCACCTTCAGCGCTCCAGAGCGCTCCGTCTACAGGTTGAACTTATATATACGAATCCGATTGATTTCATCGCCTCGTTCGAGTAAAAGTACATAGAGCATTCCTCCTTCGCCACTCGGGCCTATTATCATACACACAGTATGCCATCGATGCATACCTCCAACTTTTTATGCCGCGTTCTTCGCATCCCAAGCACCTTTCAGCATCTGCCAACAGACTATCGCGAGATCGTCAACATTGATCTCAATGTTCTTATCTTCGTTCCTCGCCAAAGCAGCCAGCGCACGATCCGCTGGAATGCCTCCCGAAACATACGGTTCCATCTCGTCCTCGATTAGAACTCTGATCATGTCTCTGTCGAGCTCAGGATGGCCCTGCGAAGTGAAGATGTGAACTTTCTCCAGCGCCTCAAGATGGAGCTTGGGATCATCGAGGTCATCCACCACGTCCTCCGGGATTTTGATCATTCCCTGGTTCCAAGTGAGGTCGGACTGGCCCCAGCGGCTAAGACCGTCGAGTGGGGTAATATCCCTGTCGATGACAACCTCGTCACTCGATCGCGTACTACCTGAGCGCGGTGTGGCCCCGTATCCTCCGCTACCGCTGTCACCAATCCCACCGACCTCGACATTCAGGAGGACATGGTCTTGGTGGAGCTGTTGAATGACCTGGTGGGTGATGTATCAACAAGTCTATGCAAATGTATCAGATGCAACGGAAAAAACTAACCAAGACGCCCTTCTGGAAGACACTCTTCCCAAGATCAGTCATAGTAACGTTCTTGGGGCCAACCTCCCAACCCTTGGGATTCCTGTCGACCGCATGTCCGCTGGCGAATGAAAGGATCTGGTGCCCGAAGCAAATGCCTGGAAATAGTCAGCTTGAATACCATAGTAAGAGTTCTCTATGCTGCACTCACCGACCACCTTGATGCGTGGATGGTTGTCAATGACAAAGCGGAGGTACCTTTGTACCCTCCTGATTTTACCCTCCCACTGACCCCTCTTTATCGGGTCCTCTACGTAGCGAACACTTGTGCCTGAAGAACTTGTCAACATTGTGTACGCGGCAGAAAGCTCAAGCTTACCCGACCCAGACACAAAGATCGCGTCGATTGTGTCAAGTGCATCTTCAGAAGGAAGACGAGGGTCATTTTCGTCGAAGATGGGGGCATCGGTCGGGACAGGCTCGCCGTCGCCCAAGACATCATAGACTATGGTCTGCAAGCCGTTGGCGATCACGGCGAGCTCTGGGTTGAATATCTTCTGGTTAGGATCCAACGGGTTGGCGACCCGGGGGTTCTCAATGAGGAACTTGTGGAAGATCTCCCGGGTGCCTTCGGCACCAGCGGTGAATCCGAGCTCTGTTTTCATCCTTCCTTCGACAGGACCGCAAGAAAAGACGGCGACGCGAAGAGGCTGAGGGGAGGGCATGTTGATACAAAGGAGATGGTAGGCAATATAGTGACTTTGTGCTTGCTCGAAAATACGAAGGCTGGTGTTCTTATATACGAACAAGGCACAGCCTCAAGTCGAACGCCTAAAGCACTTGAAGTGACCGTCTCCGTACCAATCTTGAGATGTTCAATGTAGTCCAAGTCAGCGGATAAGCCAGCGTGAGAGTGTGTGTATAAGTACTTGAACAAACGATGGCTTCTCGAGCTTGGAGTTTCGCAAGATCCTTCCTTTTGACCATGTAGGGTGACAGCATTTTTGGTCCTGTCAAAATCAAACCAAAGTTCAACGCTCAGTAAGTAGTTGACTGAACAAACTTGGATTCCGTACTCCGCATCCTGACCGTCGACTGCGCTTCGAGTGGTTATCGTTATCTGGCAGCCTAGCAAGCTCGGGGAGCGAGTTGAGGCTGAGCGCTGAGCTCCAGGGATTAGGGTTCATAACGTTCACGGATCTTGGTGTACGCCAGTGGCCAATATGAAGAAGTCCAGGCGTTACCCCTTCATCTGCGTGCATTCTCATCAGTGTTAATGAGGAGCATCCCTGTTACAGTCATGACCCCCAAGTGCAAGCGAATAGAACTTCTCGTCATGGGTGAAGCAAGTCCTTTCTGGTCGAGAATCATTTTCGCACTGGCGGCACGTATGAATACTGTCGACAAACTTGAAGTTGAAGCTTGGATCAAAAGCGCCCGAGCGTTTAAAGGCATGCAGAGGTGAGGAGTGTCTAGACCAGACTCTCCCCACATTCACCCACTTTTGAGAGATCGGAGAGAGACACGTTCGATTTAGTGTTGCCAGAGAAAAAGAAGCCCACATGTGTCCAAGTTCCTGCTCAACCTCGTATCAGCTATTCTTGTGCCTTGATCCTGTCGGAGTTTAACAAGAACGTCCAAACGCCGGAATTTTCCGGGACGCCACCAGGGCCAGTGGCGACGACGCATTCATGATAGTCCCTAGTAGCACCCCCTACCATGTCTTGTCCACCTCTTTCTTGTTGTTATGCATGGCCCCGGTAGAAATAAGAGGGTTTCAAATCTATTGTCATGCTCTTTTGCGTGATTCATGTGATGACTGATGTACTGGGGGGTTGGAGGCACCTTTTCAGGCGCCGGCCACGCTTCTGCTCGTGCTGCGCAAGATTGCCACATAAAGGCTCTGACAAGAAACGCCTTCGATCCTCAAGATACATCTCAAACAGACACCAGAAGACGCAGCCTTGAGTAGCACACGGACTGCCCGGTATGTCCTTTGATCGGACGGACGATGCAGGGCATTTCGACTTGCAACCCAGGACTGCCGATGCGCTTATATTAAACGCGACACGTCCATGCATTGCGTGCGCCGTTTTCAGCATAAGTGTTCCAACGGCATTCTACCCTTCTCGCGATAATTCCGCTCGCTCGAAGATTTCTGTTGGAACTCTTCGAGTGCTATGATATTCTCGAAATTTAGCAGGCGGTGACCCGTCTGAAGCATCCTAACTCCACGAATCATTTCGCAGCCCCTCACGGAAAATAAAATACCTACCCGAGGCAACGGATTACTCAGTAAACCTCCCTAACATGGGGTAAAAAGCGTGGTTTCTTTGTTATACTGGTTGTCTATTGGATGGGTTTTTATGAGGACAAACCGCCACCAGATATTTCCATTTGAATTCTCCCGAAATGTTGGTGGCCACGTGTGGTCAGACCGGTATGGAATCACTGGCGGTTGACGATGTTCTGAATGCACTCTTGTATACCCTTTCACAGAACGATGTGGCCGCACTAGCGAATCTCGTTATTAAACCATTTACTTGGGTAATTGCGACGAACACGGGAGAAACATCGTCGACGAAATGAGCTTCAAGCGTATCGAGGGAGGTCACATCCGGGTTGGGAGAAGAATTGGTCACTTGGTCACTGCCCAGGATGGAAAATGAAGTGTTTCGGAGCATCTTGACATACAAAAGCGCGGCAGAGTTGGGTGCCGGATTCTGATGAAGCGTCACTGAGATGCAAAAGCAGAGGACAGCACAACGCATTAGATATATCCTCGCAGGAGGATGCGTGAGGCGTGTTTTTCTAGTGCTTGCTTCAGAGTCTACAATACTGGAAGCACTTCAAGGAGGCGAGGTTTGATTTTTTTTGCAAAGAAAGGGGCTAAAGTACATTTATAGAAGGTTACTTATGTAAGGAACGCTTTGTCAGCGGTGGCGCTGTTGTGGGTTGGCCGAGCACCTCGTGAGTCGTCGACGTTCTCTTCACCCGCGTCTCCGTCGTCGTCGTCGTCACCTTCCCTCCCTCCTCCGCTAAGAAAATGGCGTTTGGTCTTGTCATTGGAACTGAGCGCGCAACTAACCTCCAGGTGCGTGTTGCACTCGTTATATGCGCTGCGCGAACGGGCTGACAGGTCATACAGAATGCAATCCAGGATGAACTCATGAGCAGAGGGTACAGCCCCGACGCTGGTAGGCACACCTCCAACGCTGCTCATACTACTGCTCATCATCTATTATAGACCCTGTCATGGCAGAGTACATTACTATTATGATAATCAACAACAAGACTGCTGGTGCGTCGCGTCCTTGTCGCCTTTTCCTAGCGGTAGTGCTCACAGCCGATTCGACAGCTCAAATAACGTCTGAACTTGAAGACTGTGCGTTACCTTTTTTTGATACGACCTAGAACGTCGCGGCTAAACACGTTGATGCATTGGTAGTGATTGGCTCGGATTACGGTGCGTTTCCTTGTTTACTCGTGGGTTGTTGTGGTCTGACTGGATTGTTCCCAGACGCAAGCTTCACTGACTGGCTTTTCACCGAGGCCGCCAAGGGTGCCCCAGATGCCGCACCACCAGCTCAACCCGCCGCCGTCATCGCCGCCTCAGTATCTCAAACATCCCCATCCGCGCCTAAAGCCGCCTCCACCCGCCCAATACCACAAGCACCCCGCTCTACTCTTAGCCATGCCCTCAACCAAGCCGTCCCGTCTGGCCCATCTGGCATCAAACGCCCCGCCTCCGGGCGCTCGCCTTCACCCTCGGGTGGCGGTCCGAATAAGTCACGGCGGACGGACCTCCCTACCGGTCCTCGTGCCATGCAGGCTAGTCCAAGTGGTGGTGGCGGTGGAGGCGGACGAAGTCTGCTCGACCGTATGGGTCCGCGGAACAAGTTCGGTCAAGGAGGAGGCGGACGCGGGGACGACATTCAGGCTCGCATTGACAGCATCACCAACGGCAGCGGGATAACGCCCGAGGCGATGATGATGGCGTACCAGAACGGGATGCTCCCACCAGGGATGGACATGAACGCGATGAATGCGGTCATGGCAGGCGCGGGTGGCATGAACATGAATATGGGGAATATGCAGGGGAATCAGATGATGCTACAGGAGATGATGATGAACCAGATGGCGCTCATGGCACAGATGGCGTCGTCCATGGGCCTAATCAATGGGCAGACGGGCCAGTTCTCAGGGCCTGCGTTTGGTCAGGATGGGAATCTCAACAACAATAACAACCAGAACGGCTTCCAGAACGGTGGTGGAAGAGGTCGCGGAGGTATGCGCGGGCGAGGGCGGGGTCGGGGTGGGCACGCTGGGCCGGGTCACCTGGGCTCCGGTGCGGATGATGGGGAGACGTTGGCGATTAATGGTCAAGGGTCATCGATAGCGGCGCCCCAACCTATCCATGCCAGTCCCTCGTCTGCTCCTGCTACCCTCGCTGCGCCCTCTACGCCTAGTCAACCCGCATACGCCTTGCCTGCACGCCCAGGGACGCCCACGCTCTGCAAGTTCGGGACGAAATGCACGAACGCGTTGTGCCGCTACTCGCATCCTTCACCTGTTGCTTCGGCCGAGTCCGGTGTCGTCCTCTCAAGTGAGGCCTGCGAAGCCGGTAAAGACTGTCAAGACAAGGACTGCGTGAAAGGGCATGTCAGTAAAGCTGCTGCTACAGGCCAAGGTTCGTCCAACGTTTTTATCAAACTACGCCGTTCTCGCTAATTATCTTCTTGAAAACATTTTAGTAACTGAACAAAAACCTCCCGCCACGCATGCCCCCGCTGCCTCGCACCCCTCCACGTCCAACCAGATTCCCTGCCGTTTTGGCACCAACTGCACACGGCCTGGCTGCTCCTTCGCCCATCCACCTCGCCACTCCTCACACCAGAACAGCGGTACGGCCTGCCGCTTTGGCTCGGGCTGCACGCGTGCCACATGTACCTTCTCTCACCCACCCGACCGCGTCTTGCCCGGCTCGTTCCATCGCGGACTCGATTCGTCATCGCCGAGTGTCAAGGTGAACGCGCCTGGGACGGGTACGATGTCCGGTAGCAGTGGCAGTATGCACAAAAGCGCGGTGTTCAACACGTCCTCGACGCAAGCGTCCGCCTCTTCGCTCAAGGACGGGCAGGGCAACGGGATCAAGGCGGAGTTAGAGAGGCAGATGAAGGACCTCGAGGCGAAGAAGGAGGCAGCGCAAAAGGCAATGATGGAGGCGCAGGCTGCGGCTTCGTCAAAGACGGGCGGGGCAAAGGATACATCTGTTGCTGCATGAGCGCGCGCCTCGCCGCTACCTTCGCGTCCGCATACAACTCGAATCTGAGGGCCGCTTTTTTCTAACGCCAAATATCCAGCCTCAAGGACAAGTATTATAATGAAGCCTCTACCTGTGTATTGTGAAAACCTCTCACTTCCCACATTTTTTCTTTTTCTTATTTCTGACATCGACCAATTAACCAACCCTCCGGGTGTTACTTACCTGTGCTTGCGTTGATTATATGCGGGCTTCGCTGGCTGTGTAGACCCAATTAGCGTATGTTAGTTAGCATACAGTACTAGTATGACTCCTAGCGTCGCGGAAGCTAGAGGGTAGAAGAGGAGGATGAGAACTAAATAGACATGGTGGATGATGGTGGGCCAAAGAGCTTCACCAACTGTCGACGTCTCCTCCTTTTGCTTGGTGTGGTTTTTCATAAGGCTGAGGATAGCCTGAGGCTGAGTGAGGGGCCACGGCAATTATTGACACAATCCGACGTGTTGTGATTTGCCTTACATAACTCCAACCGCCCTCTTCGCACTCACTGCTTGCATGAAATCCGGATGGGCCGTATATGATCCCTGCACTGACTAATGTGCGTTCGCCCGTGTTAGATGTTCATATTGCTGACGAGACTTCAGGGCTTCCAGCCGAGCCGCGGGGCCACGAAGTTTCTCTTCCTCACAAACCTTCTTTGCGACAGAACCACTGATATCAAGTATTTGAAAATTTGTGTGGGTCCATTCGGATCTTACCCCCAAGTTTGCATGGGTGCTGACTCTTTAAACTTTAAGATTTCCGCTGTCTCGCAGGTTGAGTATCCAGGGCTACTGCTATTCGTCAATTCAACGCAGGCTTTGTTGGAATATTCTTATCGCGGTTTCTAGGTCTGGCTTCCTATTCGTGCGATGAGCGCTAAAATCGAGAAATACTAACAGCGTATCTGAGTCTCCGATCTGGAGTCGTCCTATCAACTCCGGCATGCTCGTGTCAATGTGCCCAAAGGGTCGATGACTCGGATGATGGAGGTTGGTAACGACCGGTATTTCCGTATCGCCGAGCGTTGTTCAGGCAAACATGGTGGTCACAATACAAAGTGCAAGCGCTCATAAGTCGCCTTGTCGAGCAGAGCGAGCTCTCGGACTAAATTCTAGACGGAACCTTTTTCTGATAGTGTTTTAGTATATAGGGAACGTGCATCTATTGGTCTCCGTCACTTTCCATCCCCTTCAACGGTTCCGCGGGTCCTTTGGGCGAAGACTCTGATAGACCGTAGTAAATATGGGCAAGTATGACGATACGCTGGGTATGTGTCTCGGCGGTACCTTGGAATTTACCACGCTAAGTTTGAACGACGAAACGGTCCAGGGGTGCTCTTGCTTGCTGTCGTCTGTGCGTGCGTTTGATAAACCGAAACCTCTACGCTCACACTCACGACTTTGACCACAGTAAACGCCTACCTGTACGGCGTTGTCATGAGTCAATTCTTTCGTTATTGTCAAGCAGGTTAGTCCCCGGCTTCACCTAATTTTTCAACTCAGAGCTCAGTTCGAAGTTATCGCAGATATTAATGACCATCGAGCCCTCAGGTTAGTGGTTATGTATATGCTCCACGTGTACATGCAGTAGAAATATGGCTAACCGCCGAGCTTTTGATCTTATAGGTATCTACTGAACTCTGTGCTTATTGTGGACACGACTTTCACTGCTTTGTGAGCAAAATTTCTATCTAATAAACGTTCCAGGGGATCGTGCGCCTCATGACTTGGGTAGGACAATATACGGCATATGGTCGATATTGTAAGTTACAGTTTGCTATTTGTTTTATGGATTCAGCTGACATTGAAACTTTTTCAAGCATAGCCCACAACAGTGACAGTATTGTCGTCGCACGTAAGTAGCAATGAAGTATCGGAATAAAGTGCTCACTTCGTTTGACGACATCTCTAGAGCAGTCATGGTCAATACAGACTTTACCGATAGCGACAGCCTGGTCGACCGTCGCAATGCACTTGTTCTTTACGCGACGGTAATGATACCCTCTCGTGGACTCGATTTTATTTGATATCCTCTCGCAGGCTTTGGAGACTCACCTCAAACAAAATCTGGGCCTTAGTCGCAGTCTCGTTGGCTATATGTACATTTGTCCTTGGGATGACCTTTGCCATTCGGGCTCTGGCTGTGGGAGCGTTAGTCCTCCTCTTCAGTTGTCGTGCCGAAACTCTGACGGAAGAACAGGAATCTGGAAGGCGCATCTCTGGAGAAAACCAAGTCGGTATACCTGTCCTGGCTCGTCGCCACATTAGTCTCGGACGGTTTCATTACGGGTATGTTTCCTGTTGTTACTCTGGCGCCGTCATGCTCATCAACATTTAGGCTCGTTGAGCATAGCACTTTTACAAGCTCGCACTGTCGGATTTAGCAAGGCTAGCCACGTTGCTCAACAGCTCCTGCGGGGTGCGATCCAGACGGGAGTTTGTGCTGGAATCATCACCCTAGGAAGCTTGTTGTCGTACATATTCCAGCCCAATACATTCCTGGCCCTGCTCTTCGCTGTGCCAAGCGGACGCGTATACACGGCTGTGAGTCGCCTAAGTCTCATATATCTTAGCATTGGCTTATAACTAAAAAGACGCTACTTTATTCGCTCTTAATACGAGCCGATGCGACTGATGACCCAACTAGTGATAGACATCGAGAAGTGAGGCGTTTTTCTCCATACAACGAACGTGAAAGTTGACATGCTTGAATTCTCAGAACAGGCCCATGACACGCCCGGTACAACTGACTTCTGCCATCTCAATCCACGAGCTCGAAACAATCAATGTATAGATTTATTGCGACCGCCAGAGCCATAGTGAGCGGAATTCAACGGACTCATTGCTAAGTAGAACATGTTCCTCTTCCGCGTTTCACGCCTCGGGTCTTGAGTGCTGGGTGGGCTTCCGAAGGTATGCTACATTGCTACCCAATCTCCGGGAAGGGTGTATCGCACCGCGTTCCTTTCATCTCTGCAAGAAGCTTCCGTGCTTTTGGTAGTGACTGCTTAGCTTAATGCGCTAGGGTGGCGTCTTGTTGTTATCCGTTACTTCGAGCCTTGGGCCACCGCGGTGACAAGTAGCATTACCGATTACAGAAAGTATGTCCATTTTTTACCGTTGGAAACAACAATGCATTGTTCCAAAGTGACCCGTGATTACAACGTTCCATAAACACCCACCAAACTGATACATCCACGAAGATGTATACTATATATCCAGGAAAATGTAGCCCCAAACCACTGAAAGCAGGAAACGTGCATAAATAATAGGTACGTCATCTCGTCACTTCCTACGATATCCTCGTTTACTTGGGAATGTCGGAGGTCGTGCCAGGGCAGAGCGTGAGCGTGATAGCGGTGTTGCCGCAGGTGTAGTCAACATTGTCAGCGGGAGTGTATCCGTCTATGAATACCGGTAAGTTGATAAAACACGCGCCAGCATATGAGAGATATGTACTGACCAGCACCATCGTTGTCGGGGAACGCGTACGCGTTCGGGCAAGTGTCATAGTAGAACGGGCTGTTGGGGCCGGGGCCGGCGTTGTCGGTGCAGCCGCCCCCGCTGGCAGGGAGGGCGCCACCGCTGCATGCGTCAGCGGAGGAGCAGCACGGAGAGTAGCAGGTGTCGGTTCCTGGACCAGCGACGGGCTATTCAAACGATTGTTTAGAAACTGCTTCAGGAAAGTAATGATACGACTCACGCAGCCCGAGGAGATCGTGCACGCATACGCGTCACAGCTGGTGTCGGCGGAAGAGATCTCCATACCGACATTGTAGCCATAGATCAAGGAGATGTCATAGGTAACGCTGCCTGCGATAGCGTACTGTCGGATGAAAGCGAAGGTGAGTCATAGTAAAGGAGAGACAAACGAATGCACGGACAAAGTTGAACTCGGCGCGACTGAAGGGGGTTTCACCATCCCAAGTGGGACCTCCGGTGGTGCAAGTGGATGCATCACTGTTGCAGCCCGTACCGACGTTGATAGCACCATCCCAGTCGGAGCTGATCCCCATGTCGGAAGACGCGCCAGCAGCAACGGCAACGTAGTTGTCGATGGTACCAAAGCTAGTCTGGGTGAAGAGGATGACATCCTCGCTGCAGCTATTGACGACATTGAGAGACTGCGCCTGAGCCACGGAGGCAACAGCAGCGAGAGCGAGAGCAGAGAGAGCGGTAAGGGCCATTGCTTTGAATGATGAAGGTAAAATTTTGAGACCAGCTAGGAGCTGATGGATAAGGCTGGACGTAGGCCGCTTTTATACGTCCCAGCCCCCAGTCGGGCAATGCATGGTCACTTCAGCAGAGGGCGGCTGATCGTCAGGCATCGGTAGGTGTCCGACAGCCAGGCAGCTGCCAGCAAGACAATTACCCACAGGTTTCGAGTTAAACATTGTGGTGCACATGCGGACGATAGTGATCCTGTGTCGGGAACGCTAAGGATGGGAACGGCCATAGTGCCGTTGGCCAAAATTAACTTTCAATCTCGTCTACAGTGCATTAAAAATGGACTGACTGCATACGAATTCCGATATTCGATGCGGTAATATACCTCGAGGTCCGCGAGGTCAGTGTGATAGCAAAGCGACTCACAGGATCAGAAAGAGCGTGTAGCGCTCCCATGCAGCCCGCAGTGTCTAAGGCAATCTTTTCTATCCTTCCTAGCTTCAATGAGCAGACGAAGAGGAAAGTGCCAGCGATGTATAGCTGCGGAATGCCGAACACTCGCAAGGATGTTGCATCCGAATTAGCACTGGGCACTTTTTCATGGTCATCCGGTGACGCCTGTCTACGTGTTTTGCATACAGATGTATTTTTAGCAGGCCATCTTGGTTTTCTCTTCCGATAAGTATAAACGCCTTCTGAGTGTTCGTACCTGATCTACTTGTGAGATGCTCAACAATAACGCGGGAGCAGCCGAGAACTGGACACAACCATGAGAAAGGGGTTCAAACCAATCGGGTCTTAGGCAGGATGAACGCACAAGAAACAATATTCCCTCGGAGCCACAACGTATGCCCAGCTGAGTAGTTTTGACAATTCTCGCGATACACCTGTCTACCTCCGGATCCAGGAATACTCCGTTGCAGTCACAGCGTCGATGGCAAGATGGAGGTTTCTCGAGACATTGCTTTGGACATGTGGATCATTCTCATCCTAGCATTGGGCAGTGGGACTTTGTGTCAGCGAATCTACGAGACCCGAGCGTCGGTCAGCTCGGCGGACTTGCGTCAACCGAGGTTAAGAGTACTATGGGAAACGTCACGGCATCTAAACTCGTCTATTCGGTGGCCTACTAGTTAATCGTATCTACAAGCATATGGTCTGCTTTTGTTTGCCGTTGATTGGTTGCAGACTCCTATGCTCTTCACAGCACTCTCTCTCGCTGCTCCGAAAGACTGAATGCAGGACCAGAGAAATGCTCCAAATCTCACTTCCGCACCCGTTTACGAACCACTGTTAAATGTGGGCCGCGTCAGCTCATGCCCACAAGACGACGGGATCGACCGGTTTGTTGAAGCAGAATTGTTCGAATGCGAATTGTATTGAATTCTAGAATACATTGACCAATCGGAACGTGCGTTGGTGTCCCCTTTGTCGATGCATTTTCAGGATCCAGAGCCCTACATCTGGCAGCTAGGTCATACGAAGGGGTCGGCGAGCCGGAGGCGAGCCGAAGAAGTTCCAAGGGGTCCGGGCTTCGGGAGCCAAAAATGTGGCAAGGGCCGGCCCCTTGAATGCACTAGAAAGAGTCACGTGACGCACAATCGGCGCGCTTGGCGAAACTAATCCGGCGCATCGGCGCAATTCGGTCCAAATTAGGTCGTGGACCGAATATGACCGAGTCGACCAACTTGGTCGGCCCCTTCGTATGACCTAGCTGCTCTACATCTCCTAAAGTCCAAATGCATTCAGACGATTTCCTGATGCAGTACTGTTAAGCCCCTGGGCCCTTTCATCTTTAAGAGTGGGCCAACCGTCGCCCGAATCTACCAGTCCCTCATCATCTCCCTTCACCTTGCCTTCCCCTTCCTCTCTCCTCGTCATCATGACAGTTGTAGTACCCTATACACGAGGGCATTGTCGTTGTTAGTACGAGAATTATCGCCAGGTTAGGGCAAGCGAGTCCGCCAAGGCGCCCGCAAAGCTCACGCTATTTCTCTGGCCTGACCAGCGCGTCATGATAAGTTCGTCATGAGTATATAGCCTGGCGCGCCGATGGAGCCAGAATATTCAGTCAACCGATGGTATTCGCACTGCACTTGGGTGCGTCTTCTTAACGTCGTCTGCGAACAGCGTGTCGGCTCCTGTCCGATGTTTTTGATCTGGCGGCGTCAGAGTATGTTCGCGGCGCTATTGGGATTGTGCTTCCACTTTCCTTGCGACATTGCTATCATCCTGTTAATGTACTGTGGTACCAAAATGATATTGTATTCCCCTCCATTGCCGTCTAAATGCCGAAGAGTAACGGAGGCGTGTCTTGTATAGAGTGCTTAACGTACGCGCGTGGTTTCATCAGTTTATCCCACGTTCTTAGGTACGGTGTATCGACGTATTCTCCTTATTCCTGATAGAAACATGCATTACAGCTGCACACTAATATCTCCCGTTGCATGTATCTCCTTCTGTTAGAGTCGCCGAGTTCCGAGAGGTTAAAACGTCTACAACCATTCAAACGCGCAGCTTCTTTGATTCGAGTACTTAGGGTACCGTAGTCATACATCTCGGGCGATAATCTGGGATAATGCAAGAATGTCAAGGGCAATTAGCAAGTCAACGCGTCAAAAGGCGCCAACAACGGGCTCGGCTGGCTGTTCGAATCCAACAAATAGCTGTTGCAAACGTTGGTATCGTTCGGGATCTCATTGCCAGAGTTCCAGAACACGCGCTCGATCCACCCCTGCTGCGCGGCCCACTGGTAAATCCCCTGCATGAAGCTAGTGGCCGTCGGCCAGTCGATGGAACACGCCGGGGACGCCCCGCCCGGTGCGATCTCGGTGATCCACAAGGGCTTGTCGGCGAACTTGTTGTGATACGTGGTGATGATGCTCTCCGTGGTGGGCAGGTCCGGGTGGTACGAGTGGATGTTGTATGCGTGGAAGAAGGACTGGCAGTTGCAGGCGGCAAAGAATTGGTCCAGCCAGTCCGACGTCGGATCTGCGGTGACAGGAGCGATGAACTTGGTGGCGGTACCCGGGGAGGCGAGGAGGGGTTGGATGGCGTCGGAGGCTTGCTGCGGGGTCATGGTGGGGGTGACGCCAGCGTAGGAGTAGTCCGGCTCGTTGAAGGTGAGGAGGTAGGGCGGGGGGTTAGGGCCGTTGACGAGGGACACGGCGTTCGCGACGTCGGACGCGAAGGCCATCATGGGGAGCTGGCCGGGGTTGCTGCCTAGGCCAAAGGTGATCCAATTGGAGGCGCCGGGGATTTGCGTGAATTGCTGCGGGGTCGAACCGCCGTTGAAGACGACGTTGATGAAGTCTGGGGGGCAGGCGCTAGGTGATGGTTAGTGGGTCGCGCGTAGTTTGTAGGGGGAGTGGAACATACGCGAGCGCTGTGGAAGCAAAGAGGGTAAATGTGAAGGACTTCATTTTGCTTGGAATGAGTAAATCTGGTGGAGGTGTTTGTTGGAGCTCACGCTGGCACCTTCTTTATAGCTTAGGGTCACGGAGGAAGGGAGACAGACGATCGACCATATCAAACGCTGGGTGTAACTTCGGATCAGTAGAGCGAATTCCGAAGGACATTTACTGTCCACCTTCAGCAGTTGAGCGCCCATCTCAGTGACCCATGACAGAAGTACAAGGGAGTACACGTGGCCAACTGAGCTATGAGAAGCTATGGACTTTGTGAGCTCCTGTAAACGTCTGCAGACGTCTGCTGCAGCATGGCAGGTTATGACGTACCTGGGTGCCTTCGACAACAGAGTCTGAGTCAAATGCTCGCACATGAGATCTCGCATATAGTCGGTGAAAGCTTATGAGCATGATTGTGAGAGACACACATAGGAATTTACGCTATGCGAAAGACGCACTTCCCGGTACTATCTGTGGACAGTGCCCAAATGTGTGGACGATAACAGTGGGCGATAACAGTCAGCCATACTTACACATTCCTGAATATTAGTGTACGTCATGAGCCCCATTCACCTCGCATATCGTGATGATGGCGATGGCGACGACCAATAGCAAACCATCCTCCAAAGAGCTGTACTCACCGACAGAAAACCGAAGACCAACCACACCGCAGGATCATGCGAAACTACCCCAGACGTTCCCGGCTTTTGACAGCTCTTGACGCAGCTGTCGCCTATCGCGTGCTCGACTCGTGCTCCCTCAGCCTGCTGACAGTTCGTGCCGGTGCTGTCAAGATGTGCCAAACCCGGCCCTTTGGGCTGACCTGGCGTCAGTCTGTGTCAATGGGTGTCAACGGCCTGATGAAGGTTTGGATTCAATACGTTCGCCGGCACTGTAAGGTTGGGTGGGATTTGGGTGGGATCGGTTATAAGGAACGACTATCTTCCGCAATCCATAAAGGTCTGCCTACGGGAGACTAGTAGTAAGCAGAGTCGCTGGGTGCACGGTGGGCGGGCATGCTCGCTGACGGAATTCGTGCCCAAAAGCGTCAGAAACCCTAGCTCTCGTGCATGACGTATATTATAGCTACAGTGAAATACATGGCGTGTGCAATAAACACAGGGCGAGTTGGACGGAAAACCGACGATGAGCTAGCTGAGATGTGCTGAATTCGTAGTTTTCGAGCGACAGTCGGGCTGAGGAATGTTAATGAGAGGAGGAAATTTGAATGTGGGAATATCGACTCGCGCTATGCTCTGCTGGGCGTTTTGCCTCCGGCGCCGCTGGCCGCGTGCTGGGCACCTAGCACGTCATTGCAACTGACCCGGTCAAAGGCACAGATGCGGTCAACGTTGGCCGACAAATCGACCATACAGCAATTCGACGAAGCCTTCGCGACGTCCGACGATTTCATTGAATCGTGTTAGCTTGACACCTAACAAGGCTAACATGCAGATACTGAGATTCTCAATCAAAATGCAAAAGCGTCATTCGTAGTCAGATTCAATTCGCCTTCTCCTTATCCTGGAAGGTAAGAGTTCTGTATCTATCATGTATCTACCTTCGCATGAAGCAAGCCATATGATAGCTCCCTTCGTCGGTCAGATTCATGTCGTCAGTGTGCTGAGCCTTAGCTTGACGAGCTAGTGATGTTCTAAACCTGGTAGGCACCGATGACCGTGTTCTGGCTCTTGGCGTCATAGCAGAGTTCTTGGGTGTCCTGAGAGGTAATGGCGTAGGTCGGCGTGAGACCCTCTCCGCAAAACTACATCATTCGAATAATTGTGAGTTGCCACATTCACCATAACATTTTCGCCAACGTACCTCAATGGACTGGTCTACAGCCACGCGACTCGTGATTAGATGCGCCGAGAGGATAGACTTGCGCACTTACAGAAGGTAATCTGGTAAAGAAATATCTCAGGAAGGCATAGTTATCGGCGAAGATGTTTACTTACTCCGCCTCCGTTGGTGAAAGGTCCGTTGCCCGCACTGGGATCGAACCTAAAGAACTCACTTAACGGAACTCAAGCTGAAAGCTACAATACTCACTTGATCGAAGTGATGTTGGCGCCCTCGGGGAAGGCAACACAGTTGCTGGGACGCTGACCGGGAGCTACGTCCGTGATGGTGGTCTAGCCAAGGTCACTGAAGTCAGTCCTTGTCCAACAAAACAGTCTAGGAGACACTGACTACAGCCGACGTCGAGCAAGTCTCATCGCCACCGACATAGGTGGAGACCGACCAGGCAGAGACGAGAGGAGCGAAGAGAGCGAGAACGAGGAACTTCATGGTAGGTGATCTAACTTGGCAACCCCTGCCATGAAGGCAGCAAGATTTATATACCGCCCCAGCTTCAAAAGGCACAACTGCCGCTTACCAACGGCCAGGAGAACTGAGATGATATGACCCCATACCAGCCCATACCAGCCCATACCACTGGTTACGACCTCGCATCGATCAGGATTTGACTTGGCTGACACGTCGATCGTGGTCCGAGCCCTTTCGAGCCTGGTAAAACAGTAGTCAAACTTGCAGCAAGATGTCACGGTAGGGGAGCAAGCGTCCTCTATATTGTCGCTCTTACAGAGCTTGACAATAGTTGCCTAGAGAAGACGGCGCTGTAGCATAACGGTCTGCTTGGGGGAAATTGAGTAAGCATCTTCGCGCATGCAAGGCTGGATTGCAAGGAACCGAGTCCTTACCTCAACTCTGGCCTCGAGCGAGAATGACGTTTGTGACGGCTTCGACGAGTTGATGGCTCAGACGTGACGGTGTCAAGAGGATCACCGTCCGGCTTGGCGCAGTCAAGCGTAACCTGTGTGTAACCTGTAGCCTCATGCAGCTAAGCGCCAGCGAAGCTTGCGTCAAGGTCTGTCAAGGTCGTCTGCGGAGGATACGAAGGGCCGACCCGTCTCCTCACCAGGTGGGGTTCGCTCTCACGGGGATGTCGATGAGCTATGCAGCACCGATAATACTCCTGTAATTCAGGCGGAGTTCTTTGGGCGCTTAACAGGCGCTTGACAGACGCTTATGCGGCCCAAGGAGTTGAAACTTGAGATGTTGGGATTTCCCTTGTTGGTAAGACGCTTATACTGTGGCCGTTCGAAAGCACCACGAAAGGCAGCACAAGAGTTGGAATCATTGATCGGGATTGGACGGCCTGGTATCATCGCTCCTCTAGCCAGGGAGGCTACTAGTGCAAAGCGGAGAACACCACGGGCAATAGATTCTAAAAGTAATCGGTTCGGAGCATTTCTCTATTCTCTCCGAGAGAGATAGCAAGGCCACGCCCTTTCCAAGGTGGTTCCTGATATACACCATCGACTTCCCAACCTTCGGTAACACCATCGCCAAAGAAGACGTATCCGGGTATATAACGGTCCACGAAGCTGCAATGCGTTAAGAGCGATGAAGGTGGGCAATTGAACGAGAACGTACTTTTTGATCTCGTCGTCTTTCATGCCCTTTCCCCCGTTCCGGACCATCATGTAGTGCTCTTGCTGCATTCGCCATTTATATATAATGCGATACCTCTGGTCTTCCGGACCCCTGATCTATCGAGCGCAGAGCACAACCGCACGAAATCAGGATTCATCCACTAGACGTTCGTCAAATACGGAAACGTACCTGGACGAACGCATCCAGCATCTTCCACCACTCCACATACTCCTTCAACCGCTCATTCACCTCCCACACGTACCTCTCCTCCTTGACGAACGCCTCCATATCCATATGCAGCTCATCCCCATGCCCAAGGCTCGGCACCGGCTCCCGCCACCTCTTGCCGATCGTGGTTCCCCTCACATCCTCAGACTTCGCGCCAGACCCCTTGCCGGGCAAGGGCGCAAAGCCGACGCACCACCCTTCGAGAAGAACAATATCGAGCGGCCCATGCACGTGCGAGCCCTCGGGGAGCCGATCGCCCTTGCCGCCGTGCAGCGACTTGTCGAATACCGGCAGCTCGACCTCCTCTGCTCCCAGCTCGTTGATGCTTTTCAGCGCAGCCAGCACTTTACTGCCAAGGGGCACGTCATGCGTCCCTGGCTGCCCGCGTCCCTGCAGAAGCAGGTTCCCCGGGTTCTCTGCCGACACCGCTTGCAGGCCAGAGAAGGGCAGGTAGAGGTCGTCAATCGAGAGCACGGCCGTGCGCAGGGAGTGAGGCTCTCGTGAAAGCGCGGAAGCAAGGCTAGAAGTAAGAAAAGTCTTCCCGCTTCCCTGCGGTCCTTGCACGCCGACGAACAGAGGCGGCGGAACGGGCCGCGACGAGGTGCCTATGCTCCCCTCGGAAGATGTGAAGGAGGCGCGATGGCGAGCGAGCTGGCGCAGGACATGCGCGCCCATCTCGCGGAGACCGTCGAGATCGGTCTCGATGGCCAGTTCGCTCATCATTTGTACACCGTGAAAGTGCTGAATGAAGGTGGTGATTACGGAGAAAGAGACGCATCCTCGTTCCGGGGAGGCCAGCGATAGGGGTCATGAGATCACATCGTGTGATGAACCGGGGCGGTCGCCGGAATGTGAAGAGTTGCACCAGATCATACCAAAGTAAAGCAGGACCATATGGTTTATAACAAGTCAAATTCGACTTGTTTGCCTTCGCCTTGACTCATTGGGTGGTAGGACTAAGCTCGCGCACACGATAGAGATAGAAGGACAACTCGCCCAAGAGATAGCCAATTACCAATGCATAAATCATTACCGTATCTATAGCTTCTGCCCCGCGATTCAACGCTGCGAGATAAATACTCCTAGTCTCCATTATCATCTCGTACCAACATCACATGCATTCCTTTGAATACAGCTTTTACCGGCTGCCACCGTACCTGGCCTTGCGACCAATGTCGAAGGGGACATATTTGTACTTGATCATGTGCCTGTGAACAGCTTATCAAAAGACATAACTTTTGGACAATAATAAGAATGGAACGTACTGAATCTGGCGGCGCATCGTGAGCGCGAAGAGGATGAAGAAGTACATGACAAGAATGGGCCAGTAGACAGGGACATCAAAGACCTCGGAGAGGGTGAGGAAGATTGAGACAATAATGGCGCGGGTTGAACTCAGCCTGTGATGGGAGGGCCACGTCAGTTCCAACAAGCGCTCAACAACATTTGCACACGCACCAAAACTGCCATTCGGGCAGACGACGAACGAAGGGACGGAACTCGTCGTCACGTTGCGACGGAAGCCGTGGTGCCTCGTCTTCTTCGCCTACTCCCTCCTCAATTTCGTCCGCGTGAAGGTCGTCCTCCAGCGAGGGGTCAAAGCGTGGTTGAAGGAATGCGAGGAGTAGATTGAGAAGGTATATAGCGAGACCATCTGAAATGAAGCAAGGTCATGCACGTTAGTACGGGGGAAAGCCAGAATGTTGTGATGAACATACAGCACACTGCAGGGAGAGTTGCACCGAGGAAGCAGGTTGGGGAATAGTAAGCTTGGGTGACTCGCAAAGGTTTCGGAAAGACTAACCAATGTACCACTGGGCAAGACGATGCGTTCATAAGTAATCGTGATGCCTGGAGAAGTGCGTGAAGAGACTCACTCCCTGACTGAGGACGATCCGGAGCATGAACAAACTGACGAAACCCAGGGTAGCGAGCCAGCGCTGGAGGACGTGGGGAGTCCACCTATCGAGCGTCTGCTGGTACGACCTGCGCGCCTTGTAGTAGTAAGACAGAACCCCATCAAACGGGGAAGAGGCGGGCTCGTCTGAGGACATCATTTCTGCGTGTGAGGTATCGTAGACCGGGGTAAACCGAGAGGATTCGAGGATCCGAGGACTTTGAGAGGTCTCGGAGGAGGAATTGCCCTAGCGGGTGATGGAGAGTATGGGGGTTTTGATACCCTGGACGGGCAAGGAAAAGGTTTTGGTGGAGGAGAACGTGTAGGGTATCGCCAGAGAGCTGCGCGTCTCCTCCACCGCTCTGTCCAAATAATTCTCCCTTTCCAGATTAGTCCACCTGATTTTCCTATTACGTAATTAGCATATCACGCCACGGAGAGCGCGCCGGTTTCTTTTGACAAGCTCTGCAACCCGACGAGAAGAAGGGTTCGACGATAACAACTGTTTTCGACCCAACCTTCTAAAGTCATCGGGTGACCTACCTTTTGTTCGAGACAATCTAATGCTAGCACAATATGCTTTTCGATTATCAGCGGCACATACACATGTCAAATTCCAAAGGACGACAGTCGCACCTGCCAATGTCAATGTCACGACTGGCTACACCCTCATGAGGTCTGATACGAGCCGGGCTATCTACCCAGCCTCTGTGTTCTCCTCGTTTTCTCGCCTTCCCCGCTGAGTGCTGAGTGCTGAGTGCTCACGCCTCGATGCGAATGAATCACGATCATTGGCGAGGTCTACCCCAGAACTTCGACGACCCTGAGCTGGACGACAAATGGGATACGTGAGTCACTTCCCCTCTTCTGAACCATATCGCAGGGCTAACCAAAGCGTCTCATCGGAGAAGATTTCTTACTACAGTGCGTCTCCAGGGCTGGCATGGATTCCCCCTCACCCTACGAATATTCTTCACATTTCTCTAGTATGTCAGGTTGCTTGGATTTACAATTCTCGTCTGGGACCATATGATCACATTCGCCGATGAGGTCAGGAAATCAGTCGTCGAGACCGGTTAAGAGCCTAATGTGCGCTGGGACAAAGGTCGAGTTTGTTTGGAAGGAACCTAAGAAACTGAGTAAGGATCTTGCAACGTCTAGCTACCGCAATATCTGACACACCCAAGTGGCCTACCTCTTCCTCTTTGTATGAGTTTGTGCCAGGAACCGCAGAGATCAGCACTGATGTTAAGCTCATGGCGATTGGTAGAACCGCTATTTCACCCCAGCGGCCTACATCGTCTTTCTCGCTTGTGCGCCTTTTCTCTTCACCTGAGCCATAATTGCTGTCTAATGGGTCTGTTATTATAGCGTACCTTTCTCCGAATTTGAGTGTTACTGTATGTCATCACAGCACATCGTTGCAAATCTACTGCTAACTCCGTGCCCCTGCAGGAGTCTGTCCCGTTCGCTTGCTTACTACATTGATATATCATTTTCCGTTGTTACAGGTGTCAAAAATTTCTCCCATTCCAAAGTGCCATGCTTATGACAAGCCTCACTGTCTCGTCGGTGATGATGCTCAAAAGGTGCGCTACAATCACCGGAATGCATTCATCTATTCAAACGACTGTGTATTTAGAGTAAAAGCACTGTACCAGAGCACGCCACTGGTCACCTATATTTTGTTCTTAGTTCTCGCGATCTGGCTCGGGGTCACGCTAGCAGATGCTACAAAGCCCACGCGTGAGTCCGCTACCTTACCGCGTAGCCGACGGATTTCTCTCATGTCGGCCTGCAGGGGCTTTGCATTCACCTGTGGTGCACGGTGGGTTCCCATGCTTGTGCTCCTCAGCAGCCTAATGAATAGCAATCAGTCTGCATGGTCAACATTGATCCTCAAAAGTAAGGTTCATTGTTTATCGGAAGTCTTGTCCCGTTCACTCAAACCTTCGCACAATCTTCGGCTCAGGCAAAGTAGAAAATTAGAAACTAGGCTGACAAGCTTCCTCATCTATATCGCGTTCGACACACTTGTGTTCTTGCTCACTCTCGCCCGAGCGCTTCCCTTTCAGCCCTTCACAAACAGAGACACCATCGCGCGGAAGCTCGCTGCTGATGGATTGCTGTGGTATGCGTACGTTCGCCCACCTTGGCTCACGGAGAGAACCTTATTCCGCATCCATAGATTCATAACCTTTGTCAATATCGCTCATACCATCATGATGGTCCGGGCCCCACCTGGCATTGAAAACGTTCTCGGAGAGTAAGCACATGATTACTTCACACTCGACTTTCTTGACCGACATTTTCTCGCTACCCAGGACCGCCTTTCTGCAAGTGTTGCCACCAATATCGCTATCACATACTGACATCCGTCTCTACGCAGACTACAGGTCACGATGACGTCGCGTATCACGCTCAGCCTGCCTAAAACCTACCGGAAACTCACCAGCATAGATACACGATGGGGTTCTCGATGGGAGAATTATCCACCCATCGTCTTCGCATCGTGACTTCGCGATGGCCATCCCCGCAAGATATCCTCCACGCGTGACGCGGTCTAGGTCCATTGAATGGCAGCAAAATATGTTAGATACCTCATCAGTCAGATACGACAGCACGGCAAGAAGTCTGCCCCCGTAAATAAAGTCTGCTTTTTGTAGCGTTGCCAATGTATTTTTACGAGCCCACCATGCACCCTTGCACACAAAACCCACAAAATTGTCATCAGATCAAAATTTGCACCATTACATATAGTATACAACATCGAGAAAGTCATAACGTCCTATCACAGTTAAAATACAAATGGTACAACGGCCTTCCTCTCCTTCGGATAGTCCGGAAACTTGTCATGATACCACTTGTGCCCTTTATATGCCCTTGGGATCATCATCAGTACCTCGGACCACACAAAAACCCATGGAGGCGACACCGTCGAGAGGACCGCGCTCCACGATGCAACAGAGGGGAGAGGCGAGGCCGCGAACGCGAACCCGGCCCACTCGCACCACTCGCAGAAGTAGTTGGGGTACGAAATGAGCGAGTACATGTATCCATGCGGGATGGCGTAGTGTTGCTTGTTAGACTTGGCAGCGCCGTTGCTGTCCTTCTCCTTGGACTCGTCGTCTCTCTTCTTCCTCCGCAGATTGAGGAGAACCTCGTCGTGCACAATATTCCCAGCAAGGCCGGCGGCCCAAATGCCGACGCCAGCCCAGAAACTTGCGCGGCTGAATGCGCCTTCAAGGAAGGACGCGGCGTAGGAGGAGGAAAGGTAGGACGCCATGAGCGAGCCGTTGACAAGATTGAAGGAGATGGCGGCGAGCGGGACCATGATGTGCGACTTCGAACGCGAGGGGGTGCGGAGGGGCGATATGAGGGCACGGTTGAGGTAGTGCAGGAGAAAGAGGCCTGCAAGGAGCTTTTGAGGTCCTGATAGAGGCGTAGAGGCGCTGGGGGCCATGAGGGAGGTGTCGGCGAAGGGACGCTGAGTGATTGTATAGAGGAAGGTGATGGGGGATACGAGCTCCATGAGTATCCACGACTTAATGCCATCCACGAGCAGGATGCTGTCTCCATCTGGGACGAAGCGGCCGAATGGCGCGTCGATGAAGAAGTTGGCGGGGCATACGACTGTTGGAATTAGGAAGAACCATCTACGAAGGCCTGGAGGATGGTTAGCACTGGACAACACGATGCCCATGCAGCGGGCTTACTGTCGAACAGTGGATACATGGCGACCTTAACCGTGTCCTTTGAAGCGGGATGGACGGACCCAAGAGCCTTTCAATGTTGAACGTTGACGCGTTGACGAGTGAGACGCGTGGTGAGGCCTGAGGCACACTGACCTCATACGACGTCAGCTCGTCTCACACTCAACGTCCCCCTGAATGAAAAACTCGAATCCGAGTTCTAACGATACAACACACATTCTCCGATAGATTCATAATTCGCCGAGAATGCATGCGTGGTGAATGCCGCGTCTTCGAAAGCTCGTATGAATGAGAAATTTACAGAATTTGATCATTGACACGAGGTGCGCAGAAACCTAGTAATACGATAAGGATACCGAGGCCCAAACGTACAAATAACTTCAAAGCAGGAGTACTACGAAATGGGGGTGATTGAAAACGATATGCGGCGACTAAGTAATGGGCATTCTCGTATACATGGCACGTTAATGTATCGTTACAGTCAGCATACCGAGGCCCAAGCGTACGAATGATTTCAAAGCAATTTCAAAGCAGTACTACGGAGTGGGGGGAAGTTGAAAGGATTAGAACTAAATAGTAAGCATTAGTATGCACGGCACGTCAACGTATCGTCGCGGTGTTGATTAAGATATGTTGAGAACGTAGGCAATCATTCATAATTCATGAACGGACCGGAAGAAACTTGTCTAAGGGACCATATTAGCCCGTGTTTAGACCGAGTGCTAGCAAGTCACTCACTTTCATATATTGCATCCTTGCCCTAATGACCCTCTAACCACGTCCCACACGATGTCGAGCCCCTGACTCTGAAAGGCAGCCCAGTCCCTTGCTCTCTCTCCCATCGCAGCATGTGGATTCATCTCCAAAACCTCCAACGGAGACCCTCGAGCTTGCCGTGCGTCAGCAAGTTCCCGAAGAGAGGGCACGCCCTCGCGACGATATGTGTCGACCCTGACATCAAACAGCAGCATGCGTCGGAGGCTGGGAGCGGGGAGGTCCTGTCCGGGTACAGGCATGAGCGCCCGCGCCATGCTCTCGACACTGCACCCTAAGACTAAAAGTACCCGTACGGAGGGGAGCTCCCTGCATAAGACATCCCAACATGGCTGAGGCGTGTCGTATCCGAAGAAGGTGGCAAAGCAGACCGATTGAAGTGATACAATCCCGAGCATGTTAGAGAGGAATGACTCTGCTTGTTCAACAAAGCAGCCGCAGCCCAAAGAGAACGCCGGTGGCTGCCAGCTCCGCCCCGTAAACTGAACAGGGGAACGGCGGCCACTGGGTGCCCGCACCGAGAGCTCAAACCGGACGCTTCCTTGCGTTAAGGAAAAATGCCCGAAAGAAAGGCCGGTAAGGTAATGGTCCACGCTAGACAGTCTACCGTCTGAGCCCTCCTCCAGCGTCTTACTCTGCTGGATCATAGAACGAAGGACAGATATTTCCTGTTCAAAAGACCCGAACTGACTGAAGTGTAGTCGGAATTGATCGAGGGGACGGGATAAACGGAAATTGGCGAAGAGAGCGTTACAATCCACTAGATGGTCGTTCTCCATGTCGACGCAGGTCAGGCTGGGCAAGGCGATATCGTACGATGGAACTTCATCATGAGGATAGAACGAATGAATGAGGGTCAGCGCTTGGAGATGGCCCATTGCTGCCAAAGCAGTCATAAAATCCATGATGTCGTAGTCGACGTAGTCGATGGAGATGAGCTGGAGATGAGTAAGGTTTTGGAGCGCAGGAGATGCCACCAGGAAGTCCAGAGCCCAATTATCTAGACGCAGCCTCTTCAACGACGGGACTGTTGGGTGAAATATGTTCGAGGGTAGCCGCGAATCCTGGGATCCTGTATTGTCGTCGGACCGGAGGCAAAGCCGTTCAAGACCATGGGGACCGCCCGTATCCGGATGAATACCTTCAAAAAGTTTTATTGCTTCATCTCTCAACCCACCATCTGAAAGTCGAAAATCCCGTATGCGTCCGATGTGATTGAGAACCTCCCGCAGACCGTCAAAAGGTTGGAGAAGGAGTGACATGTCAGCCTGGATGGTCAGAGGCAATGCTCCAGCGCAGCTTATCATCTCCCGCGTCCATTTGAGGTCGAAAAGAGGAACTACGGTCCACAGCGATGGCGTCGAGCGGGCTATCAATCTCCAGCGGCGACACAGGTGGGTGACAATGAGCCACGAGAGACATTCGCGGCTACACGTGTGAAAGTCCATTGGTGCATAGTGGGACAAGGGGTCGAAGTCGTGATCGGGGAGGCTGGCACATTCTACGAAGATAGCTGAAAGTAATTCTGTAGGAAGCAAGGTGGCTAACGATGAATGTTTGATCAAACTTGAGGCCATTGAAGTTTTGGTGCTGGAAACGGCATCTTCGCTATTGGCTAATTCAGTCTTTTATATGAGATATAAGTCCGTTCGAAAATGACCGGCTGCAGGAATATGTCGGCCGGAATGTGCTCACGTATATGGAGACAGTGACGCGTCGATGACAGGGGTTTTAGCTAAAGATCGACCCTGATCCAAAATAGCGATTGTCGTGTCGTGTGTATGTTTTCTCCTTTTTCTTCTTCCTTCTTCACTTTCTGAGTCTCCCAAGTTTGAACACGGCGGAATCGCCCTGAATTCGCGTATGTAGGAACAAGGAGAAGGTATTGGAGGAGACTCGTGATCAAGTGCCAGGGATCGAGCGCCAGGAAACTGTGAATCGCGTCCCCAAGACACGCCAGGGTAGTACAAAACCGCGTGTGATGCTTTAGCCTGTAATTGACGGCTTAAGGATCTGCGCCAGGAGTACCTCCATGACGCCATCTTTGACGTACTCGGGTATCCTGGTTGGGCCAAAGACGAGCGCTAATCCTAGTGACGGTACCGTCAAAGGTTTAATGGTGGCAGAATACTAGTGCGCACCCGCAGCGCAGTGTTAGTACTAGGTCAATTGTCAGAGAGAAATCGCCGCGGAAGAGCCAATGCCTAACATTCACGATGGGTGGGCTTCCCAAGTCGATTAGGTCCACGAGATACAAAGTTTAAATTGGCCACATAGGAAGAGCGAAACCGACTGCAGTAACCGGCAGAATGCTCATTCCTCGCCAAGGATGATCGATGAAGTAATGCCAAGTGATATCGCATGGACGAATAGCACTAGTCGTCCTTGAGATGTGAACAGCCGCGCCTCACTGACAATGATCCAGCCCAGGCTGTTGTCGAACAACAACCTCAAGTGCGAGCGGAGTGACTTGCCGCGACGGGAAGTGGACCAAGGTCCTTAATCGCGTCAAGCAGCCAGTGAGGTAAAAGAGGAATACCAGACGGGTTGCTGCTCGTGCGCGCGTGGATGTCGTCGGTCTCCTCGCCCGCGTCCTGCTGCGCTTCGGACTGAAAGATGGGTTCACCACATGCTGCGATCGGTCGTGGCAAGAAGTGCGAGATGCACTGGCTCAACGCGCCTTGGAGGGAGGTGAGCAAAAGCTGAGGGCTTGCGGAGTTGCGGGGTTGGAGATGGCGCTTGGGGGGGACCAGGGAGCCAGGGAGGTTAGGGAGACTCCTTGAATCTGTTCACTCTGCCAGTTGTCGTCGCATGGATGCCGTAGCTTGGCAGGTGGTTCTACTCAATGAGCATCTGGCTGGTCTCGGTGACTTCATCGGTGACGGCGTTGGGTTCGAAGGTGACCGATGTGGGCTCTGTGACGGTGTTGCTGCTCCCGATGCATACCTCACCCTGCGCCCTTTCGGTTCGAGAGACCGCTGAGAGGGGAGGTGGGAGGTGGAGATGCGAAGCTAAACGAGGAAGAGACACGAATGGAGTGGTTGTCGCCGTAACGAAGGACAGGTTGCTGTGACATATATTAGCCCAGTTACCAGTCTGTATACCCTCGGCCTGCGCGAGACTTGCCACGAGCACTTCTCATCGGAGGCGAATTCAGTTTGTCTCAATTTTATGTGCCACCCTAGACCACCCTAAAAATTCTCGCAACCTTCCCCAGTCTGAAATATTGTGTCGCCTGTATTTTGTTGATTATCTCAGGCTGAAGCTGACGAGTCTGAGGATCGAGGTCCGTCGCCCCCAAGTTCGTGTTCGAACATACAGGCACACGTTCGCAACACAATGTTTGATGAGTGTTCGATGTCATCTTTCCATTATGAACAAGCTCTCATGTACCCTGGGCTGTTAAGACATGTTACGCTAATGCTCATCATACAATTTGACGTGCACTGCCTAATACCACTACAAGTATACCTCCACGGGCATCCACCGGTATTGTAACTCTCTTGTAGTAGACTTTTCCTCTGGCCTAGCGGAAGTCTTGTCGTCAACGTTGAACGGAATACTTATCAGATCTGTCTCAATCCTTCTCCACGTTTTCCCTCTCGCATCGGCCATTCGTGACCAGTCACCTAACCAGGCACGTCCCTCAAGCAAAAACCCTCTAATAGGGGAAGCGATGGTAGGGGTGTCTCCTTTCAAGTAAGTCTTGTAGGACGTAACGCCCAAGGCATAGGTGTATCGCAAGTCTGATTTTTGAATGGTCCCAGGCTGAGAAAGCCGATCGAAGAGTTCATAGTCTTGGATCGTTAAGACAATTGGACCGACAACTTTGCGAATATCGACCGCCTCGAATGCGAATTGAACGACGCCTTGTGTTCGATCGAAGGAGAGAGTTGATAGATGGACGATGGCGAGAGGAACACGAAGACCTTTGCTCGTGAGCGCCATGTCAAGACAGCCCGGATCGCTCGAGTCGAGATTGTCGAAGTCATCGGGTGCGCGCAGGTAATTTTGAGGCGAGGCAGGAAGGCAGTACGTAGCATGGTGAGCCGCCGCGGTGCCGCCCCAGTTGAGAACCGATGGGTTACCTCCCATCATCATGATAGCCTCGACAAGGCGACAGAAAGCCTGGTCGGCGCCCTCTCCGTAGGCGATTGAGAAAGATACGCCGAAGATTCCCATCAAAGAGTAAGCCATATCTTCTTCTCTGGTAACTTCCCGGCGTGCTGCCCAGGACATACGCCGATCGACACTTGTAGGGGACGGGACAAAGCCGCACAAATCCTGCGTTGAAATCCCTGCGGCTGAGCAAGCTAGATGCAAGAGGTCAGGGTCGGTCTGTTTGTCGTCGGCGGAGTCAGCAACCTTGGAAAGTCGCCTCCAGTTCCTGCCGAAGAACTGTATCCTGCGTGGGGCTAGAAACTCCTGCAGCGTCCATCCTCTGCTAAACCACTCGTCCTGCGGTAACTCCACAAGCGACTCGGTCTGAGCAAGGTGAACGATGCAGACGGTCGAGTTGCGATACCACCTGAACATCGATCGAATAGATTCGTCTAGCTCAACGCTACTGGTCTTGTCGATGCAACAAGTGTCGATCCACGCAAAGCGGATGCCCTGACGAGCGACCTCATGACAGAACTCGACAATCTTCTTCCACCCAGTTGTCAATCGGCATGCTTCTTTCCCGAAGTCTTGCAGCGAGACTTCTTCTGCGGACCACCTGTGAGAGAGCACAGCGTACTTGACCACGCCTCGCACCAACTCGTTTACTGCGGCTTGACGCTGTCTCTGAGTTCGATATGACTCAAGGTGTTCTTTATCAAACGCAAGCTGGTCAATGAGCGGTTGAAAGTGGTCCTTGACCATGTACCGCCCGACAAGCCTGGGATCTCCGCTAGAGCGACACTCGATGAGACGTATCGGTATGTGATTGCTGACATATCTGTTGAACTCCTTGGTGATTACTGTCGAGCTCATGAGGATGATGAGGTCTGCTGGTTTTGAGAACCGCAGATACGACTTTGAAAAATGCTCTACTTACTGCAATTTCTTGCGCTAAAGGTTGATGTAATTTCGCGCTTGGTTCTGATGCAAATGAGTCTCGTTCAGAGGTCGTGACGCAGAAAGCCTCTCTAGAGAGTCGTTTATATACGCGAAGGGGAGTCATTTTGTGGACCAAGAACAACAAGGAATCGAAGATTTGGAAGACAACCTTGTGTTCATCATAAAGCGGTGGTGGTGGGGGTTGACAACATGATCAGGGGCATGTTTCCTAGCACCTCCGACTTGCCGTTTTAGTGACGTGTTGTATTTGCGCTTTATAACAACGGGCTCAAGCAGAGTCAAAAGCCCCGGAGACTTCGACATTTTGTCCAAAAGAATGTAAGTAAACCAAAGCCGGCACAAGTAACTACGATAACATAACGACAGTAGAAGAGTTCAATAACAATTACAGACGTTAAACCGGAAACTTCACGTTCATACTTATCGACCCTAATTTGATAGGCTCCACCGGCGAGCGAATCTGGCACCCCTGCTCATTACTGATGCGAAATTGGTGTATATAATGTAGTCTGTGGGAGGTGTGCATGTGTATTGACGTCAAGAGTCCGACCAGGTCCGACCACTGCCCGCTGAGCGCTGAGCACCCGTACGTAGGAAAGTAAAAGGGAGTCCAAGGTGTTTTGTCCGTGTGTTCTAAGATAGGTAAATGATGCGTGCGTATGTCCAAACAATTGCGATTAGCAATTGTTACTGGTCGTGCGCTCGATCAACCCATTTTGCGTCGATCGGCGGGGGTCGTCGGTGTTGGCTTTGAGGCAGCTGGAGGCGACCACAGCAAGCCTCGGAGGACAAGGTTGGGGATTGTGGGATATGATGGGTAATCAGTGGTAACGCAGGTAAAAATGGGTAAAAGTTGGAGGGCGACCGAGCCCTATTTCGTGGTATCCGTTTTCCTCTCCCTCGGACATCGAGGTCAGATGCATGGGTAATCGTTCAGTAGGCTCCTCTCCTCGCACCACGTCCGGCCATGTTCTCTTCTGGCGAAGCACCTTCGCCCTGATTTGGGGAGTAACCGAAACTACTTCCCTGATGGGCCGGCTGATAAGGCCGGTGCAGCGGTGCTTCGCGGAAGCCATCCGCTGTTGGCGCTCGGAACATGCCCGGGTGTTGAGGTGCGTACGCCGCGGGCGCACCAGCGCCTGGTGGTAGCTGCGCATCGAAGTAGCCCTGTCCGCTCTGGCTCAAGCTTGGCGTATGTGAAGGTGACTGTGGTGGACCCCATGCACTTGGGGCGGGGGATGCAAATCGTTGAGGAGTGGGAGATGCAAACCGGGGCGGGGCGGGAGATGCAAAGCGCTGAGGTGGTGTCAGGTAAGTCGGGGAGTTTGTGTAACCAGGCACCGGCGGGCCATTCGGGGGCGTGTCAAGGAACGGTTGCTGGTGAGGCAGGAGTGGGAGCTGGTCGACACTCTTGCCACGTGGGAGCTGTGAGAGCTCAATGTCCGCCTGCGACGCGTTGGGTCCTTGCGCAAGATATCGTTCGTAGGCAGACGGCGCGTACTGGGACGGGGCATACCCTGATCCTTGGTATGGAAGTGAAGGCGCAGGTGAAGCACGACCATTGTTATAGAACGTCTTGCCACCGTACATTGAAGCGCCATCGTTGCCGAGCACGGCGGCGGAAGTGAACGAGCGTTGGTCCCAATCGAGCTCCCCACGGTCGCGCTGGTACAACGCAGGGTCATACTCGAGGTCACGCTGGTCAATGGCAGCGATCCGGATGCCGCCCTCGATGACCTGTGCTCTCATCTTCTGGCCGCCAAACTCGTCAAGTTCGGCCTTGTCGTTTCCGATCTTACCCTTGTAGACTTCAGGGAGTAGGGGCATCATCCTGGCATGAAGCATAGGGGTGAAGAGCTCGGCATGCAACGCTGGGTGTCCGAAACGCTTCTCAAGGCGATTACGAAGATTGTCGGCACGGTCTGAATGAATCTTCGCTTCTCGAAGTTCTGCTTCGCTAGGGAGGTAGTAAGCGAAGGACTTGTAGAAATTCCTATCAAGCCAGATTTTATAGACAATCATCATGCCGATTGGAGGCAGGGTCGTCACCCAGTAGAATGTCTTAAAGCCATATTGTAAGCCGATAGCTGGAGATTATTTTAGGTTTTTCTTCTAGAGAAACAGATAAACGATGACTTACTCAGGCACATGAGCAGTTGCATCAAGATGAAAGCTACCAGCAGTCGATTGACTACCATGTTCCACATACGCTGAAACAAGACAATGAGCGTCTTGAATTCCACATATTCCTTCACTATACTTACTCCACCGGTTTCGACCTTCGTGATGTACACGAACATTAGCTGATACTTGTAAACCCAAGAGCCCATCCAGAAGACGATCGCTCCAGCCAGTACGACGAGAGGCGCCATTGGTGCAAAGATCAGTGCAACAGTTGCCATGAATAGCTGGAAAGAATGGATATAAGAGGACTTAATAATCCGCTCACGAAAATGAACTCACGTTATTGGCAAAATAAATGGCATACTGGAACTCAGGTGGCTGAGTCCATTCGCGAATATCTCTCGGTGTCCGACCGAAAACGTGCGTACGGAATGAAGTCCAGACCAAGTTGATAATCTGGGCCAAATCGAAGACAACCAGGAATCCGCGTAGCCTGAACGATGAAGGGCGTTACTAATGCTTACGGTGGATTAGACTGACGAAGAGCTCACGGGAAAAATGTAAGCCAGTAAGAAGACTGGTTGATGTACGTCCTGCCGATGGACTGGGGAAGACCTTTACCACCAAGGTGTTAGTCAAGGCTAGTGTAGAAAAGTACGACTTACTGCGAAGGTTTCGGATAATTTCGCCAAAGCTAGCGTGATGGCCAATTTCAGTCACGACTGTTTGGACAGCAACTGCAGATGCGAATAAGTCCACAATCCTTCGTAGTGAAAGGGTGAGATACGTACTGAAGCCGACCCCAATCAGGGTGAAGATGACTAATTGCGAAATTACTAAAAAGGCGAAATATCGAGCAACAACAGCGCGATCCAGTCTGAGAACAATTGATTGTTTCAGTAACGACAAAGCCGAGTGAGCTCAAAGTATACTGACTTGGAGTGGGTGAGTGCGCCTTGAAACTGACTGAGCCAGCGCATGACAATGGGCAAGAAGAAACCAAAGAACGCTGAGACAGCGGGGGGAAGCACACCAGAGACGACGGCGAACGATCCTTCCGATGCAGCCTTCCATTCGCCAAGGAAAGCGACGTATGCCGAAATCTTTCAGGGACCATGTGAGGAATACAGGGGAATACGAGGATCACATGTTAAACTTACCGACGACAAGTTTGCCAAGATGGAGATGGCAAACACGGGAATAGTATTGAACGCGCAAATGACGGTAATGATGATAGCACCCAGCAGCTTGTTCCTGAACAACTCAGCACCAGTCTTGTTCATGTTCTCCCAGACCTATTAATTACCAGTGTGAATTCACAAACGCTAAGCCTAAAACACGAGGCAAGGCGTAACGCACGATATCCTTAGGGTTAGGCGCAAGAGTGATATCTGTGCCTTTGGGGTGTTTGTTCCGCAAGATGTTGGCGACTATATGCGCGTACGGAACTGCAGCCATGGATGCAAAACCATAACTTTCTGGCTTGCGGGTGTCTATCTCCAGCCGATAGTCCTCAATAGCTTTCTCGGTGCGGGTTAGTTTAGCACTAGATGCGTAGCAGAGTGAGGAACATCCCGGCAAAGAAGTGAACGAGACTCACGTATACCAGTCAATGGCATCGCGCTTTTTACCACCCATACCGAGAAACCCTCCAATGCGAATTGTTGGACGCTCCTTTGCAATCTTTCCGCCCTTGAGATATGTAACAAGGACCTGTTCGAGCTCGCGGACAGCCTCGTTGTGGTATTCGATGAGCTCCGGTAGTCTTCCGACCCTACGGCCGATGTGCACAGCCGATGTGGGGTAAGGAACCTGTACACTTTCGAAGATGGCGCGGATGCCCTCGTCGCTTTGGTACTTCCTCGGCACATGCATGACAGCAAGTGTGCGGGCATAGAAGCTCTGGATATACTCGGGTGAACGGAACCAAGCTTGGCGCAACTTGAGCATTTGCTTCCAGTTGGACCAGATGAAGTACATGACGATAGCAGTGATGCCATACGTGACAGCAACATGAGCGAAGAGGGAAGGGCCTTCAACGTCACGTATGGTGAGGACAGATAAGATGTCGCGCTGGTCTTCGGATACGTATTTGAGGTTGTATGATATATCGACAGGAATGAGGACAGCGCAGCAGAGGAGAGCAATGGCCGAGAACATCGTGCGGATCATTCGCACGAACCGAAGGTAGGCGACCGCATCGAGACCAATCTTGTCAACAAGCTCCCGCTCGCGGGTCCTAATGAGTGGGGGCAACCAGCCAAATAACGAGTCGGAAATCTTTGGTGGCTGCTTTTCGCCAACATGATACTTGACCTTGGGTTCGTAAATGACCTAAGAATTTACCTTTAGGTGATGAAGCTTCAAATGAGGGAATGAGGCGAAACAAACCTTGTTACTAGGCCTCAGGAAGTTAAAAACGACGATGGTAACGACCTAAATTCACGATGAACGGCTCGTCTATTGATGTAGGTATTCAGAAACATACCGAGATAACTGACATCAGCGCAACCTGAGAGGCAACGGAAGCGGGCGCCAGCGTCCGATTTGTGTTGGAATTGATAATTTGGCTGATATTGGGTGCCGAAGCGGAGCTAGTGGAAGACATGTTGAAGGAAGGAAGCCCGAGGGCTCAGATTACGCGGGGGAGGGGTGGGTTGTATGTGGGTTGTGAACTGGAGTGGTCGCTCGCCGGGGGACGAGGTGAGGGGCAAAGGAAGGAACAGACGGGCTCAAGGGACGAGGCGGTCTGGATGAGTTACCGTGGGGACAGAACTCTTGAGGCACAGGTTATTGTTCCCAAATGGACGGAGCCAGACAAAACGACACAAAACACTCTGTCTCTGGTCGCGTCTTCTGTTGTCTTTCGTGCCGGTGCCTCGAAGATCGTGTCGAACAAAGAACGAGCGGATCCAAAGGCAGACGGGAGCGCGCAGCACGACGTCTGTCCCCACCTGTACTGTCCCCACCCGGTCTAGAATTACCCACACCTGCCTTTCTCGGCCATCCCTCGGGTCCCACACCGACGTCTCGATCTACGCGGCTTGCCTTTCGGCAACAAATTAAAAACCATAACTTCAGTATTAACGAGATTCCCGCTACCTTAGGTAGTGGGTCTTACAGCAACTTCGTGTTACCGAGACTCCCGCCAAATTTTTGCTCCTGTGGGGTCACGTGATATTCACAGCTCCGACTAATCTATTACCATTTCGAGAAAAATTAAAGCTCCGCTACAACGCCAGTAGGCGTACTCAACGTTCAAGGTAAGATCGACGGTCAATGTTCACGCCTACTCCCACTCCTTCAAACGGGGACTCAGGTCCCTGCACTCTTTCCTATCAGTCGATACCCGTTAATATTCATTTGCCTATCCATCCGGACCACGATTTTTTGCCTGTTCATGCGGACCATGGACTTTTGCCTGCCCGAGCGGACGTTAGCTAGTAGTCAATGTGGCCCACCCTACGATATACCAGTAGATACTACTATACGTTCTGTTGGGTTGACTCATGATAATGTGACACATAACAATAAGGACCTCGTAGAACTTAGTTCCAATGACATAGCCACCAACATTTGTCAACTCCTTTTTGGATCCACCAGTGTATTTAATTGTGAATTTGCAGTTGTCAGCAATGCATTCATGAGCATCAGCTCATCTTCCGGGAAGGGTAAGCATAAGGCTGATGATATTATGCATTCCCCTTCCCCTTCCCCTATCAAGAAGAAGACCTCTGTTACAACTCGTTCATCTGCTGCTAACTAGTCGTATACTCCTTTGTTAGAATAACGTTATTACCCCTGCCTAAATACGATATGATGGTGTTTCCCGCATGTTTTTGGACACGACTTGAAATATTTGGGGTAACACCGTACGGTAGCGGGCTTTTGCTGCTGCGCGGCCTTACCTCATCTAGGAAGTTGTCTCAAAGTCCGTAGCGAGCGCGCGCAGGCATAAGTATCTACAAGCTTATGATCACCATACATGCCGCGAACTTCTTCCGATGTCCTCTTGCACTCGCCTTCATGCCTCCAATAGCACGCGCTTGTCCGGCCCACTGTCGGCGTCCTGACATTCCCGATTAGCGTCAGATATTCGTCAAGCGAGTATAGTTAGGCTTACCTCTTGATGATTTATGTTCGAGAGTTCAATGTTGGCTTCAACTGTGTCATGCATTTCAATCATGTTCGGCCTATCGCGGTGCCCGCTCGCGTTCACACCCGCCGCATCCCAAGGTTGTTCGTAATGTAAGGAATGTGTACCGGAACGCGATCGCAACCCGCTACCGGGTGGTGCCGCTTCCGGCCACATGGCAACGCTTTGGGACTTGTCCACATTGCTCGTGAGTATGAGGCGTGAATTGAGAGTTGCCACCACACAATTTGCGTATCTATAAGCGGGCCATTGGACAATGATGTCAGCATGGGCGGCGTGATGCCAGCATGAAACCACCACGCGGGACGCTGGGAGTGGATGGTAAAACGGTCATGCTTACAATTTTGATACTACAAAGAACCTAAGGAGAAGGCCGCCGGCGAAATCAGACAAATAGCCATGGAACAAATGGTCGAATCCGATCTACCCACATTGCAAGGTGATACATCGTAACTCTCCATCGGATGGCCAAAACTAGCTCGATAACCGCTCCTGTCGTTGTCACGAGCCCGGTTTCAATGCTCATTTTGATCAACTTCACTGAGAGCGAGCGTGTGTTACGAAAGACCTGCATCGTGCGCCCTTGGAGTAGCTGAAACTGCCCTTAGAAGCGAACTAGGGTTGTAACTGATAGTAACGTACAATGATAGTCATGTATATTGTGATCACAAGATCACAAACCAAACATCCAGCGAGCCATATCTATCGTTTGTCAGAGGGACAATGCATAAGGCATTGCAATTGACCGCACCGGTATGTAGAATGGTATAGGATCAGGAGCAGTCATATCTGGTATGAGACCGAACTATCATTAAAAGCGAGCAATTAGCATAAATCCCTTTGAAAGATCGTGTGTCAAGCCGCACCTTGATGCCACCATACGAGACCATAGCCGCTTGTAGCAGTGAAACACACATGACGAACATTGGTATAATCGGGTTCCGCCGTACGGCATATATCCTCCAGCAAAAGAAGCCATGTGATAGTAGTGATACTATCACCTTTTCATTAGCTTTTTATGTCCAGTAGTTTATACATCATATATACTTACCGATGCCGGTGAGAGGAGCCAGAGCAGCGAACGACCATAGCGGATCAGGATCTAGCCACTGACCACCTGTTCCGTGACCAACAATCGAGGCCAAGCTCGACCCGTGGATGATTCCTGTCCAGAACCCATGGAAGGCAAATGTTGAAATGAGTAATTCGAGTAACAGGATGAAGGTCACTGTGGGTGTGCATTGTGTAAATGTTAAAACGTAGGGAAAGAAGGAACGCAAAAGAAGAGATGAGGTACCCAGAGCTTTCATCCATGATCGATCGTTTGGAAAACGGGTGAAATATATGACTGTAGAAGGTCAGACCGGGGCAACATACAAGAGAAAAGAGCGTACATGTTTGCACCGAAAGGATACCCATCAGCCCAAAGCACATAGAATACCCGAATACCTTTGTAGGTCCAGGCATCTGTTTAGTTACGTACACAGCATTGCTACGTTTAATAGTCTCACAAATGGGCCCTCACTACAATGGCACGTCGCTGACATCAGCCTCCTCAATGTACGAGCAGTAGTATAACACTCACTCTATCGTCACTCCATCTGACGACCTGCATAAGCCGCGCCATCAGCGTCCCCAGGATCAACAAGTAAAGCAAAACGTAAGAATAACGCACAACTGATCACGTCTCCCGAGATTGAGGAGGTTCATCACTAGAATATCCGCTTTCGCTTGAACGGGTCAGAAAGGTAGCGGTTGGTTCCAGAAACCGGAAGCAGGCAGCCCCGAGCTGGGCTTGCAATTGCGCTCTCTTATAGCCCATAGCCCTCTGGGAGTCAGCGACTCACGTCTGCCCGTCTGTGATGAATGCTGTGGACGGAAAAGAGCTCTGAACAACCATGAATCCCAGGCGTATGCATGGATTCCGATGATGGGGTTTCGATGGGCGGAGTGACAATGCTCGAGGCGAGATTGGACTATCCCGATGTCTCAAAGTCTATGTGTAGCGCCTGTAGTGTATATAGGGTGGCTCATGAATGTCATCTAATAGTGCGTGTCGCTGGTTCCGTTCTACTTGCCGATTCATTGCTGCATAAAAAGTTTAAGGTCAAGCAACCTTGCTAGCGGTCGGGGCGAGCATGTACGCAGCTCGCTCAGCAGCCTGCAGTGGATGCAGAACTGAAGAACACAGGAGATCAGACCGGTGACCATCAGTGACCATCCCGGTGTATAAACAAGAAGCATGTACTCACGGTGGATACTACGTGCAGCCAATTAGTGTCCAAGCCTGACGAAGAGCCGGATTGTAGATGGCCCTTGAGCACAGGACACTGGGACTAGAGCACCGGTGAGTCATGTCAGACATACTTGGCGTAAAACCGAGAGCTTCCGGGTGAACTTGATACTTCTTGGTGATTCGAAGTTCTAGTAGTACTAGGCTTCACCGGCACACCATTGAAGCCACAAAAAATTAGAGGCTTGAAACTTGAAGCTTGAAGCTTGAAGCTTGAAGCCTGAAGCCGGATCCACGCCATACAAAATGACAACGTCCATATCGGCGTCGTCGGAGATCTGTCCGGTGCTGTCCGGTGGCATCTTGGCATGGGAGACTATGGGAGACTGGTTAAGTACGAGTCCAGCAGCACGACGTCTGTCACCACCAAGAGTTACCCTGCCTTTCTCGAGCATCTCTCGGGGTCCTCGACGCTATCTACGCGACTTGCTCGTCGGCAACAAATTTTAAACCAGTTATAACTCCAATATGAACAAGAGGAAGCTGTTTTCTAAAAGTCCATATAGCCAGTGCGCGTGCTAGGGCATAAGTATAGTGTAGTATATACACATCACCAGATATACAGTACCGTGAACTTCCTTCGAATTCGATGTCTTCTTGCGCTCCGCCAGTCGCCATATGCCTTCATGCCTCCAATAGCACGCGCTTGTCCGGCCCACTGTCGGCGTCCTGACAATATTCCCGATTAGCGTCAGATATTCGTCAAGCGAGTATAGTTAGGCTTACCTCTTGATGATTTATGTTCGAGAGTTCAATGTTGGCTTCGACTGTGTTATGCATTTCAATCATGTTCGGCCTATCGCGGTGCCCGCTCGCGTTCACACCCGCCGCATCCCATGGTTGTTCGTAATGTAAGGAATGTGTGCCAGAACGCGACCGCGACCCACTGCCGGACGGTGCCGCTTCTGGCCACATGGCGACGCTTTGGGACTTGTCCACGTTGCTCGTGAGTATGAGGCGTGAGTTGAGAGTTGCTACCACGCAGTTTGCGTAACTACAAGCGGTACATTGCAAAGCATCAGTGTGATGCCAACATGATACTGCCACACGGGGCGCTGCGTGCCGACCGTAGAAAGGATATGCTTACAGCTTTGATATCACGAAGAACCTAAAGTGATGAGGTGGAGGCCGCCGCCGGAGAGAGATCAGACAAACATCCATATAAGCAATCGCCACTAACGTCACTCACATCGCGAGGTGGTACATAGTAACTTTCCACCGGATTGCCAAAATTAATTCGATAACAGCCCCCGTCGTCGTTACAAGCCCTGTCTCGATACTCAACTTGATCAACTTTGATGAAAGCGAGCGAGTATTTCGGAAGACCTGCATCGCACGCCCTTGGAGTAGCTGATATTGTCTTTTAGAGACGCATCCACTTAGTAGGTAAGTGTGACGCACACTAATAGTCATGTATATTGTGATCGTCAGATCGCATACTAAACTTCCAGAGAGCCATATCTGTCGCTGGTCACAAAAGGATTGCAAAAGGCATAGTAACGGCCCGCACCGGCAAGTAGAATGGCATGGGGTTAGAAGCCTTCATATCTGGCACAAGGCCAAACTGCCATTCAACAATTAATATGTTCCATCTGGTTAAAGCACTGTGTATTGAGCCCCACCTTGATACCACCATACGAGACCATTGCTGCTTGTAGCAATGAAACGCATATGACAAGCGTTGGTACGACCGGGTTTTGCCGCACGACATATATCCTCCAACAGAAGAAACCATGTGACAATAGTGATACTTGTGCTCTCTCGTTAACCTTGGCGCATTCGTAAAAGTAGCAGTAAGAATGGCTTACCAACTCCGGTGAGAGGAGCGATTGCAGCGAACGACCACAGTGGATCAGGGTCGAGCCACTGGCCGCCTGTTCCTTGACCAACAATCGCGGATAAGTCCGACCCATGGGTTGTCACCCCTGTCCAAAACCCGTGGAAGGCGAATATCGTGATGAGCGATTCGAGTAGTAGGATGACAGTAACTATGAATAAGAATTCGCACAGGTCAGGACATACCAGGAAGGGTAAAGGAGAACAACATAAATAAAAAAAGATCAATTACCAAGGCTTTTCATCCACAGTCGGTCGTTCGGAAAACGAGTAAAATATATGACTGCGGCAGATTAGACCAAAATATCCAAAGAAAAAAATGCGAGCTATTTGAACACACATGTTTGTACTGAGAGGACGCCCATCAGCCCAAAGCACATGGAGTATCCAAACACCTATATAGGCCCAGACGTCCGCTCAGCGACGCACGTAGTTTGGCTAAGAAAACAGCCTCACAAACGGGCCCTCGCTAAAAGCACACGTCGCTACCTTCAGCCTCCTTCTCTCTGGACGGACAGCAAGTACGACACTCACTCCATCGTATCTGACGACCTGCACCAGTCGGCCCATCAACATCCTTGAGATTAAAGCAAAACATAGGAACAACGCACGGCTGATCATCACGTTTCCCAACGTTAAAGGGGCTCATCACTAAAACGTTTCCTTCCGCTTAAGAGGGGGTGTCGGAAAGCTAGAGGCCGGATATACAAACCGGAACTAAGCAGGCAGTCCCAAGACGGACCTGCAATTCCGCTCTCTTATAGTCCAAAGCCCTCCAGGAGGCAGAGACTCACGTCGACTCATCTCTGATGAATGCTGTGGACAGAGAGGGCCTCGGAATAGACATGAATCCCAGGTATACGCTCCGATCATGGCAATTCAATGGGAGCGGGATAACACTACCGATACCAGTTGATTCGGTCGTCCCGCTGTCCAAGAGTTTATGTCTAGCGCCTGTAGTATGTGTGAGGTGGTCTATGCATACCCTCAAAGATGTCCTTGATGCCGTCCTTGTCTCGCCTGTTGACCTTGAAACGCTGTACAACGAGCGAAGGTCAAACATTATTTTTTTTTTCAAAAAATAATTTGATACTTAAAAACTCCTGCAATGACAAAGAGTATGGAGGGTCCGCTCGGAACCCTATTGGGTGACGACAAAAAAGGAGGTCAGGGCAGTGATCATCAGTGACATTTTACGCGCAGGAGACAACTCACACTGGATACACTTATGATTGGTGTCTAAACCTGGCGAAGAGACAGATACACACACCGTCCTCCCACAGCACAGGATGGTTGCAGAATAACCTGGGACCAAACACCGGTCAGTCATGTCAGACGAATCCGCCTTAAAACGAGAGTTCTCGAGTGGAGTACCCACTGGCGATTCACAGTTCTGATAACACTCAACTATGACAAGGTATTGGAGGCTTGAAACTAAAGCCACGCCATAAAAGGGTCGTATGCTGAAGTACCATGCGCCGGGATAATGTCTTCATCGGCGTCGTTGTAGATCAACCCGGTCATATCTCGGATCCCCTGTTAGAATGATCTTACACATGAAAGGGAGCGTTGGTATTGATCATGAGAGTGTCATGGAGCGCCGGATGGTTTGGTGCATGAGCATGATCTTATTTCAGTTCCGCGCTATTAAAAATAAATACAAGTCGGTCAAGGCGAAGTAGTGCCAAATGGCTTCACTTGGGGACATGCTGATATGGAAGATACCAACCGTACAGGGCCTTAAGTCAATTGCCCTCCATAAGTCCTCGCACCGCACGCACGATTACACCGACGGCCTCGCGCACTGGGTCTTGATCGGCTTCAACTACCTGACGCAGAACGCGCCCCTCGAACTTGTCAGGGTGAAACCTCAGCATCGCGTCGCGCAGCGCGTCCTTGCGGCTCCTGTCGCGCTCCTGAGGTGAGGTGGATTCATCGTCGAGTTGGGGTAGAATGAAAGCCGCGATGGCACTCGGTGTGAGATGCTCCATAGTGATCGGAACAGGTTCCTCCTTGGACTTGGAGGACGGAAACGAGGGAAAGATGGGCCACGGGACGTCCGAAAATGAGAGGAGCTTTGCCGGTTCTGCCTGGTCCTTATGCAATAAACGAGCCCAACAACGCTCGTATTCCTCCCTATGTGCGTGCTCTTGCTGAAGTCTTCGATGCGACTTTTTCCGTTTACGTTTTTCTGCCTCGGCTCGCAGTAGACGGTTGGTCTCGGCTTGTGCCTCGCGTTCACGTTTGAGCTTCTCCGCACGAGCAGAATCTTGGCGCTTCTGCTCCTCGAATTCCTTCGCATGTTTCTTCCTATAGGTGGAGTGGCGGGCAGTTAGCTGCATGAACTTCAAAGCGAGTGGACTGAATACGTACCTCCACATGCCTTCTCTCATCCACTCTGCATATTCTTCGTCGTCCATCGTACGCGGGTCGCTACCCATGCTTCCCCCAGGACCATCTTCCATATCCCTGTCGCGCCACCTGTATGGGATATGCGCGTATGAGTTCATGTGCTCGTCCCGCAGGTGCAGCTGCTCGTCATCCTCAAACGCAAGGGACATCTTCTCCCGGAAGCGTTGCTCTTCGATCTCGGCACGGACCGCATCCTCGTCTATCTTGTATGAGGAAGGTGGCGGTGGTGGACCGTAGGTGTCATCGTCATCGAAGCCGAAAGCAAAGCCATTAGATTGTGGATAATCCTGGGACTGTCTAGGCGGGGAAGTAGAGAGCGCTTCGCGTCTCCGTCTTGAAGCCTTTTCTTTCTTGGCTCGCTTACGAGCTTTGCGAGCTGCTCGCTCAGCCTCCTCGACAGGCGTGCGCTTGAGGTGGAGTTTGCCCATGATAGAGGTGACTGTCTGCTACAGTGTTGTGTTGGTGCAGTATGCCGGACGAATCAGCGCTGGAAAGGACGATGTCAGGATTAAGCATCCTGACTTGGACTTCTACTAGTACATACGTCGTGCGTGGAGACAAGCGACCCGTCTCTCCTTCGTGAATATCTCGGACCGTGTGAACATCGGAAAGCCGCAGTCCGACTTCCGAGTGTTGGCATCCGACATGTCAGATAAAAATAAGCTCTATCTTACTTCAGAGTCACCACTTTCGCCAAAACATGACGTTGCACGATCCTTCTACCTGGTCAAGTACCATCTCTGCGGAGACTATGCTTCATTATGATGTAGGACGCAATCTCTGCAGATAAGAACTTCAGCCTCCCCCAGATTCCGAGGCAACCACTTCCCCCCACCACTTCAAGAGATACTATGTCTACAACAACCGCTAGGCGCCGAAGCGCTCCCGAGAACACTGGATCCAGCACTCAGTCTCTGACATCCCGCCAGGAGCCTACCTCTGTTCGTGACGGCCAAAGTTCGCTCGGCTTCAAAGGGGACATCCCACCTCAGCGACATGCTGGCAAGCTCGATGGCCCTGGACCTGAGTCTAAGAAGGGCATTGTAAGTTTTATCGTTGTACATCATGTCTACCCATGAATGCTGTGGCTGATGAAGTCTTTATACAGGACTTTGGTGACAAGTTTGCTGGCTTCCAGGAGGAAATCAAGGGCAAGCTTCTTCGCAAGCCTGACGTCGCTAAGCATGGTCACGACATGCGCACCGGCGAGCTAAAGCGCCGCGAACAGGAGGAAGCACTCGTGAGTTTTTTTGCTCCATGCCTTTAGTCCCTTCAGACGCCACTGGCTAACCATCTTGGTAGAACGTTGATCCATATAGCCCTGCTTCAAACGACATCGGAGGGGGTAGTGGGCCCAACGCAGGCCACGGTGCCCCGGCGGCCGACGAGCACCCGCAAGCGCGCCCGAATTCTTCCAATTTTCTGAGCGGAGATCATCAGATGCAGCGGGCAGCAACAATTTCGCCGCAGGGCTCAGAGTCCGCTGAATTCCAGCGACAAGGCGGCAATGTTGAACGTGCCAAGATGATTGGATGAGCGGGTTAACCGTTGCGACACTATCATACACATTGGACCCTTGATGGGCCCGGTCGCGCACTACGGATCCACTGCAGTGATATGTATGTCAAATTAAGACGCGGTTTGCGTTGTTGTACACACTCGGTTGTACAGTAAGGAATATGCCCATGCCTTAATTTAAAATGCATGATTCTCGAGATATCGACGAGTTTTGCGGCCTGCAGTTTATTCCGTAAAGCTGAGAAGTGATCCGTAGCCCTAGTCAAGTTCACGTACAGGGTCATACTGGTCATAGTTAGAAATTAGAATGGGTTAGGATATCATCGAGGTTCGAATTTTGCAGAGCCACCACATATTCCCACACTCTTAGTCCATGACCACAACTGCCCACACCCTCGATGCATATGTGAACTCGTCGTCCTCGCAGAAGTACACGCCTCTTGCAGAATCTCAGGAAATACGCGACCGTGGCTCAATATTCTCTGCTACGATCTTTCGCGCGCAGTCACCCACAGAAGCGCGTAACGCGATCGCGCATCTCAAGCGCTTCATACATGCCGAACGTCCTGCGTACGAGATTGCTGCGTGGCGTTGCATGATCCTTAAGTCAGGCAAGAATGGGCTAGGTGGACCTGATGACTTTGAGCTTGCAGAAGGATACGATGATGGAGGCGAGAAAGGCGCAGGGATACGCGTGCTCAGCACGATGAGGCGTGAGGGTATCGTGGATAATGTTGTCATCGTCAGCAGATGGTAAGTAAATGATACTATCTCAGTCCTCCTGTCTTAGAGGAGCCTCCTTACACTATCCAACTAGGTTCGGGGGCACCATGCTGGGTCCAGTGCGGTTTTCGCACATAGAAATATGTGCTGGCGAAGTATGCAAGCGACTACGGAAAACCGAGGAAATGGAGGAGTGCCTCTCAACTCTTCGTACGCTTGATGACCTACTCGCGGACCTCAGGGAAGAGTTTGCGAAAATGACGGAGCCCACCCCCAAGCCAATCGACACCTCCGATGCAGCGCAGGAGTCGTTAGCACCGAAGCAGCCCAAGGCCGCTCTTAGAACCAAGAAGCCCGACTATTCGTCTCTGGAAAGCACTATGGATCTTGCCCGCGCACGCAGACTAGTGACTGCCAGGGAGGGGGCAATTAAGAGCGTCAAGACCATGATTGAGAAGAAGAGGAAGGAAGGAAGTCATGCAGACATGCGCAACTCCACTATCAATTAGGCTCAGTTACACGCGTGGTTCAATGGTACAGATGGCCTCTACACACCGTCAGACTAAGGCAAGCGACGCTTTTATCTTCGCCTCATAATTGTTTGCTGATGGTGTGCGAACCAATGGTGTCGGTGCAGATTTTTGACCGATATCCAGACTTCAAATACCCACAGGCCTTTCGCAACATGGAATACACTTCAAGTAGCGAGGTGATGTTGCAGAATAGGTATGATTACCTCTATTGGTTGTCTAAGTACGTGTGACTCACCCGGCTTGGTCATAGGACCATCAGCTGTACTCGATCTAAGACAACGAACAGGACTTACGCGCGCCCGTACATGCGCACGTCGAGGATACCTTCTTCGGGCCCGGATCCGAGTCGGCGCCTTACCGAGGGGGTCTGACCTCACATCACCGAAAATCTAACAACCGTCTCTTCGTTAACGGAAACGTGAAACCCTGTGGCTCTGCTCCGCAATATATTGAGTCGAATGATCGGGGATATGCAATAATCCGTATCTCTGTAGAAGGGTTTCGTCTTCGAGTTGGGGCTTGTCATACAATGGGGACAACAGGCAGGCATTTGGCATTGAAATATTGAAGTAGGGTTCGCTAATACTCCATGTGATGATGCCCCATGCCCTCTGATCATGAATTAACATGTCTGTAGATTCGTGACACTTATTGTTGTCCGCTTTGACACAAGTGAGGTCAGGGACGTACTGGTAGTTTAAAGGGTTGGGAGTGTCGACGATGTCAACCCAGAAGGACCATCCAATGTATGCGTAAATAGGTGCAGTGCGATCTATGTATTAATCGTGTAAATTATCATTTATGACTCTATGGGGAGAGCAGACCCAATGGCAAAGAACAGAGCAACCGAGAGGTTACCAAAAGCCTCTGATGAAACCAAACACCTTGTCCTTCGCCGATGCAGGCATCTCCTCTTCTTTGGCTTTCCGCTGTTGCACCCTCGAACTTGCAACATTCCTACGGTCCACCGAACGCACCGCTGCATCCCAAACCTGATCCGACTCGCGGGTATCCTGCTGCCCTAATGTCGCACCTGGAGTATATCCAGAACTAGACGTCCTAGTGAGCGAGAAGCCCGAGTGGGGACCGTCTTCATCGATAAAGCCAGCGTTGGCTGCCTGCTCAGCCTGGAGGCGTGCGCTAGCCCTGACTCCCTCGAGCAAACGCTCTCGCTGGGAGCTCTTGGATGCCTTTGATTTCTTTGGTTTAGCAATCGGTTGCGACCCCTCGACCTGGGCGCCGGCCTCCCATGTCTGCCTGGCATCGTTGGAAAGCGGGGTATCCGAGAGGGATATAGGCTCTGAAGGGGAAGAACTCGCCGGATCCGGAATAGGCGTCCATTCGGCTTCACTTATACCAGCGGCATCTTTGGTAGTTGCCTCGACGGTCTCGGGTGATGACGTTGGTTCAACAGGAACGGGAGGAGGGAAGGACGGATCCGGCCGGCCGAGATCTTTTGCCCATCGAGAGAGCGCTTGGCGCATAAATTCGCGGTCAGCGTTCGGCGGTTGAGGGACGTTAGCACCACTTTCGGTGTAAGGAGAAGAAGCGTTAAGGGGAGTAAGCTGCGCAAAGCCACCCCAGTTATAAAAGGCTTGACCAAAAGCCTTGTACGATGTCTGGCTATATGTCTTCGGTGCATTTGAGTGGAAGGGATGCTCACGAGCTTCCCAAAGGCGCACACGTTAAGTAGGAACCGAAGCATATACCAAAGTATAAACATACCAGTCGGCTCAATAACCACATCGAGTTCGTGAACCCTCTCAGTTCTCTCGGACGACGCTATATTTGATGTCTGCATGTTTTGAGGTTCCAACAAGTCCTTGAGTTGTTCAAGTCCAACTCCAGGTCCGGTCACATCCTCCGGAGCAGAAAGGGGCACCTTGAGAGATACCCGCCCTCCAGTCACCTTGACGCGGTCCATTGACTCTTGGGAGAGAAACTCGGCGAATATAGCAGATTGATACGCCGTCGGTTGTTCTGAATCCTGATGCAAGACAAACGGTTTAAAATCATATGAATGACAACAGAGAGTAGGCATACTCGGAGGAACTGGTATTCCCGCAATGGGCCAAACTTTCGCTCAATGGCGCGAATGACGGAGAACGCGTCGGCCATGTTCATTTCGTGCATGCGCCCCGAGGCACGAATGTAAATAGTAGGGCGGCGCCTGCGATCCACCGGTCTCGGTTTTGCTGGGCGTGTTTCGGCTTCTGCTACGCGGGGTGGAACATCTCCTGGAGCAGCCTCTGAGGTGTCTACAGCTGCGTATGCGCGACGCTGTGAAGCATATGCAAGACGGCGAGTCGCCTGTCTGCGCGTTGCGGGGAGCATTGAGAGAGAACGAGAGCGAGACCCAGTAGACGCGACTGTGCCCGGAACGTCTGGAGAAATTGCGATTTATTTTCCTTTTTCGTAAATTCACGAATATCATCTTTTCGAACTCCGCCAGCTTTAAATTTGCTCTTCTGCTGGCTTGGAGGATGTCGTCCTCTTCTACTCCTTCCAACGCGTCCTCCAGCAGATTTGCACCATATCGCAATGCGCTCAAAGCATTGTCAGCGCGTACTGGCACTCCCCTACCTTCTCTCATAGTTTCCTTTGGAATTCTACATGAAGTCACTGCTATCCTTCCGATTATCGGCATATTCTATGGTGCTCGCTCCCTTGGCGTTGGCGAGCACATCGTCGACACGATAGCCGTAGCATCTGCGAAAGCAGATGTTAACCAAGTCAAGAAGAATTGGTTTCTCAGTCAAATGCACGAATGGATGGACGAGGGCGAACAATGGACATATCGTGTTGGTCGCCGATACGGCCTATTTGGCTTCGAACAGCGTCCACATGGCGAGCCTGCTACTCCGCTAGATGACGCGACACGAGCAGAGATGAAAGGTCGACTCGCTGGCGATGTTGCGAATGCCGTATTCGCCTATGGTGCTACTAAGGTACAGTCTTCCCTACTCCTTTTAATAACATCAAGACTAATCGCTAAGCCATCCAATAGGCACTCTTACCTGCCCGCATCGGACTATCTCTCTGGTTTGCACCCACCTTCTCGAGGCATGTTCTCGATCCGGTTAGATACGGTCTCGTGAGGGTGCTGCGTAGACCCAAGTAGCCTTCTCAACCCACATGTATAAGTTCTATCTAGGTGAGCATTTCTTTTGATTTTTTCCATGATGATTTCGCTTGCCGCCCCAGTCGTAGCCAGTTGGCGTTGACGAAGGGCAGAGCATACAGCCAAATTTTTGCACCTCTGATCTTTTCAATATACACGCTTCGTTCAGCCAGAGCTAACTTCTCATCTCAGGTTGTTTGACGCTTCCGACTGACTATAAGGAGGCGCTGTGATATCACGTAGGGCTTCCGTTCCCCCACGTACCGTATACTTTATATTGCCAATGATCAGCATCATCTACCATTGTCACAATATTCCCTTGAACATCGTTATCGACCCCCATGCAAACCATCTTAGACATGCTATTGTAGGCCATTCGCCGATTGGAAACAACAAGCTCAAAGCAGCTAGGGCATCATCAGTGCGAGTAACGTACAGAATTCACAAGAAGGGTCTTTGGGAGTCTCGGTTTACGTCAGGCCCTAGTCAGGAACCTCTTTCACTGACTCCTGATAGGCTTTTGTTCTTCCCTTCTGCCTTTTGCCATTCTTATTGCCGCCCACCAACATGTCATTTCACTTTTGCCTCTATTCCGTCAAGTTTGCTTCCTTACGTCACTATGCCTCCCGTTGGATCTGACTGCATGAGGCATCTTCGCCCCCGTTTCTAAGAAAGCAATGTAGACATTGAGTCTCGTTCGCAGATCGCTACGGTTCCTAGATCCCCTAGATCCTCGTCCCCCGAAGAGACCAGTTGGCGAAGGACGCGGGTTCCATAGGGCAATGCCGTCGCGATCGCGGCGGTTGGTAGTTGGGATTCCTCACTCCAATATTTCAACCTCTGATGGGGAGATTTTTTTAGCTCTCTAACCGAGTCCATTAAGAATTGAACCCTAGGTGAACCATGCGAAAATCACAGCTTGTCTGAGGACCGTTATTGATATTGAGCTCGCCGGGTATATGATTGTACGAAAACAAATCTGTTGTAGAGAAGAACCATCGATGCTGTACTCAGAGCACTGCATAGCCGTAAACGCTACAGATAGATCAGGAGGAGCGCATGGTCAGATTTGCATCTTCGAACTCCGAGTGACTTCTTCCCTGGATACAACACAGGTGTGTCTTTGCCCTCGGTGTAGCTCGGTGTGCGTCGGTGCCGAGCTCATGTGTTTTCTCTTAAACTTTACGAAGAGCAGCTATCCCACACGTATCCCGATTTTCCCGGGCGGCGGGCCCGGACATAGGGTAAACCTGATCACGAAGGTCTGGCTCTCACTGCACCGCTTGCCAGTGCTTTGCCGCGCACTATGTAAGTACTTACTCGTCAAACCTATCATTCATCAACTGGTCGAGCAAACTCCCAGTGCATTGCCGCCGTCGAGTTGCACAGCCTTGAGGGAGCGACCACTGGCAAGACAAAAACCCAACATGCCTCCCAACGCATTACGGGCTCATAAATTATCTAGCCAGCTGAATTCTCGTATACCATGTTGACAAAGGGTGTGAAAGAACGACCGACCGTGACTATGTCATATATGAGCTAATTTAGTATAGAACACACGCTGCAGGAGAGAGTAGGCGACATGTTCGAAGCTCCAGTATACGGATGCACCCGACGTTCGTACTTTAGGAAGTCTGGTTGACCGGAAAACAGCAAGATACTCAGGCTATAGTTCGTCAATATTAATTGGTCTCCGGCTTTACTTTCAGACTCGGAGGTTTCGGGATATCTAGGAAATCGCCGTATTGAAACGAGGCACAATCCCTTGCAAAGACAGCGCCGCTCGTTCTGATTCATAGGGCTCCCGCTGCACTCCGATCGAAGCACCAGAGCGGTACTTGCCGGCTACTTCTACTGTATATCGCATGCTGCGGCTTATGCACCAACTGTGCAGCACACGCACTCGATAAGTAGGAATCTAGGGTACAGGTGTTACGCCTCGAGTGGACTGATAGCTTGAATTATTACCATGCTAGTCATTATGTCAGTACGATATTCTATAGAGCGGTCTATGGATCTACTAGGGAAAGATATGAAAATACGGGAAATAAACTATAAGCGTAGATATCATCCAGACATGCAAGAAATCAGAAGATTAGCCCAGTTCTAAGATAGCAACAGTGGAAAGCGAAAACATGAAGCGAGATCTATGGTTTAGAGACGCGTGTCTCCCCTTCGCACTCGGTCCCACCAGTCGCCTGGGCCCCGAGGGTCCGCGACGACGGCACGTCCTCTCCACTCCCGCGCCCACGCGCCGTACTTGCCCTGCACGACAAACACGCGCCGGTCGGTCTTGCAAAGCTCCTGTGCAGCCTGCCAAATTGAGCTTTCCACCACGTCCCTGTCGACCTGCACATTCCCGTCGAGATGCTTCCAAGCATCCGTCGCTACAGGGTGCTCGGCACCCATGGGTGCAGCTTCGCTTGCCGAGAAGATAACAACGACGAGCATGCGTACGTGGGAAGATTGCAGGATCTCGGATACTCCGGCAAGGAATAGCGCATCGTTGTATTCATTCGCGTTGGAACGACGGGGCAGTGCAACATGCGTAAGCTGAGGGAAGAGGCGCACAAGCGGAGCGGGATTGTGCCATGCGGCATAAGACTCCGAGACATAAGCGTAGGTGTCGAATTGTGATATGGGTTCGGCCACGCGTAGGTGGGTAATGCTGGCGAAGACCGGCGATGATGATGATGATAAGGTCGGCGCAGGTCTGGAAGGAGAAACAGGGCGAGAGGGGAGCGGTGTGGAGGGTTGAGAAGGTTGCCATTGGGGCAGTATGACACCACGTGCTGCTATCTGGCCAAGGTTCGCGAAGGTGCTGATAACAAGCTCGGAAGGCCTGATGGCAAGTGAGGACGATGGGACCTCGCGCGCGAACTCGGACCATCGGGCCGGCAGTGCGACGGTGCGTGCACCTCTGCAGGTGGAGACGATGTCGCGGATATCATGCATTGAGACGAAATGGTTTGCATCTTTATGCGAGGAATGTTCCAAGACCGTGATAGTAAGGAGAGAGTGAGTGGATAGGATGGGCATGGCGAGTCGCTTGACTGCCAATTCGAGGAACTCGAGCGTGACAGAGGTGTTAAGAGAGTTATGAGCTGCCTGTATCGTGCGCGCAAAGAGCAAAACGGCTCGCGTGTCGTGAAGTACGACAGAGCGGTAGAGAACGGTATTTGCAAGGGCATTGAGACGCCGGGAGGAGAGGGAAAGCGAATGGATGTCTCTGCCTCGGGACAGCGGCACGGAACGGTCGAGCTTGAGCCAGTCAACATCGGTCAACTTCTGCTCATCTGAAGTCCACACGACCTGCTCGATGACTTCAAGGAGGACGTCGTCCGGCAAAGTTTCGATAGATGAAATGGTTGGGAAGTCCGTGGTTACGGGGCTGGGTATAGCGCAGCGGGGCATGATGCTTTGTCTAGGTGTTCCAAGCGGAAGAAAAGGATGGGGATGCCTCTAAGATGGCCTCAACAGAATGAGAAGATTAAATGAGAGGAGATAGGGAGATGACTCGCAATTTCTAAGATGGATTGTCATCTATTGCGATGCAACGTGCCCTAGTCCATCCGGAATGCGCGGAGCGGAATATGTCGGAGAGCCTGATGATAGGGGAGTTAGAGGACGAAATTAGACATACCGGGTTGTTCCTGCTTATCCATCTGCCGCTCTCCTTACTAGGAATGAACAACGGTTCATCGATGATACATACATAGGGCTGGGTGCATCCGGTTCACCGACATGGAGAGCAACATGGTCGCGGAAAGAAAAGAAGTGTATGAGCCCCTGATGCATACACGATTCAAGAGACTCGGTCAAAGTAACATCGCATTTGGAGTTCTGAACGGCTTCTTGGGCCGCGGCGCCGGGAATGCGAACAAGCACAATGGTCATGAGCTGATCACACGGACCGGTCTTTGCTTTTACTCATCAACGACTTGAAGCGTTCCACTGCGATGTTTTGTAGTCAATCTCATCACAATCTATCATGCAGTGTTTGATCTGGGTTCACGGTGGGTTTTAGAGGAATCTCATCTGAATATAACAGACCATGCTGTCCATCAGAGTTCTAGACAATAGTGTCGTAAGTGTTGGTCTATGCTGCAATATCGAAAGCGATGATGGTAACAACCCTCGAATGGAAGGGTCACATAGGAAATGAGTGGCAAATAAAACATAGCAGCCGCGGATCGAACAGTTGATGGCCATGAGAGGCTATGTTATTTCTGATGGAGATGCCTCCGTAAGTGCGTTATGAACTTTGTTGAGTGAGATGACTTCTTGCGATGTCCGTGTGGCACGCATCTCAGGACTAAATTCAATGGACACAACCAATGTTCGCAGACCGACCAAGCATGCATATGGAGGGCGTGCATCAGCAGATTCGCCCGCGCTCGCGCCCCGGAACCGGTAGTAGGAATCGGGGAGGTGGTTGAGTTCCCGGTGCATACTGAGTGGCAGCGGCGTTGCTCGGAGAGCAACTCGGCAGTTGTACTCGGCTTGGGAGACCTTACGAGAAACCAGTTCCCTAAGCTATTATACAACATTGCGACAGATCTGCAACTCGTCGTTGTTTACGCCAGATCAGACCAATTGGCTCACACCTGTGAAATGAGCTTGTCGAAGCCAACAGAGGTCCTATATCAATGGTCAGGATTGTTTTGCATGAGCACGATGTCCTTGAGAGGACTTCGTGGTTTGCCCTACCCATCGTTCTTTCCACCCTCCTGATCACCTGGAAGAAAGTTCGCGTACCCACCAAGCTGACACAGCAGAAAGGCTCACCAACAAGTCCATAGACATTCTCGCCCGACTTCATGATGGCCTTGATTATGACGCAGAGACCCATCTTGCCGTCAGCTTCGGCCCGCTCAACGGTGACATTACCTTTCAGCGCCCGCGACAATCATCGCCGACCCGATGAAGGCACAAACAAAGATCGCTATACCCAACGTTGCCCTATGCATAGTCTCCACGTATCGCCCTATGCAGTCCGATAGAGCAAGAGACCTCGCGTGCCATCGGTGGTTGAGCCGTAGTTTGAAGCCGGCGATGTTAATGATTGGGGAGAGGTGCATAACCATTGACACACATCTTGCGGGGATCTCTTAATACTTTCACCTGCAGTGTGTGCTAATTACGTTATCTTGAAGCTAGAAAATGCAGATATCAATCGCATCAATGTCGATACGACGCGTTGACTAACGCATATGTGCTCGCTCGTACTCACCTTAGAATCATAGTAACATGATCGTGGCCAATAGTAAAGATGAAACGGATGATGTCGGTAATCAGTTCATGCAGTAATCACGAAGATAAGGTGCAAGAGTTGTGCAAGAGGGACCATCAAGGCTGTGTACGATGATGAATGGCCTGAAATGAAGTAACTCTGGAAAGCAGAAGAGTCGAAGAGGTAAACGTACCTCTGGAGTGGTGTGCCGAGGCACCTTGTAGTACTTCGTCCCACTTGTGCATGTGAAAGCATTGGGCCATCTTGAAGGCCAATTTGTGGATCTTTCTACTTTACCACCTTGTCAACAGTGACAAATCGAGGCTCGATCTCCAGCACCGGGAAAGTGCACAAAGCCTCGTCCTCGACAATGACACAGGTCAGATAGCTAGTTTCACGTTTGCGTCTCCGTCAGGAAGGCTCCCAGTCCAGCTATAGGCCACCACTTTAGCGAGCCTTTCAAAGTCACCCTGAGATAGGACCCAGTTGAATCCTTGGGGTTCTCTCGATTGTACTAGCACCAACGCTGCCGTCACGACATGTGCGAGAGGATTTCATACGCAGGGTGAGCCTGAATTGAAAGATTGATCTATAAGGCGTCCCAAGGCGAGCATGAGTGGGCTGAGGTCAAGGCTGGGGTAGTACTTCTAGCCAGGATCAGGTACAAGTGACACGAACGCGTCAATTCTGAATGCGGTCTCATGCACATGTTCCGCTCCGGTTCGGCTATTTCGGAACACTGACCCGGATCTTCACCCCCACATCCGCGGGTTGAAACGACATCGTCGACGTCTTCGTCTCTTTCACCACCCTCTGCACAAGGTCGACGCCTCCGTTTCTGCTGCTTGACTGAACGCTATCAACATGTACCCGAACAACATATTGCGGCGCGCTCTCCGGAACACCCGCCACCTGCAAACCTATAACCCCGCACGCGGTTTTGCGTCGTCTGTCCCAAGACAAGGTGAGAGGGCCACAGCTAGCTGCATTTAGACTGCTAACACTAGGTGATGTAGCCTCCGGGTATGTCAAGTATGATGCAGAGGTGCGCCAGCAGCGGCGAAACAACACATCTCATTGCTGATATCGAGGGACAGGATCCACTGAATCTCGACTCCTTGCTGTCTGAAGAGGAAATTGCCATCCGGTATGGTCTCTGTGTCTCAGAACAATCGCTACCATGGCTCATTGACGCGTTATTTAGAGACACGGCTAGAGAATATTGCCAAGCAAGCATCGAACCCTTGACGATCACTATGACCCCGCTGATGTAGCATTTCATTAGGAGAACCTTATGCCCCGCGTTCTTGATGGGTGGCGCACAGAACGTTAGTCTTGTCTCTTCACATCTCCATAGCGCCGGCGCTGCACCGACATCTGGAATTACATCAATCTTTCTCAATAACTAATATTCGATGTTGATGTTTGGCGCGCAGAGTTCAATCACGATATCCTCCCAGAAATGGGCAAGCTCGGACTTTTGGGCCCGACCATCAAGGGTTATGGCTGCGCGGGCGTAAACAACGTTGCGTACGGACTCATAGCTCGCGAGATTGAGAGGTGAGCAGCTCCTTCCGACGCCAATGCCCAATATACCCGTCCAGTCAGGCACACGCAGTTGTTGGATCCATAACTGCTACGGAGTTGCTAAAACATGTTCCGACATGACCTCGGAGGGCCCTCAAAGACGCACTAACTACCTTCTCTTGTCGTCGCTTAAGAGTTTATTAACGCTTTGACTGACAATTTGATTACTGTTCGCGCTCACAGGGTGGACTCGGGCTACCGCTCGACAGCGTCGGTGCAGTCTTCGCTCGTGATGCATCCCATCAACGAGTTCGGGTCGGAAGCTCAGAAAGAAAAGTATCTTCCGCGACTGGGTGCGCCTTGCCTCTCGGTTTTGCACCTGTGCCTTTCAACATTCAACTAATTGACACTTCCGCTGCGCTCGTGACCCTGGGACGACGTCACCAACTGACATACTGAACATTTTCCGCGACATGATGGTTAATGAACGGATGGTTGATGCGTATTTATCCTTGACACACACGTCTGCCAACGCCTGTCAATGCCCTGTTTTTTGGGGACGCCGCTCACGATTTGACACGGTGGTTTGTGTCCGCAGCTAAGGGGGAGATCATCGGCTGTTTCGTGAGTTGCAGTGCTTCTGCCATCACGTGGCTAAACTGACGCCCGAGGTTCGGAAACGCGAATGACACCACTCTCGCTCATTCCCAATGGCTTTGCGGCGAGACTAGGGTCTGACAGAGCCAAATCATGGATCGGATCCTGCGGGGATGGAGACGACTGCCGAGGAAACCGAGGGCGGTTTTGTGCTTAACGGCGCAAAGACCTGGATTTCAAACGCACCTGTCGCGTGAGTTCGTTCAAACAAATTTTCACTGACATTCCAAGTAAACTCATAAGCGACTTTACGACAGAGACATTTTCGTAGTATGGGCACGATGCAAGTGGGACAACAAAGTACGCGGTTTCATCCTTGAGAAGGTATGTGTCGACCATACGCAAATCTTCATGACCACGGGCAGGGGTAACATAGTGCTGCAGGGTATGAAGGGCCTGGAAGCGCCGGCGATTAAGAACAAGGTCGCATTGCGGGCTTCAGTCACTGGATCCATCTTCATGGATACCGTGAAGCTTACGCATGACGCCGTCCTGCCCAACGGATCGGGGCTGGGTGCAGCATTCTCGTGCCTGAACAGTGCTCGCTACGGCATCTCTTGGGGCACCATGGGCGCACTCGAAGACTGCATTGCGCGTACGCGCGACTATGGTTTGGAGCGCAAGCAGTTCAACCGGCCACTTGCTTCGTTCCAACTTGTCCAGAAGAAGTTGGTTGACGCCCAAACGGAGGTTGCGCTTGGGCTCCAGGCCAGTCTGCAGGTTGGACGTCTCAAGGATCAGGGCAAACTCGCTCCGGAGATGGTCAGCATGGTGAAGCGAAACAATTGCGGGAAAGCTCTACAGCATGCACGCATCGTGCTTGATATTCTTGGTGGGAACGCGTCGGCGGACGAGTGAGTGATCATGCGGCAAACCCCTATTCATCAGTGATCATCCTTGCGAACTGATCGACGCTTAGATACCATGTGGGTCGGCATGTAGCTAATCTGCAAGTAGTGAACACTTATGAAGGTAAGCATCTTCTCAATGCAATCTCCGTGATCGGGACCGTGGCTTAACTTTGTACTTCCGCGACTACGATGATCCATCTTCCTTGTGGATCCATAGGAACCTACGTTCGTGTTTATTCACTGGATTATACGAGGCTATAACTGACCTGGAGCTCTAGGACATCCATACACTGATCCTTGGAAAGGCGATTACTGGTATCCAGGCTTTCGCCAACTAATTTATTTCTTCCCCGAAGCGCACGGCGCCCTACATACGCGGGCGCTCAGGGAAACCATGAGGGCGCAGCTATGCCATTGTAATAGAAATAATTTGTCCTCCTTGATCACGCTGCATACACACATGCGTACGCATAATCAGCTTTTAGAACTTCATGAAGGGAATTGGGGTATGCTTGCGGTGACCGGCCGAAAAAGCCATGGGCTCACCGCGTGTCTATGTCAGTTTCCTATAGAGTAAGCACCGCGTTAGGATTGGTGTAGTAGAAAATGACATTTTGATGATTCGTGTTCGCTGCCGACATACATACGTCAGTACTTCGAGCCACAACATCCGGTGCCTTGCCTTAGTGTCAACCTTGAGCTTAAGCTTAGTCTCAACGAGCTGGTCGCGACGGACCGCCGACGGTGCTAGCCACTGCCGCGAGGCAGGGAATAGAGCGGTTGCTACAAGCCAAGGCCAATGAGATGCTATTGAGACCTACTGAGGCTACCATGTGGTGAACGTGCGAACAGCAAAGCCTTTGCGGGGCATTCGGTCCCACCATGTACTTCCGATCCAGCGGGGGACTTCCCCACTGGGACGCATCAGTATACGTCCCCGCACGCGATGTCAGTCGCATCCTAGGCGCGCTCTCCCCCCACCCGGGGAAACGTCGGCCAAGACCATCTTTTTCGACCAACTAAAGCTCAATTGGTGTCGTCTAGAACGCGGAATTTATAGGTTGTGGGTCTCATGGTTGATGCTTCATGTGCACACGAACAATGGGGGGAAAACGAGGGGAGGAAGAGATGGTTGTGGGCGGTCAGTGTTAGGAGGGCGTCGGAGGACGATCCTGGGCCCGATCGAGGACGTTCGCTGAGTTCGAAATAGACTTCGTTGAGTACATACGCGGCTTTTGCGGCGAACCACACTGTGGGGTATAGCCTGGTATAGCCTTGTTGGCACTGAATAGGAAATCAACGTAGATCCGATCGGCCGGGCGTAGTCGCTTGCGGAACTCTTGCGGTATCGGAGTTTTTGCGTTTGTAGAAAACCCACTGCCTCGGCGCACGTTGACACATCTATTATGACTGTAGCCTCCATTCCTCATGTTTGTGGATTCCAGGCACCTGGCGTCGCTGGAATCGTTCGCTGATGGGCATCTTGCTCCCGGATTCCGCGCGGTTCACACAGCTCTGGGGTTCCACATGGATCCCATCCTGGGTCAGCCAAAGCAACACATCCCCCGCCCTGACTTACTCCACAGTCGCAAGACCGATGCTTGGCACCAGCCTCGCATGCAGATCCGCCGAAGGACCCGCCCACACCAACAGTAGAAGTCACGAATGCCCTCCGTTAATGATAAAAACCAATAACACGTTAGGCAGTGTGGGAAGCTGCGGGGGTCCTGGGTATCAGCAGGCTGTAGCAGTACCAGTCCGAAAACTGCGGCATTGCAACGAGCCTGCCGGTCGTCGGTCGTCGTCGGCGCATTCGAGCTAAACAGCGGCGCCGAACTGATCCACCAAGGCTGGCTCTTCAACGGATGCTATGAACGGTCGTCAACGAGTCTTTCCTCCCAGTTATCATCCTCCATCCTAACTACCCTACATCCTTCTATCTCTCACATCTCTTGAAGTCGGCTCCAAGCGTCTGACATCGGCAAATGTCAGATAGAATTACCTGTGGTAACCTGTCATCGCCATGCTTTTCAATCGAAAAATCAACAACGCCTCGCAGAAGTTGATGATAACGGGCTGCGAATGGTAAGGAACATGTTCTCGATCATAGCTTAACGTGATGAAAATGAGTGTCCGTTCGTCGGGTTGATAGTCGGTAACAGAAACGGAGATACACCTCAGCGGCTGACCTACACTACAATTACTCATCCTACATATACTACTACCATTCCATCTATCCTAGTCCCATCACGCATCGGCATTACGCAGCGCGGGATGGATGTACGGTAGTTCCAAGAGGTCGAAAACCTCGCGCTCAGTCCTTGGGAAAAACAATTTTGAATCATGTCGACGAGATCTAGAGTGCAGGATGATTAACTGCTCAAGAAAACAAAATGAGGCAGCACGAACATTCCAGAACTATCAAATTTCATTCCCCTAAGGGGAGAGTAAGAGCCTTTCCGTGTTGACAAATGATGTTGCATACCGCTCCTTGGCCCAAAGGCGTAAATCTCGTTCGAACATTGTTGAGCCAGTCCTGTGGTGCGAATGATAAGGAAATTTGTAAAAACAATAATGTCAAGGACATATCACCATCCAACGACCGCAGTCCAGAAAACCTCGGGGGCGGCAAAGATAAGATCCACTTGCCGATGGACTGGCGCATTGACTGCGTCCCCAGCCGATGGCACTCGTAAGATTGTTAGTGCTTTCTCCAAGGAGTCCCAGTGATGCGTTCGGAGGACATTATGCCCGTGAAATCCAGCCAGGTCTACGCAGCTTCAATAATAAGGAAAACACAACCCCAATATCATGAAAACGCCTCCTACGCATAACGTGAACGAGGATACCACGCTCGCGCAGACTTTGAACCAGCCGCTTGCTCATATTTCTCGACTTCTGGGAGCCCAACGTCCAGTTTGGATGCGTAATGAGAATATCGACGTCGTTACCCTGGACTTTTCCACGCCTATAGCTACTAGGATTAGCAACAGAGTAGCTACCTAGGATCCTTAAAATGCACTCACCCACCGACCAAAAGAGTTCTGCATCCCTGTTCAACATGAGCTAATTCTGAGTCCAAAATCTGGCCAATTCGCTCCGCTTCGTGTCGAGATATCCTAAGGGGATGATGATCAAATATGTAGCCAGCCCTGAGGAGTAGAATCTTGCGAACGTTTGACACAAATCGTGGCGCAAGGCCAACGCCACCTTGATAGTTTCTTCCAGGACAGTTTCCTCGTTTGCTTTACTGTACAGCTCGAGGCTCGACAGTGCACTCCCATCAGTAGATCCGGGGGTAACCTCATAATATCGATCCAATTCTTCGAGTGTCCGCAAACCTAAGTCATAGAGACGACGTCCTGTATGCGGCCCTATGCCATATATTCGGCTGAACGCTGAAAGGGCTTGGAATCGAGAAGATTCTCGGATACTTTCTGTAAGTGAACCTCGCTAAATGAGCACTAGAATACAAATGCCTAACCACTAAACGTACCCGCTTCGCTTATTTTCCCTAACGTAACGTACTCTTCGATCTAACATAGTCAGGTGGGAGAAGCAGCTCGTGGACATCGTTCGTACCATTGCAACAAGTTTCGTGCCTAAATACGGCAGGTCTTCGACTTCGTTGTCTAGCCTCTCGAGTGTGATGATATGAGGGTATGCTATGGTCAAGCGTAACTCGCTTGGAATTTATCATAATAGCATAATTTAACATACATTTAATCATCTAAGGTCATGATGAATATTAACTCGCAGCGTACTAGGTAACGCGCACCGCGATAGCCCTTTGGTAACTCAGCATACTCCTCTCTTCTCCTTCGAGCTTTCTCGATAGCTGGATTATCTTGAGTTCATCTATCAAGGCTTGGTTGGGGCAGATAAGTGGAGATGCTCTGAACAAGCAGAGCCGAGCTTTGTGTGACAATGACAAATGCTCTAGTTCTGTCGAGGTGGGCGGCTCGCCGGCAGGGTCGGCGGATGAAGGCGGAATGTCGGCCGACAGGCGCGACGTCGTTGAGCCGGATTCAACTAGCAGGTTAGGGCCGTCTGGACATTGCCGCACAGTGTCGTCATGCAGATCATTCAACGCTGCGTGTTCCCCGCACGGGGCGGGTGTCCCTTGCCGTACAGTCTCCTCTAACCACTGAGGAGTGACGACGGCCTTCGTTTTCTGCCAGATCAAGGAACGCGTTGACGAGTTGAAAGGCGCGGGTTCCTGTGCATGACGTCAAAGGTACTCACCGCGACCTGCCAGCTGATGTGCCTCTCAAGTCGCTGTCTCATACGGATGGCGGTGACGATGACGTCTGCGTCCTTGATATCCTCTGCGAAGACGAGATTTTTCCATTCAGCGTCCTCTGCGTCGGTGTTCCTGTGTCGCCTCAGTACGATCCGCGATGTTTCAATCAGTTTGACCAGGGACGCATATGCGTCATCGTCCATTTTGGCCCTTAAGACATGGATTTTCAGGGTCTCTTCGTCATGCGAAGGAGATTCGTCAATTCGCCAAGGAGAACTCGAGCGAACCCTCTTTGGTGTTCGCTCCCTCGAAGAGCCCGAGTCAGACGATGAACGAACAGGGCGTTTAGGCATGATGGGGTGAAGCGGCGAGATGCGTCTGAGCGCCTTCGAGTACTTACTAATACTGGACGCGCGCGAACTGTCGGTGGCGCACGTGGTTGGCATAGATCTCGTCTCGCCCCTAGGTCAAGCTAACAGGTCAAGTCCATGTCTCGACAATCAAACAGGATCAATCTCTTTCTGGCAGCCCTAACACCTACTGACATCGCCCATCTTTTAGAAATGACAAGTAATTGTTGGAACGCCCGTTCGATTACACTGCTTCACACGGCCCACAGTCTTCAGCGCTGATCGATATTTCTTGCACATAGATCATCCGGTCCACAGACATTCAAGCACAACCGAGGGTAAAGCCAACACGTTCATAGCATGCTTGGTCCCAGCAATCGGCATTTACTGTTTTGACCATCAGTAACTTACGGCGGCCAAACAGGTGCTGACATCCCGGCGCTGCTGAGTCCTTGCCACAATTTCTGGCTTTTAACAACATACCACAGCCTCATGAATTACAGCAAGACTAAAGTAACAGTAGTGAAGCTTCCGTCTGCCTAATCCAATCGAAAACAGTCCGCTTCAACCCGTCACCTCACTCGGCTTGTTCGTGCCAGATGCAAGGCACAGTACTTGATCCTCTTCCGCGGCACAGGCTACTTTGCTCAACCCTGAGCTGTGGCAACGAACAAAAAAACGCCTCCGTGTTCACCCAAACATAATTTCCGATCAGATTAAACTGCTTCTTCTTTGCAAGTAACCATGCGTTCCCCGTGCTGTTGTAAATATCTAATCGACGTCACCGGTACACCTTCAATGAGGGCGCGTTCCTGGAAGACTAATCTAGTGCCTCATGATTCATCATTAATGACCTTCCGGCCGTGGGTACACGCACATGACCCAGCGAAAATGCGATTCTTGGCCACTCGTCTAATACAAGGCGGTGTTGATTTATCGAGAAATCGGGGCTCGAGAATTCTGGACCTTGGGGGCTGTAAACTCCGTTCTTGTCCGTGTCCACGTTGAAAAGCCACCATGATGGCGGCGAGCGTCTTCGAATTCTCGACCTCTATTGTTGGCTGTCGGCCATGGCTCCTTCGACTCCCAATTTCATGAGGTATGGCCTCTTGTGACCCTTCTCACTGAACCTGTGGCGTTGGATACGTCCCTTTGTTACAAACCTCGGAAAAAGTTTTTCCGCACTTCCACAAACGGACGTCAAGTGAGGATTTTGACGACTCTGACTGAGAAGGCTCCGAACATGGAAAAACTTGCCGACGCGGCAGTACTAGCTTTGCGCAGGGGAGAAGCGACGTATGGCAAGGTGAATCGGATGAGCGTCATAGAACGAAACGTCTGGGGTGAACAGACAAACCAAGACAAATGGGCCGGTATCCGAAGGCGTACATACAACGCGAAAAGTCAAGACAGAAATCCACGCGATTGTTCTGATGGCAATATGCTTTCTGCGTGGGTGCTGAATCCGGAAGGATTAGGCTTTGCGCAACGCAGGACTGCGTCTGACTGCCAGATATGGACGCCGAGGCGGATCGATAAGACAGACTTGCTCGTGCTGTCTTCCGGCGGCCAATACTTTACCTGCTCCAATACCTCCAGTCAGAAATCTGGATGTGGGAAACCTGGCGAGGACTTGTGCCAGCCGACCAGGAACGTGTCCGATCATGCAGTGAGACTCCCGTGACCGGAGAGTATAGTCGGGAAGGATTAGCATGCATATGCTCGTTTGTGATGGTAGAGGTCAGGGTCACATCGCTCTCATCAATCCGCGAGAAGGCAGGTTACTAAGAACGAAAACGTATCTGCGGCCGGCACCTCCGACCCCGGGAACGACCATCAACGACGTCAGAGAGGAACCTGGGATTCCCCCCACCAACACCCCATCCGGGGCCGTCCCTCCCCGCTCGTCCGGACCCGCGGTTCGCTACCGCCCAACCCTACAACCTGAGCGCCGTAACGGCGCGGATCATCCCCTCAGACGACCGCAGATACCTCTGGAGCCCAAAGAACGCTCAATGCAACAGCCAGTACTCTCACACAATACATCCGTATACAGCAGCAGCGAATCCCTCCATGCACCCCGAAGTTTGCCCTCCTCCTTTTGCTGAGCCAGAGCCCGGCACGATGTACGCTGCCGAGCCATGGCACACGACATCATCCCAAAATTGGTAAACTGATGCCTTCGCAAATGAGATCGCGGGGAAATGGACTCTTTGAAGAAACCCCCTTTCGGCCCTTTCGCTCAATATTCAATGCTAAAGCCGACGGGCGGACTCTTTACCCACAGCAGGTGAAATCCGTTTAGGTCCGGTGCTGTGAGCAACGAATGGAAAATGTTACTAGGATAGCACTGCTCTGGGATTCCTGGTGTGCTCACCTCGTCGGTATCTAGATTGCGACACCGAGATACGAGGTCGCCCGGGAAGGAGATAACATGGTTAGCGCGCCCGAGTCTGATGATCGGGAACAACGGCGGCGAGTCTGCGACATCTGCGCATCAAAGTTAAAAACACGCATTTCACGCATCATGTGTCGATGTCCAATTGTAGGGGAGGTGGTCGTGCTTCGAGAACTGTCATGGAGGTACGGATATGGCTTGACTACAACCTTGCCCTGGAATAGTAACCGCGCATGTGAGAGGCTATATTTTCAAATCAGACATGTGCTTGATTTGGTCGGCAACAGATCTGTAGAGCGGTCGTACTTAGTTAAAACGCGCGGTATAAATCCGGAGGTCCTCCTCAGAGGTACGAAAGACTCTGGACCATACCCCGCTATTCCCTCTCAGAGCTTCCTACGAGCCACACAAAGCTCATTCATCTTACGGTCTTGTCATGTCCTCCAACTCCTCGGTCACTTCTTCACCCAACACCATGTCTTCCGAAGCCCCTTTCCTACCCCATCATCCTTCGCCTTCGCGTGCATCCTCTTGGGGTGGACCTTCGTCCGTCACCTCCCAGTCCAGTGGATTGGATTACTACGGATTGCCTCCATCTCCTCACTCCGACAACTCCACTCTTGTTGGCTCGCCCCTGTCCTCTATCAAGGCGTTGCGGTCGGCTCAGCTCACTCCGGACTCGCTCTGCGACTCCGAGCAGCAGCAGCTTTGCCTCCCCACTCACCAGGTCTTTGACCTTCCCGACACCAGCAATGTCTCGTCTCCATCTCCATCTTCCAGTGCTTCCCCTTCCCCTTACGAGCCATCGACCAGGGGTGAGAAGCGTTCGCTGTCCCCTACGCCCGGCGCAACGCGGAGGAAGAGCACTGGCGAGCGCGTCACCACCAAGGACTTTGTCCCTCCCGACGTCTCTGGCTTAACCAAGCGCGAAGCGCGTCTGGTGAAGAACCGGGCCGCCGCCTTCCTCAGCCGGCAGCGCAAGCGCGAAGAATTTGAGGCCATGGAAGTGTGAGTAAACTTTGTATTCATTCATTTGCGGCAGTGCGCTGATCGTGGCGTTTTCCATCAGTCGGGTCAAGGAGCTTGAAGCCGAGGCCGTGAAATTTGCTGCCATGTCTCAGCAGGGCGGCATGAGCACTGAAGTGGAGAAACTTCGGGCGCAGCTCGCTGAGGCTGAGAAGCGTGAGCAAGCTCTTCGAAGCACTCTCGCGCGTCAGCCGAACGTGAAGATCGAGAGTATCGACAAGCCAATGGCCTCCTCGTCGCGCGAGGCCTCTGCGTCGCTCCGCAACGGCCACAGGCTTGGTTTTGTTGTGAGTAGATTGCAACAAACCATCATGACTCGTTACTCACCATCGCTACAGCCAGTGCTCTCTGGCGCTTTGACTTCGTATCTCGGTAGCGACAGCTGGCCACAGGTTCCCCAGTTCGAGATCGAGCCGGAAGTGCTCGATGTCTTCGCTAGCCTCGAGGTCTCGTATGCTCCGTCGAGCGATGGTCGTGGCCGCGTCCGCATCCACCGGCCCCTGGCTGTCCCCGTCAAGAACGAGAGCCGCTCCCCATCTTCTATGCAGGCCTGGCCAGTATCCGGCATGAACAACTTCGGTTCATCATTCTCGAACCCGATGATGGCTACCCACTCACTACCCACGGCCAGCGAGCTCGACCGTCTCGGCCCTTTCATGGGCATGGGCGCTGGGCAGCAGCGGTTCGACGTCGACATCCCTTCGACACCATCATTTTACGAACACCCTGGATCGATGGGTCACCATCAGCTCGCCGAGGCTGGCTTCGATTACGACCCACGTTTCTACAACCAGTATACCCCTCGGATGTGCAAAGCATAAAGATAATAGCTTGAGCAGCCGTTTTTTCGGGGGCATTTGTAATCTGTAATCTTCTTGTTGTTGTACGCTTCTCTTTGGTTTCTCGAGCTCTGGGCGTTTATTCCGGTTGAGTCCAGCTTTGGTTGATAACTTATAGGCGTCGTAACATCTCCCCACTTCTATACCCTCATGGTGGAGTTGACTTGCACCGCCGTGCATCGCTATACCTCTTACGAGCCTTAATGCTTGCTTAAAAGTAAGTTATGACGCCTGCATCGCCCCGGGTAACCCTGTGTTGGTTGTTTGCTCTGTAGTTCACTGTACATTACCACCACTTCGCATATTTAAACCCGCATGCATTTTAACATCTATGATACGTACCTAGGCCCTGATATGAATCGACTGATTTCAGCCATGGAAAAGTTGCGTGTACGACTCGTTGGGGAATGAAAATTTGCACCTAGTGCAGCCGATCAGCGTAAGTCCGAGCGTTGGTCGGAGTAGATGTCCGAGCTATGCCGCACACAGAAAGTGTCTGCGACCGTTGACGACGCTGATCATCGAATGAGTCAAGTGTTGATGGATGTGCAAGGCGGGGGAATCGTGGGTAAAGATTGCCTCGCATGGCAAGGGCCATTCCCGAGCGCCCGCCGGTCGCCGCTTGTCTAATCCACACAGTCATCGCGCTAATCCCACCCACCATCCACAGCTTCACCTCTTTCTTCCCTTCCTACCTCCAACATGTCCACTGCGGGCTCTGCGCGCAAGACGACCAGCTTCAACAACCCGCCAAACTACTCGTTTGTCCACCACCGTCTCCGTCGAACCCTCCGCGATGCCAAAAAGCAGCCCATTGTCCTAGTCGCGTGCGGCTCCTTCAGTCCAGTTACCTATCTCCACCTTCGCATGTTCGAGATGGCCAAGGACTTTGTCCGCCAGAATACCGACTTTGAAATCGTCGGTGGATACCTCAGCCCAGTCAGTGACATGTACAAGAAGCCTGGTCTCCTGAATGCCCATCATCGGTGAGTGTTTTAGACGTTATCTCTCAACCAATGGTTCTCTGCTCTCGAGCTTGGACCTGGGCCCCCCTTGTGCTATCCTGAGGACGCCGGGCATGTGCGGCTTGGACGTTTTCCCGGCATTCCGCGCTCCACACATCTCCGTTCCTGTATAGGAAAATGTTTCCGAGGGCTTCGGCGGCCTGCACTGGAGTGACTCGTGCACTAGGGCCACTGGATTTCTTCTCTCAATAGTAATGCACTTCAGGGCATTTGGAAAGTCCATTTGCATCATGTCATTGTCCCCTCCTGGGCCACTTTGCTATCATACTGGTCAGGCCTTCGGGCTGAATGGCTGCTGTCGGCATGCATGCCCCCACCAATCAGCAGCTTCAAGGGCCACATATCCTTTCTACCTCGGCGTGGTGTTGTTACCATGTGTAGAGGTTTTAAAGTTTCGAAGCTCCCCCACTTTTCGTACCTCGCCTTCATCGAGAATTGCGGGGTTATGAAGGGGCACATTCTCTCTTATCTTTTATCTATTGTGTTCTACACGCGGAAGGCAGATCGCTGATCCACCCTTTCGCTTCCCAGAGTCGCCATGTGCACCCTCGCCGCAGAGCAAACGTCCTCATGGCTCATGATAGACTCATGGGAGGCCTTCCAAAACTATCAGCGCACGGCTGTGGTTCTGGATCACTTCGACTACGAAATAAACACCGTCCTTGGCGGCGTGCAGACGGAAGACGGCGAGCATCGGAACGTCCGCGTCATGCTCCTTGCTGGTTCCGATTTGATCAGCACGATGTCTGAACCAGGCGTGTGGTCGACGGGCGATGTATGAGTCGTTTGAGCTGGGTCCGTGTTTCATGGACTAACGCCCCGTTTAGCTCGACCACATCCTCGGCCAGTACGGCACCTTCATCATCGAGCGCGCCGGCTCTGGCATGGATCAGGCCACCGACAATCTGGCGCGGTGGAAGAACAACATATACCTCATTCCGCAGCTCATCCAGAATGACGTATCCTCAACTAAGGTTCGGCTGTTCCTAAAGAGGGGACTTTCCGTCCGATACCTTCTTCCCATGGCGGTTGTCGACTATATTGAGGAGAATGGCCTGTATTTGGATGACGGTCCTTCATCTGAGAAAGAGAAGGGCAAGGAGAAGGAGCAGGAGGCCGGATCTAGTAAGAAGACGGTATCATGATCTGAGGACTTTAGAATGAGGAGCGTATTGGGAAGATGGGACATAGATTTTTCAGTTGTACGATTCTAGATGCAGACGACATATCAAGTAGTTGTATACTCCGCATCTTTCCGCAGCAGTCAAGAACTGCTGCTTGTATATCGTAATTTATTGTTAGGATTGGCCATGGCGTCGTTCGGCGGGTGTGAGTAGCAACTTTATATACCTCAAACATTAAGATCCTAGGAGCCCTGGAGCGTCTTCGTTAATTCTGTCCTCCAGGGCCCGAGGTATAATGATAATTCGTCATACTACTAAGGCACACTAATGCCACACCACGGCTACGTGGACCGCGCTTCCCAAGCGCTTTCGGGAATCCTTCTGTTGCGTCCCCCATGATTGGTTTTTCTCTTCGTGAAGACCACAACAAAATCATGGCGACACGGAAGTTTCACTTCACGTGGCTATGTGACTCGAGGAGCACGAGGTACCTGCGTAGTCGCGCAGTTGGTGCACAAGGTACAGCCCGCAAGATGCCGACTAATCTTTAGCGATACAGCCACTGGCTGTAAATTCAGGTAAGTTAGCTTCCGCCTTCTGTGAAGCCGGGGAGGGGAATATGACGGCATGTCTGTGGGTGATCATCTGTTTGCTGACCATGCTGACCTGCAGATGCAGACACCGAGTCGCTGCCGGACTGGCATATGAAACACACGTTCTCATCATTGAGTTGGAATAGGCTGGAATCTCAACGAGAAGGTTCTTGGCGTCCATGTGGGCTCACTTAGCCACTTCGCTCAATTGAGGAGCAATAATACACTCCATGCCGTCAGATGAACCGAAGCGGGACCAACGAAGAGGCCCGCATAAGGTTCGTTTGAGCGAGCATGATCGCCCGACGCCGCCCTTCGCACGAGAACCCAGGCGTGTAAACCTACTCGTCCCGGACTTGCCTATCTACGGCGCTCCCCACGCCCCAGCACGCTGCACTATCTGAGCCCAGCATGCTTTCAACGACTCGCCTACCAGACTCTGTTAGATCCTCACTTTGATCCCCTCTTGATCCTAGCCCGAGGACACAGGCCACTATCCCTTTCCTGCTTGTGACACGCGAAATGGAACACGCACCGTATGAAGCCAAGGTTCGTGCAATCAAAGCGAAGCTCGAATCCCAGATACCAAAGTCGTTACGTCTTCCCGCGTCGACGCTCAACAACTTGCCTCTCGATGTGACCTCGATCCCGCGCACGTGCGGGCTCCTGACTGAGGCCGAGCTAACGATCACGGAGCTCGACGCAACTGGCGTTCTAGAATGCATTGCTGCAGGCAAGCTCAGCGCCGTTGACGCTGTGACGGCCTTTGGAAAACGCGCAGCTATCGCGCACCAGGTGACCAACTGTCTCGTCGACTTCTTCCTCGAAGATGGCATCGCTCGTGCCAAGGAGCTCGACGCGCATTTCGCGCACACCGGGACCGTCGTCGGCCCTCTGCATGGTTTGCCGGTGTCTATAAAGGTGGGTGGCGTCAGTTCTCCTTCGACGGTGTCGCTTCTTCTCGATCGAGGAGCGACAGCTGGTTGTCGCACATGGCAGGTTCCATAATGCTAACGCCGTGCGCTGTCGATCTCGAGTTGCTAGGATCACCAGTTGCTTGCGGGGAGGAATGCTTCCGGCGGCTTCTTGTCCAGCTTCCAAATCGCGAAGGAGGACTGTCAGATGGCCAAGATACTGAGGAGCCTCGGGGCGGGTGAGTCACTGATCAGTCCTTAACGTGGTCGGTTGCTAGCTCTCCGGCCATTTCGGACGCATTCATTGGAGATTGCGCTAACGGGTATCACGGTGACGCAGTGTTCTATGTCAAGACGAACCAACCACAATCGATTATGACTCTCGAGTGTCACTCTTTTTATGGGCGAACCGTAAGATAAGGGCAGTTCAGGGACAGATCTCAAACTCATCAAAATGCTTGTAGGTAAATCCTTACAATTCGAACCTCTCGAGCGGGGGATCGTCAGGGGGCGAGGGTGCCCTTGTCGCTATGAAAGGATCATGCATGGGTGTCGGCAGGTGACCAGTGTGCCAGCAATGTCTCTCGGGAACTCTCTCACCGCCTCGTCTAGCGATATCGGCGGCTCTATTCGCTGTCCCAGTGCGCACTGCGGGATTTATGGTATGCGTCCGACGTCGTTGACCCAACCTATGGTTGGTTACCTGGGATAGTACGTTAGTTGAGACTGCCTTTACGTCCATTCTGATGTCTAAAAATAACATGCAGCATGCACGGGCAGGACGGCGTCGACCCGTCGACGGGGCCGATGTGTGCTTCGGCCCGTGACATGACCACGTTCATTCAGGCTGTAATTGGTACAAAGCCATACTTGGACGATCCGAGCCTTATACCGCTCTCCTTTGTACCTCCGGCCGACATTGGCGCTCGTCCGCTACGAGTCGGCATAATGATGCACGACGACGTCGTCATGCCACATCCGCCAACGCTTCGCGCTCTCAAAGCAGCCAAACACAAGCTTGAAGCCGCACCAGGCATCGAGCTAGTGGACTATGTGCCGTATAAGCATGATGAGGGTGTCAGACTTGCGGTGCGCTGTCGCATTTCCAGAGCTTGTGATATTATAACTCATACCTTGTGAGCCAGCACGAGTTATACTTCCAAGACGGAGGGAAGCGCGTGCACGAAGTCCTTGATTCCACCGGCGAGCCGATATTACCGTTGACCGAATGGGTCATTGCATCCGACAAAGTCAAGGATCATGACGCACAAGGCATATGGAAGGTGACATATTCTGCCAGTGCCTTATATATGACAACTCGATGGCTTATTTGCTCATCTCAGCTATTCTACGATCGCAATGTTTACAGGCAGCAGTACTCGAGTCATTGGAACGCATCCAATATTGACGTGCTCCTTTGCCCAACTTTTCCTGGCGTAGCCGCCAGACACGATACCTCGAAATATTGGGGGTGAGGTCATCTGCTCATCCTCACGCTTAAGTCGCGCGTTGATCTATGGACAGGTACACATCGATCTGGAACATCCTCGACTATCCCGGTATCGTATTTCCCAGTGGACTCCATGCAGACCCAGCCTTGGACCCAATTGAGTCAAGCTACAACCCCGTGTCCCCGTCAGACGCATACAACCACACGCTTTGTGAGTGTTTTGCTCCCTTATAACTTCCATCCGAGAGTCGTTTACCATTTCGTGGCCATAGACGATCCAACCATCTTCGCTGGAGCGCCTATCTCGTACCAGTTGGTCGCGAAGAAATACAACGATGGGATACTCCTCGCCGCACAAATGGTTGTCGAGGGAATATTGCGAGATATGGTTCCAGCTTCGCCGATTTATAAGTTGTGATACCAACCAGTTTTTCGCCAGAGGTCGATTATGCTCCTGTAAAATACGTAGACCCGATTGTCCTGACTGTACATTAGCTTTTTTGATATGCATGCTCATCACCAGCGCTTGTAGTCTTGCTGAGGGACCACCGCTGTGTGAAATTGTCCTACTGTTGCTATTGTTTAGCCGGTGTACAGGTGATTCGACCTCTTCGGAGCACGAGTACAAAGGATGAATAGAATGAGGAAAATGCAATAATTAGGCAACGGATCGGGAGCCCTGTCGATGTCTACCAGCGAGCGGGTAGATGCGCATGCAACTAAATTTATGGTGAAACCGTCAAGAAGTCAAATTCCAGACCACCTCTAGCTTGGAACGATATTTTTCGGTCTGAGCATTGAATATTGAAACGAGATAACTTACATCTGATACATAGCAGCTATATTTAACCCTGTTGTATAGGAGAATCCTCTTAAACGCCCGTGAGCCATGTAAACGCTCATTTTTTTCCCCAAACGACCTTCCCCCGGATCCATGTACTGATGACGTTGCCCTGGCGGTCGAGGATGACAAGGTCAGCATCGGCGCCAGCCCGAAGCGTACCCTTGCGGTTCTCAATTCCAAGACACCGGGCGGGGTTGAAGGTGGCGCACTTGATGGACTCAGCAAGCGAGCATCCGGTGAAATGTGCAAAGTTTCGAACACATTTGTCGAGCGTCACCACACTAGAAGCATGATTGATTATAATTGAAGATGAAACGGAGAGAATCATGACGAACCTGCCAGCTAGAGTGGTGGTGCCCTCTAGGTAGAGTTTATCACCTTCTTTAACGAAATTCCGCCCATCACGCCAAGGGTGAACACCATCTTTGAGATGCGGGTCAAGGATTTTCATTGCTAATGCAAGTGTCAATGACACGCTTCCATTTCCAAAAATGACAGCACAAACCATCCGTAATCAAGATACAGCCCTCGGGGTAAGCCGTGTATGCCAATCTCACCGAGTTGGGATGAGCATGGATACCGTCCACAATCAACTCGAAGTATGGCCGCTGGAGTGGCTCTACCTGCCCACCAACGTAGGTGGCAGAGCGACTGAGTGGTAAAGGCGTGATGGCACCTGTACCGGGGAGAGTTGCCTTGTCATCCTGCGCCTGAACCCGTTGCGTAGCGAGGAGAACAGGCGTTTGAGGAGGCGTCTCGATTTCGTCAAAAGCTTCCGAGGCATGGGCGGCTTTCTTAGGTGGCGTTCCCGTGGTGTCGGAGTTGCTCGGTTTCTTACTGTGAGCAGCGGTCGAGACGGGGAACGGAGTGTAAGTCGCTCCCGAGGCGAAGAAGGGTGAAGATCCTAGCAGACCGATGATAGACGGATCACGGTGATGGAGTTGGGGCATCGCGTTGAATAGATGGGTGATGAGTCGAGCACCGCGCCGAACGGCGGTAGTTGCCATGTCCGTTGTCGCGATACTGCAGACGCCAGCATGAAACACAGGCTAACGAGGTTCTAAAGGTTCAGACGCACCTGTGCCCAATAGAGAAGCATCCACCTCGCTTTGCGAACTCGTTGATCGCCGACATGACCCCATCGACCTCGGGTGCAGCAGTGATGATACGAACACCCAGGGCATCCTGGGTCAGGCCGCATGACATGAGCCAATCTTCGGCATCCGCCAGATTGTCTTGTCCGTAGATCGTCTCGAAAGACTTGAATCCTTCGGCAGCGTTTAGCAGGAAGGGCGGTGCGTGCGCGCCGCGTTTGGCCATCTGAATAAAAGGACCTTCGGCGTGCCATCCTAGAAGGTGAGCTGCGTTGGGAGGCGACCAAGGCTTCAGGAGATTGAGGAGCTTGGGGTACAGAGACTTCTCTTGGGTCTAAGGATATATGTATAAACACCATTTTCAGCTATCGTGATTGAGTGTTCTTACGATGAGCGTTGGCACTAAGCTATAGGCGAAGTCAGATCATTAGCTGGAGAGTAAGATGGATGTCGTACGCTGTAACACCCGTCTCAACAATCCTTTCTGCGACCAGCCTGAGTCCATCCATGTAGGCCCCATCGTTGTCTTCGTAAACGGAAAAGTCGAAGCCGTAACCGCCATTGATTTGGATGTCGATCAGGCCAGGGCTATCACGAAAGAAGCTTAGTGATGATTGTGGAAGGTATAATAGCCGAGCATTGCCTACCTGAGGATGTTCCCGCCAAGGTCGATGATCTTGTCTGGCCGCTCTCGTCTCAGGAAGAATGTTTTCTGCACAAAATCCCAGGTTTGAATAATAGACCGTTTATAATGAATACTAACCTGAGCATCCAAGATGACACCGCGCGTTTCGTCGATCCAGAGGTCCTTCTCGACAAAGGTGCCGTCCTCCTGGGGAAGGAGGCAATTCGTGAAGCAGATCAGGCCATTGGAGGACATTCTTCCGGAGTTTGGTCTGGTGGTCGTAGGGAATCAACGTCAAGACGCTGCGCCCGTTGTGTGCCTCGAACCAAACTAATCAAATCATCTGCCATTTCACGGATGTAGTGGTCCGAACGGTCTCAGTCTCATCGACATGTGTGTCCCTACACCAGCCACATGGTAACCACCTGTAACCACTGCGCGTGTGCGGGGCTGATTGGTCTATAATATACTTCCAAATGCCTCGACTTCACCCGCCCGCTGCTGCTGCCAGCGGGAGAAGAGAATACAGCGTCCGTGCGAGTAGACCAGACTCTATAGCCAGCAGTCCCAAAGTTACAACAATCCCCATAACCCCTTTCTCAAGCTGTCATGGAGCCGCAAACCCTCAGTATCACACTCCCATCTCACCAGGGCTTTTTACCACCTTGAGCCTGATTCGCAAACGCCACCCGATCGATTAATTCTTGAGAGCGTCTCCAATCAGCTCTTGCGCTGCCAGGGCCAGGCCATCCTCGAATCGGCGAGCAACCACTTGGAGCGACACCGGGGCTCCCGCAAACACTGCTGGCTCATCTACCAGAAACATGGCACCCATCAGCTGCTCTGTTTGCCACTTTTGGTCTGAGAACGCTACTCTTACATAGAGTGCGATTGTATTCGTCCGCATCGCTCAGGCAAGGGGGCACGTCCTCCATTACGATGTCTATCGAGAGATCTGCCCTGAGTCCCGTCGGGAACACCACCCCGGGGTAATCCACCAGGTTCCAAATCGCGGTGTATCTATCGAAGTTAGAAATCTCAGGATTCTCCTCCGTTTGCCCTATACTTTCTATCAAGAACTCACCCCCAATACATCGAGGTATCGTGTCGTGCCGCGACTCCGGGAAACGGAGGGCATAAGACCACATCGCATCCTTGGCTTCGCCAGTGGTCCGAGTATGCACGTCGGAACCTCTCCCGCTTAGCATGCAGCTGATATTCAAATTCTTTTGCGTCGAAGGACAGGTCTCGTTACAGTATGGCACTCACCTCCCACATTCCAGTTGCGTCGTGGTCTTTTACATGCGGCGGGCTGATTACCCACTCTGTTAGTGGCAACATATCCTCGCCGCCCTCGGCCAACATTTTGCGCACGCTCTTTCCTCCCTCTTCATAGTAAAGCTCTTTCTGTACAGTTTTAGCTAGGTATGAACTTGCCAAAAGTTGAACGTACGCACGGCAAGAGTGTACCCGTGGGCATGCTCGAATGGCACGTATTCCACCAGGTCGACGGTATCCGACGCCTTCAGTCTCTCCCTGGCCATCTCCAATGCCCTGAGCATCGGTGGATGCGGCAGTACGACACCGTCGTGTATCATAAGCCCCACCTTCAGCCTTCGTCCGAGCGCTTGGCCAAGGTCCGGAATCACCAGATTCACGGGAAAGAAACTCGGATCTATGCTCGCTGGGCGAGCCGATAGGACCGCGGAGAGAAGGAGGCGCATGTCGCGCGCTGAGTTGCATATGGGGCCGGTGGCGGGCAGAATAGCGTCTGAACCAGGCCTCCTTTGAAGATCAGGTAAGAACATCCGATGTTATGATTGAGGGGATTGTGATTTACGAAGCTTGGTAGCCGTCATCTAGGATTATTGTCTTGCTCGTCGGCTTGATGCCATACAAACCGCAGTGGGCGCAGGAGCTCTGATAGATCCACCTCCGTCTCTGCAACCTTACTATCAGCATCTCCCAAAGTATGCGCTTATGCAGTACATACGTTCCTATGCCCATGGGCGATCCTTTCATTGCCACAAGCGCCGCTTCCCCTCCAGACGAACCACCGGGAGTCAGGTTGGTATTGTATGGATTCAGCTAATTGAACAGATTCTGAGTAACGCAACTCGAGCCAGTCACCGATGTCGTCCACTCACGGTACGTGCATAGCAAGATTGGCACTCTAAGTGCATAATAGTCTGTGGTTGATTTGTTTTCACGTAGAATACTACGGCCGCCGTCATTGACAGGTTCATCACGTAGCAAGCACTGAAAAACGCACCGGCTCCGAGTCGGCGCAGGATTATCGTCAAATCGCAGTCCTTCTCTGAGATCCTTGTGCTGCTCAAGTAGCCACCGCTACCCCATCGACCTTTGATAGGTATGAGGTCCTGTCACCTCCTCAGCGCATGCCCTCTCTACCATGAACGAATGCACGGCAACAGACCTTAATGGATATTGGCAGGCCATGCAACGGACCTACGACTTCCCCTTCCTTCTCCAGGTGCTCATCTAGCTCGCGAGCTCGTGCGATGCCCTCTTCAGGGAAGAAGTCCGTCAAGCACCCCGTTACCTGATGCGCGATGGCTGCACGCTTCCCAAACGCGCTGACGACGTCGACTGAGCTCAGTTCACGCACAGCTATCTTCTCGCACAACGCTGTTGCATCGAGCGCCGTGATCGCAAGCTCTGTTGGTGTGAGGAGTCCGCATGTCTCTGGGATAGTCGTTACGTCTATTGGAGCTGGAGTGGAGGCGGTCAGCGACGGAGGAAGAACGAGCGATGCTGGAATCTGCGATGTCACGCGAGCGCGCAAAGCGGCTGCAGCAGCCTCGAAATCAGGCATGCCCGTTGCGGGCTGCATTTTGTCGGCGAGAGACATGGTGGTTCGGGGCAGCGATGGGCAATAGTTGAGAAGGAGATAACGTACAGGTACGTTATCTTTAGTTTAACAAAAACTCTCGCACAGAAGGCTTGTCACAAGATCCATCTAAGTTAGCATTGATGTTGACCTCGAAGAAGACAAGGACTTATCTGAGTTTCTAGACGAGGTCATGTGTACCTCTTTGTGCTTTCAAAATAGTGCGGCCAAAATGATCCAGCACCCAGTGACGAGTCCTTAGGAATGCTGACCATAACTTTCAGCAGTGAAATTTTCAGAGTTATCAACGGATGAATGTTCCTAAAGGGCAGAGTAATACGTATGTATTCGCGGGTGTGCGCCTCACGGACCATTTGTTGATTCAGCGTTAACCAGATTCAGTGTTAGACAACCAGCTCTTCTCAGGCATAGTCAGTAGCAGAGGTCTAGAAAGTAGCCAGAAGACCTCGTTTTCGAATCTGTTTACCGTTGCATTCAAGTACAGCAAGGGAAGAAGGTCCATCCACGGATAGGTGCTAATCTGACATCGGATAGAGACAAAGACCTTTTGGGCGTCACTGAACAAGCAGAATTTCGAGCCAGGCCCCGTGAGGAAATTTAGCTGGACTGAGGGATACTTGGGATGTATCCATAGCACCATAGCTAGCAGAGGAAAAACGATGGTTTATCGTGTCTCAGATAGGCCGCGGCGATGGTACACATCGGTGAGGATTGCATACTCATCCAAATGAGGCGCGCAGCGGAATGGTCCTCGTATGAGCTTGGTCCGCAGTGATCACAGTAACCTGCGCAAGTCATTTAGTGCGAGGATTGAGGTATCCGCTGAGCTAGAACTCGGTGCCCACGACGAGACCTTGGCGAGTCTGCTGCGAGAGATGAGAGGAGCATGCACCAGAATTGCTCCTTCAATGACCAAAACATCGGTTGCTCTCAAGTACTTGCAACAAAGATGGCAAACGACTTTGGCGAGTTGAGTCGCATATTGAGTCTGCAGTGGTCTTCGGCTAAGTCAAAGGGTAAAAGGCTCCGCTGCACTTGTTCGCGTCGCGTCGTTCTGCGCGTTTCCAAACCCCAACCCACAACTCCGATTCCGCGACCCGTGTCCGCACTGCGTAGACTGCGAACTGCGAACTACGCTTACGACTCTTCTTCCGTTTAATGGAAAGCTCGTAACTGCTGCGAAATAGCTATGCTTTCAGCACTCCGTAGCTTTGCACGGATATGCCCCGGCACAGTTCCAACGTTAACATGTGGGTATCCACTCCGACCTGCCAACCGGTCCCGTATATATACCTTAGCCTGGTCACGCCTTAAATCTACACCCACTTCATCTCTCATCAGCTCGATAAGATCGTGTTCCCACATCGCAAGAATGGCCACTCAACTCAACCCAAAGGACGCCGAGTATCGTTTGCCCACCAATGTGCGGCCTACGCACTACGATCTTACAGTTCGGACCGACTTGGAGAAGGAGACTTTCCAAGGCGTTGTCAAAGTCAGGTACGTTTCGATTGCGTTTGTTTCGCGTGTTCGAACTTGTCCAGACCGTCTTACATATAACACTTTCAGCTTGGATGTTAAGAAGGAGACCTCGAGCATAACCTTCAACACTGCGGAACTCGACTTGACCGACGCATCCATCTCCTCTGATGCAACTGGTACTCGGCAATCATACACCTCGAAATCTTTCAATACCGAACGCGAGGAAGGTACTTTGGTGTTCCCAAATGCCCTCCCGGCAGGATCCGTAGCAGAACTTTCTATCGCATTCTCGGGCAAGCTAACGGGATCCATGATGGGTTATTACAAGTCGGCATTTGCGGAGGACGGAAAGCAGAGCATCTACACTTTGACTCAGTTTGAGGTATGTAATCTCATTTCGTCGCGCTTGGTCCCTTGCTGACGCGCATATAGCCTACTGCCGCTCGCAAAGCGTTCCCGTGCTGGGACGAACCGGCTCTCAAGGCAACATTTGCGGTCTCTTTGATCTCTCGTGCCCACCTCGTCAATCTCGGCAACATGTCTGCAAGACTGGAAGAACCTTACAATCCCAACAAGAATGAGGATCCTGACCTCGCAAAGCTCTTCTCATCTCTTTCCGTGGAGGACCAGCAGCCGAAGGATGAGTGGAAGATAACCCGTTTCCACACGACACCTCTCGTACGTCTTCATAAGTTTTATCTACTTTACTACTCTAATTCCCTACAGATGTCAACCTACATTGTTGCGTACGCCAATGGTCCCTTCAAGTACATCGAAGGATCTTACACGAGCCCTCTGAGCGGCAAGAAGCGTCCGTTGCGTGTGTACAGTAAGTTACAATACATGTATATCTTGGTTTTGTTCGCTAACCACCCACCAGCGACTCCGGAGGTCCTTCATCAAGCCAAGCATACGCTCGAAATATCGGAGAAAGTCATGCCAATCTACGAGAAGGTCTTTGATATCGAGTATCCTCTACCGAAGCTCGACACTCTGGTCGTGAGTTGCATGGTGTTGAGCCCTTATGTATCATGCGCCTTACAACATACTCCTTCTAGGCTCACGACTTCGACGCTGGTGAGTCGCTGCAGGGTATTAAGTTATTTCCTAGCTAAAAGAGGCTAACAAAGGTGCTATGGAAAACTGGGTGCGTGTAGCACGACACTTTTAGCTAATTCCTTGCTCTTGGCTAACTCCTTTCTCAAAATAATCAGGGTCTTATCACGGGGCGCACCAGTGCCTTCCTCATGGACCCGGAAAAGGTCCAGATGAGTATGCTCAAGCGGATCACAACCTTCCAATCGCATGAAATTGCTCACATGTGGTAAGTAACGCGTCCTTATGTTTCATATGCTCGGAAGACTCATACGAAAATCTTATTCAGGTTCGGTAACATCACGACCATGGAATGGTGGGATAACCTTTACCTGAACGAAGGTTCGTAGATGATGTAAATTTTTGTGGACGATTCTGACCTGAGGCTTAGGATTTGCGACTCTGGTGAGCTCTTGTAATTATTTACATAGACCGGCTTACTCAGTTCTTCAAGATGGGAGAGTATATCATCGTCGGTGCGTACCAATTAATCTTGCATTGAGAATAAAGATCTGAATCCCGAGATAGACAAGTACATCTCAGACCCAATCCCTAAACGCCTTTGAACTCATTGTTTCTTTAGGTTGTACCCTGAATGGAAGGTCGACGCTGAGTTCATCAGCGACAACCTCAACGACGCACTTAATCTCGATGCGAAACTTTCTTCCCATCCCGTCGAAGTTCCTTGCCCAGATGCTAACCAGGTCAACCAGGCAAGCATTAGTTTCTTGTGACTGCAGCGCGACCTATAACTAATTTTGAATTGATCATAGATCTTCGACTCCTTATCCTACGCCAAGGCTGCCTCTGGTACGCAAACCTGATGCATCATGACATATTGTCTTGCTAATAGCGCTCTCAGTTTTACGCATGCTGTCCAACTATGTCGGCCAAGAACGATTCATCAAGGGTGTATCTCTTTACCTCAAGAAACACTTGTATTCGAACACGGTCACGAAAGATCTTTGGGAGGGGATCGAAGAGGCGACAGGTGTGTACATATTCTGAAGTCGATTTTGTAGTGCCATTTCTCACTGACGTTGCTAGACGCGGGCGTTCCGAAGATGATGGACCACTGGATTTCTAAGGTATGACTGTGACTTGAATTGATATCGGTCGATATATACCATGCATTCTAGATCGGCTTCCCAGTCGTCACCGTTACGGAGACCAGGGACGGAATCACTGTTCGTCAGGATCGATTCCTTGAGACAGGACACGCCGAACCTCAGGATAACGAAACCTTGTGGTACGCTTTATCTCTTTCTTTTTTGACCACTCTGGTATTGAGTTTCTGTTGTCAGGACCATTCCTTTGTGCCTGCTTACTGTCGACGAAGCCGGCAAACCTCAGATTGACAAGAGCCTCATTCTTGACACCCGCGAGAAAACTATCGCTCTCGACACCTCGAAGCCGTACAAGCTTAACGCAGGGACCAATGGTGTTTGTAAGTCTCAGTCAGCGGAGGCAACACCTGTTTAATCTTACCAATTATGAACTAGATCGTGTCTTATATCCTGATGAACGCCTCACAAGAATCACCAATGAGGCGGCCAAGGGCGAAGAAGTCTTCTCGTTGAACGATCGCATCGGACTCGTTCACGATGTATTCGCCCTGTCTAAGGCGGGCTTCATGGATCTGAGTGGTGCTCTGAACGCTGTCAACATCCTGCACGATGAGAAGGATTGTAAGTTTTATTCTCTTTCCTATTTAGTATTGTTGCTCATGGAAACAACTTGAGACCTCGTTTGGGATACCATTGCATCAAATCTCTCTCTGCTGTACTCGACATGGTGGGAGAACCCGAAGGTCACAACGACTCTGAATGAGTTCCGTGCAGTAAGATATGGTTGTCTGACGTCTTCGTCGTGATATCTCACACTGCCTTTGGTAGTTTTTGTTCAAGCCTGTCGTTGAACGGCTCGGATACGACAATGCACCCAACGACGATCCTAACACTATTCAGTTACGTAGTAAAGCTGTCGAACAGGCTTCGCGTGCTGGCGAACCTTCGTAGGTCTTCTTTTTATTTCAAGGGGCTTCCGTAGCTTATCAAATTGAACGATAGGGCTGTGAAGGAACTGCAAAAGCGTTTTGCGCAGTACATGAACACCGGTGACGACTCGCACATCTCTCCCGACATCATGCGCTCTACACTCTTTACTGTAAGTTCTACACTAGGTCATAATTTTCATCGATATCCAATGAGTTTTCACAGGGTGTGCGTTATGGTGGGCGAAAAGAGTTTGAGTTCACCAAGAAAATCATCGAGGGTACCACGACCCCACCTGCCACGAGTATTTCGGCAATGTAAGTCGACGAGTGCAATTTTGCGCTCGCCATCAAGTTGATAATGTTTCGCAGGTTGGCTCTTTGTCAGACACAGGATCCCGAGCTCATCAAGGAGGTTTTCTCGTATATCCTCAACAAAACTCGAACCCAGAACCTGATCTACATGTTTATGGGCCTTCAATCTAATTTGTCCACGAGACGTCAGGCTGCTGAGTTCTTCAAGCAGAACTTTGATGAGGTTAGGATTTTGCCCCGTTAGCTTGATCATGCTAGTGAATACTGATTGCGTGTAGATGGAAAAACGATACGCCGATACCTTCGGGTTGGCAGGAGCAGTCACGGTATGTAAAGAAATTCTTTTCAACGATATATAGACTTCAATAATACGTTCGTAGGCCAACTTTAATCACCTGACGAAGGACGAGGACTACAAAGTGGTCGAGGAATTCTTTAAGGTACGAGCTCCTCATCAGCCTCCCTGTATCATTTCGCTGATCGTTGATACACATTAGGACAAGGATCGGTCGAAATATCACATGGCTTATGGTCAACTCTTAGATTCGCTGCGTGCATCTAACGCTTGGATCAAGGTATACTCAATCTCTCCTATCCAACTCATTGTTGCTGATCTTCTATTCGCAACAGCGTTCAACCACCGATATTGAGCAATGGCTCGATAGCTGGAGTGCAAGATCTAAATTATAATTTACTTGTCATAGATCTAGTTTAATATTTCTCGTTTTCAGTACGTAGAACGTCAACTCAGGTGATCTTGCGACGGCAATGTTACATCCAAAACTTTAAGGCTGGAACGAGATGACTTGTACACTTTATTTATTGAGCTCGAAGCTACTGTTTACCACATTAATTCTTCTGAGAATTGTCAATAGCAAGTGCGCTGACACTCAAGTGTAACTAGATGCATCGTGTCTGATGTCCGATTTGGCTCACCTAGAAGTCGAATATTGAGCAGCGGCTGGCCGATCGAACAATGAAACACCTGACTCGGATCCGACGTATTATCCAGGGGTTCATATTCGATAAGTTCATCAGCTCCAACAAAACCTTGCTTCATGACCCTCGGTTCATTCAGTGTAAAAAGTGCAATATATGAATTCCGATACAGGGAGATGCTAAAAATACAGTACAAGCCTTCAAATCTAAGTGGTAGTAAAGATACAGCTACAGGATGTCATGATGTAAACGGAAGCCCCAGATGAAATGCGAAGTGGATGAGTTGTCCGGGATTGGCACGGACGGAAAGTGTTCGTAGAGGTATCATGGTCCGGAATTAGCACGGACGAAGGATTAAGCATGTGTAAGTTGTGTTGGCATCAAGCCAAGCGGAAGGGAAAGACTGGTCAAGGGAGTAAGGGTATCGCGATACTAGGCCGACTTGAAGCAAATGGGTGGTGCCTTCAATCGCAGCCGTAGCGGCAAATGCGTGCCTCGACGTCGACGTCGGGTTCAGCCTCAACGCGAGGAACTTCAGGAGTGGTCTCCTCAGAAATGGAGGCGTCCGGAATGCTGCTGTCGCGCTAAAAAAAATTGATACATTTAGGTCATGTAATATAATATTTTAGTACGAGAAACTTACAGCAAGGTGCTCAATGAAATTCTGAGGGACGACAGCGTCTGCAATGAGCGCGGGCACAGTGATTGGCATGGGAGCAGCCGAAACGAGAGACACTGGAAAGCAAAGGTCAGACGAGCGAATATTTCCTTTGAGGCTGTGCAACTTACGAAGAGCAAAGAAGAAAGCGATGAAGTAGAAAACAGAGATCTTGGCGAACATCTTGAAAAGGCGGGGTGGTAGGATTGTTATTCGAGAACGCGATTAGGGACGGAAATAGACTGTAATCCTGAAGCTGGAAAGAATGCAGAATGCAGGAGAGTGGCTGGCAGTGTCTAGCCCAAAAGCGGGGAGAACAATAAAACGAAAATGCACAAGAGGCTCGTTGTCCTCCCCTTGCCGTCTCCCGGCCAGTTCTTATACTCGACCTTACTTTCTTACCACCGAGTGCGCGAAGACTTACTCTTTCAACATCCTAAAACGAGAAAATCTTCAAAGGATCGTCCTGTTTGGGAACAGAGCTTCAGTCCTAATTTAGGAGCTAGTTTGTTGGATGGTACCACGCGCTCGATGCCCACGAGATGCCACGGCCCATGGGGAGTGCAATGTCCGCAGAGGTGAGAGATTGGTGAGAGTGGCAGCGATAGGGGCAACAACGGATATGGATGGGTGTTTGTTCGTGGGCGCGCAAACAAGGCACAACTCCATGGACAACAACGCTTCCCTTTTTTGGGACGCGACTTTGACGTTGACGTCGGCTGCGAATAGGGTTTTTGGCCTCGGTATGTTTTCCAGGCACGATGATTGACAGCGCGCTCGTCAGATAATTATTTGGGCAGATCTTCTGCTGATTTATGATTCATGATTCTCAGTCACATTGCGCCTGGCCCGAGGCTACCAGCCATGCAGCAATTCAAGCTCTATGCTTCAATCAGAATGCCTCCAGGCTCCTCATGTTCTCCGAGCCATCCCGGATCACTTTGCATAAATCAAGACGCAGTACTTTATCATGCAACTCCATCAATTAAATTAGGAAGATCGAACAGTATGCTAGGCAAATAAACAAGATAAACCTACAGTCCTGGAATTAACACAGGCAATTGAACACAGGTCAACAATAGAAATACTAGTAAAGATCCCAACGCGCTAAGGAGACATATCATAGAAAGGGCGAAGGCCGCAGCACTCAGCGTGCAGCAGTAATGTCCGAGAAATAACTTCATGCGAACGCAATAAATCCTAAATAATGACGAAAGCTAAAGCGAAACCGTGAGTGGATGAACATGAGACTTGAACTGGAGAAAACATACAACGTGGTTTCGTCAGAGATCGACGGTGAGTTTAGTCGCAGCCGTAGCGGCAGACGCGTGGCTCAACATTAACGGGAGGGGTAGCATCTCTCTGAGACAAATAGATGTCAGAGGCGACAAAAGTCGAATATCGGTGTGACAGTTCATACCTGAGCCAAAACCTGACCGACTTCGGGTATTGGGCTTGCTGCTGCTAGCAGAACCGAAGCTAGGAAAATCGTGCGATGCGTCAATATAGAAAGGAAGCCAGTGATTCTTTTTAGACCTACAGGCAAAGACAGCAAACCAGATGTACGAGACCTTCGCGAACATATCAAATATAGGCAGGGTGAAATGAACGAGGTACAGAAGCGAATGGGAAGTTTGGCGTCAGAATCGGGTTGGCTGCTCAGGGTGCTTCAAGATAGATGGGCGATGGAGAACATACGGTTGTGTCCAACTCCTCTTATACACCTACCCTCGCTATCCCTTAACTTACCTAAAGATGGCTCTGCGAAAGGCTTTCACCACTTCGGAGTAGCTTGCGCGGTGGTTAGCCTTCGGTGGTGACGGTGGCGCGAACGTCGAAGCGCTGGTACGACACACAGCCGGGGGCCTCGGGCACGACGGTGAGTTCCTGTGGATCCATCGCACCAAACTGGGACCAACTGACTTCCCTTACTGAGGCGTCCCTTTGAAAAGAAGGCTTCGGTCGCGATCTGCAGAAATACGCCCGAATAAAGCGATGGCCGTAAACGGAGAGTATGTTCGTGTGAGCAGTAGCCTCACGGTGTTTATTAAGGTCGAGGTTGTCTCCACGGCGTCGACGTCGCAACCGAGAAATACAAGAACTGCCTGAAGCAATAGTAGAACTTTAGATAAGCTCGTCGGGCCAGTCGTCATTGCAGCATGTGCTTTGCGGATACTTGGTGGAGCACACGCGGAATGTTCAGTATGACAGTGTCGACGGCGCAATTACATTACAAAGAGTCCTCAGAGCTGGGCCCAATTAAGATACAGAAAATATCCAAAAAAAATACTTGGAAGCGGAGCTAGACAGCAGAGGCGAGCAGCGCTTGCATCAAGCAAGATAGCTGGCTGTGCTGCCCGGAAGTGACAGACGGTGTTAGGTGGAGGTACGAGTAAGAATTGAGCTGCAAAATAAGATGAACCAGGACTACCCCACGAAAGTACAAGTAACGAATTATCCATGCGAAAGATACAACAGAGGGGTAACAAGAGCAGAGGTATCAAGAAAACCACGAGTCATCAAAGAGCGTAAGAGCGGCGAAAGGCTGGAGACCACGAGAACAACGCAGCAACATGAAGTCCAGGGTGTGTATACCCTGCTTAGACCTTTAGTCGGAAAACGAAGCGGACGAGTGGACACAACATACCAGACATCAATCAGATGCAGCCAAAGCGGCATATGCGAGCTTCGAGGTCATCCTGGCTTTCCGGCTCGGAAGAGCGCTCAGGATCAGGAGTTACTTCCTCCACGACAGCGCGGGGGATGTCCAGTGCTGGCTCGGGCTCCGGTCCACGAGTCTCTACATCAACACTGACAAGTTCTCTCTAGACACATAATGTCACTGATGTGATACGAACCAGAGAAGGTATATACTTACTGCAATTGCATCATTGAAAAGGGCGATCCCTCCCTGCACAGCGGGGACGACAGGGATCGGACTTGCCGAAGCAAGCAGGGACACTGCGACAGCCACATTAGCAACCGGTGATGGTGCTTCACTAGGATAGAACTCACTGAATCCAAGAATGAACGCGATGACAAACGCCAAAGGAATAGTGGTTCGGGAGAACATCTCGATATGGTGCGGGAGGTGGGTGTTCTTCTATCACGAAGTGCGGAAGTAAAAGGGAGCGGAACGCGTCTGTGCGTTGTAGCGGCGAAGCGATGCGGTGCGAAGACGCAAAATGAGGAGAAGGACAAAGCAAGCAGTCGAAGGACAGCCAGACGAGGGAGGTGTCGAATAAAAAGACTTTGGCGAGCGCCAGCTAAAGGTCGAACGAGAAGATGCTCTCTAAGCTAGTCGAGCACCGTGCTTATATTCTGCGCACCCGAGGTACGAAGTGGCGGCTGAACAGTCCTTGTAGTGTAGCCATTGTTCCTAGCGGTAGCGCATATAGTTCAACGGGGTGCACCGAGAGGGCCGCTGTGAGAAGTCAAGAGGCGGCACGGTCGAGGAGTACAAGGTCAACAGCTGGTCCCGTTCTGGCAATCCCTTTGAGTCCCGCCATCGTCATCAGCGACGATGCGAAGGTGCTAGAGTGCCTGATGGCGAATGCGCGATGTAGCTTGTGCTATTCTCACCTCTCGGTGCCTTGCTTCTTCACCAGCAACCTGAGCCACATTCTAGATCTCTAAGCGGCCAATAGTCACAGGCTGGCCAAGCATCACAGCATGGGTCCGTTGAGGAAAGTTTGAGTTGCATGAGAGGATCAACGCGAGGGTTAACAAAGGGAAGGATGGACGAGGAAAGCTGAAAGCCGGCGGCAAAAACAAGGATCGCCATATTGGGCAAACATGTGGCTAGCTTCGTCTCAATTAGGCAGGTGACTTCGGGCCAGTTACATAGACTTTACTTACTCTTGCTTTACAATTTGCTACTTAAGATAGATCGTAGTTCAGAGCATTGGTTGGGTGAGAGTCGCCAGAACAAGGTACTAGTCTACAGTACGTCTACATTCAAGCTACTGGCCACGTATGAAAACCACCAACACCAGCATGATAGGAAACACTTCTCCTGCGGACATTCTTCGTCTGGCAATGTACATGTTGGCGGATTCGCCAGCCTCTGTCTCACAAGAAAGAGCTCACAGTAAGCAGTGCGAAGTTATAGGATATGCATTATCACCTGCGTATCAACAAAAGCATTTCCTGCTCACTTGAGATCACTAGTGCCATTCTGTCACGTTCTCCACCGCCCCTTCGATGTGAGGATACGCGCGATAATATAACCCACTAAGTTCAGCGGTGGTAGGAACCAGCAGCAGCACGAAACCTGGCGTGCAAGCCCTTGCAAACTGGGCGAAGGTTTTTTTATCATACAAGCATTCGGCCGTGAAACTTCAGTCAAACTACTCGAATTCACGATATAGCCTTGTCATGAGAGCGTGGTGAGTGTCGAGGTTCATTGAAGGGCGGCGTCCGAGAGGGCGACTCAGTCAGCTTCGTCTTGGGCCCGCGAAATGGATCCCGGATGGTGGCAGCCGCTGCGCACGCATCAAATGGGAGTTGCATCTAGTCGGCGGATAGAAATGGGCGATACTTCACATATGCAAGTTTAGGACGCCAAGACAAGTGAGTGCCGTTGCGGGGACCAGAATATAGCCCGTGGCGCTCTGATGATTTCTTGTCCCCTGGTAGTAACAGCCTTGGGCCAAGGAGCATTTGGATGCTCTGTACCGGAGTTTGCACAGAGCTGGATTATCGAGACACCAACGTCGAGTACGCAAAGTTCCAGCGCGGAAGTGAATAGAGTGGGCCCAGAATTTGCGGGCACATCAGCCGGATCTTGTGCGAAGGACTTGGCTTGAATCTAACGCAAAGATACTCCAGCACAGCAGACGATGTGCAACCACAGCTGCGCCGGGCCAATCTTGGTGACAATAGTACAAGTCAACTTTGAGTCAACTCAAGTCTAAGGTTGCCGAAAGCCGTTTGCTGCGACAGCTGTGGCTGTGACGGTGACGTCAGTGCAGAACTAACCTTCGAGTCGCGCAGGTGAAGATCTAGTGAGTTGCACACTTCGACCCGACAGAGACGACGCTTATGAATATTCAACAGCAAGAATCACCGGCAGGAGCAAGATCATCGTGGTCTTCCGGGGTCAGCGGCGATGGCACGAGCGTCGATTGGAGCCGGCCCCGCGTTGGAAGGCTAAGGAAGCGCTGATGCAGCACTAACCCTCACTAACCCCGTCACGTCCAATTCATCTTAGCACTTTGTTGCCTCTTTTCCGAGCAGGCGCTTCACGGATTCGCACAGCTTCCACTTGGCTTGATTCACCCATCCTATGCTGTCACCGTCCTGGATGCCCTAAAAGTGCTCGGCCTGGCTTCCTTCTTTCCACCTCTCTCTTTCTCTCTTCATCTGCACGACTCTTAACGACTCTTGACACGACAATCCGCTCATTATCACCATGCCCGCAAGCGTCAAACATACGCATTCAGCTGGTGAGTAATCATCTACTTCCTTGTTACCGTCTCTAAATCCATTTATATTCTTCCAGAACCGCTACGCGCTTCCGCTACTGGGCGACGGCGCACATTCACGGAAGCCGTAGATGGGCCCCTCATGGGCGTAGTACACGAAGCCGACGGGTCTGCGGGCGAATACTGGGCCGACCTCAAACCACATAGGAAACGAACTTTCCTCACCGCAGCGACAAGTCCGGACAGTGCTAGCTTTGCTTTCCTATCGCCCGAGCCTGCCTCCCAGAAGGAACAAGACGATGCAGACGAACGGGCACATCAACGCGCCATGGAGAACCTCGCTGGTTCATGGCAAGAGCGCCTCCAGCTTATTTCTGTCATCGTGAGTCGTACTAACTGCACCATCTCTTCCGGCCTGCTCACCACTCCTGATATGTAGACGACGTTCTTCGCCTCGATGGAGGCAGCCATGCTTGTGGTCACCGATCCAGGAGGCGCCGACGGCGATCTCAGCGCAGTATCTGGCGTTCTCAAGGCAGCTAACGCCGGTCTGCTCGGTGCCCTTATCATGCACGTATACTCTGGTATGTGTGCCTATCAGCGTGTAGGCACGAGTCACATTCTGATACAGCGATATCACATTTCACGCAGCTGTGCTCTCCTTCCTCGCCGCCTTCCTGCTCACACGCTGGAAGCTCAAGGAAGCTTCTAAAGTCGAAGAGAAGGTGGAACTGGTCACACATGGGGGCAGATTTGAAACCCATTCGCCACCAGGAACGTGGCGGTCCAAAGGCAGCGCTGTAACACAGGAACTTGAAAATGCCCCTACAGAGAAACAGAATGGTCATGACGCCACCGGACAACGTCCTTCCCCTGACCCCGCCCCCGGACATGTAAGCCAGTCAGAGCCCGCCAACGCTGGCGCGCGGCGCGGGCACATGTCCCATAATGTCCCACCCCCGCAGCGCGCTCGGTCGGGCTCTGAGCCCATGGAGCCCCCCATCTTCTCGCGCAACCCGCATCTAGAGCAGGTCGGCCCCTTCTGGCTCGGCGGAAGGCCCTCGCAGCACCTCCTGGGCCGGATGCACTCGCTCTGCGTCCTGCTTGCGACCTTGGGTTTCGCCCTCGCGATCATGGGCATCCTCTGCTACGGCTGGGCGCGCCAGCCGCGTGAAGTGAGCATCTTCGCGACGACGATTCTGGCCGCGGGCATTATCATCTTGCTGGCGCTGCTGGCGCCGGACGTGAAAATATGGAAGGCGGAGGAAGGTATCGAAAATAGGATCGAGAACAGGATCGAGAAGAACGCGGCGCGCTGAGGTTTGGATTGAGCTATACCGCTGATTTGGAATTTACAGTCTTTGGAAATATTACATGCACGTCATTTTACGCATACTCGTTTATCATCGCCATACTACATCGCGTCCTTAGGACAATGATACCGTAGTTGTTAATAGCGCTTCCGAGCGCCTTCCTGTACTTACTCGAACCGCTTGCCGACACCCACATGCGAGGCATAATGATACAATGAATTGTACAATGTCCATATTACTTTTCTTCTCGTGTCCAACCAGCGCCTACGTATATGGTAAGAGGTCGAGGTTTTCACTATGCTCAACCTGACCCCGTCACAGTTCCATCGCTCCCCTCACCGCTATCCTGATACTCACCGTGAATGTCTCCTGTGCTCCATTCCGAACTCATCGCCTCAACATAACCCCACCTGGACCAGAGATCTCTTTGGGCTGTGCCTTGACCGCTCTTCACGCCCCATGTCACGGCATACTTCTCCAAGAGCATCCCTGGGGCCTCGTCAACGTTCCCCATGCGGAGGAATGACGGAATGGCCTGAAGCTTAGACCTTTACATGGACGAGTTAGAGAGGATAGAATCGAGAACAACGATATGAATGCGTACTCCGGTAGATCTATATACTTAAACTTGATGATTTCGTCGATCGTCAATGCGTAGGCGTTGCCGAAGCCGTGTGTGGTAAATCGGTCTGCCAGGCTATGTGCGTCTGGGTATGCCCCTGGGAGAGCGATGCCATGGCCCTTGGATGACCGTCCATGTTAGACGACGTTGAGCGCAGCAGACAGGGGTGTACTCACGTCCGCTAGCCTTCTCGCCATTGTCTGACCGATTCCTCTGCTGCTCAGGCCGAACATTTCATACACGATTCCTCCTAGCGGGGTAGACCCGAGCTTGTTCGCGAACCAAGCGAGGAGGGCGTCGCTTTCTTCTGGCTTCATGTACACGAATACGCACTCTGAGAGGAGAAGTGTGGGTAGTGTGACGTCCAGTATGGCATGAAGTTGGGAAAAGAGGTCGTTGGGATTCTCGGAACGCGCTTCAGGATCCCCCGGCTTGCGCATGTCGGCCGCCAAGAGGTAGTACGAGCCACTCCCGCTTGCTTTTGCTTGAAATCTGAGAACATCATTTTGACCTATACATGGCACGGCATGAAGTAAAGAACGATGCAAGCAATGAGGGTAGACATACCTTTTCTGACAGAATCGGATGTCCACACAGATGTGGCTGATTCCTGGTCCTTCAGGCCCTCAACTTTCTCCGCCTTCTTCGTAACCGTCTCGGAAAAGTCGACCTCGATATAAGCGCCCAGCGAGTCCTTATACCTCTCGTCTGTCTAGCTATATTGCATCAGTCAAACACAGAAGCCTGAGACCGCCAAAATTGCTGAATACTCACACCATAGCGCCAGAACCGCGTATCGCTTCCCGCGCCTAGGCTCACGATCTGCGCCTTGCACCCCGCGCGTTCGCAGTTGTCCAGCCACCTGTCGACGAGTCGGTCGATCGCGCGGGTGCGGACGTACGTGCCCCGCATCTTGTCGAAGTTCTCCAGCGAGGGCATGCTGCGTTCCGCTCCGGGTGCAAACCTCCTGGCGGCGGCGGTGTCGCCACCGGCGAGCTGGGTGACGTAGGGGTCATCGAGGAAGAAGTTGGCGGTGAGTCTGTCTTGCAGCGCGACGTCGTCTGTCCATCGGATGGCTGCGTCTGGTTCGGAGGGGATCTGGCCTTTGCGTTGGGGTTTGCGGGTTGGGAGACGGGGAGGGAGCATTGCCATGTTGAGATGTGGAGGATAGGAGTAACCGAAGACGTTTTCCAGGGGTGCGCGCTTCGGTGTCAATAGTCGCGTGTGCAAACGTCGCTTCTCGCTTGGTTGCATCTGCGTCATGTGTCACGACGACCACAACCTTTAGATTTACCTCTCTGTACTATGGTCAAGGCCGGAGCCCAAGGCCCTGGTTGTGTCTAATTAACGTCCCAGGATACTGCTGAGATGATTGACTCGAACACTTGGGTCTGCTCCATGTCTTCTCACTACTTCCTCATTCATTCAGTTAGTATTTCGATCTCTCAGCTCGTTCAGGACAAGCAACCACCCATTCACCTTAGATTCGTTAGGTTTTCATCCACATTGGGCTAGGGGAACTGTAACGAACCCGACATGTACAAGGGCGCGGCTCTTATCTCTGCTCCGAACCTCTTGATAAGATGCCTCGTGGCAGTCATCTGCAACCTGAATACACCTCGCCAAGACCACTTTCATGCGACACTGGGTCAAGTCAACTTCCATAAGGTCGTCGTGCATCGTATAAATGCTCTGCATTTTCGCGATATGTCTGTCTTCCGCGCTGCCCTCAGCGCTCTCCGTGTCTCCTCTTCGCCAGGATGTCATCTCAAGACTCTTTACCTGTCCACCCCTCCCCTGAGACGAGACAAAGTCACGGCTCTGCAAAAGCGAGATCGACTCTACGGACGATAGCTCATCATATAAGGAGACACGCTGGCGTCGGGATTATCATCTCGGTTGGCTATTTCGACCCGTCAGTCCTGGTTCGATGCTCTTCTCTGTGCCGTCGTTGCGAATAACTGTAAGCCAGTGGTAATTGGAGCGTCGATTTGCAAGCGGGTTCGACTTTTGGGTATAGGACAATGCTGTTTGTAATCCTGTTGGCTGGCATTATGGCCATCATCCTCCAGGTGTGTCCTTTGCGATGAGATGCGACTCAGGCCACTGATAAATGGAAAGATTCTTTCGGCGCGGCTAGGGTTTGTTACTGGCCTAGGCGAGTGCAAATCTAATCCTAGGTTTACGCGCTCTCGTCCGTTGAGCTGAGCATATACTATCAGACTTGGCGACGAACTGTCGAGTTTTGCTGCACAAACACCCCAAGCACCCCAAGCTCATCCGCCGATGCGTTCTCTATCCACTTTACGTGCTTGCCGAGATCTGTATCATCAGCACCGACTTGGCAGAGCTGCTGGGCTCCGCCATTGGGACATGCCTGATATTTCCCAAACTTCCTATATGGGCTGGAGTACTGATCACGGGCGTCGATGTTCTCATATTTCTCATCATCGGTGATCCGACCAGAAACCGAGGGCGGCCAGTTCAGGTTTTTGAATTTGCGATGATTATCCTGGTGAGCGTTGAAGATCTCGTAGAGACACGGGCGCTTACGGTCTGGCAGGTCGGGATTGTATTTGTTGGCTTTATCGTTTTGATTGTCAAAGTCAGTCCAAACTGGGCTCAGGCGTTCTATGGGTTCATTCCCTCGAATCGTCTCCTTCAAAGCTCGCCTAATGCTGTCTATATAGGTGAGTAGGTTGTTCAGCTACTCTAATTTCCACTAATTCATGTCCAAACTCGCAAAGCTATTGGCATCGTAGGGGCCACCGTTATGCCCCACACACTTTTTCTGGGATCTTACCTCTCCACCCAGGACAGGGTCGAGATAGTGCCGCTCGAGCTCCCCGATCCAAGCCTCGCCACGGCATCGCGTTTTCGCCGGTGGTGGAAGTCGTTCACATCCCAGTTCTATGCAACCAGGATGTCGGAGGACCGTAGAATTGAGATCGAGACTCGACATGGGTATAGAGACAATAACTCTCTATCCTTTATCCGGGCCCATATGACTCACGGACTTGTCGATATTGTCGTAAGCTTGTTGACCGTTGCTGTGCCTGTGAACGCTGCGTGAGTGTTACTCGTCCTTAGACTTACTTATGAGAATATCTTACTTAAAACATTGCAGCATCGTCATACTCGCTGCCACAGTGTTCTATGATCCCAATACCTTGTCCGACGGAAGTCTCTTCACGATGCATGATCTTATACGTGACACTCTTGGAAAAGGTAACGCATGGCTTGTTATATTGTTGCGGTCCACAATTGACCAAATATTGACATTTCCAGGATTCGCGTTCATCTTTGCTCTGGCACTCGTGTGCTCAGGTCAAACCGCCAGCATAACGGCAACTTTCGCTGGACAGCTCGTCTCCGAGGGCTTTATTCAATGGCACATCTCTGTAAGTCTGACTTTTGCTCCTTCTTTCCTTATGAACAGCTGGCTCACTGTGATCCGCCGGTGTTCACAGCCATTCCTACGCCGCCTCATCACGCGCCTTCTGAGTCTGATACCCTCGATGATCGTTGCTATTTCCTCAGGCAGATCTGGCATTGATACGCTGCTCGTCGCGTCCCAAGTCGCGCTCTCCGTCGTCCTCCCGTTCGTCGCATTCCCGCTCATCTATCTCACGGCATCTAAAAGTGTCATGTACGCGAGACGGGAGCGCACCGACGATCAACGCGCGAATGGAGATGAAAATGCATGCGGCAAGGATGTGCCGCAAAATGACGACAAGAAGGCGGAGCTTGAGAGCGCTGCTGTTGAGGCGCCGCCAATGCTCACCGTCACCGAGGTCGAGGTCACGGCTTCGCCGGTCAAGGTGCCACGGGAGGACAAGATGGACTTCAGCAACTCGTATATGATGACTATCGTTGCATTCTTGGTGTGGGCAGTGGTGGTACTGGCCAACGTGTATGTCATCGTTATGCTCGGGCTCGGTGACACGGGTGAATAGAGGTACAAACCGTTAACGATCGGGGCGTCGGAGTTGCAGGGTGCACTTCGACGTACGTTGCTGATCACGCCCAGCATAACCATAGGTATAGATTCGAGTGGCTGCAGGTGTACAGTACCATACAAACGTATCAAGATCAGACCACGAAACGAATTGATGAAGCCCAACAAGGTCCAATAGCATTCATGTTGACTACTCACACGTCAAGATAGTCGTTCAAGTTTACCCGGAGAAATATTGGACTTTTTCCTGAGTGGGCGGCCGGAGCGGATACCACAACGATAATTTTCTCGAGATAAATTTGGTGGTAAGATAACAAGGATTTGGGCTATGGATTTCCAGTGACATGATATGACGATAGAAAGTTTCTAGCACCCAGACTCATCGTAAACTTTCGAACCGGCAGAGTAGAATGGTCGGGGGTGGTACTGCCAGACGAATGAAGAGGCCTACATTTACATAATATTCTTGCTATCCAATAAACTCTTAGTGAACTGATACGCTGTCGTCAAGATACATAACTTCATCAGAAGCCCTGGAACAGCGAGACGTCACAAGTTTGGGATTATTATAGTCGAAGCATCTTGATTGATGTTACCACTTGTGACGCAACACCACACCAAGATGATGTTAATCAACCAGTCTGAAATCTGTAGTCAGTACTAGTAATCCATGACATGACACGACAATGACGATATCTGAGTGAATGTTACGTTGCTGCGCATCATTTACGGTTTGTATGAAGAGAGCAGCAGAGTGGCCGAAGCGAGCATATTTGGGAGGGAGAATTAGTGGTTTGCATTCATCGGACGAACAAGTCCGGACAGGGATTCCAAATTTACATGGGTTACGCGCTATTGTCTGCGAATTCCATATTACGATGACAGAGGGATCATGCAGCTGCAAGGGCGAATGGAGGGAAGCGAGGGTAGGCCTGGGTAGGCGTTGGTCTGGCCCGGGAGGAGCATGACATGTGGGGTGCATTTCACGAGTAGATGGCATCGATTATTTATAACATAAAGCGACGATGCATTGATTATCCATTGCATTCCCGTGTACTTGTTGTCTTTGAACGGACGAGAGAACAGCCCAGAAAGAGGGGCCGATTACGATTGCCATGTGCCTAAGGCACACTATCGGTTGGGACTGGCTCAAGCCGGGGTGTGATTGGCTGGCAAAGGCGGGACCTGGCAAAATACGGGGCGGGAAGCTGGTCCGGTCCATGTGCGGGGACCGGATGCGGGTATCCGAGGATGTAGGTGCAGCGCCACCTGTTGACAGATCAGAGCATGTCTCGACAGGGGCCCTGGGCCGCGACTCTGGACAGAGCCCGTTAATATCATCTGAGCGCCCAAAAACGAATGAGTAGTGAAGGTCACTCGCTTTCCTTCTCTTTGCCCTTGACGTTCACCATCTGTTCATCGCTACTGAACACCTTATCTGTCCTCTGAAGGCTCAATCTTGCAGGTTCTGTGCCTACTGTACGTCTTCAGCCCGCCATTTCAAGGTTAAACCTCCCGCCTTCTCACACAACGTCGAGGTACGTTTGTCCAGTCTGCGGCCTCGAGTGGTGTTGCCAGCACCTCCCTTGACGCGTGTGGCATCCTCCGCTCCGCCTTCGTTCCATCACATCACGACGGCACAACTGATACTCTCTTGACAGCGGTGTGAAGGACATCGTTCGCTATAAGATCCACCCTCCCCTATACCTCTCCGTCTTGAGCTCACTTTCGTCGCGTCGACTGTAACGTCCTGCATACACGCATCAAAACCATTTCCGAGTGGTGCGGGAGGTTTAATGCGACTCATTGTGCATCTTGCTAACCTACTGTTCCTGATTACACAAGGTTCGCTCAATCTCCCCACCAGGAGCTCCTTCCTAGACTTTCCCCTCGCACGGTCCTGCCGTATACGTGCGGCCTTATATCCCGACAGATACACATCCTAGACATCACCTCCTTTCTCTCCGCATATACCCTTGTCATTTCACAACTAGATGAAACAAGACAAAGCGCAGTCTACCCAGAATTCGCTTACGATCTCCCTTACCGAACCAGTCGTTTTCCTGCGCACCTATGATAACCAACGTGTACGCAACTCAACCCAACCTTCAGGTGGTTCCCCTGCGGTGGTGCGCGGACTTTTGACCTTGAACATCGTGAAACCTACACGCGTCTCGAGCATTGAGCTTGAACTACAGGGAAAAGCCACAACCTCATGGCCTGAAGGTTTGTACCAAGTCGTTATGGTCGCGAATAGCTGGGATTGACGCACGTTTTCCCCTTCTATCTATTTCCGCTTCATGACTGTGCTGCACAATGTTGCATATATGCGCTCAATTATTGTTGAACATGGCATTCGTGCATAATTTGCAGGCGTTGGAGCGCGCCGCATCGAGATAACGGAGACACGCAAGGTGTTCTACGCCAATACCGTATTTTTCAAGGCATCCGGCGCAACCAGTAATCGACGCGCAGCGTCAATTGGTCCAGGCCTCTTGCATGACCTTGATCATGATCTCCATGACCGCGAGGAGGTCAGCCGGACACGTCCACCCTCACCCACGTACCCAACACCAGCAGCGAACTCGTCCGACTCACCCGAACATCATCCCTCGCTTACCCACGAGTCTTCTCCTCCACCCTTTTCCTCCGCGGCAGCCCATACCCCACGTTCCTTGAGTGTCGATTTCAATGCCCTCCTCCGTTCGCGGAGCGGCGAATCGACCCAGGCACAAGAAGTAACAGATATTCCTGGTCTGCTCCATACCTCCGAACTGTCGCCGAGTTCTCCGCTAGAAGCACAGTCACCGTCCAACTCGACAGGAACAGCACCGAATAGTGCAGCTTTGAGCGGGCATCGCGTTTCTTATAGCGCACTATCGGCCACTGCAAGCACTCCAAACAGTGCTCCGCCTGGGAGCGGACCCTCCGGCTCGCCTGCTTGGGTGAACTTGCCTACCCCCAATGAACCAACGCCACCGTACACTCCGCGTTCCCCACCTCATTCAAGCCAAAGTCCTTTGACTGTCCAGTCGCCCACCGCTAGCGTGGAAGACTCGAGATCGCGTTCGCCGTCACAGGTTGGGCATGGCCTGTCGAACGGCGAAAGACCGGCGCAGACGCTCGAGGAGTTGAGGAGGACACTGAGGAACGGCCTCAGCAACGGTTCAAGTGAGCGTTCACGCAGACGTGCCATCCTTCCAGAGTGTACTGATCAGATCTTGATGATGATTTTGTCCAGGCCCAGCGGCATCTCGCCGGACATCCTACTTCGGCTCGTTTGGGCAAAGTCATTCTGCAGTGCAATCCAGCGCATCAAGCATCCGCTCGACTCATGATGTTTCGCTTTCACGACGTCCTTCATTTGAGGATGTTCCGGAGGACGATGTCGCGCCGGAACACTCGACGCGAGCCTCGTCGACAGTAAGAGGAACCACGAGTCCCGTGCGTGTTAACACCCTTGAATATCCGAAGAGATCTCTGATTTTGCCTGCCACAGGTCCACAGCGGTCCGGCTAGTCCCCACGATGAGCATCGCGGGCGGCGAGGCTCTCGGTTCTCCTTGGCGGCTGTATCGAATGTGTTCGACGCCATGAAGGACCGAGTGCGCTCCCGTTCGCCCCGAACTGTCGAGCGCATGCGCGAGCGAGAGGGGCATGGCAATGGACATGTTGGGTCTGTAGAGCGAGGGAGAAGCCGCCATACACCTGGGAATGAACGAGACGAGCGAGAGAACGAGCCGGGCAAGGAAAAAGAGAAAGAGAAGCACAAGAGCATGTTCGGTGCTATGTTCGCCCATGATGAGGCGAAAGATGGGGAGGGATGGAAAGAGTTCAAGAAGGGTGAGTCACTCGTATATCTCCCCTTTTGAGAGCCGTGGGGCCCGAGGCGCACGTCAAGAGTGATCGCGCTCGCCATTCAGTGGGTTTGCCGCAGTGGCCGGGGACTCTTTCGCTTATTCACGATTGTTGACTGCCTCGTTCTCCGATGTGGTAAATGATGCTGATGCCATTTTTCTCCTTCAGGAACTTATACCTACCCTATTTCGTTCACGTTACCTGCGAATGCACCGCCGACCATTGAATGTGACTATGGCTCCATGGTCTGGCGCCTTAAGGGAGAAGTTCATCGTCCCGGAGCGTTCAAGTCCAAGCTAACCACATCTCGCGAGGTCCTCGTCATCGCTGCGCCTGGCGAAGACGAGACCGAGGAGACCGAGAATATCATCGTCGAGCGTCAGTGGGAAGACCAGCTGCAGTACCTCATCGTAGTTTCGGGGCGAAGCTTCCCTATTGGGGGTACTATACCGGTCACACTGACCCTTATGCCACTGGCGAAGGCGAAGGTGCATCGCATCTCAATCTTCCTTGAAGGTGAGTCAAACATTGCCGTATTACATGCATTGTGCGGTTCTGCTGGGCTGACACTTTGAGTCATCAGAGCGAATCGATTACTATACCCAGATGAAGCGTGTTGCGCGCTCGCAAAACGATCATCGTATTTCTCTTCTCTCTCTGAAGAACGCAACAGCGAAGGACAAGGATAAAGACAAGGACAAGGACAGCCAGCCGATCTTGCCGCTGCAGGGCGATAGTCCGGACGAGTTTGCTCAGTCAACGTTTGCGCGCACCCTGCACCTCGATCCAGAGGCTGCGTCGGAACTCGCGGCATCCTTCATGGGTCCCGGCCCGTGGACGTTGCAAACAGATCTGAAGCTGCCTGGATCGTGTGCGTTGCTGCACTTCACAAATCGGAACCGGAAGAGCAATATCATGATTCATCATACTCTCAAAATTGTGCTCCGCGTGGAGAGGGGCGACGGCGAGGTGGACCCGAAAACGAAGAGAAAGAGGCTGTTTGACATTGTCGTGCAGACGCCGCTGCATATTCTCTCTGTGCATAACTCATCTTATTTTACACTGAAACTCGAATAGCTGATCTTGATTTGCAGTGTCGTTGCTCGCCCGAGTGGATGTCTCTCCCGCGGTATAGCGAGATCCTCGAGCGCGACATTTTGCGAGCTGCGCACCTCGCATGCCCCTGCGACATCGCTCGTGCCGCTCGGCGACGCCAGACCCCAGGTGTCCATTTCGACGAGAACCACGGCGATGGGCCTGCTGAGTTTGGGCCGAGCGCAATTGACTACGCAGGGCGCGGACCGTACTCGCATGAGCGCGCACGGGAGCTCGCACGTATTGTTTCGGGTCGGTCGACGGACTCGAGCTCGGAGGAAGAGGCTGCCTCGGGGGGCGGGTCGGATTTACGCGCGCAAATCGTGAGCGAGACTGCGCAGTACGAGCGGCTGGTCGCCGGCCTGGTGAGCGAAGCGGGTGAGGAGCCACCGGCGTATTGGAGCGTCGTCGAGGTTGCTGGGCGGTGAGCCGGCGGTATCTTGGTTATATAAGGTGGAAAAAAGGGTTTTTGGGACTTGTCATTTTTTCTTCTTCTTCATTTCCGTGTGTGTTGTTTGTTGTATCTTGCACTTCCACGAACTGTTGTTGTTTCTTCTAATATTTCATGGCCATCTACGTCTTAGATTTTGCTTTATCTTTATTAGACTCATTATCTCGACACCTATTATTCCCCGTGGTTTCTTTGATACGAGTACCACGTACTGCTTAGATACCACACTATCATGATGACCATGCTTGCCTTTTGGACTTGGGTTCAGATTCAGTGTAGCATTAGATGATTGGAGTAGTTTGGAGGTTCCTTCGTTCACTCCTAGTGATCTATGAGGATATGAGCTGGCGTGGATAACAATGCAAAATTATAGAGGTGTACAATGTGGGGTCGTTACGTGCGTGCATCTATGCGCTCTAAATTAGTCTAAGCAGATATCTCCCAAAGCTAAAATCTCGAAACCAGACCACGCATTCACGTTAATCATCACTAAAAGAAGTCAATGTATCAGTTATTAGGGCCATAAGTAAAACAAGAAATACGCACTCTGGCAGCTCTCTGCGGAGGAACAGATCAATGGCAAACGAGAAAGCGGCAAACGCAGCTCCACCACCGAGCACGGCCTTGGGTCCCGAATTACGTGCAAGAACGCCCCCCGCGACAAAGCCCGCCGCGACGGGGTTGACCATGTCGTTCTTCGCCCTGTATCCCTCGATGACGCACTCGATGCCTGCGAAGAGCGCGCCCACTTTTCCGAAACCCTTGCCGGAGCGGTACATCCCCTTGCCCATCTCTTTGAAGACCTCGCGCGCTTTTTGGACGTTGCCAAACTGAGCTGCCTGTGCTGCGCCTGGTGGGAGACCGGCAGTACCTGCGCTGCCTGCTGCTGTCGCTTGTGCTTGTGCGCGGAGGTAGGGGTCTTCGTAGGCGAAGGAGGCGGACATGAGGGAGAAGAAGGCGCCGATACCGAAGCCTTTTTGGTTGCGCAGGGAGTAGCGAATAGAGAGGTAGAAAGAAGTTGAGGTGAGCTGCTTGAAAAGACAGAGAAAATGGGGCAGAGCGCACCTCCGACACCGGCGATGACGGTCTTGGCCGCGCACGACTCCATGCCCATAGACATCCAGTTCTGGTACTTTTGCGCAGTGTTCCAGTTCTCGCGCTCCTCTTCTGAGATGCCAGGCGGTAGGGGCTCTTTTCCCTTCGGAAAAAGCGGGGCAACGAGTGGGATGGACATTATTGCTGCCCGGGTATCACAGTAGTAGTATAGAGAGCTAGTGAGCTCGGTGTCCTGAGGGCATTCATAGGTGTTCAGCAGAGAATTTTGCTACGTTGTAGAGTTTTTTCGTACCTCTTCGGCGTGAAGTAACGAACAAGGGGGCCGTCGGTCAGTTCCTTCGGAGTGTTGTCAGCAGTTCGAATTCGGTACACCGGGCAGCAGGCTACGCTAATTTTTGTGCAGCCTCGGCTCGGACGCGTCGGACTTCGGCGTTTGACGAAAAGGGGTGTGTGCTCGGTGCCTGCGACTCGCATTTTACCACATACACCTCTCATGTCCTGCTATGAAAGTCTCCCTCCTAGCCTCGTCTGCTATTTCGCTTCATTGGTCAATAGTCTTAGGGCGGCTAGTTCCATAAATTTCCGAAATCCTGACTTTAGTTTCTATTGACGCTCGACCGAACCTCTCCGGAAGGCTGGCATAACACGGCTGAAAGCTAACAGCCATGACAGCTGTGGCGCATGTGTTCAGTCAATACATACCAGCACTGGAATATTAGTCAAGATGGCCATAGGCGTCCGCGCTTTCGGTGCCCACCCAGCCATGATATCAGACGCTACAAAGGCTGACATGGCTGAGAGGGGCGCTCTGGTGTCAATTGATTTCGGGGCGTCCTCTCAATGGAATAAATCTCGAGCTTGTGAGACCTATGTTCTGATTCTGGTATGTATGCGATGTCCCTGTATGCTACACCTCTCACGTTCTTATCGTTCTAACCACCCGAGGACTTGCGGACTAGGCGGAGGATGTCGATGACAGTGCATGCACATGCATTATATTTGAGCGCGTGGTCCCATTATCGGGGTGGGAGTGAGTGGGGTCCCTCGGGCATTGGAATTTGTGGTATTGCGGGCGTACCACAAAACATCTGAAACGCGGTTCGGTAATGTGTGGTGAGCTATCGTGCATGCTGCGATGTGATGGTGTCGGGGTTGCTGCAGGCATTACTGTAACATGATTAGGGCCGTATAATATCGGCATTGGCAGTTAACTGAGTTCTAAATCATATGCGTCTAGCAAGCAGCCGTGGGGAGGACAAGCGATCAGCCTAAAGGGCCTGATGAGAACCCGCATTTTCCCTCTTGCTCTCGCTAAGATGAGATGTGCGATAACCGAGCGAACCCCTGAAGATGTGCTTATCGATGCGGTCTGGGACCCCTGAACGAAAGTCGTCATTGTGCACTTAGCGAAGCCAGCAGGAGATCTAAAGTGCACTGACATTCACAAAATACTTGGCAAGTAGGTCCTCGAGACACTAGGCCTAGGTAGCCTGGCACTCCCATGCTTGCGACGTCGTGTGCCCCGCAGTGAGATGAATAAACTGGCCCAGTGTTACATAAATCAGATTTGCTTATTGGAAGTTTGATCTCGGGCTCGGTTACGGAATAACCAGAGCTTACCTTGGGGATTACGATGGCTTTTACACGCACAAACTAGTTCGTAAAGTTCGTGAGCTTACTTGTGCATATATGCTGTGCCGTGAGCCAGGACGACCGGATCATGACCAGACTTACAGATGCAGAGGACCCCGACGATGGCAGGAGGCGACGGCACACGTTAAGATAGTCCCGCACGTTGCGTTCACGTTGAAACAATGTTACTTTACGTTACTTAGCGCTCAAAAATCTGTGTGAGCGATTTCAACAAACGTTCTGCATGATTCGAGCAAAGCCCTAGTGTTAGTCGAGGGACGATGACATCAACAATGAAAGCGGCCAGCAGCTGACATTTGCGAGCGTGGTCAAGGAGGGATCCAGCAACTGCACTGGGACTAGACTGGGAGGCGTCGAGGCCAGCATAGTTGATGATTCCCGTCTATGACACCGCCAATATCCCTGCCCATCGGGTGGCCACCGTATTTTGGACGATGCCGCATGTTCGACTAAGGTCGTTCACTGCCTACAAATTGTCGTGAGTCAGGAGTGGCTGAATTGTTTTACGGACCCGCCGGGATGCATGCGGCTGGGTCGGCAGGGGTGACTAGGGTCCAGGGGATGGATTTTGTGAGCAAGGTCGCACGGGGCAGTTGCACTTGTCCTTTCCCTCAGCCGTAGGCTACAGGACATCCCATCCTCATCGTCCCTTGCCCCGTTCGCTACATCGCGGCGGGCCTCCCTATAGACTCGTTCACAAAGAACAGTTTCATTTTTCTCGCCTGCTGGCAGGTCTTGTAACGACCACCACTCGCGGAAGAGAAAAAAATACACCAACCCCTTCATATCCTTACGCACGCCTCGACAAGACCCAGCGTCTCTCTCGAGCGTCAACAAGGACAACACTTCCCTGCACGAACCCAAGAAAACAGCAGTTTGGAACCTTTATACTCTGTGCATAGCAATTCGTGCGTCACGAGCCATCCTTCTTTCCTTCCCCTCAAATCGGCTGACCCTTGCCTCGCGTTTCTCGTCCTCTCATCCACCTCGTGCATACGATTCTGTGCCTGTTCGTCTACATCGGACCCCCGATCGCGTTTTATTCTCGCAGAATGAGCAAATCTTCAACTGCCACAGGAAAGATCCAGACGCAGCTCTCCTCACAGTCAGCTTGGTCCAAGGGCCCTCCATCAGCAAATTCCCCTCGCTCCCAATCACCCGTCTCGGTCAATGTCGCCTCCCCGGTAACTCCATCCCATGCACGCCGCCCAAGCGCCCTCAGCCAGAGCGTCAACGTCAAGGATGGCGTAAGCGTTGCTAGGAGTAATGCTGGCTCTGTTAGGGCAGGTAAGCTCTTTTGTCAGTCTTTCACCGTGGCACTGACAAATGTGCTCAATGGCAGGCAACAACGTCTCCTTTGGCTCCATAGACGACCGCTCTGCTGCTATCTCGACTTCTCCCGCTGCTGCCCCTTCACCTATATCTACCGCTACCAAAAATGAGAGCACGATCAAGTCGTTTGGGACCGTTGCCGCGACTCCTACCTCCGCGTCCCATCTCAATGGCAAATCCTCTGTAGCCACTGCAACGTCATCAGGGCTCTCCAAAAGCACTTCCAGTTCCTCAACTAGACCTCCTTTTTCTGCTACCTCCGCCTCGACATCAAACTCGAGCGTTGCTTCTTCCGTTGCTACCTCAATCTCCTCTACCTCTACCGCCTCCCCGCTGAAGCTGAACAAAAAGGACATCACGAAGCTCTTCCAGGGGGGCGGATCGCCCGCACCATCCTCTGCCGAACCTGCCCCTGCCCCTTCACCATCCACGCGACCCGCCCCCCTTCCAACACATTCGCCAGCACACGGCCATGCCCCATTGCCAGGTCAACAGCAGGGCGGTCCACCTTCACAGTTTAGCCAATCCTACCAGCCCTTTGTACCTGGTCGACAGCAGCCGAGTGGTATGGGCAGCCCACGGTCGCCTGCCTTCCCTCGTCCAGGTCCAAATGGAACAGGTCCTCCAAATCAACGTCCTGGTCCTCCTCCAGGCCCAGGCGGTGCCCCGTCAAGCCCGCGCATGTCGCATGTGCACCCCCACGGTCAACCTCCGGGAATGCCGCCTCAGCAGATGCAGCCCATGCAGTGGGGTGCGCCTTATGGCTATGTGAGTTGCCATCAGGACTCCGTGAAGATCTTAATGTACTGATACATTCGTATTTCATAGTACCCCGGCATGGAGCAATATCAATGGTATCCGGGCATGCCGCCGGTGATGCACTCTCCGCTCGGTCCCCATGGCACTCCCCACCCTCCGCCCTCCGGTCTTCCTCCTTCCTCGCATGGCGCACCCATGGCAATGTCACCGCGAAATCAGCCTCCTCCTCTTCCTGGTACTCCAACCACCGCTCCCGCCGTACCCCATCCTGCCAACAGCCCTCATCCCCTTCCCGGTTCGCCAGCTCAAGCCGCGCCCATCATCCATACACATGGTGGACACACCAACAATTCGAGTGTATCGCTCTCTTCGCCGCCACCAACGCCCTCGCAAGGCCAAGGCCGTCCCCTCAACACAAACGCAAGCGCGTTCGTACCCGGAGGCGCACCGACCGTCGGACGGAGCGCCAAGGTCGCCATCAAGAGTCCAGACGGGCGCGAGATTGATGTTGACAAGTTCAAGAAGGCATCTCCGAACCCGCCCACGATACCCATCCCGCCCGCCTCGCCAGGGCTCACGCATAGCCGCACGCAGCGTGCAAGCGTACGGATTGAGAGCGAGAGCGACAAGTTGAAGCGGCTGGAGGAGGAAACGGCGAAGAAGGATAAGGAAAATAAGGAGAGGGAGGAACAGGAGCGGAAGGAGATTGAGGCGAAGCGTAAGGCAGAGGAGGAGGAGCGAAAGAAGAAGGAAGAAAAGGAGCGGGCGAAGAAGGAGGCAGAAGAGGTTGAGCGGAAAAAGAGGGAAGAGGAAGAGCGGTTGAAAAAGGAGGCAGAAGAGGTGGCGAAGAAAAAGAAGGAAGAGGACGAGCGAGCGAAGAAGCAGGCCGAAGAAACGGTGCGTAGGAAGGAAGAGGAGCGTCTGCGGAAGGAGGAAGAAGAGAAGGAGAAGGCACGTCTCGCCGCCGAGGAAGCGGAGAAGGAGCGCATCAAGAAGGAGGAAGAAGAGAAGGAGCGTATGCGAAGGGAGAAGGAGGAGGAGGAGAGCAGGCTGGCTAAGCTCGAGGAGGAGGATAAACGTCTTGAGGAAGAAGAAGGCGAGGACGTTATTCCCCCGTCTCCCGAGACCGCCACCAAGGAACGCGAAGAGGGCGAAATTGATGAAACCTCTCTCATCGATGGTGATATCAAGGGCAAGAAGGAGGCTCTTCACATCGATACGGCTAACAGCATGCCTCCCCCTGCCGACATCCCCCGGAGACGGCCTGGTCCTCTCGACCTTAACTTCAGGAAAGACTCAAAGGACCTTCCGAACCCTCCCATGTCTGCCCTCGCTACCGCGCGCGTCATTGCAAATCTCAATGATGTTGAATACCCTGAGGGCATCAAGAGCCCGAAGGTTGAGCTCAACGCGAACGCGCCGGCAGGCAAGTTCAGGTAAGACGATCTGAGATTTTGGATATACCTTGAAATTGATAATTCCTGGGCAGATATGACCGCGACTTTTTGCTACAGTTCATGAAGGTCTGCACCGAGAAGCCGGAACACCTCCCTCCTCTTGAAGTACTCGGTCTTGAACCCGCTGACCAGCAGTTCCACACCATGTCTCGTGGTGGCTCAGGCCGCGGCAGTCGTCACGGTTCTGGTGCATTGACCCCCTCCGGCTCGCGTCCCAATTCTGTTGGTCTCGGTATCGGCTTTGCCAAGCCTGGTTCCGCAGGTCCCTTCGCTGGGATGGGCAACTTCTCTACTCCTAGTAGCAAGCTCACCAGCGAGGAGCGTTTCCAACAATCGCGCTCCGCGTCCGTAGGCACTGGCCCAGGTCTTCAGTTCGGTGCTCGTGCACAGATGACCCGCACCAACAGCCAAGGTGGTCCAGGCCACCCTAGTAATCGTACGCGCAGCAAGCGCGGCGAGAAACGTGGCGACCAGAACCGGCCCCCCAACGCCCAGCAGGGCGGCAGCGCATTTGGTACCTCTCACGGAGGCGCGTTCGCCAACATGGAGCCTGTCGCGCCCCTCGAGGCTTCCGCGAATCGCTGGGTCGCGGCAAGCGCTGGGCCAGGCTCTCGCAAGGCTCCTGTCGTTGACACGGACTCGCCCGAGGTTGTTGATCGTAAGGTCAAGGGTCTGCTGAACAAGCTCACGATGGAGAAATTCGACTCGATCTCGGACCAGATCATCGCTTGGGCAAACAAGAGCGAGAAGGAGAAGGACGGCCGGACGCTCATCCAGGTCATTCGTCTCGTCTTCGAGAAGGCAACCGACGAGGCAGCATGGAGCAGTATGTATGCTCGTCTCTGCCGTAAGATGATGGAGCAGATCAGCCAGGACGTGCAGGACGATGGCATCAAGAACTCGGAGGGCAAGCCGATCGCTGGTGGCCAGCTATTCCGCAAATACCTCCTTAATCGTTGTCAGGAAGACTTCGAACGCGGTTGGGCAGCGCGAGAGACGACCGCCGCCGCCGCGCGCTCCAAGGCGACAACTGACGAGGCTATCAAGGCCGCGAACGAGAAGAAGGGCACGACGGACGAGTCGGAGCTGTACTCGGAAGAGTACTACGCCGCTCAGAAGGCGAAGCGCCAGGGTCTCGGTCTCATCAAGTTCATCGGCGAGCTGTTCAAGCTGCAGATGCTGACAGAGCGGATCATGCACGAGTGCGTGAAGAAGCTGCTTGGCAACGTTGAGAACCCCGAGGAGGAGGAGATCGAGAGCTTGTGCCAGCTGCTCACGACGGTCGGCCAAATCTTGGACACGCCCAAGGCGAAGGCACACATGGATGTGTATTTCCAGCGTATGAAGGAGCTTGCGGCGAAGAACGGGCAAGTGAGCTCGCGCATGCAGTTCATGATTCAGGTAAGTAATTTGTTCCGAGGGGTTTCTTTATTGGCTTGCTAATTTTTCCTTGTTTAGGACGTCATCGAACTGCGCGATCGCAAATGGATCAATCGCAAGGCTGTCGCTGCTCCAACTACGCTCGCTGCTGTTCACGAAGCTGTATGTTTATATCGTTGGCTTAATAATAATGAGACAGTCCCTCATTTTTTCCCTTCAGGCTGCGAAGGAGAAGGCTGTGGCGGAGAAGGAGGCCATGCAACGCACGATTAGCATGTCTCGGGGCGGATCACGCCGCGGAAACGACCGCAACCCCGAACAGCCCGATGGCTGGTCAGTTGCTGGCAGCGGCGGCCCTCCTCGTCCACCTCCCAAGGTCGGCGACCTTTCGCAGTTCGGCAAGATCTCGAAGCAGCAGCCTATCCAGACTTTCGGCCCAAGTAGCGTCTTCAATAAGAAGGATGCTGCCAAGCGGGAGTCAATCTCGCGGACCAGCTCGTCCTCGAACATGTTCCAGATGCTTAGCCAGAACCCGGAGGCTGCCGAGGCTGCTGCCAAGGCGTCGAGCAGGCCCCCTTCGCGCAAGCCGTCTGTGGACTTCGGTACCAACGGTGCTCCCGAGGTACCTGCTCAACGCAGAAAGCTGCAGCTCCTGCCGCGGACGAAGCCGGCGGAGGAGGGCACCCCTGCAGTGTCGGAGGACGAGCCTGACACGTTGGCCAAGGATGGGTCAGGGTCTATGACCGAAGCGGAAGCCGAGAAGAAGATCGACCAGGATGTGCAGGAGCTGTTTGCGGTCCGGAATCTTGAGGAGGCAGACGTGTACTTTACGAATCTGCCCAAGGAGCACCAGTTCCGGCTCGTCAAGCGCCTCGTGGACAAATCGCTCGAGAGCAAGGAAGCAGACGTCAAGCTCGTTGTTGACTTCTTTTCGCAGGCAGCGTCTAAGGGTCAGTGCGACGCCGCGACGTTCGAGGAAGGCTTCCTGCCTGCCGCGGAACTGCTCGATGACACGGCAATGGACGCACCCAAGGCGGTCGACTACATGGCGATGCTCGTGCGGGGCGCGCAGCTCGACAAGGACGAGGAGAAGCTGAAACGGATCACAGAGAAGTCCGAGTTCAACAGCGAGAAGCTCCTACGGCTCGTCGCCGCATAAACGCGCACGAGCTGTGCTCGCGCTTAACTGTTGTCAATTCCATCCCTCCACTTTGTTTCTTACACTTTCATCGGACGGACGATCATTGCCTTCGCGCGTTTTCTCCCTTGTCTTCAGCAGCACTGCATACATCGATTGTTATATTTTCCGCATCGTCATCCCCTCATTGTCTTCCATCATCGATCATCGACCACGGACGCTTCCACCATTCAGACGACATCGAGTATCTCGATCTCTCATGGCCGTATGCGCATCTAGGCCTTCCCTGTGTCTTCACTTTGTACTCGATTTTTATCCATCCCATTATCATCTGTGACACTGGCCTCCCGACCCATACATGTTTGACCGCACTCTCATTGTCATTTCCCTTTGTCCATGTCTCCGCCACCGTACATACATGCGTACACTCGTGCGTCAGACACGCACCCTGTCTGTTTATTATTCACGGTCTTCCCTTGTCAAACTCTCGATGTTCTGCTCTGCACTCCCACTATATATGTATATATGCGCATTGCATGGCACACGCATCCAGTACCCCATCCCACTCTGCCGGCCCTTCGCTTTAGCCTTAGGTTTTGTTTCGTCGCCTTCCCGCTAGCCATTAATTCCCTTCGCCTTTCTTTGTCGCTGTCGTTCCGACGACCTTTGCGACGAGTCGGTTTGCATTTTTGTAGTTGTCCTCGTTTTGATCTCTCTTGTCTTTGTCTCGGTTTTCTATTTCTCTCTCTCTTCAGTATAGCATAGCTTAACCACCTGTCGACGTACGCTAGGTACAGGCAATACACCCCCCATGGTTTTCTCTCTCTCCTCAATGTGTCTTTGGATGATTCTTATTCGAACATGTGGCCTCTTTGGGCAATTAACTAGATACCGTTTGGTTGGGTGTGATGAGACAAATCCGGTCGGGGCTGAACAAGGTTAAGGCTTGTTCCGTAGGTACGGTAATGAACCCAAGCCCGACTTAACCTTGCTTGTTTACGGAACGCTGCTTTCGAAAGAATGTGGTGGTGAAGATTGGCAGAGATTAGCGGATTAGGGCGTATCGGGTTAACGCTACTCAATCGACCCGGAAGTCGTTTGAATGGTGTTTAGATGATCACTCGGTACGTTGCAACCGCTCTCCAAGGAATCGCTACACATCTTTGGATGACCCGAGACTCATCCTCGTTGGACAGAATAAATATTCAGTTGTGCTTCTGATGGACCAAGAATGGAGCGATCGTGGTTGGTTGCCAGTGCCGTTGACTAAGGGATGGTGCTGTGATTGTTGAACCGGCGGGCCGTCTAGTTTGGGCTGACGGGTTCCAGACGCGCTGCGCCTGTCTCCCTCGTCATCATATCCGATCCACACACCCCTTGCGTGCCCGTACTCCTTGTTTTAGCTCCCTATTTGCCTTCTGGTATACGTCTCGAAACACGAGCATGCTGGTTGCTGCAATTAATAGTACAACTAATCCCTATTCGACTACCTATTACACCATCTTCTGACAGCGAAACCCCTACACCCCCGACACCTTCTCCAGCACTATTACCCTTCCTAACCACTTCGTCGTTCAATGCGAAACACCTTATCCGAAAGTGTGATGCCCTTGTGGAGGAATATCAAGAAAGAGCTCAACTTCTTTCGGATCCATGTTTTATTCTTGTACGTCCCGCCCACCCTGCCGCCCCCTGCACTGCGCGATTTTCGCTAACGCTCGTTTCTCCTCTCTGGTTGGCTCGGTTGGACTCGCCATGTCACTCGCAATCTGCGTTGCCCTCGACCCATCACGGCGTGTTGCCTCGTTTTGGTGCTGTCGTGCCTGCCTCGGTTAACCCATGTTCGGCGCGGGGTCTCTTCAGCACCTTCACTCCTCTAATCTTCTCCGTCATATTCTACCTCGCAAATGGAGAGTACAAGATCGCCTACATTGATGCCCTCTTCCAATGTGTTACCTCTATGACCGTTTGTGGCTTGACCACGATCAACCTCAGCTCCTGTACGCCGTTCCAGCAGGCCCTTCTGTTCATGCAGATGTGTATCGGTAGTCCAGTAAGCACTAAAGCTTCTAACCCTTTGTTTTCCTCTAAATTCGTTATCCCTCAGATCGTCATCTCTTGGGTAACGGTCTGTCTTCGAAGGTGCGTACCCTAATCTATCTCATGCATATACACAATTGAACGTACACACAGGCATTACTTCGCAAAGAAGTTTGACTACATTATCGAAGCGGAGGCAGCTCGCCGAGCAGCAATAGCGATGGAACGCCGCATGACCCGCGAGGCAACCCACGAGGCTGCCTCTATGGCACCTACCGCGGCTACTGCAGCAGAATCGGGCACCCTATCTCGCTGGTCGTCCAGACTCACGGGGCTCCTCCGCAAGGGTTCGCGCGATCCCGGCGAAAGTCGTGCCGATAGCCCCGACGAGGAAGGGGGCAAGAAAGTACGGACGGACATGATCCGCAGGACGGACGAAGCTCCCAAGCTCATCAACCCAAGCGGGTGGATTACGGAGGGCAGCCGAAGATTCAGCGATACACTTCGTTATACGAACGAACCGATGAGCTCTTCATCAGAAGGGAAGACGAGTCAAGACTCTGAGGAACCACGTGAGGAGAAGGGAGAAAAACATGCTGAAGTCGAAAAACCTGCACAAGAGGAGGATTTGCAGAGTGTACAGTCGTGAGTCTGAGATTTATATTGACGATGTCTTTGTTGAATTACATGCTTTAGTCGCGAGCGCAGGATATCAGACCCAGGCGCTGGCTTGTCGGACTCGGAACACGGTGAGTCTTAAATCTATTGTCAAGCAGGGAATCTCAGCTGAACTCTTTTTAGCGCCTCGACGCATGTCGGTAACATCCAATACAGGTGCTCGCCACCGCAATCACCCCAGTGTCACTTCCATCGGCATCCCACGAACATCCACCATCGAGTTCGCACCAGCAGCAACCCGGCCTCCTCCTGCTCCTCTACCTACAATCCAGAGCAATCGTGTCTTCGAAGGTGGACAAGGGGCCTCTATTCCCTTTGAGAAGCACACAACTCGTGAATCCTACGCCCGTCCTCGTGGACGACGCATGTCCGTGGCCAACCAGGGTGTTCCTATGGGTGGGCGCAACGCGACGATGCAGACCTACCGTTCCGGGCGTGCACGGAGGCCCTCTGTCTCTGTTACACGCACGCAATCAATGCACCCAACCGGCGTTGAGCCACCAGACTACTACGGGCCTACGCGAGCAAAGGACAGTGGGTTTGGAGGGTTCCCTTTGCCGCACATAATATTGGGCAATCTCATCAACAGGCTATTTCCCAAGTTACGTTCACGCTTTAGCCGGACTATGACCATCCCGATGTCGCGTACCTACACTGGCACGGGCATGGGTGCGCGGACAGCAACTATGACTGGAGCAGGGATGCCACGCACGGGCACAGTTCATACGACGCGGACGGGGGGCACGAAGGAGGTCGCATACATCTCGTTTGACGCAATTGTGGGGAGGAACTCGACGTTTCACTGGCTCACGAATGAGCAACTTGAGGAGCTGGGAGGGGTGGAATATCGCGCTCTGAACGCACTGCTGTGGATCGTCGCTGTGGTACGCATCTTCTTGCTTCCTCCACAATTGTATCATTGGGATTGGGGCTCACGGTGGTATATTGCCCATACAGTACCATCTCGGCGTCCAGCTTATCAGTTTCATAGTCATCGCTCCATATGTGTCGCAGTCGCGGTATGCGAGCGTGTTTGTGCCGCCCAATTTGTTTCGAAAAATCGCCCCATCCTGGTAGGTTTCTGAGTTTGATCAAGCTTTACGTCGTTTATCAAGTACATAAACGCGTAGGTTCTCAGTATTCCAAGTTGTATCGGCGTATACCAACTCGGGCTACTCACTGGTCGACCAGTCCATGATTCCCTTTCAGACAGCATACCCCATGATATTCTTCATAATCTTTTGTATCTTGGCTGGAAATACCGCCTTTGTGAGTTCCTCAAATATCGAGTCGAATCGCTTCCCAACTGATTTGGACCATTTCTATCTAGCCTGTATTGTAAGTCTAGAAACAATCTTTGGAGTTATCCTTTTTAACACATCACACGTACTTTGCCCAGTCTGAGATTTTTCATGTGAGGATAATTACCACCCTTGATTACTGTACACGCAGCTAACAGTGATTTGATTGTGTAGTTGGGTGATGGCGAAACTCACACCGAGATCCAGCCGGATTCGAGAAACGTTGCACTTCCTCCTGGACCACCCGCGGCGATGTTTCATCTACCTTTTCCCGTCGCACCAGACGTGGTTCCTGTTTAGCTTGCTCGTGTTCCTCAAGTACGTTATACCCTCGACATCCTCCTTCGCCTTTTCATTAATATGTCGCTAAATTTGCTTATTTGCTAAGCTCGGTGGACTGGTTCTGTTTCATGGTGCTCGACATTGGCAACACGGTGATCGATTCAATCCCGCTCGGAACCCGCTTTGTCGCAGGCCTGCTGCAGGCCGCAGCAGTGCGCATGGCCGGCTTCACAATCATCACGCTCTCGGCAGTTTCGCCAGCAGTTAAGGTCATGTACGTGTTGATGATGTACGTCAGTGTGTGTAAGTAATATTTTATTAAATTATCTACCCCATCCCAAATATCCTCGTCCCTCTCTTCTACCTGCGTTGATGAGATGGGCTGACCGTGCTATTACCTGATCAGACCCGATTGCGATGAGTGTACGCTCGACAAACGTGTACGAGAGCCAGTCGCTCGGAGTATGGAGAGAGGAAGACGACTACTCGGAGGAGGAAGACCAATTCGCGCCGACGGGTTCGCGTATGCAGGTCTGGGGTCGGTATCTCGCGCTACACGCGCGTAGGCAGCTGGCGTTCGACATGTGGTGGCTTGGCCTGGCGCTTGTCCTGGTTTGCATAATCGAGGTTGGCCATTGCCTTGGTCTTGATTCCATTGCAGAGTTTGTTGACGTTTGTCTGTAGCGCGGTAATATCAACGACGTCAACGCTTCCTGGTTCGACATCTTTCCTATCGGTGCGTAATTATACTCCACTCGTGTGGCTATTCCTTATTTATTTTGTTTTCTATACAGTTTTTGAGCTGGTCTCGGCGTACGGCACTGTCGGCCTCAGTCTTGGAATCCCCACTGTAAGCATGCACTCTTCTAGCCCTCTGAATTTGTGATAAATCTCTGGTTAGGAAAACTATTCTCTGTCTGGTGCATTTCACCCACTCTCAAAACTCATCGTCTGTATCGTCATGCTCCGCGGGAGACATCGCGGCCTACCCGTCGCAATCGATCGCGCGGTTATGCTCCCATCCGAGTTTAAGCGGGTTGACGCCGAAGTGGCTCAAGCCGAAGACGACGACGCCGCAGCCGCAAGCCTGCGCGAACGAGCTTTGGACATTGATTTGAATGGCTCGCGAACGAACCTTCCGAACGGAAACGGCAACGGAACTGCAGCGCAGCCGGCTGGCGAGGACTCGGGTGAGTTGCGCCGGCGTGCGGTGCAGATGGAAAACGCGGAAGACCGGGCACTTCGGCATGCCCATGTTGATGTTGTCCCGGAGTGAAGGGATGACTTGTCGTGTCTTCCACAAACCCGTTGGTAATCTGATTGACGGAGTTTGCTCTCCAATTACGAGCTGCATGCAGTGCGATTTAGTACTGATCATAGACATTTTTCTTGCTGTGTTGTTCCGATGGTGGATCCCTCTCGCATTGTTTTACGCTCACGATAATCACGGCTCCAAAACCATCCCTACTTAGATCTATAGATGTGCGTCACGATATACATTTATACCATATAGGCTATTGTTTAGTGTTACCTCTCATCCCTATTCCCCCGCCTTTTCGAGTTGTTTATCTGTTTGTTTTGTTTGCTTGCTTTCATCGTGTTAGCACAGATGTTTTGTTACCACATTTAATCCGTTTTACCCTCTACCAAGTGCTCTACTACCACTAAGACTGGAGCTCAGCAAGTTAAGGCATCAATGTCTGCCAGTGAACGAGACGCGACCGCCTCCTGCAAGTTTAAATCTTCTTGAAAATAAGGCAATGCATGATCATCTTAGTACTGGCCCTGATCACGACGTTGCAATTGATAGCTGACGCGGTGAAGTAAATTTGACTGTGATTTACGTTCAACTTGACTTTCGACCCAAAACGTACTTGACTTTGAGCTTGCTCTGAGTCAACCATGAACTTTAGACTGGATGCAAGACGATACACGCCTCCGTTTATAATGTGTTGGGACCCATTTGTCGATTTGGCTGCTTCTTAACTTTTTCCTCCATTTTTACGTGCCCCGGCAGGCATTCCTCTTGCTCTCCGTAATGGCCAGACGCTCCCATCCCGTCCTCGAGCATCCTGAGAGTAAGTCGCCACTACTGCTTCGGTTAGCTATCCTTCTTCTTACTTCCCAGCCTCCATAGATTGGGGAACCGGTACAGGTACATCCATTGGTCGATGCCGCTGTCCTCCATGCAGCGACGCCGCTGCCAAAAGGTGACGCACCCTTAGCGGTGCATGCGCCCACGAGAAGACGTGGAAGCACAAAAACCTGGCCAGCCCACCAGCGTCCTTCATCTAATATCCAGGCGCAGAGCTGGCGGCTCTTTTTTGCTGGGGATCCGAGTTCTGGTGAGCCAGGACCTAGCGGCTCTCACCCGTCTGCTCAGTCTGCTGGACGACCATGGTGCGAAGGATCGCACGCTCCCACAGGCCCGTGTACCGCAGCCTGAGGGATATCGTACTAGTGTGCTCCTGACTGGCCCGCTGGACAAGGTCGAGGATCGCCCTGCGACCGAAGAGACTCTTCAGGGATACCGTAGCCCACTCAGCCTGGTTCTCAAGATAAAGTTGCAAGTGATCGTCCGCATGCTATCCCGAGCCTAAAGCCTATGTCGTCCTAGGGTTATCGCAGTCCGCTCTAATACGAACCGCTGGACGGGCCCTTCAAGAACCTCATGCCCTCGGATTATCGTCCGCCAGCGACCTCAAAAATCGATTCCGGAGCTTGCGCCATCCCAGGCCCATTGTAGTTTGCTCCGGGCCAGTCTGTTGGACGAAAATCGTAGTCTACCACAGCCAACGCAGCCCCAAGGGCAGAAGCAGAATTATCGCAGTCCGCTCACACTCGGCGCATGAGATTGTCGCCGAGAGGATACGCCTCCGAGCCATGCAAAGCCCAACGGCGGGGTGTATCATAACAGACCATACCCTACTTGCTTTGCGGGGTCGAAAAGGGAATGACGCGGGGCACAAGTACGACCGCGCGTACGATCTATGAAGTGACGCGCCAAACGCTGGTGCAAATCTGTGCATATCCATGTGTAGTCGTGTCCCGGAACGGGTTCCTGATCTACATGTCATCTCAGGGCAACGATCTGTCGAAACTTGGTCTTGGCACGAAAGGGAAGTCTGAAGAATTGATGATAAACCCTAGCGAAAATTATTAATTTAGGATCAAGGAGCGTCGGTGTTAACAGTGTTTGTATAGTACGATACAACTAGAGGACATAATAGAAGGGAGAAGAAAATCAGGCAGCTACCGATCACCGACGCCGCTGCTGGACGTAGCTGGAAATGAGGGGTCGAATAACTTGCCTAAGAAATCATCATTTTCATGATTTGAGCATCACTGAATGCTATGATGGAAGAATGATTTCACTCACGAAAGCCCCGTTCGTCTCCAGGCGAACCATGCTGCAAGGAAAGTGAGCGCGAAGGTGGCCTTCCTGCCAATAAGCGCCTTGCGGACATCCTTGGCAATGTTGATAAAGTAGAAGACGGTGCCGACGGTCTTAAACCACCCAACACGCTTGTTGATGAGGCCGTAGATGCCAAGGGTGAAGAACTCCTGCGACACGCGGAACGTGAGCCCATTGTCGGGGAGCACGTACGCGGCGCCAGTCGTATTGAGGTTCGGATCAGTCGCGGCGTTGACGATGGCGCCGACGATGCGTGCCATGGGTGTGAGGGGGATGCCAGCGAACATGAGACGCTCGCGCGGGGAGATCATCGCCGTTTCGGCGAAGAACGGGTGAATGCACGCGACACGGACGCCCTGCGCCTTGAGCGGGAGCGAGAGGGAGCGCATCGCGCCAAGGATGGAGTGTTTTGACGCGGCGTATTGCACCGAACCGGGGAGCGCGACCCACGACGCCATCGAGCCCATGAAGACTATCGACTTGAGGTCGCCTTCTTTCTTCTCGGTGGTGATCATGTAGTGCTGCGCCAGGTGGGCGGTGTAGAGGGCACCTTTGAGGTTGACGTCGAGGGTGAAGAGGTTCGGCTGGACGGGCTTGCCATCCTCGAACTTGACTAGTCCAAAACGACCGGACTCGCCGATACCAGCGTTAGGAATGACAATGTCGACAGAGCCGTAGGTGGACTGAGCGACTTCGAAGAGGCGGCACTGGTCGTCCCAGTTGGTCACGTTGACCTTGACCGCGGTAGCCTGGCTATAAGTCGAGGTTATTTGAGTTCCCGAACAGGGATTGGGCAGTTAAAAGAACGAACTGACCCGCCAGCAGCTTTGATATCCTCTGCAGTCTTTTCGGCCCCGGTGACGTCAAGGTCTCCGATAACCACTTTGGCACTGGTAATGAACAATTGAGTCAGCCAATGCATCCTTAGGTCGACTATGAAAGACGTACCCAAGCTGGGCGAACTTGATGGCTACCTCACGTCCGATACCGTTACCAGCACCTAGGTGACTGTATGAAAGGAAGGAACAGAGTGGGAAAGGAAAGGTGGAAACATACCGGTTATGATGAGGACCTTACCGGCAGCACGGCCAGCATGGAGGTAGAGGTCGTCGTCCTGGAGCGTCGTCATTTTGAAGAAGAAGAAGAAAGGTGGAAGAAGGAGAGGACGGGTGTAAGTAAGGAGGAAAGCGGGGAGAGAGTAGTGCTAGTGAGGGGTAACTGGATGGCGAGGGCGAGGGCGTCCAGGTTTGAATTTGAGGGATTCCGATCGCTCACTCGGCCTCTTTACCGGCATGTTACACTTATGATCAGGCACGTCACTTACCCCTGTCACCTCAAGTGCCTTGTCCAGGCACAGCTACCTCTACCTCCTGCGTCCACCTACCTCCACCTCAAATGACATTCTACTTCTCTAGATTTTGTCCTGCATCCAATCGTTCTATCCGCAGAGCACGATACACCACAAGCATACCTAGGGTTGATACCACCCCATGGGAATCACGCAGTACTCCAAAGCAACAATCTCATCCTGTTCACATGCATTGCCATCATCAACATTATTAATCAATCATCCGCGCCGACGGGCTAATAATATCATCTACCATGTTTCATCCCGTTTCAACGGTTTCATGTCAACCATCTCGCCCGAAGTTTGCGCCGAGCGTCTCGGGCCGCCCGGAGCTAACGTCTCATCACCGCCCAGGGCCTGTGATTCTCAATGTTATCATTGTCCATAACCTGAGCTAATAGTTACGACTGGCAACATGGGCTTGCACATTGCAAACGTTCATGAAGCTTCAGATGTATCTGGTTCAGCTACATCCTCGTCATTGCTGCCCGCGGCGTTCTGGTCATCAAAGCGGTATCTCAATCACCTCGTCTGCCTTGGGAAAGCTCCCGGCGAGCAGGCTACCTGAGCTGCTGGGTACACTGGTGCCACCAGCGGATCTGTAGAATGACCACAGCTGAAGTTCAAGGAAAGTTACAGGCTTTCTGAAGATTCAAACCATCATCTCGCTTCGCTTCCTTACTCTCCTCTGAAGGACTTTGCTCTAGCACTTCTTTTGGGCCTTGATAACCAGTGCAACAGCCTTTCCGTGGCCTTGAGAACACTGTATCGTACAGCAATACACAAACCTCCCCGGCTTCTGCTTACCTTTTTCCAGAGGCTCTTCATTATTCATTCCATGAACTCCCGTCTCTGATATCTGTGAACTTCGAGGACAATGTCTATGCAGTGGTTACTGGCAAGACACGTTTGGTGATTTCAGCTGTTCTCCTTGCATCTTTAATTGGGACATACACATCCAGAGTTTCTCTCGATCGCATGTAATATTAGCTCTTGCAGTGCCTCTGGACTTTCTGGAAGGCATGCTGTTGTGCACCTACCCCAGGGCGATGATCGGGATGAAGCCACGCGATCGAGGCCCCGCCGGCAGGCTCATTGCGCCGGGGGAAACCAAGACGTAATAGATGCGACACACGACCCTACTCGAATTTCGACGCTCTGAAACACCATCGCGCTTGCTAGGTTTGTAGGGCCGACGACTGGGAGGGCACGCGAGCCGGTGCTCTCACTGTGTTCTACAATGTTCAATCACGTCCCCTCCCAAGTTTTGCTGTAGAGCTCATGTTGCTATAAGGCTCTCGACCGATGTCTTGCTTCTGTATTCACTTGTATTTCTTCGAGGCGATCATGGCCAACGACGCGACCGACGGAAATAACAAGCACTTAGGCCAGTCCAGTCAGTCTTCGCCACCGAAGCCACTGAAGCCGCCTGGTCTGCATCACTGCCAATGGTGCAGACAGGACTTCCCCACTCTCGAGTCAAAAAACGCGCACGAACCGAAGTGCCTTCACAAGCCCCAGGCTTAGGTTGTCCCCAGCCCCGCCTTTAGCTCAAAACCATGCATAGTAAGCCACGTTCGTCGACCGTTTACAAGTTCGTTACGCTAACAGCATACCAACAGACGTAATACCCTCCTGCATTCACGGAGATGAGTAGACATCTAGGCTGTGCTCGAACTCATCTCGTGGTCATGCTTTAGAAGCAACGGACACAAGATTATTTCTTGCTTGATTTCCTTGACGAGGTGATGAACTTCCGTGGGACGTCCGCATGCTCTCGTCGAAGGTGATCACGCGTTTCTTTAACAACTTTTCTACTTACTACTAGTACTCGTCACTCTATTACTTCACTGTACGTATCGTATAATACAACCCGTACTTTTGGCTAAGGCCACTACTTTAAAGTTTTGATCCGGTTTTCATCATAATGTCACAGTTTCTGAACACAGGAAGAAGGATTAGAGTCGGACACACTGCTATACAGGGCGCTTCGTTTCATTAATATCGAGCTTCAGCGAAGTCTAAAGGCGAGACTATTTCCGCACATTACAACTTCAAGCTTCACGCGCACGCTTTGCCTTAGTCAGTCACGATGATCGTGATTAAAATCCGGCATTCCAGAACCTCGTATTTTTTCTAGATCTATCAACTCACCGAAAGACTAACAGACTAGGGCTCAATCAAACACTCGTTGAGTCAGAGGACACTTCGTAATTGACATGCTGAACAATCGTTCGAGAGTCGTACTGTACATAGGCATACTTTGTATGTCAAGTATGGGTCCAGGTGGATCCGAGAGGAGATGGTTTAGGGCAGGTGAAACACTCGTTTGGGTAACAGGCACAACTGCCTGTGCTTCTTGCTCTGCACCTTCTTCCACGCGACCGTGCACCCTGTCAAAACCTTCTGATAATCTTCGTCTCTCTCTCCCTTGCATGGATTAATTGCCAATCGCAGCTGTCAGATGGCTATGGCTATGTCATAAGACGCATTAATCTCTATCCTACAGCCTCTTGCTCTTACGTGGCTTCTTCGAGGGTGCTATGCAATGGCAAAGAGTCTTGCTCGATTCGAAGGACCAAGCTACTGAGATTGGCTGAACAGCAAAGGGCGCCTGGAACACATCAATCTAGTTGCTCAGGCTTAAAGTTACGTAGCGGCTGAATTGAACCATCTCATTGCTTCTAGCTTGAGATGGGCCAGTACACTCTTAGGTCGCAGCACGCAGGAGCTGTCTACGAGCATAGTGTCTGCAGCTATGCGTAGAATCCCATGGAGTGTTCAAGTTTCATCTGGGTCGTTGCGCAGGCTGAACCTCACCCCTGCATCATCCTGCCTCAAGCTGCGACTTCGCCACGAGACTGGCCCTGATTCGTCTTCCACACGATTTCATGTGAGACACCGGTGCACTAGACATTCGCGAAGCGAGTACCTCCCCCGGGCACAGATGCGCTTTATGCATCACGGAGCTTGCAAAATGTACCACGAACGGGACGAACGTCACTCAGCCAAATTCAGGCTGTTCGTACTGCCCGCTACTATGCATTGATCTGCAGCGCGCGAAGTCTTTGCAAAGGGCAAGGAAGGCGCGCCTGTATTTCTACAGCGCTTTCTGATATCCAGCTAGCAAAGGCAGAATCGATACCTTGACGAGTATATGCTGTATCGCCGGTCGAGTTATATTGACCCGGTGGTCGAGCTCTTCATTCACTTAAACCCACCTTGCCTCGCGGCTCTCGCAGTCATGGCCCAGGGCACTTCTCACGACGAGAATAACAAGGTTGTCGGTCGACCCAGCCAGGCTTCATCGCAGAACCCAATGTACCACTGTCGCTGGTGCAAGAAGGGCTTCCATTCCGAAGGGTCCAAGCAAACTCATGAGCAGAACTGTGATCTCAAGCCTCGCACAACTTAGACTATCTGTGGCTCAAGACATACCCCGCGCCATCAATGCCGTGAGTCACGGTGATCAGCCGCTCACGAGATCGTCGCGCTGATCATGCTCAAGTTCGTTTTAATGGAAAATCATTCCATCCGTCACTGGGACAAAAGATGTCCTCCCGAACACCCGGCCCTTTACATTATGTGTTTATGCTTTCAGCATCATTGACATCTTCGTAGATCTCGTAATTGGACTTGTCGCATTGTTGATACCCTACTCTGTAGCTTTAGACCATCTTGTGACGTCGGTCACTTACTACGTATGAACGTATATGAACCTGGACAATCAGATTTTTGTTGACTTCCGGAAATGACGTTCCTTAGTCTGAACGAAGATCGCCGCCTGATGTTGAGGATCATAGAGCGACAGGTAGAAGCGCTCCTCTACACGTGAGCTCCATCATGCTATGAGTGCAGTATGAGTTGTCCGAGTTGCCCGACACGAAGCTGGTGTTCATTATAGCCTGTGCAGTGGCTGTGGCCAACGCGCTGTCCTCATCCGATTGACTCGGCCCACTGCCAGCAGCACCCAACGTACTTACCGCAGCCTGCCGTAGTGTATGGCAGTCGACTGATTCGCCAATGGTCACCCTTCCACTGAGATATCAAGTTGGAACCGAACCACATCATGCACCACGCTCTTGAGCTGCCCGAGCTCGTCGACGCCATACTCACTTTCCTCGACCAGACATCTATAGCAGCCCTCGCACGCTCATGTAGGGCGCTGCACGAATCAGCCTCCGATGCGCTCTACTATGAGATATGGAATGTCACTGATCTCTTTGGAGGACTGGATAGTAGCCTGTGGGCCAAGGATGGAGATGAGAACGTATTGGTGAGTACATGCGTGTCATTTGCGCCGTCAAAAGATTTACAGTCATCCGTATCATCACACAAAGTCCCTCGCGCGCCCTTTCCAGCCCGAGGATCACGATGCCCTTCGACGCTTCACGTCTCGAGTCCGTGTTCTGCACGTTGCTATCCCTAGACCAAGATACTCTCGGTTCTCCGGGATGGTGCACCATAGCGTGCTCGACGCAGCCTCGTCCCACTGCAGTACTGCGCTGTTTCCAAGCCTCAAGTGTTTGCATTTCAACTCTGGCGCTCTCCGGGCCAACATTATAGGGTGTTTGCCAGGCATGGCGCTCCGTTACTTCCTCGGTCCAACCCTCTTCGAGGTCGACTTTCAGGGTCAACTTCCAGGTACCGCTATACAGCTTCTCAGCGAGCACTGTCCGGCGCTCCGTTGCCTTAGCCTTCCCTATAGCCTTCCATCTCAAGCAGATGGTACCGAGGCGGAGCTCTCTTTGGCGTTTTCTTCCTTGCAAGCCCTGAACTCCATCTGTGTCGAAGCATACCCCGAGAACCTCCCCGAGTGGCTACCTGCGATAGCACGTTCGCCCTGTCTGCGTACCCTCACTCTCAACCTCGGAGGTGTTCAACACGCCGAACTACAGGGCGTTCCGCGAGTTGTCTTCCCCACTCTGGAAAGCCTTGAGCTCCAAGCGGAAATCTCCTCGGATAGTCACCGCCTACTCCAAACTGGGCCGTGCGACTTCAGCTCGGTGACACGGCTCGACGTGAAGGGTATGCTAGCCAAGCCGGATGACTTTACAAAGCTCGTCGAGGTGGTCTCTCGGACGCTAAATCCTAAGCGCACGACTCGGATCGCGATCACAGACATGTTTGTACCGCTCCGCAGGGGCGCCGGCGACAGACTCAGGACACCGCCGGTCGAAGACATTCGCCCACTCATGACCTTCGGAGGGCTGACGGAGCTCGTTCTTAGCACGCACCTCGTGCCCACCCTAGACGATCAAAAGCTTGAAGAAGTTGCACTTGCCTTCCCTTGCATCCGTATCTTTCACTACTCCTGGAGACCACGCCGGGATGATGATACCCCTTCTATGATTACGCTGAAAGGGTTATCCATGCTGTGTGCGAAATGCAAACAGCTCGAATCCCTCCAATTGCTTGTCGACGCCCGAGTCGATCAGAATCCCCCAGCACACGAGATTCGAACAAAAGCAGTGCCTGCTATACATGCATGGGCCCTTTTTCTAGATTCCTCGAGGATTGACGACGTGGCGTATACGGCAGCATGTCTGAGGATGCTATTTCCGCGGCTTGTTAGGTTGGAAGGGCGGAGCATCGGCGATGGAAATGAAACGCCGTTCTCAGCTATGAAGGATATACTGTACGTTTTCACGTTTTCAAGATGTAGTTCCTTTTCTTTTCTGATTCTGGATCCAGGTTTGGGGGCACGCCGAAGGCTGCTGTTTGATGACGCCAAGGCAGTGTATGCTCGAGGCCTATTACGCGGTGTTGAAAGGGATGGTCTATCAGGCGCTCCGACGCGCTAAACGGTCTAGACCATACTGTGGGTCCATCTCAAAACGCGCACATGGCAATATTGCTTGTTACTACCGTATGTCTGCAAACAGCATTCAGTCCTCCACGGGATGCGCAAAGCAATTGATGCTGGCGGGAGCGTCCAACGTGCACAGCCACTTTATGTTACCTTGTACTCATTCGATTGCGCAGGACAGGCTGGTACCTCACTAAACTTCACTTAAGGCTCAAAGATGAATGAAAAGCATTTGTGAGATTAGCGCGTGGTGCTGATTTTAACCAACAACATGTCCGATTCCGTGAGTCATCCACTTCGGCAAGCCCTAGCCCACTGGCTGCCCTTGTGTAAGCTGAGCGCGGCCAAGGGCAGGCAATCTGCTGCAGGTTTCTTGGTGGCGTCCAATGGTTTGGATCCGTGGGCAGGTTCTGGGTGTATATATATGCCTTACCCCAGTCTACCCCTTCAATATCGGTATCGGTATCAACCTGCTTCCCCGCTCTCGACTTCTCTGGTGTACATAGTTTACTTCCCCCTCATCACAGTCATTACGCGCATGCCCAAGCTCAAATCGTCATGGATTGAAGACCCCGAAGTAAGTTGATCTCTCTTGAGACAATCCCGTATCACAGATACTCACTGGGCATTGTTGATGGCTCGCAGGAGGGTGCCGAATACATTGTCGATAATCTACAAAGCCCCTTACATGGGCTCATATGCCAGTTCCCCACGTTCGAGGAGGGCCAAGCAGTTATTGTAAGTGAAATAAAATTCCTTCATGGCGGCGCAGGATTCTGACAGGCTTCTCCCTACTAGTGGCTCGAGAAACCCTGCAAAGTGTGGAAAATGAAGTTCGGCTCGGAGTCGCAGGACCAGTTCTTCGCGAACATTCACTCCGACTATTTGCGTCTAAATACCCCGGACCTGGTCCTTGGAGCGCCAGAAGAGCGGCTCAGTCAGACGAAGCCGTCGGAGCCACACTCGTCAATATCCAATCCTGAGCATTCGCGGAAGCTGCGTTCTTTCGTTCGCAGGTTCATTCATGCCAGAAGGGATAGAACAGTGGTGGCATCATATTGATGACTGGCACACATATCATAATTGCATAATTAGTAGGATAGATTATACACATGAATGGGTATACTATAGGTTTAGGTTTCGTAGAGTACATGTACAGGTATACTCGCGGATACAAGTCCGCGGCGACAACGGGCCATGGCGCCCACATGTACTATATCATACCTCATGGTGATCAACCTGCATGCATCTGTACCCCCTTCTCAGTCATACCACACATCCTCACCATCCCTCTCGCTTTGACCGGTGCCACCCGTTTGTCTTGGTTCTATACCCACATCCGGCACAAATACCGCCATGAGGGCCAGAATACCCGCACCCAGAATAGCAGTCACGAACACACTCACTTCGCGCGGCTGGCGTGCCCAGCCGTACGCGAGGATGCCCATGAGCGCGAGCACGAAGCCCGCGGACGCCAGGACGATGCACAGGAGGTGGATGCGCGAGAGGAGGTGCTGCGAGGGCGCGCCGCGCAGCCAGAAGGGGCCGACCTGCTCGAGGTGCGGGTCGCGCGAGAAGAGGGGCGGCTCGATGGGCTCGGTGGAGGACGAGCCGCCCGTGGAGGGCCCCCGGCGCAGGTCTGGGCCCGGGTCGCTGTCGCTGCGCGCCATGCCGTTGCCGTTGCCGGTCGTGGTGGGTGTTGGTGGCGAAGCCGCGGTTCCGTTCGCTTTCGTGATTCCAATGGTAGTTTGCGCTGTCTCGTGCGCGTTTTGAAGGATACTACCAGTACGCTTTGTGCTGGGGGTATGCGGGGCATTTCCGTTCTGTGATGCATGGCCATTCTGGGCGGGCAATGTCTTCTCGTATTTCTGCGCCTCGACGTCGCCGCCCTTGAGCTTGAACTTCAAGTCTCCGGTCGGGATCGGCGATTTGACCACCTTGGCGCCTTCAACTTTACGCTCGAACTTGGAAGCTTCTCTGAGCTTGTACCGGATGAGAAGGAAAGCTGCAAGGAAGGACAAGACAGCTGATTATACGGCTACTTTAAGTGCGGGTGCCTCTAAAGAAGTCAAGGAAATTACCTGCATATACATGCATTACAAGCGCCCCAAGCAGCCCAGCATTCGCTGCTTTGAGCAGATTGCTCACTTCACCATTCTCCAGGTCATTCGCTGGGTCTGTGACCACGAGCATTGCAGCCTCCATCGAGGCGAAGAACGTAGTCTACAGCAATCAATATCATAGCCGTTAGATGCAGTCAAGAAATGAAGACAGGGTCGTACGATGACGGATATGAGCTGCAACCGCTCCTGCCATGAGCTAACCAGATTCTCCATGGAATTCTGGTATGCGCGTTTGTCAATCATATCTTGCTGTTTCTGAGTCCCTGCGGATTCAGCGTCAGCCCCTGGGCACACTCCGTATACTGTACAGCAAACGTACGCCGTTTCTGAGGACTGAAGATGCCCATGGCAGGACCGGTAGATGGCGCATCGTAGTCGTAATCAAGAGTCCCGCGACGAGAGGGGTCAGGGCTCATGATCACTCGCATGAGCGCACTCGCGGGCTCGCTGCGAGTCTTATATCTTTGCCGTTGAGCGGTGTCGCTGTCGATGCGCAGCGGTTCTGTATATATGTACGTCAGGGTAAAGCGCTGAGACTAGGTTGGGAAGCGAATGCGTACCTCTCCCGGATGCATACCTGTCCGATGCGGCAGGCGAAGTAGCCATGATCTCCTGCTAGTGAGTCTGATTTACAGTTGTCGCGAAACTGGTTTCAGAGGGATTACTTATATAAAGGCGAGAGCGCTGGATGTCATAGTCAGCGTGCGATGTGGGCGGGTTAAGATGCGCTTGGCTGGCCGATGACTGCAACCGAATTGACAGAACAGCGGGCGAGAAGCCAAACATGGGACCGAAAGAAGTCAGAGGCCGCCTCATACGACGCAGTGTATGGCGTCACAGCAACACCTTTAGATGCTGCCGAGTGGAGAAAAGGAACAGCATCTCTCAGCATCTACAGCTGAGACGGAAGCTTTTGCATCGGGGGCTCCAATCATCAGAGGGCATCATGCGGAGCAGCGGTCCAGTGAGCATCTCGGATCACAGCTTTATGACTGCAGAAGTACTGGCGGGGGATGGTCGCTACTAAGTACCTTGAAGCTGAGGTTAGTGTTCGAATTTTAGACCGCATTTCCTACTTGCGACCATGGCAGAACGATAAGTAGCCTCGTCTAGATGAGAGGTTGCATACATCGTAAGTCGCAGAACGATCGTTGTCCTTTGATCAGATGTGGGAGGACAATGGGCGCCAAGCTTTTCAAAGTTTCGCCGTCATTAGTACTGCCGCCGATCAGACCGAAGCCGGCAGTCTTCCAAATTTGGTAGATTCGGTCTCAGAATTTTAGGCTCGGCCAAGACATTTCCTCTCGTTCCCCTGCCTGTCACCCTCGCCACAGTCCATTCATCCCAATCGACGCTGTTACATTGAACGGTCGAGCATTTACGGACCTTCCGCCTGGTGACTCAGATTGACTCTAGCATGTCCGCAGCTCTTAAGATCGCCTCCATGCCCGCTATCACTGGATATTTGTCTGTTATCTCATCCTCTTCAACCAATGACGACTCAGAAGATGAAGATGAAACAGCCCTATTTTGTAACGTTCCCCGCCATGGTCGTGGATGGTGTCGTTGCGAGGAGTCGATGCGGTTGTGTGGGTTTTCCTGGTGTTGCAATTAGCCTTCCAGACCGTAAAGGATATGACTTTTGGTTAGTTTCCAGCGCTGTATTTTTGACTGATGTTGCGTTCGTCCTTGACTGACGTCTTCAGTGGCTGCACGGTATCGCTTCCGCGCCTTCCAAGCGCTCGCTCGGAAGCGTGAATGGGCTATCCCAGACCCTGCCGGCCCAAGGGCAACGGCTCCGTCGCTCTTCGCTGCCTAGAATGAGTGCGATCTGCTGGGAGGGAACCTCATCTCTGTCATCATGGTGCTGCTGGCGGCCTGTTTGGTGTACATGGACAACCGGCTACCAGACCTTTAAGGTAGTCAAGTTCACGGGTTAGGTACTATTGAGTACAAAATGAATGCACTAGCAAATCTTTCTCAAAATGAAGATAGCTGGTTTTATTCACTGCAATGTACAGCAGCAACAGTTCACGGACCAGTTGGGCGGTGTGTTAATACAACGTCCCGTATCGTCGAGCCCTCGCGAGTGAAATTCCAATGGATGCTGCGGCCCCTCCGAAACTCAAGTGCTCATGCACATGCTCGTAACTTTACAGTAAGTACACGCGACGCGTCGCTCTTGTCACGTATTACGGCCATGGCCGAACCTCTGGTGCACATTCAGCGCTGAAGCGCTGAAATGCTCAACAACGCTAGACAACGCTGCGCGCGCATGCTGTGACTCATGCCGACATTAATGATCGGCTACAGCTATACAGAATAGTTCTTATACCCGCCTTTCATTCACAGCTTCTTAGCTGTCAGATACTCTGTATCATCCACACTTTCACCTTGTCGCCATTCACGTTGTCCCATGACTCAACACGAGGACACTTCGGTTCAAGACGAGCATACACCTCTGCTAAATACTCAGCCGGAAGATAGCAGCAAAAAGTCGAGGACTCCACTACCAAAAGTTCAGATCGGCATCCTCACTCTCGTCCAGTTCGTGACACCGGTGTCTGCTCAGAGCATATACCCATACATCAATCAAGTGAGTTGTGCCCTTTCTATGCATGCTCTGCTCAGAACATTGATTCAAATTGCATTGTGATAGCTCATACGAGAATTAGATATTACACATGGCGACGAGACCAGGGTTGGGTACTATGCGGGTCTCATAGTGAGTGTTTGCTCGCTCACAGGAAGCTAGCCAGTTAACGTGCTCTCAGGAATCGATGTTCTATGTGTCGCAAGCCTGTACGACGTTATCCTGGAGCCGACTTTCAGACCACATCGGACGGAAACCTGTAATATTAATCGGACTCTCAGGCCTGTGCATATCTATGCTCTGCTTCGGCCTGTCGCGAACGTTCCTCACGTTGGTGATCAGGTATGCCCCGCTTCTGTCGTCAACTGTGCTTGAAATTTATTATGCTTGCATCCTTCCAGTCGATGTATATGCGGTGTACTGAATGGCAGCTCGGGAGTCATGAAGAGCATGATGGGCGAACTTACGGACGCGACCAATATAGCCCAGGGATTTGCGCTGCTACCCATTGTCTGGTGTGTCGGCGTGACAGTAGGGTGCGTGCCCTCTCCATCACGGCCCACGGGCTCTAGCGTCTGATACGCGCCCTTGACTTGTAGACCATTTATTGGTGGTATACTTGCGCGGCCTGCAGATAGGTGGCCGCATTTGTTCTGGGGGCAATTCTGGCACGAATACCCTTATTTTCTTCCTTGTTTTGCGATCACTGTAATGGTTGCGTTGATCACGGTAGTCATCGCGCTTTTCCTCAAAGAGGTGAACTCGCCCTATCATTCTTTCTCTTGATGGCCCAGTTGAGACGTCTATGCAGACGCTCCCAATGCGCAAAGCCAAAACACCATCGCCTGAAAGCCCTGAAGATGCTCAGGATACCTCCACCCCCGACGCTCCCTTGCCCATGCGTGCTCTTCTCATCCCATCCATCCTCATTCCAATCGCGAACAACGGCCTGCTCGCAGTCGTCGAAGCTGGATACACTGCCCTCCTTCCTCTGTTTTACTCCAGTCCTCCGAGTATAGGTGGTCTCGGTTTCTCACCTGCTGTCATCGGTACTTTGTTGGGTTGCTTCGGCATCATCGACGGGATCGCGCAGATTCTCTTCTTCGCGCCCATCGTGCATCGCCTTGGACCAACACCCACGTTCAAGCTCGCAGTCTCATTTTGCTTTCCTATCTTCGCGTTGTTCCCGATCATGTCGTGGTATGTCGCGAGATGGGGTGTCGACAGAGTGGTGTGGAGCTGTCTGGTGCTGCAGCTGTTGCTGCAAATTATCAAGGATATGGCTTATGGTGGGCCCATCCACAACCTGCTGTCTCATAGGAGCTGGAGCTAATCACGGCTGTCTGTACAGGCTGTGTGATGATGCACATCACCTCGTCTGCTCCTTCCAAACGTTCACTTGGAAGCGTCAACGGTATTTCTCAAACTATATCCGCTACGGCACGAGCACTTGGTCCAGCGATAGCCACTTCCATCTTCGCGGCTTCAAAACAATATAACCTACTGGGTGGAAACTTTGTCTATGCGGTTATGATGGTTTTGGCAATTAGTCTATTGTATCTTGGGAGCTGGTTGCCAGATAAGTTGCCCGAGAGGAAGAACTAGAACACATCTGGGGAGGCTTGGATAGACGTTGAACGAGGGAGGATGTTACAGTAGTTTAACGTTTAAGCTTAAGCTCCGTCAGTACCAGCATCAAGAATTTATGCCAAGGTCCCATTGAACGGCCCACCGACCTAATGACAGCTTGATTGAAGTTAACAGCCCCTGTCGGGGTGCAACTGCGTCGCGCCTGAGTTCGTCGTCCCTTTCGTCTACATTCATTACACATACATGGTCTCAGGACCCCCGAATATACCCTCAGATGGTGTTGTTAGCCGAGCTCTTAAAACCCCGGTGGACCAGAGTTGACCCCTCCGCCCAGGTATCCATCGAACCCCGGTCCTGCTAACACCCTCGCTGGAAGGTCAAAATCAACCCCGGTCTGACCCCTATCCTCAAAAAAAACCCGCTTAAAGTGCTAAAATTCGCCTCGAGGCTTGTAGATCATAGAAATACGCCTAATAACTGTAAAGCGTGTCAAGGAAGCATGTGAAGTGGGTTCTCATTACTATATGTCGGAATTTTGTTCGAAACTCTAGGATAACCAACACATGTGCGGTAGTCTAGCTTCCCAGAAGAGTGGCGCCCACATGTTCATTCAACCAAACACCAGATGAAGCAACTAGTCAATAAATGTAGAATCCTTAAGCCTCAAAATCTGGCTACAACATATGCCAATGGTATTTTGTTACACAGAAATTAGCAGCGCTCGACATCCGAATCTAAGTTATCTCGTTGGAGTTAAAGTGAAGAGCAATGGCAAGTATGTACAAGATTCCGACAAAAAACCTAGCAGAACTACCGTTTTTGGCAGCTTTTGTATGAAACTTTGATAAAACTCTGTAGATTTTGATGTTAAAACGGCCAAGTCTGCATGAACTTAGTTACCAGATCGAGCTGGTCGTCCAAGTCGGTAGACGGGCGGGCGCCTATTTTTATTCGCTAGGCAACCCCGCCAACTGAACCCCGGTCTCGCTAACACCCTCCCCCAATAGGTTCATCCAACCCCGGTCCCCGACACACCATCTGGGCCAAAGAACCCCCCTCCAACCCCGGTCTAGCTAACGGGCTCCGGCGCTGCCGCGCCATTTCAGCCCCGGTCCACCTAACACCATCTACTAGTATATTCGGGGGTCCTATGGTCTCGCAACCAGGTGCTCCTTGAGGGTCGTGCTATTTCGGGATTGGAGGGCAAGCTCCGCAAGAGCATATGAACTCTGGAGCGCTATCAGCCACTGGGAAGGAAGTGCCCGACGCGTCGCATCTTACGAAGAAGGCTTGCTGTTGACTCAACTCTGCGCCCATCCGACATTCAGCTCTCAAATGTTTTGCTAACTCTACTGTGACTCGGTCATATGCATGTAGACCGCTAGACACAGATCTTTTACTCAATCTTTTCCCAGAGATCCCTTAGAATCTCGTGGTCGTTTACTCCTTCATTTTGTTACCCTCCTCGTCCCATGGCTCACCGCGAGGATCGTCGCGAGGACCTTGGCGAGGCCTTTCAACTTGAAGAAGAGGATGCACCTCTGCTAGATGAGGCCCAGCCCGAAGATAGCAGCAAAAGGCCAAGGACGCCGTTGCCAAAACTCCAGATTGGCATCCTCACCCTCATCCAGTTTGTGTCACCGGTGTCTGCTCAGAGCATATACCCATATATCAATCAAGTAAGTTGTGCTCTTGTCTGTGAATACCCAGTTCAAAGTGTTAGCTAACGGCGTACTGTAATAGCTCATACGAGAACTAGATATCACACATGGTGACGAGACCAAGGTTGGATACTATGCGGGTCTCATAGTGAGTACGTGCTGGATCACAGGGAGCTACCAACTAAAGTGATATCAGGAATCGTTGTTCTTTGTCACGCAAGCCTGTACGACCTTGTCTTGGAGCCGACTTTCAGACCACATCGGACGTAAACCTGTGATCCTGATCGGGCTCTCGGGTCTAAGCATATCTATGCTCTCGTTTGGCTTGTCGCGAACGTTCATCACGCTGGTGCTCAGGTATATGCTCCTTTTGTCGGCCAAATTTTGCTGAAGCTAATCATGCTTGCAATCTTCCAGTCGCTGTATATGCGGCGTACTAAATGGGAGCTCGGGAGTCATGAAGGGCATGATGGGCGAGCTTCTGGACGCAACCAATATGGCTCAGGGATTTGCGCTGCTGCCCATTTATCGGTGTGTTGGCGTGACCGTGGGGTGCGTGTCCTTTACATAAACAAAATTCTTCAGCACCTGATACGCCTTGACCTGTAGACCATTCATTGGTGGTTTACTTGCGCGACCAGCAGATAGTTGGCCGCATATGTTCTCGGGGCGGTTCTGGCATGAATATCCTTATTTTCTTCCATGTTTCGCCGTATCCGCGTTGGTTGCGCTGATAGCGGTAGCCATGGCGCTTTTTCTCAAGGAGGTGAGCTTGTCGTTCCCCTGTTGCGCTCCACACAGCTGATATTTCTTTGCAGACACTCCCGAGACGTAAAACCAAAAGGTCATCATCTGAAAGCCCTGAAGATGCCCAAGCTGACTTTCCCTCCGACGCTCCTCCGCCTATGCGAACGCTTCTCATCCCTTCTATCCTTATTCCCATCGCGAACAACGGCCTGCTCGCCGTCGTCGAAACTGGATACAACGCTCTCGTACCCTTGTTCTACTCGACTCCTTTGAGTAACGGTGGTCTCGGTTTCTCGCCCGCCGCTATCGGCATTTTACTGGGCTGCTTCGGCATCCTCAACGGGATCGCGCAGATTCTCTTCTTTGCACCCATCGTGCATCGCCTTGGACCAACGCCCACGTTCAAGCTCTCCGTCGCGTTTTTCTTTCCTATCTTCGCGTTGTTCCCGATCATGTCGTGGTATGTCGCAAAATCGGGCGTTGACAGCGTTGTATGGGGGTGTCTGGTGCTTCAGCTGTTGCTGCAGACTGTCAAGGACATGGCTTATGGTGAGTTCACTCTTGATGGTTTAACTTAATGGACTTACTACTGATCACCGCATGTTGTTCAGGTACTGTCACGATGCACATTACCTCGGCTGCTCCATCCAAGCGTTCACTTGGAAGTGTTATCGGTATCTCACAGACCGTATCGTCTGTAGCACGAGGGCTTGGCCCAGCGATGGCTACGTCCAGCTTTGCTGCCTCAAAGCAATACAATCTACTGGGTGGAAATCTTGTCTACGCGATCATGGTCGCTTTGACATTCTGCGTCTTGTATCTAGGGAGTTGGTTGCCGGATGAACTCCCAAAGCGCAGGAACTAGAGCTCGTTATAAGAGCGTAAATAGACATAGGAAATATGTAATTGTACCCGGCGCTATGATGCCTCAGCCTGAATCCATGCTGCCGATGCTGAAGGCCCCGTTGACCGATAGTCCAATGTCTCATATAAAGGCAAGGGAAAGCCACCACCAGCTGTTTGATAATGTAGTCAGCTTGTATCGCGCAACCAAGCAGTCTTCAAGATGTTCAATGTGGTTTTCCGTTGTCGGATAACGGCCCGTCCGCGCGTCATTGGGTTCTGGCGTTCGTCAAGGTTACACTCGACGCTCGAACGCACATGTTTCCGCTCAAGCTCCTGTGACTTGTATAATTATGTCTCCTCAGGTCTCCGCAACCTAAGCTGACGACTGTTTGGATCTCTCTCGCGTTCATACCTAATTCACACAAGCCAGGGTCCCCCGCTCTTCGCTAGGGCCAATTGCAAGCTCGTCTTGTCGCCTTCTTCGTAGACATGACTTCAAGCCAGAGTTCCGACCCTCAAGTTGAGAGTACGCCTCTGCTCAATGCTCAGCCCAAGAACAGGGACGCTCGCGACAACGATACACCCAGGACGCCTTTACCCAAAGTACAGATTGGGATTCTATCTCTAGTGCATGTCGTCACGCCGGTATCCTCTCAGAGCATATACCCGTATATCAACCAGGTAAGCAGTCCCTTTATCAACGCCCTCGCAGTACACTGATAATGCGAAAGCTCGTTCGTGAGCTAGACATCACCCATGGCGATGAGAGCAGGGTCGGATATTATGTCGGTCTCATAGTAAGTACATTCCTGGTGCGCTAAAGGCTGGTTTTGAGCTGAATGATTTTTATGATCAGGAATCAATCTTCTTTGCCACGCAAGCTTGCACAACATTTGGATGGAGTCGACTGTCTGACTATGTAGGACGAAAACCTGTCATGTTGATCGGGCTCTCGGGCTTGTGTATCTCCATGCTCTGCTTCGGCTTGTCGCGGACCTTTGTGACATTAGTGTTGAGGTACGTATCAATTTCTCAAGATAAGAGCCTTCATTTATGAATGAGCTTAGTCGGTGTATATGCGGTCTGCTGAACGGGAGCTCGGGCGTTATGAAGAGCATGTTAGGCGAGCTCACCGACGCATCGAACATAGCGCAGGGATTCGCAATTCTACCTATCCTATGGTGCGTCGGGGCGACCCTTGGGTAAGTCTCCTTGGAACTATATTTGTTAGCATATGCCTTGACATGGTTTGGTTTGTAGACCTTTTGTGGGCGGTGTACTAGCGCGACCAGCAGATAGATGGCCGCATTTGTTCTCACAGCAGTTTTGGCAAGATTATCCCTATTTTCTCCCTTGCGCTGCGGTCTCCGTATTCGTTATCTTCGTCGCGCTCCTAATCGCGCTCTTCCTTAAGGAGGTGAGTACTCCTGCTCCTGCTCCACCCTGAAGCTGAAATCCACCGACAGACTTTGCCTAGGCGGAAAGCCAAAGAGCCACTGCTTATCCAATCCAGCGCACCCGAGGCTCCAGAAGACTCTAGCTCTTCTTTCTCGGTTGCCGAGGCGCCTCTACCTATGCGCGCCCTTCTTGTTCCTCCCATTCTTATTCCCATCGCAAACAATGGCCTTCTCGGAGTTATTGAGGCCGCACTTGCAGCCATGCAACCTCTGTTCTACTCTACTCCTACCAGTAGCAGTGGCCTGGGTTTCTCCCCTGCTACCATTGGCACCATACTGGCATGCTTTGGCATCTTCGACGGTCTTGCCCAGGTCCTATTCTTTGCTCCTGTCGTGAACCGAATTGGACCGAAGCGCACCTTTGAGCTCGCAGCCACAACCTGTGTCCCTATCTTTGTGTTATTTCCTGTGATGTCGTGGTATGTTGCACGGGGCGGTGTGGATAAGGTTGTATGGGCGCTTTTGGTGTTGCAACTATCACTGCAGATTATCAAGGACATGGCCTATGGTGAGTTGGTGGCTGATGCGATGTTTTTTTTGGGAGCGCAGCTGATTAAACCTTCCGTGTAGGCTGTGTCATGATGCATGTCACCTCTTCCGCTCCCTCTAAGCGTTCGCTTGGAAGCGTCAATGGGCTCTCGCAGACCATATCGGCCATATCACGGGCCATCGGACCTGCAGTGGCTACGTCCATCTTCTCCGCTTCGAAGCAGTATAACCTGCTAGGCGGAAATCTCGTTTATGTCTTCATGGTGGCGATGACATTCTGCTTAATGTATCTAGGGAGCCGACTACCGGATCAACTGCCTGATCAGAAACGCTGATTGACACAAACGAGAATAAATTCAGACAAGCGGCGTTCTTTTACACCACCATCATTGTATGACTTGGTCCCAAAGTCAGCAATGATTTTATGCATGGAGGAAAAGTGAGCAAGGAAAGCAGCAAAATGCCAACTTTATAACCGCGTTCGATGTTGCTTTGAAGACTGCATGGTCAACTCTATATGCCTGATCACCAGCGACGGCAAGTTCAGAGTATGTGGCGATGGCTGTTCAATATCCAAAGCCCCAGCCGCCACGACAGATTGCTCGCAAGCATATCATTGGCTGCTATCAATTGCTCTTCTCATGACCAGCGGGCTTTGATCCCTTCCAAAAAGCGGTATACCAGTGCGACTCGGAGGTCCCGAAGTTATAAACGATAACTTTGGCGATGTGACTGTTCCTCCCCGGCGTCTGCTTCCTCTTTTGTTTTGTACGCATCGACTCTAATGCCGACCGCATTCGTTTTACTGGACGATCAGTCCCCTCTCATCACCTATGATGATACATGGGCTTACGGTTATTCTTGGGGTGATGACACCATCAGCTAGTAAGCCATATACCACATTTCCAAAAGATTTCTCCATACTGATCTTTTCGTAGCTACTACCGTGGAACATTCACCGTCAGCGCTCAGCCCAACGCTCAGTCGGCTACGTTCTCTTTGAACGGCACGGGCGTTGCTGTCTATGGTAGCCAACGCTTTAATCATGGCGAGTATTCCGTATCCGTGGACGGCCAGACAAACACAGCAGACGGATATTCGTCAACGAATGCCTTTCAGAAGGCTTTGTTTACACAGTCTGGTCTCCAACAAGGCATGCATAGCATTACAATTACCAATACCGGGTCGGGAAATAAGACTGACTTCGACGTGGACTTTGTAAGCTCTATCGTGCGCGTCAATGTATAAGATATCTAATGCTGATCCTGGGATGTTTTACAGGTCACATGGGAGTTTGAAGTGGGGGACGATAGTCAAGGGCTCTTGTCTGTCCAGGTGCAGGACACCGATCCCAGCTTTGACTATCAGCCAGCTTCTGCGTGGAGCGACAGCCCGTCGCAGGCGTACATGTATAACAACGGGTCGGCGCAGTAAGTAGAAATTGATCTGACATGTATTTAATCTAATTGCTGCCAGCGCTACGTCTGTCGACGGTGCGTCCGTCACGTTAACGTTCACGGCAAGTTACTACCACCGGAAAACAGTGATTTACGTATGTGCTAATAGCTTGTACAGGGTAGGATAATTTGCCTACGCTTATTTTTTACCAGATCGCTGATGGACATTGCGAAGGTGATGTTATCAACCTCTACGGTACTGCCGGTCCTAGCAACGGATTCTACTCCGTGTCGATGGATGGTGTTGCTGGAGACACGTACAATGCGACGAGATACCTCACCTCATATCAGAATATTATTTATCACGCCAACAATCTTGGACCTGGAGAGCATAAGCTCACCGTGACCAGTCAACCCCAGGCCGGGGGTCAGTATTTAAACATCGACTACGCCGAAGTCATGGTACTTACGAAGTAAGTCAAATCGCCGAAGAATTATCATTGAGCAATGCTGACAGTTCGACTAGTGGAAGTTCGGCAGGCACTTGGTTGAATGACATGTGTGTGACTGGGCCGCTTGTCCTTCAGCTCTTCTCGGATTCTGCTGACAACTTATTTACAGTGCAAGCGCGAACGCGATACAGCCCCAGACAACTTCAAAGTAACGACGCTTTCCTCATATTTTCCCGACATCAAGCTAACATCCTTTGCTCAGAAATACTGACACTGCCGCAATTGCAAGTCTGGCTGTGCTCGGAGCAATCGCGGTGCTATTATTGTGTGTTATATACTGGCTTTGGCACCAATGGAAAGTAGCCGAGGATCGGTACACAGATTTGTGCAAGAGCTACCGATGGCCGGTAAGTAATGTTGCTCATTCCTCTGGTTCCACGATGGAGGCTGGTGCGGAGGGCATCGGTTTATCAAACATTCGAAATCGAGCCCTGCAGCCCGAGCCAGATGGCATAGCACCCCAGCTGGCGCCTGATGTCGAAGGGAATGAGATCGAAGTGCCTCCACGGCAGGCATCTAGTAGTAATAGTATCGGTGTAAGTAACATTTTCTGTGTTCTTGCAATGCGGAGCCTTGCTAAAACTAAAATTTCCGCAGCAACCAAACGCTACATATGTTTCCGGGCATCCTAGTAGGCGAACTCGATCATCGTTTGTACCGACCATCTCTACCGCTCTTCCAGAGTATACTGTACAGGGTCCTTCATTTTCCTTTTGACCAAATAACATTTTCTGCCTTATCAATTATCGAGCCTCACGTCTTAAGCAGCCGCCGGAACCTAAGTTGCTACTTCCAGATTTGCTTCAGCCGGTTTGAATCATAGAGAAAGAGAAGGCTGATTGAAAAACAGTCAGAATAATAAGATTAGTCTTATAATATCGATCCACATTAGTGCACCACACAAGCATCCACTATGCGTACATCCTGCGAAAATTTACGGGAGGAATCTTCCTCGTACTCGTTCCCGCGTGACATACTGGGGCAGAGTCTTGCTCGCTGTTCCAGTTTTCCTCACTCTCATCTTCGCCCTTGTGTCCCCACCAGACCCTATCACCTTCAAGCGCCGGCCACTCGTCAACGAGATTGGCGAGTGTCTGGAGATGACCATATGCCGCGGGTTGGGGGCCAGAAGGACGGCGTATTGCCAACAATGTTAGAATGATGGCGAGGAAAGTAAGCGCGAAGCAGAGATTCCATATCTATGATGGCGTGAAGATTAAGCTGGCAAGGAAGAAAGAGCAATTGCGCGATGAAGTGTCGTACCTGTGCGGCACCAAAACTAAGGACATTGTATTGATTACCGTTTGGGATCACTGCAGCAACTGAAGCGAGCGAATACATCCAATCTAACGCAAGGTCAGTAGCCTAATCAGCTGAATGTAACCTACGAGACGAATCGACTCACGTAGTACGGGTTTAGCAACCAACAGCAAAATCTTGACAGGGTTAGCCAAGAAGCTCGCATATGAATTTGCCATCGGCTTCGAGCCACTCGAGCGACCAATCCTCCGCCAGATCCACTCATCATGCAAAGAATTGGCGACAACCTCGACATAGTGTAGCACCAGTGTCATCCAGCTCTGCGTCAAGAGATAGATCACGAAAAACATGGTCCACTGCTGCGCTTCCGTCGCATGCGCGAAGAAAGGTGACGATACGACATTGTAATTCGCGCCTGGAAGAAGAGACCATGGCAAGTGGGTATATGCCGTGTTTTTCTCCGTGAAGTAGAGGGTTACACCGCCCAGGATGATATATACAACTATGAGGCCCCATAGAGCGAAGATCGACACACGTACGCCACGGCGCGCCTTCCAAAGCGATGGCTGGCGGAGTGCAGGGAACCTAGGACATGGAGCCGATCCTTGGTCCACAAGGGAGCACATGCTTCTTCCATCCACTCGGATGAGTTGTCCGTCGTTTATGAGCGCGGATGTCATCTCAAGAGCACCAGTCGTCCATGTGATGATGGGTGTAATGTGGAAGGCGCGAAATGCAACAGACGCTTGGATGAGGATGCAGACACCGAGTACAATGAGGGGATTGGCATTGATGTAGAATGTGTAGCGGTCGGAGCGTTGGTTAGTGGTTTGCATGGTCAAGGAGCTAGACGCAAATGTCAGGGCTAGAAGCATCGACATGGAGATGTTGCCCAAAAGGCCGTTACAGCCAGTCCAACGATCACGACGGGTAGCACCCGTAAGTCTTGCAAGGGTGTTGTACTGGAGTCGACCTTCCCGCGCCAACGCGGATCGCAGTGCGATTCCATGCGCGAAACCGATCGCTTCTGTACATATCGTGACACAAAAGTTGAGGAGTAACCTTGCAAACTCTTGGGCGGTCGAATCTGCTATGAAAGATATGACACCTGCGTCCTCGTCCGGTATGAGAATCAAAGTGACAACTCCCAAGACCATGCAGGAAATGCCGAAGACAATGGCAAGGATGAGGCCAGTTACGGCAAGCCTTTTGGGGAGCTTATTGGATTTCGAGCGGGGAGAGGAGGGTGTTTTGAGAGCAGATTCACTGATAGAGGGTTCGGAGGAGAGCACATGGTGAACGTGATCGTTGAGCTCCCCATCCTGGCGGTCATTGGGATAGCTCATCCCTCGGAATGATTAAGGGACGAAGGCAACTGGATGGTTAGAGGCGACATGAGGTGAATCCAATGCTGTGTCGCATTATCGGTAGCAATCGCGGTGCTGAAAGCCCGTGTAATAGTAGAGTTGGTTATGAGTAAGTCGTACTAGGTGATTGACCTGCGTGCAGAGAACATGTGCTTTCGTAGGGATGGAGAGTGATGCATGATGATTGACATGAGCCGTTACGAGGACAAGAAGAATGGGCTGCTAGACGCGGCTCGGCTTATCCCGCATCCTAGCTCAGCACTGAGGCTGGGGAATGATATTAATGAGCGCTCATTCTTGGGTTACCGGTGCCATCATCTATTGCCCAGAGTGTCGTAAGCAACCTTGATGACACAAGAGCCGACGATGAATGAAAACGCACCGATACCCCACTGGTTGTTGCAGAGCTCCATTCCCCAGCGTCGCGTCCGAAGCCGCGTCTAACAGCCCATTCTTCTTGTCCTCGTAACGGCTCATGTTAATCATCATGCATTGAGCATTTGTTCATACTTAATGCAAAGAGGTTTAGCCTAACGCAGGTCGCGACGGACCATTTGTATGTCCAAGACTTGCCTCCCTATTATCACACTCAGATCCATTGATATGTTTGATTCTTTCAATCTGCTCACTTTAGCTTGTCCTCACCGAACATAGTATCCAAAACTGACACTTATCACAGCTAATAACCTCGGGCAGGGAACACTTGAATTCTGTCACTTTATCACCAAACAATTGTCGCATTAATCATACGACACATCCCTATAAGCGCAAAACAAACACCGATAGAACAACCGCAGAACTATTGACAAACTATTGAAGCCCCTCGATCCCTATATGCACAAAGGTACAGAACTTTACTCCGCAATTTCCATAGAACCCCAGACTACCCAAACATATATGAGACGGGCGAGCGGTGCCAACCTTACGTGCTGACGGAGACGCTGTAGCTGTTGGTGTAAAGCTCAGCAGAGCCGGTGAAGGGCTCGGTACCGGTCTCGATGGATTGCAAGTACAAGTCGGACGATACGCCTTCATTCTCGATCAAGTACTCTGTTTGCAAGATCAATGTATTCAGTTTTATCGGAAGAAGCGCTTGTTAATGAGTAAACTCACGGAAGAACTCGTTGAGGTCCTCGCTGAAGTCGTTGATGTTGCCGTCCTGGCTGACGAAGGAGATCGTCTCCCAGTTGGAGTTCGGGCCCGTCCAAATGTTCCAGGTGTAGCCTGCGACGGTCACGTCCGAGGTAGCGAGCGAGCCAACGGGCTGGATGCCTCCGAGACCAGAAAGCCAGATCATGCTAGACGTCACCAGAAGTCTCGGTTGGTGTTGGTTTATTGCCAAAGGTAACGTCTACTTACATCTCGTAAGAAGAGTCAGCCGAAGCCTGAGCGCCGTCAGCAGTGGTACCAATCCAGATGTCATAGCTGTTATAAACAATCAGCACAACCGTTTGTTCCAAGTAAACGAGATAAAGCTTACGAAACATCAGCACGGATACCGTCGGACTCGGTAACGTAGTCCCAGTTCCAAGCAGTGGGGGCCGAGGTGATCGAGCCGAGCTAAAGAAAGCAGTGTCACGAAACTAATCAGAGATGGGTGGCTCTTGCAGACGCACAGTAACACCCATGCCGGAGGTAGGGGACACATTGGTATCTAAGAAACATCTTGTCAACGCGCGAGCAGCATTTTAAATACCAAAATTCGCACTTACAGGTCTTGACATCGTTCTCATTGTCAGCCCAGGTCCAGGTAGTAGACCAGGTAATCGTATTTCCGGAGGTGCTGATGAGCGTCGCGGTCTGGTTACCGGTGCCATCATCTATTGCCCAGAGTGTCGTAAGCAACCTTGATGACACAAGAGCCGACGATGAATGAAAACGCACCGATACCCCACTGGTTGTTGCAGAGCTCGTAGTCGCCCTGAGTGACGCACTGGTACTGCTCAGTGAGCGTGGTCTGGCTACGAGCCACGGCGAAGAGGCCGGCGACGAAGGCGAGCGAGAGGAACATGTCGATTTGGCTGCGAGTGCTAGTTGCAGAGATGGATAGTCTTCCAACCTGACTTTGTCCGGTTTCCTCGCCCTGGCTTTATACCTGTCGCCATGAACAGCATTAGCATTCTGCTATGGTCCTTGTGTGGGCAGAGCTGCGTGACCGGCTTCCGAGGCTGCTCGCAAAGTATCGTGCGTTGACTACGATTGAAGTGCGAGATTCTTCCGGGCGTCTAAGGAAAGAACAGTGGAAGACAAGAGATCAGATCAGTCTCCCATGGTCGCTGCATGATGGCAGTGGAGCAGCTATATAGTCTGATAAACATAGGTTTAGCCTTGCTTTCTGCGTGATCACCAGGCCAATCCGCCGAGGGAACATACCCACGACCACCACTAAATTTTACCTGGACGTGGCAAAGTAGTTACGCGCAAATAGAGGTCTCTTGGAATGGATCACCGTGGGGCTTCAAAGAGCATTCAGAAACAACCATCCCTGGCGTTGAGTCGGGGAAACGTCGTACACAGCAAGCTTTCGTGCCTGAACTGTGCCTGAAGATGTTAAAAGCATACCTTTCGCCGACACGCGAGAAAGAACAAAATCTGACAGGAAAGCTGTGTCATTATTGAAGGGGTGTTCGCCTACAACAACTATACGTGGTACGGGTATATTAGCGGTATACCTTTCCTGGGTATGCACCATGACGTTAGTACTTTAGATATCAGAATTTCGAAACATTACAAGGTATCATTTGATAATGAGGGATATCCATCCTTTCGCGCGTCTCTAGACTGTTCTCGGATCTATGTTTCGGGCCATTTATTGAGTCAAGACGTGGTCTCCTTCACAATAGATGGCATCTCGGGTACTTGAGGCTCGGGCGAGTCAGATCTATTCTCTCCACGGTGGAGTGAGAACAGCGACCTCCTTCGCGTAGGGGGGCCAACGGACTTTGACCGAGCAGGCTTCTCCTTTCCGGGGGATGCAGTCAGGTAGTTGGCCATGACGGTCCATAGGCTATTCGCACTAAAAGTGCTGCTGGATTGCAAGATGGCCTGGTCCGCCACACGGGCGAGGCTACGAGCTTCGTCGGTATCGCGCCTCGACACGATGCTGCTCGGCGGCGGGCGCTCGTCGTTGTCAAGCGCCCACGACCACAGCCAGCTGTCCGGAGCCGCCTCGCCTTCGCGCAGGCGCTGTTGGACGGTCTCCGAATTTTGTAGGCTTTCCAAATTCTTGACGGCGTCTTGCTTCGCCAGCTCGAGGTTCTTCTTCCGCTGCTTTTCGATCGTGCGGAACTCGCGGTGAAATTTCTTGGCGTACTTGGCCTTGCCATCGAGGTAGCGCCGAACAGCCAGCTCGGAGAGCACACCGATAATGTCAGGCGGGACGTGGAAAGCATCGAGTGCAGCCTCAGGCTCAAGGTCCCGGATTACACCCTGAGTTGATACGCGTTCGCGAATCATGCCTTCCTTCCATGTAGCAGGGCCCTATAACAAAAAGAAAATTGAAAAGGCGCTAAGCAGTTGAAGGAATTAATGACCTACCTCAGCGCCATCATAAACGCTCGGAACCCCAGCAGTGCGGGGTGCTGGACCGGCACCTGAAATTGTTGAGCTACGGAATCTTGCGCCTCCAACATCGCTGGAGCTCGAAGGCGCTGAGAGAAGACCATCGGATCCAGTCGACGATGAGGGGGGGACGGCAAGAGTGTTGCCGCGCAACAGCGTGCCTGCGCGCGAGAACGAGCGCTTAAAAGAGCGCACTGATCGTGTGGATTCAAGAGTCTTGCTCGTAGACCTCATGTCGTTCATAGACGCAGACTGAGCCAGAGCGTGTGGTCCGTTCTTCAGAGGAGATTGCGAACTTGGGGACGTAGGAGACGCGGGTGGGGACACAATGGGGAAAGGGTTCTTCTGGGGTGCCACTGAACCTGTAACATGCTTGATGAATGTTGCAATTGCTCGGTAGCAGAATTTTCCAGGAGTGGTGAAGGCGAAGAGGATTGGCAGGACATGGGCCGTATCTGAAGACAAATATATTTAGGTAAAATAGTAAATTGGTAGGACGGTGACGGAGCTACCATCGTAAACCTGTAGATGGATTGGCGTGGGCCCGAACTTTTCCTCTATGCCAACCAAAGCCGGGTATAATTTCCGTGCCTCCTCTCGTATAGGAAAGCGAGATGGATACGCCGCCTTATGTGCACTACAGAAGATCTAGCAATCAGCCAGTTTATTAGGAAAAGAGCGACGTACGTGTAAATTATCTCATCTCGCAAGACTTCCTTTTCGCTCGCGATGATGAGCAACGGCGGGAGACCTCCCATATACGATAGAACTGGACTGATGAGAGGATGCCCTAGCATGCTGTTCTGCGCATACAGTTGCACCTGGTCTTCCAAAACCAATTCCTCCCCAGATTTTGCCACCAACCGGATGGCTGGGTCCTCGGCAGAGCCCACAGGTGGCAGCGCTGCCGTAGCGCCGACGTTAATGGGCATCTCTGACGGATTCGAGGGCTCCCCAACCTCCGTGATGCTGAACTTCGACCCACTCCTCAAATGCTGGGCTTTCGCTGGGTGCAAACCGGGTCCCTTGGTGCTCATTCGACCGATTTGTCGGATTCGGTCACGCAGACCTGAATGAACGGTGCGCGTGAAATCGTCTGAGGGGGGAGGCCAAAGTGCGCTTGGCTTCTGCATCGACATTCCATACTCCGGCATCACGTCCTGAGGACCAATAGTAAGTTCACGGTATAATGAAGGCACGCGTAGAAGCAGCTCACGGTAGCGGTGTTGGTGTGAATGCTCGGGAAAGAGTGAGTCAGGTCACACCACGGAGAAATCAGGACACCGCCGGCAGGCAGCGGCAGACCCGTGTCTCGAAGTATCTGCAACAGCGCAATGACGAGGCCACCTCCTGCGGAGTCACCTGCCACGACGAGGTTTGAAGGCTTGACTGGCCGGTGGGAGGCTTCCTTGGGCGGCTTGATCAAGTATAGGTCTGAAAGGAAAATACGTCAGAATTAGAACATTTCAGCATGATTGTTTCACCGACAAGCTGCCAGAATGTCTTGCAGAGCGCATGGGAAGGGATACTGCGGAGAAAGACGATAGTTTAAAGCTAGAATTCATTCAGCTTTCCATTTGAAATAAGCGCTAAGACAAGGACTCACCTAGTACACGTCCGTTGATCTTCCTGGCATGCCTTTGAATGCTATACCTGTTATAATATTTCAGCTTCGATTTCTCGAATCGACCACCGGACAAGCATACCTCTCTTGATCCAAGCTTCCAAAATAGTAGCCTCCTGGGAAATAAATAAATCAAAGCGTCATCATCCTACACATGGAAGACGAACCACCGTGAGAATACAGGATGCATCGCATATCGTCCATGTCCTCGCTATAAACGTTGTCCTCCTCCGAAGACGATGCAGGAACTTCCTGACCCGTCTGCGGAGGAACCGGGATCGACTGCTTCTCCTGCTCCTTGTATCGCCTCTTCGCCTCTTGCCAGTCTTTTCGGGCAGTGATCCATTCTGCGTCGATTCTGTGTTTCGCCGTCATCAGATTTACAAATGACGTCAACGAAGATTGACTCACCCATCAATTCCACGGACTTGCCACCACTTTGTGCCTCCAACCAAGCGCTTGACCATGTCCTCGCCTCCCATTCCTCTAATAAGGTGTTCGGCTGCTTCGTCACAACATGACATCGGGATGACCACTCGGATGGTATGAACCCAGGGAGGCGAAGGGGTGCGTGTGTTGGAGAACGCTTGCATGTCCTCGACGGTGTGGCTGTAACGATGTCATGGGCTGTATGCACGATGGCAATGTGTCTAGACGTACAAAGCAGCAGCCTGAAAGAATTTCTAACGCGAAGGGGTAAGGACTAAGGTTGTAAGATGGGCGGTGATGACGTACTTTGACTACGCTGAACGCTTGGTCATACAACATCTCATCCTGTCGAAGCTTTGTGAGTCCATTGGCCTCCCTCGCGCTTGCCTTCTTCATGCGATCGATGTAGTGTTTGACCAAGGTCTCCAGAATGGTCGGGCCGAGCTTCAGACCTGCTTCTGCAACCAATGGGTTAGGCATGGCTGAAGGTTACGTGAGATGGTCGTATGAGATGTCGCGGATGAGTTAAAGGAGCAGAAGGTAAGGGTGTTAGAGCACGTTGTGCATGCAGAGGTAATGGGGGTTCAAGGTGCGCGTAGAGAGAAGAGTGCGAAGGTTTAGTACGTTTAGTGATGTAAGGAGTGCATTGTGAGGGGCTGAACCCAGTTGGAGTGGGCAGCGGCTAGTGCCAGCGCGGGGTGCCTTGGGGTCGTCGCGGTCTAGTCGCGGTCGGGCTATAGGATTTCGCCGCATCCCCGACACCCGACACCCGACACCACACGACTCGTTACCTGACACTTTGAGAAGTTTGAGTTCCCCCAGTGTTCCCCCTCCTTACAACACTTCATGATGCTGGGGCCGTGATTGAAATATTGACCCTGTACATATGGACTATGCCTTTTATCAGCATAAAAATTGCTGGTCATTGACTACAATCCACTTTTTTCCTTGTCTTGTTAGGGACATCTTAGTTGCATCTTCAAGTTAGTATTATTGCCAATGCCATGATTGCCTTACAAAACATTAGCTCCAAATTGCAGTGATGTCACGATAAAACATGTGCTTTGATAGCTCATCAGCATTGTAGATATCCAGCATATATGTGATGCCAATTGAAAAAATACCAAGGGAAGACTTCTAAGGGTTGGGCGACTTTCAGGATACAGTACCATGGATTCAGAGTTCATGGACCTGACTCGGACCTGATGGACCCGACACAGACCCGACTCGGACCCGACTCGGACCTGACACGGACCTGACACGGACCTGACTCAGACCCGACTCGGACCTGACTCTGACCCGACTCGGACCTGACTCTGAGTCGGGCCTCAGCCTGACTTAAGATAACACCTAGCCTTATATCTTGGTTCCCTGCTTATTCACTGCTCTTCCTGCTCCGAGCTCGCCTTTGATTTAAGTTTGCCCGTCGCATCATACTACTGACTTGTGCCCATATTATAACAGATTTGAATTAATCTCGATGTACACTGCAGTCCTGACCAACACCCGACACTCAACCAACACCCGACACCCGACCAACACCCGACACCCGACATCGGACTCAGCTCGACACTTTAAAGTTACCCAACTCTAGACATCCATTACAAGCAATAGCCCAAGCCCTGGCAGCTTTCATGGCATGAATTGGAAGTCATGTCACCGCTGGTAATTCTTGTTGTCTTGTTGAGAGTAGTATAACTAGTACGGTACTACGGTGGAATAATAGTTCGCTGAGACAGGCTCTGGCCGCTCTCGTACTGTGATCCCACGTCAGAATACACGGCCAAATTTCTAAAAGGCCTGGAATATTTTTGAGACATGAAATCGTGCTAAATTTGAGTTTGGAAACCCGTCAGGACATAATCTCTCATAAAAAAAATCCTTGAAGTGTTAAAGTTGCGGGATCCCTCTTGATTCAAGGATCGGTGAAATTGGGCGTTATCGGGGACCCACGTCAGAATGCACGGTTTGTAATGCTTCCGGTGGCGGTGGTTCACGCCAAATTGGGAAGGAAGGCGGCTTAGGCGAGCCCCAAAAAGGGAATGCGGGTTCATTAGTCGCGTGTCGCTAACGGCGTTACGGTGGCTATTGGGCGTGATAACGTCCCGAGAGGGAGTTCTTCAGCTATTTGAAGTTATAGAGAGTTCCTGCCCTTATGATATGCCCAATTGTATCTCAAAGTCAGCTCAAGAGGCGTAATTAGCACCCTTGACCTATTCAAGCTGTATAGCGCAACTGTACGAGTGCCTAAAGTTTAATAAAGCTCAAATTTTTTCAAAGTAGCCCATTTTTCACCTTCTAGTACTCGTAGCTCGTCATCCAGATGTTATCCGGCCCTGAAAACGTTATGGCACATTGAATATGATCCAAACATAATTTTCATGAATTTACTTTGAGAGTTTTGCACGGGAAACGGGCTAGAAAGCGAAGTGTGCATCCTGACGTGGGTGTGTATTCTGACGTGGGATCACAGTACATGTTACTTTGAACTAATTATTCCTCTTCCATACTATTATACTGGTCTCAGAAAGTCGTTGAATCCGGAAGTCTGGCGCTGCGCGAGCTGCGACGCAGTCCGGCAGGTACGGCGGGTACGGCGCGGTTGCGGGGTCCCCAAACAAAGTCAATTGCATGTGATCTAGCCGCGTCGCGCGGATTTCCTAGCCCTCCTGTACTTTATCTTATCTATAACCCATTCCCATTTCCCTGTGTCCCCCGGCATTATTCCCAGTTTGAGCAGCTCGAATATGAGCAGATCACCGCGAGTTTATCGAATGTTGTCGCAACTTTCGCAAAGATATCAGCATTATCCAACTGAAGGACTTCTAAGTCTTGTCTAAGTCGACAGCCTCCACCCCGTCAACCTATTTGCCCCATGTCCACCAGCTCCTTCTATCCATGGCCACGTCTATCTGAAGCCAGTACACTCCTATCATGTGGCAGGGTCTTCTAGGCCTTATCTGATCGCTTCCACCGCTCGAGGAAAGAGAAGAGGCCAGAGATCATTGCAGAAGTATGAGGAGCATGGGTGGGACAAAAGTATATGTGAGTAACCCATAGCTTTCTATTCCGAAGCTCTCCTCATATACTAGGCAAGTTATCATGCCGGCCGTGGTTTTGATTTCGACTAAGACCCCAAAACCCCTCGCGACTTGCCGCCGGACTGCCGTACCGAGCCAGACCAGCGCGATTGCCGGACTTCCGGTTTCAACACCGTCCTCACTGGTCTGTTGCCAACCACAGATTTGTGGACATGCGCCATACATTCTAGTTTGAACATTTGCTTACTATGCTGATATCGACTTCTGGTTTTTACTTCACGAAATTACGATGATATTGCTCAAATATTGCTGAGTCGTGTGGTGTCGGGTGTCGGGTGTCGGGGATGCGGCGAAACTCTGTGGTCCGTCGCGGTCAACATCCGAGACCGATGCCGGCACTACTGATCCCGAAAACACTTTGCCATCTTCAACCAATCCTCGACATCCTCACACCGTCGTAAGCGAAAACGATGGACTGAAATACAGCGCTATTCCTTTATTGTACAGTGGATCCGATACTACTGATACTATTATGCGATACACTTTTCCTGCCTTGGTTGTCTACGCAGCATTCTTCGCTTCGTAGGCACCCTTCAGCATCGCCCACCAGACGATCCCAATATCGTCAGTGCTGAGCTCAACGCCCTTGTCCTCGTTCTTGGCCAAAGCAGCCAGGGCACGGTCTTCTGGAATGCCTCTCGGCACCTCCGGTTCCTTATAATCTTCGATCAACACCCTGATCATGTCCCTGTCGAGCTCGGGGTGACCCTGCGATGTGAAGACATGGATCTTCTCCAGCGCCTTGAGATGGAGCTCAGGCTCGTCGAGATCATCCTGCGCATCGCCTGGGATCTTGACCATACCCTGGTTCCCCGTGAGGTCGGAGTGGCCCCAATTGTCAAGTCCTTTGACAGGAGTAATGTCCTTGTCGATAACCATCTCGGCGCTCGGTCGGGTGCTGTACGGGACGTTGCCTCCATAACCTCCGCGTCCGCTATCACCCATGCCACCGATCTCGGTGTTCAGGAGGACATGGTCTTGGTGAAGCTCTTGGAGGGTCTGGTGATAATGCATCAAGTTTCTGTATACGCCGGAGAGCCCGGAGATGACTCACCAAGGAGCCCCTTTGGAAGACGCTCTTCCCGACGTCGTTTAGGATGATGTTGGTGGGGCCAACCTCCCAGCCTTTGGGGTTCCTGTCTACCGCATGCCCACTAGCGAACGACAGGATCTGGTGCCCAAAGCAGATGCCTGCCATTCGTTAGCCGGAAATTATGCTTAAATCCCTCAATGCTCACCAAATAATTTGATGTTCTGACGATGGTCGATGACGAAGCGGAGGTAATGTTGCAGCCTCCTGATTTTACCTTCCCACTTGTCCTTCTCCGTCGGCTCCTTCAAGTAGCGGACACTCTCGCCTGCGAGCATCTTGTGAGTACGTTTTCAGTGAACGATAGATCAAATCTACCTGATCCAGACACGAAGATCGCGTCAAAGGTCTCAAGTTCGTCCACGGACGGGAAACGAGGATCATTCTCGTCAAAAACGGGGGCGCCCTTGGGAACCGGATCCCCGCCCAAAACGTCGAAAGCTACGGTCTGCAAGCCGTCGGCGATGACGGTGAGCTCGGGGTTGAAGATCTTCTGGCTGGGATCCAGCGGGCTGGCGACCTTGGGGTTCTCGGTGAGGAACTTGTGGAAGATCTCCCGGGTGCCTTCGACGCCTTCAGTGTACATTTCCGCGAGCTTTCCTTCTACAGGACCGCACACGAAGATGGCGACGCGAAGAGGCTTAGGGGACATGATTGAGGATGCTGAAGCTGACAGGCAATGTGCTGCTACTCGGTGTAAAGTATGCCTGGTGTCCTTATATACGAACGCAGCATCGTGTTAAGCCGATTAACACAAAGCGCGCAGAGTGACATGCTTTCTATTGATTTAAAGACTTCAATTTATTCCAAGTTGACAGATAAGCTGGTGTGAGAGAGGAGCCCGACCCCGGGGCAAGTATATCTCGTCGACTCCAGCACAATTGACGGGTCCTCGCAATCGGAGCTTCACGAGTGCCTTCGCATCATTCCATATGACAGCATGTTTAACCCAGTTCTGCAAGCTGCGAGCTTTCTGTCAACGTCCAACGATAATTAAGCCGTGAAGTGAACAAACCATCGGGAACTGCGAACCATACTGATCATCGACCATGCGTTCAGTGGGTATAAAGCCTCACGCAGCCGAAAAGTGGCTAAGACCCTGGAAATTAAGCCATGCTTTCCACGAATCTCGGCGAAGGAATTGTCCGACTTGTATAAATCTGGACGCCAGCCGTGCTTTGTTTTTCTTTTTCTTTTGGAGTTTTCGCCGGTCAGGATCATTTCTGGTAGGTTAGTAAAGTAGCTTCGGCTTTGGCTTAGTGCTTAGCTTGAGAACAAGGAACTTACAGGCAAGCGAAGGGTATTCGTGGCCGAATTATTTTCCAATGATATTTGGTATAAACCATGCTCGCGCCTGAAGGTGAAGACGTCCATGTCCTATGCACATGCATGACTATGCACCTCTCGTGCCACATCCATTGCTATAAGACCACGTTAGGAATCCGGGATACCTCAGCTCCGAGCGCAAATCCAAAGAAACTGCCATCATCAGCGGCGCACGTTCTATCCTAAAAATAATCTCATCACTCCGCTCAGTTCATTATCGACAAAAGAAAGGTTTACCTTACACCTTTAGAGGTATACGCGCAGCTGGAAGGTTTAGAGAGCTTCTTCGGCGGGTTCCTTTCGCTAATAGTGCCCAGCATGACGTTCGAATCAGAAACTCGAGCAGCTTGACAGAGGCCCCAGCTACAATTGCGTGGCAAAGAAATTACTTGAGCACTTGAGGGTCAGTAAAGATAAGGTCGCCCATGTTCAAGCTCGAGCTCAAGCTCTCAAATTTATCTCTAGTTCAACCCGGCTTCAAGTTCGTCGCCGTCAAATGCGCAAACGAGAACCGGAGTTATCCAAGATGCCCAAGTCACTCCTCTACTCCACGTTGCGGACATTGACAGCAGTCTGACAGAACCGAGTTCATCGCCTCTGGCACCTAGAATGATACAAAGGAGCCCGCGAAATGAACTCCCCAAAAGCCACCTGATCGCGGTAGAAATTGGCCGAGATGAATCTCTGAAGTTGCTGTCAGGACCGTGGCAGGCGGTCGAGGAAGAGGCAGACACTGAATGAATAAAGTACTTAGCGCCCGTGGACTTGACCGTGTCGATGCCATATCCCCTGTCCCACCCAATGTCACTGATTGCACCTCGGAAGTTCTGAAAAGTCACCCTATATTTTCTTTCTGTATCCTGTGTTCCATGAGAGGGGGTATAAACCATAAAATACCTGAATGCAATGATAGGCTACAGTGGTCCACGTCAGCAGGACGAGCATTAACAAGTATCGCCAACAGCTCATCGACATCAATACTCAAACTCTTCTGATACCAGCGCAACCGAGCCCCGCAGGTCGCCTCGCCAAATCCGCGCGGGGTCGATCTGACGGGCAATCACCTTGCGCACCATGGCATTTAGGGAGGTCGGACCACAGCCTGAATTCGGGAGCAACGACATGAGCGAGCGTATAATAGAAAAGCAACAGCAACAGCTGGAAACAGCTGGAAGAGCCACTTACAAGCAACGATGACTTGCCCTTGGGACTGCTCGACCTCGTTCGCCAGAATGCGGTCCAGCTTCGGCTTCCCAGGCCTGGCGTGTTCGGATACGACGTGGAGGTCAAAAGCTTCCTGCTTGTCCATCGGGAACCGAATAACGTCAGGAGAGAACAATGTGACATTATCAGGGGGTTTCCCAGCCTCGGGTTCAAAGTCCAAAGGGCGGAACACAGAACGAGAAAGGGGTGATGATGACTCTGCGGGCAGAGCCATCGGCTGGAAGTGCGCTTCAGATGATCCGAGGGCTGGTGTCGACAAGCCAGATCCCCGCGACTTCTGCCACGGGTAGTACTCAGACGCTACGAGAGTCTCGGTAGGAGAGCCCAGATCTACCTCCATCGTCGAGTCGTATGCTTCCGCCAGCGGCTGAAGTTCAGGTAACCGCGCAACGGGGGACACGAGCCTGACCGTCGACCCCGATGAAGCGCCAGATACGGCGGAAGCTTGTTGCCACCTGAATCTGCTGCCTATTGGCTGAGGCTGAGTTTCGTTTGCCGACGCGTGTCTATCAGTGTCAGACGCCCAGGATTTGCGTCCTGATTTCCCTAGAGAATGCCGAGAGCTGGCTCTCCGCAGCTTTCCCTCCTGACGCAACCTTTGGCTGAGAGACCTCTCAACGTGAGTGACGACGTCATGATCACCGTCGAACTCGGTGAGCTCGAGAATGTTCTCTTCGTGCGCAAGGGTTGGATCTTCAGTCTGCCACGGCTCCGCGTCGTCGTCGTATTCGCCAGTATAGTAACTGAGGTCAACATCGCTCTCCGCAGACTCGTAGTGGCTCTCGGAAGAATCCTCGGAGTCACTGCGCGAGCGACTGTCCCTGCGCTGAGATTTAGGTCTGGGGACAGGTTCCGCACCAGAGTTTTTGGCGAAATGAATACGAGGCTGGGGTAGCCAATGCTGTGATGGTTCCGGTATAGGTGGCAGGGGCTCGAAATTCGTCACGTAGATGTCGACCTGTATCGTTTCTGGGGGGAGCATAGAGAGACATGTACGAATCACAGAAGCGCCCCATTGAATATGTGCTGCAAGCTAACATGAGCCACTCGCTTCGCGCATCATCAACAACTCCAACACTTGCCATACTCGCGAACCAACCAAACGAAGCGGACTCGGCGGGTAACGAAGATCTTCCTGCCCCACCCACCAGGGTGACCGCCCAGTGTCTTCCCATCGCGCCCAGAGAGACAGAGACAGATATACTGAAGCACAGCTAGACCGAAGCTGACCCCCGAACCGCCAACTACAACGAGCACTGTCGAATAGTTCCCCCATCGAGCCCTAATAGAACTCCCAAACGGGCCGTCCACATTAGCCTTGAGCAGCACGCCGCGAGGAGGGTGCCCCTCTTCATTCATCGGTGGATGCTCGCTGGGGGGGTGCACGACTCCTTGGTCAACCATGCGCGTAACAGCGTCGAAAAGGTCCAGGGTCCAGCCGCCCTTCGCGCGGATCAACAAAACAATGACACGTCCAAAGTCTGAATCTGCCGACTCATCGTAGAGCGAGGCAGAGGTGAACGGGTGCGAAGTGAGGTTGGATATATGCGGGATGTGAACCAAGAAATGCTGGCCTGGTGCCCAAGGTAGATAGCCGGGGGTGACGAGCCGAAGGCGCACGGTTCGGCCAGCCAAGAGCTCGGCATGAGCGTAACCAGGAGGTGGAAGGTACGACGCGCTGGCGTGATTGATATTGAAGTCCTGCGAGTAAGGACTGCAGACATGCCCAACTTGAACGTATGTCGCTGTCGAAGGCCGACCACCCGTTGTTGGAGCATGGTCTGAGCTCGAGCGCCTCTTATACGGAGGATCGTAATACTGATTGACAGGGCTACCTGGCTGCTGAGCGTCCGAATCACGTCGCAAGTGAAGCGGAGGATTGAGGTGTTGCATCTCACAAGAATCCTGGGCCCGAAGCGGAAAAGGTTCAACCTTCAAAGGGCGCGAGTCGAGTCCCATAACGTATCCATTAATATATGCCCACCAGGTGGCCCGCCACACCCTCTCACCGATCCATATGGCGAGTGCAGCCCAGCACCAGTACCACAGCGTAGGGTGGTGCAACGCAGCAGTGACCAGCATAGAAGGAACTAAGAGGAGGTGAAGAGCATAGAACACCTCGTAGTACCTCCTGCGAATAGGATGGATAGATAATACGATGAGGAGAGTCAACAGTCCGAAAGCCTGGGAGAAGATCAAGTTGAGTGTTGAGTAAATGAAGATGTAGATGAATCAATGATGTACCGTCCACCCAAGGATAAAGGGCTCATACAGCCACGCATACACGTATGCGATAGACCCGTTGGTAGACTTGTGGTCTAACATCAACTGGACGCTCCACAAAGCGACGTGGAGGAAGGTGAGGAGCCATATGATTCTACCTGACCAGCGATGCAGCCAAGCTAATTTGTCGAAATAAAGTTGTATCATGAAGGGGATGGCGAATATAGCAAATGGAGGTGCCTTAAGGGCGAAGAGGACACAAAGTGGAAAGAGGGCATAGGCTATTTGACCTGAACGAGCAGCCGAAGTCCACCACGCTTTGTCGATCTGGTAATTGGGTTGATACTGTTCGATGGTGAAAGTGTCGTATAGAGCAGTGAAGCGCTGGGAAAGGGATGATGATGTAGCATTACGATGGACTTGCCAGACCTTTTGGCGTGGGTCGACGTAGTCGGGACCGACAAATGCAAGCGCGCATGAAGCGAGGAATAGGACTGCGAGAGAGAAGAGCTGTGCGTTGGAGGGGAGAGAAACAGGTTGGCGGTGAGGCTCGTTGCGTTTGCGAGCGAGTGCTATGTTGTGTTTCTTGCGCCAGGTTCTTCGTCTGAGGGACCACTTTGTCCAGGCTGCGCCAATGAAACCACCACGGGAGCCAGACCAGTGGAGGACGGCGAAGACACAGAACACGAAGACTACGGCAATCCAAAGGAGGAAAGAGTAGCGTCTACTAGGAGAGCTGAGGGAGTAGATAGTAAGGTAGGCAGTGATCCATTCAACGTCGTTGGCAATCGGAGGAGTGGTAGGGTCGACAGGGTACGCGGTAGAGGAAGGAGGTTCGGACATGTTATCCCTTCATGCGGCGAGGGAGGGCGAGGACAAGACGGGTTATTATGGGCTGATAATGAGCACCGCACAAGTAGGGAGCTTGGGCTGGAGAGAAGCTTGTTTTCGGGTAGGCGGTCATGGCGAAACGGCAACGGGACGGTGCAGATTGAAATGTTCACTCGCACGTTGAAGAAGGCTAACTAGTCCAACATACCGTCACCCGCCCACGGACGCCGGATAATAATAGAGCTATATTTAGAACTCGCTATGATTAACGGGACCATAAATAGGGCGAATCTAGTCTAAAACATCCGCACTACACTCCGAATAGTACATCCTGACTACCGCTGTCCCGCTCCCAAATATTAATCTTCCAGAATCTCATCCGCCAGAGGCATCGAGATCGTACCACCTCCCCTTGCTTTCCAGATAGATCCGCGTCTCCTTCAAATGCCAGTAAAACTCAACGCTGGGAATACGTAACTCCTCTCCCAACTCCAACGCAGCTGTGCAAACCAAGTTCTCTCTGATGTCTTGAGGGGAAAGGTTGGTGAACGTAAGGCTAAAAAGACGACACCGCGAGCGTGCCAGAAACTCGCGCAGGAACCGAAGCATTGGAGACCTCGGGCGGGTGAGCACGAGGTCGGTGAGCGAGGGGAAAGTCAAAGCTTTAAAGAGAGGGCCCAGCTTCTGCTCCTCCGAGGACAGAGGCGAATGTATGAACAGCGAGAATGCACACAGCCTGTCTGATGATATGGCGCTCCATTTGTCCGGGTTTGATTCCACCATGCCCACGACGATGAACAGCTCGGCCAAGCTCGGGAAATGGCCAAAGACCGCTTGAAGAAATGCATCATTGAGCTTCATCCCCGCCATATCGAGCGTCAAAGACGTCACGTTGACCCATGTACAGCACTGAACAAAAGCAACCGCTGCGGACGCACGTCGAGGATGGACGTGGAGATGCGTTGTGCGGTCGAGAAAATCGGGCGGTATGTTCGTGGAATCCGTAAGCTCGACGTTAATAAGCGAAAGGTGCGTCATATTCTTGAACTGAGTCAACCACTGCGATAGAACCTCTACAGTCAGGCCCCTATACCCCACGACATCGACGCCCTTCACACTGTCGCAAGCTGGGTTGGGGGGGAAATGATCCATGTCGGTATCCAGCAGCAAGGTGCTCGCCCAAAGGTTCGCATAAATGAAGACAGGGCAGGTCTCTGATGATCTCGCCAGTAGTGACAGTGGAACAGGCAGCGCTGTCGCGCGAGTGCGACCATACTGCGCGGGCGTTGTCTGGATCATGTTCCACAACCTCGGGCTGTTCAGAGCCACATCTCTCCACCGTCGGCAGATGTGGGCGATCTTCAGGTACCCAGAATCGTTGACCACCACCCGTGGTAAAGGACCAGGTACCAGAGGCAGGTATCTCGAGCCAAGGTCGGGGTACTCATCGTCGGTCTTCGAACTGTGCACAAATATCTCCTCTAGGATCTCGGCAGGAAGTCGGAGCACCGCAGACACATATCGAGAGTGAGACGTCGTAGCCTTGTTCAACACTTTGCTAAGCCGACTCAGTTCCTTAACTGTTGAGTTGATGTCGTCGACCAGCAATGACATGTTCGACAGCATTGATTGGATGTCGCATCTTTCCTGGAGTGTATCGGCGCTGTAGTTTGTTTCCGAGAACTGAACGAAGGGGGTATCCACTGCGCCCTATATACGTAGATTGAGCTGCACCGTAGGCGACAACTCCCTCGTAAGCGTACCCACGTAGACTTCGGACACAAGCTTTGGGAGCTGAACCAACGGTTTTTGCACATAACAGTCAGCGAACTTATGGAAAAAAACCCTGTCACTATACATACAAGTTCGTGTATAGCCTGTAGAGCGCCAGATGTGCCTCTAAGACCCGCCATTACCTCTTCGACAACAGGACACGCGAGGGGAAAGTTCTTGCGGAAGGAAGGTGATGGTGAGAAGCAGGATCGACGTCATCGTGTCGGTTCACAGGCTTCCGAGTCTTTGCGACGCAAACCCAGCTTGCAGCTAGTTCATCTCAGGCGGACGATCGAATTACCTCGTCCCACGCGTAGATAAACAAAATCGCCTTTGAGGGCGAGTCAAAGGTACCACTCTGCCTAGCCTCTCACGACCAAGTACAGGTTTCCAATATTCCAGATAACCATACAAATAAGTAAACACAAAACCCAGATAAATAGTAATCTGCTATAGGAGTGAGCACTGCTGATACAACAGGCCCGCTGCGCTCGCCGCCAACTACTCATCGATCACGACCTCGCCTATCAAAGGCGGAATAAACGCGAGGCGCGCCTCCCAAGGGACGCGCAGGTGCCGTCGCTGGTCCAGACACCAGCAGAGCCACCAGGGGTGTCGCCTTCCGTCCACCAGCTGGCCGTCCAGAGGCTGCCGTTATACGTGACCTGCGAACCGCCGGTGTAGGCAGTGCTAGAGCTCCACGCCGAGACACCGGTGCAGGTGCCGGACGACGTAGTTGTTGGGCTCGGAGCGCTGGAAGTCGCCGTCGAGGCCGTAGAGGTGGGCGCAGTCGTCGATGTGGGGGCAGAGGAGGTAGAGGAGGGTGCCGAAGAGCCGCCTCCGAGTGCGGACTTGATGGCTTGGTCGTAGCGGCCGTTAGCTGGGCGACGTATCAGTTTCTATGTAATAACAAAAAGGAAGGCAAGGGCGCACCATAGGCTTGCGAAGCGTCCCAAAGCATAGCACCGCCGAATGAGGCGTACTGCGCCTTTGTTGCCTGCAAGATCGAGCCGAGAGTAGCCGCGTCAACGTATCCCGAGTTTGCGGCAGTGGATGATGCCGGTGCACCGATGTAGACTTTCACGTTCTTGTTAGGCGAGGTGTTGGTCGCCCAGTTGTCCCTGTCCGTTTGGATGAGTCTTTGTCTCTAGGATAGTAAGGGTCGAACATACCAGAGGCTGTAGTCCCAGTCATTGGAATTGCCGTAGTCGTTGACACCGCAGTAGTTGTTGTCTATAATCACAATGGTGAGACGACTGTTAGACGAATCGAGATATGTGCTGCAACCCACAGAATTGGACATAAACAGCATCGAAGCCAACCTCATCAAGCGTGGTGCCAAGGTACGCGTCGGGGAAGGGGCACTGGGGCGCAGCAGTAATGTAGTAGCTGTGGGAAGAGACGCGTCAGCTTCCCCCAATAAGGTTATGTCAGTGTCACGTACGACTTGTCGCCGCCGTCCATGAGGGTACGAAGGGCAGTGACAAAAGCGGAGTAACCCGTAGTAGAGCCACCCTCGATGTCGAGATCAACACTGTCAAAGATTGAATATCGCTACTAAGTAGACTAAGCCGTGGAACTTACCCATCAAGAACCGCGGCACCGAACGGACGCGTAGTGCTCGATCCTCCGAGGTACAAATCCCAAATAGTTTGCGCAAATGTTTGCGCCTGCGAGTCGCTGGTGAACCCGATCGCCCCAGTAGCACCGCCGAGGGAGATTGTCACAGTCTTCCCCTTCGCTTGACATGCCTCAATGCCGGCAGCCAGAGCTGAACAGTCGGGCATATCAGTGCCAGAGAAGGTACTGTTGTCCACGTTGTTGCAGGTCTATCAACCAAGTAAGAATGGAAATCTGCAGAGAGGGGCCGGGAACATAAACCCACATTGGCGAGGTTCATCACTGGGATATTGCCGGTACCGAAGAACTCGATAACAAACGCGATCGGGATCGTGTCGATGCTGTCGTCCTGAACGGAGTCAGAGGCAACGCACGATATCAAATCCATGATACTCACCTGGCAATAATACTCAATGGGCTGCTGCCAGTTTGCGGTGTCGCTCGTGTGGGTAGCCCCATACGAGTTCTGGCCCCAGTAACTGCATTGTAGTCAGATCGTGTAGCTCACGAACGCATCGCCAGGTATCTTACACTGCCAACTATATAGGGAGTCAACATGGGAAGGAACGATACACAATAGAATGACGAACGTTGGTATTGGCCGACATGTCAAAGGCCATGGCGGGGGCTGCGAGGCCAAGCAGCGAGGCACCGACGATGAAAGTGGTGAAAGCCTGGGTGAACATGTCGACCGAAGGAGGATGAGGGCCAAAGGGCTGGGGTCAGAATTGTCGCCCTGATAACGCGCTGTTCTTATGCAGGATGGCATCGTGTGCTACGCGCCGTGTTCCGTCCTCCGGAGGGGAGGTTCTTTGACCTGACGCGTACGGAACGGGCAAGCATGCGTTCATCTGCCACCTAGCAGGGGTATTCCTGGCGGACGAATAACATGGAGCATGAGGACGGAAAGAGATGTGCCCTGTTTCGTGGCCCACGGCTGAGAGAACCATGCGCTGCGCGTACGGTGTGCGTGCACGAGATAAGGGTGGAGGCGACTCCTGAGGATGAATTTGAATGATTACCATCCGTCCTGCTGTCGGCAGGAGATTGGCTGCAGCATTGTCAGGAACGGATGAGGATGAAGCTTTCATCGAACACGGATTCACATGGTATAAGCTCCGTGTGCTACTTTGTCGACATCAGGACGGATTTGGATGAGGGTGCAAGACACGGAGGGTTCAGGTGGAATGAGTGCGAGGGAGCTTGCCAAGATAAGGTCCAAGTTTGTATGCCGACAAACATTCCGTCAAAAGGCTCGGGTGGGATGGTGTCAGGAGATGTCTAGGCTATATCTGTCTGTGAGAAGGTGAGAGCTGGTGTTCTGACGGTGCAGAGGTACCTGCCAGCGCACGCGACATACCGGCAGTTGCCGTCAACTGCCCTGATCCCCAACTGCCTCAGCTGAGCGCCATCTTCAAGGTCGAACGAAGGTCAAACCGTTATACTAATCGTTAACTCAAAAGCAAAGCGAATTATAGGTTATTGACGAAATCTGTGGATTTTAGGGGTAGATAACCTGCTAGCTGCTCTGCACCCTACTATTACAGTACTTACACCACTGAAGGCCATGGAAGCGAGTATGTTACCAAGCTAAGGAGACCTGGGAGAATCCTGGAGAATCGCAATAGATATTGATGAGAAGTAAGGCACCCAGTATGTTGGCTCACTTGCATCATGATGCCACTTAGGTCCAAGATCTTGAGAGTATGAGATGCGAGAAGCTGAGAAGCATTTGTATGTGCCGCTCCCCCCAATCGCCTGTGCCTGAACACCCCCGCACTTCCATGTTTCAACCACAGCAAGTATAAGTATATGCCGGGATACACCGTATGTTGCCTTCAAACACAGCAGTTGCTTCCCTTGTTACGGAGCACATGAAGGCCATGTTTTCCATAATGATAATTCAAAGTGGAAAATGTAGAGCATCAACGCCGTCGCGTCACACACAGCTACATTCCTCACCCATCGCAGATTAGGCACTCTGAGGAAGCAAAGGTAGGAAGGTCCAGCTGGAGAGCCGTATTCGCACCAAGCATACCAAATAGTCAAACACCGACTGATTTGGCGATGTATCAATGAGACACCCGAGGTACATAGTTTAGAACTGAAATATTCGCCTCGGAGAGCAGTGTCGTTGCGTCGGGAGGACAAGTAAGCGTACTATGCCGGACCTGAAAGCTTTAATAGCCGGTCAAAGTCTTCTCATGCCATAGAAAGGCCCCTGAGCGATGGAGCTGTCTTTTGCGCGAAAGTATCAAGTTGCTTTCTGGACCGTGAGGTGAAGGGGGGCGAAGGTACGCATGAGAAGCAAAAACATATAGAAAGGGCCACAAGTGCGTGGTATTGCGCAGCACTTTGCTAACAACGGGGGCAGAGAACATATGGGGCGAGCGGAGTGAACGGAGTGCATAAGCGGGGGGTTCCCAGAACTCAGGCAAAGAAGGCTGTCAACCTCAGCAGCACAAAACGGTTGTCTGAGTTATGTAAAGGCGACCAGCCCTTGAGCATGAGATTCGGAGCGGTCACAGCAGATGTAAAGAGGCGAGCTTCATAGCCGGATGTTGGCTGAGAAGACGTTGGATATTTTCCGTATCTCTGTCGTAGCTCCAAGTTGGAAGAGAGCAGATGACTGGCAAGAGGTGCGATGGTGACGGTTTTCGGACGTTTCCGATCCGCGACATATCCTAAAATAGCTTGGACCCCTAAACCCCACGACTTGGGGCTCTTGCGCCAGACTTTGGCGAAAATCTGTACTGCCAGCTAGAGTGACGCAGACGTTAGCTCTCAGCATCCAAGCTAATGCCGATGAATTTGAGAAGTTCATCTACGAGGATGCACGAAGCGTTGGGCGCTGCAAACGAAATCGCCTACTTCACGTTGTCTCCAGAGCCGGATGGACCACCGGAAGGACAAGCCGAGCCCGAGGATACCTTTGATATACTGCAGGACATCTATCAGCGCTGCATTCTCGAGGTCATTCCACGCCCCGACACATTCGCCCTGAACTGGCTTGTGCGAGAGATAACGCCAACAAAATTCCTCTACGCAGCATTGGATATGGACAGACTCGACGCGGGGAGGTTCAAGGTAGGGGTTTCTGTTCACTTCCCGAGTTCGCGTACGTGGTATTCGTCGAGAACATACAGACGGTGGACGAGCGCCAGCGATGATTCTGTAAAGCTGATTGTCAATACTTTCAACCTCAAAGGCGTTACTCAAACCGTACGTCGTGCGCCACCTCGACCTGACGCGCTGCGGAAGAGAGCAGGACATGAGCGTTCTCCGAAACGCCGTATTCTATGCTGCATACTATTCTCCTGAACCAGTCGTCGCCCTCTGTCCGCTTTTCGAAAAGTACGAAGACGGATGGGCCGTAGATGCCCTCGCAAGAAGAGTCATGATCCGTCGCACGGACCTCCGTCGCGGAGTGGAGGTGAGCAGTCCGGTTATCTTCGGCAAGCAACAAATGGTAGGCCACCGCGCTAAAATCCTTTAAGCATGGACGTTACAAATTATTGCGGGAATACCACCGCGGAAGGGTAGGGCAAGGTGACCCCGCAAGAGAACGGCCACAGGAAGTAGCTCGGATAGACGACAGGGCGTGGAGTCCTCCCGACGATGACGCAGCCACCGTGGTCGACACGGGCGAGGACAATCAGAATCCTTTTGCATCGCAACTTTACATAACGCGAATCGCGGAGACGATCCCTGCAGAACTGACCTATCTATGGGTCTGGCTGCTTACGCATGGAGTTGCTGACGACGACGGGCTGAAGAACTTGCTGAACCTTCCGGACATGCAATTTGTGATCTGGTTGGACAATAATGTACCGGGAGAAGTACCCGATGGGCGCATCTTGCGATTGTACGAATTCTTGAGGAGCTATGCAGAGTCAATGGACCATGAATACTGAAATCATAAAGAAGTTCTTGCATATCTGAGTGCGTCAGCTACCGTTGCATACCGACAGAGGCTTAACGAGACTAGTCCGCGATTCATGCATCGCCCGAACCACCCTGTTGATGGCAAATAAATAAATAATACCGTCAGGAACTATACATCCATTACTCTTGAGGGCACATTGTCAGTCTCAGGAGCGTATTTAGAGAAAAGGGATTACTCACAATACTAAGTCCACACTGACGTTTACAACATTCTACAACTTCGCCTTAACATTCCCCTTTTCAAAGATATCAAACCCATCGTCCGCGAGCACGTTCTTCGCGATGTTGCTGAGCACCGGGAACAAATGAATGTGCAACGGCGCCTGTTCCGAGCTCGCCTGTCTCCTCGCGTAGCGCGCAGCGATGCCTTGCGAAATGACCGCCAACTACAACCCAATATTAATATAATCGGCAAACTGTAGAAGAATGAAGGACTCACCCGCCAGACCATGAAGCTCCGTACGAAAGGCATCTCTGGCATAGGATAGGATCTCCCGGAGAGACGAGCGTACTCGCGCTCGAGGTCCTCCAGCGGGATGGGAACCTCTTCGGGATTGGGTGAGCGCTTAAACGCCTTCATGAGCGGGTACTTTCGCGGGTTGAGGCCTTCTGAGCCTTCAGCGCTCATGGGCACCCATTCGCGGTCGATTGACCAAGGCTGAGTGAGATTGGCGAGGTCCGCAAGCTACTCGTTTCGTCAGAAATACATTCGTAATTGGCGTAGGGACGATGGTGATGATGCAGCGAATATGGAAGACAGACACGAATTGTATAACAAGGAAGCAGACGACATACCGAGGACCCAAGCGTACACAACTCCCAGTCTAAAATCCCAATAACCCGATTCTCCGTAGGGTGGAAGACGAGATTATCGAGCTTATAGTCCCCATGCACGATGCGCACGCGCCCTTCGTTAGGAAGGTGCGCGCCATACCACCGCACGAGCGCGTCAAAATGTGGGATGGGTCCAATGGCCTTGTTCGTCTCGATGTCAACCGCCTCAGACTGCGATGCCGACACGCGCGAGAGGGACTTGATTTGGCGAGGGAAGTATGGCGTCGTTGGGCCGAACTTTTCGAGCCCAATTGCGACGGGGTCGAGTGAGCCGAGGGCAGCGAGCGCTCGCACCGCCGAGAGCCAGCTATAAAGGGGTGTCACAACGAGCGCACAGCGTCAATGTGTGCAAGCAGGTGAGAAGGAAGCTGCATGGCACCCACCATTCCTTCCGGTCCTTCGGCGGCACCTCGAACATGCGCACGTCCGTGAATATCCGTCCGTCGAGGTACTCCATCACGTAGAATGGCGTCCCGATCACCTCGCTGTCGTTGCACAGCACGTACGGCCGGGGAACTGGTACATGTTGCTCCGGCTTCGTTGATGGCGAGGAGTTGTGCCGGTGCAGCACGTCAAGCATCTTGTACTCGCGCTCAATCTGGTGGGCCGTCGCAGACAGGAGCTTCCCGGCCGGCTTCTTGCGCAGGACGAAGCGAACTCCTCTAAGGAATAGAGGTTAGATACACGAGAGAAGATAGAGGAAGCGGACTAGGAGCTCACTTGGAGTCAGTAAGGAAGTAAGTCGGATTCGACTACACGAGCACGCGAGCATGTCAGGACCTAGCATGCACCATCCAACAATTTGCATACCTGTCCAAACTGGTGGAGCAACACTCGTTGAGCTCCCAGAACTCGCACCAGACTACACGTATACAAGGAAACGTACCTTGAACTGCTTCACATCCACCGGTGTCGCGATCTCCGGTACGTTGGCTGCGAGATACTTGTTTAGCTTGTCGACGTCGATGTTCGCGCGCATCGCGCCATATTCGCCGCCTATGCGCTTGTCATTGCTGCCCGAGGGAGAAGGAGGCGACATATTGGAGAGGTATAGGGTATGTAAATGGTTGGGGGTGAAAGTTGCGACCAGCGCGAGCTCAGGACCGAGTTTTGTTAACGTTCTCGGAGTCTGTGATTGACCGAGTCCTTAGCGCTTTGATCGTCTTCGGGCTCCGGTACCTAACCGGCACATCCGCGTTCTTTCGTCCTCCGAGGCAAGTACTCTTCCGAGACTCCCTTGCAGCCTGCCCCACACACTACGTCAAACCTCCAGGCACTCTCTTGATCCCATCAATTAAGGCAATGTGAGAATCAAGCCATCTGGCAACCGGACTGCAGCAGTACCTCAATCACTATCTCGTCGGTCTGAGCTTCAACGTCTTGACATACAGTGCTCATCGCACCAAGTTCGTCTCATGCCTCGCCACAGTTTCCAGTCTCTCGCGAGCCTCAAGCCTCTAGGTCAACCGGGCACTCACTTGGTCATGGTCACTCTGCTGGTCTCGACGGGCAAAGGAATGCCTAGTGACCTGCTGTAACAACCCTGATATCAGCAGCCACGCGCTCCGAGTCGCCGACGCAGTTGCTTGGAGCTTCCAGTCGAGCACGGAAAAGCAGTGGCATGCAGAACGAGATCAAGTTGCACCGGCAACGCCAATTTTGAGATGCGAGGGGGGTATTTGACCGCGACCTATGATAGATTAGACGAGGCGCAGGGGATCACTAAACTCAAGTGCGAGGATGTGCATGGGCTTCAAGAAATGCGCCTTCCTTCCAAAACAGTGATTCAACCAACATTCATATATGATGCGTCGGGACGATGCAACTTCATCATACAAGTTCGCAGTCCACACCAAATTTTAGACGTTAGTCAATTATGTGTATTGACACTGAGCGGGGGATGAGGTGAGCGTAATATTGGCTACAGACTAAAGCAACCAACTCTATAAGTGAGTAATATGCAAGTAATGTACGTAAGGCATGAACGAATAGCGAGATGATGTTACTTTTCTGGACATAATATCTAAAGATGACGATGCATAATGCGAGAACATGCAATGATGATGAGAGAGCAACGGAATGATCGAGCAGAGACAGCCGATAGAAAGAAGGAAACCGACAGAACACGAAGAAAAGGAAAGGGAGTCACGGAGGACGACAGCGTTCAGCCCTTAGTCCTTCTTCTCCTGGTTCTCGGTGCTCGACGACTCGTTCGAGGCACCCTCGGCGTTGCGCTTCTCGTACACTTTCTGGAAGAGGCCCAGCGAGGCCTGCTGGGTCTCGTTGATCTTCTCCCGGATCTGGTCGGCGGTGACGGAAGCGTCGCCCTGTTGGCCCTTGGCGGCGATCTCACGAAGCTCGGCGACGAGCTTGCTGACCTTCTCCTTCTCGGTGGCATCGAGCTGCTCCTTGAACTCGTTCATGGCTACATAACGATAGTAAGCAACAGCTACAACGTTTAATGATAACCACACTTACCCTTCTCAGTGTCAGAGCAGACGCTCTCGCCCTTGTTGCCCTCCTCGATGAGAGCACGACGCTCCTTGTCGGACTCAGCGTACTGCTCCGACTCGGCAACCATGCGCTCGATGTCCTTGTCGGAGAGACCGGACGACGAAGCAATGGTCATGCTCTGGTCCTTGTTTGTAGCCTTGTCCTTGGCCGACACGTTGACGATACCATCTGCAAAGAAGATCAGTATTGGTTCGGACGCCGGAGGTGACTAAAAACGTACCGGCGTCGATGTCGAAGGTGATCTCGATTTGAGGAACGCCCTTGGGTGCAGGGGGTATACCGACAAGGTTGAAGTTGCCAAGGAGCTTGTTGTCGCGGACGAGCTCACGTTCACCCTGGTAGATCTTGACCTCGATGGCAGTCTGGCCATCAGCAGCCGTCGAGAAGACCTGGGACTTCTTGGTCGGGATAGTCGTGTTTCGGCTGATGAGCTTGGTCATGATGCCACCAAGGGTCTCAATACCTGAGGGTAACATTAACTCCAAGAACTGAACCGAAAGGAATATGACATACCAAGAGACAGAGGAGTAACATCGAGGAGCAGAATGTCAGTGACGTTACCGGCGAGGACACCGCCCTGGATCGAGGCACCAATAGCGACGGCCTCATCGGGGTTCACACCCTTGCTGGGGTCACGGCCGAAGATGGACTTGACAATCTCGTTGACCTTGGGCATGCGCGTCATGCCACCGACGAGGATGACCTCATTGATCTCGCTGGCCTTGACACCGGCGTCAGTCAACGCCTTCTTGCACGGGTCGATCGTGCGCTGGAGAAGGGGGTTGACGAGAGTCTCGAACTGCGACCGGTTGAGCTTGAGGTTGATGTGCTTGGGTCCGGAGGCATCGGCGGTGATGAAGGGAAGGTTGACCTCCGTCTGGGAAGTCGACGAGAGCTCGATCTTCGCCTTCTCGGCGGCCTCGCGTATACGCTGAATGGCCATGCGGTCCTGGCTGAGGTCGATACCAGACTCCTTCTTGAACTCGTTGAGGATGTGGTTCAGGAGGGTGATGTCGAAGTCCTCGCCGCCAAGGTGAGTGTCACCGTTCGTGGACTTGACTTCGAAGACACCCTTCTGCATCTCCAGGATGGAAATATCGAAGGTACCACCGCCAAGGTCGTAGACAGCGATAACCGAGTTGTCAGCGCGGTCAAGACCATAAGCCAGTGCGGCAGCGGTGGGCTCGTTGATAACACGCAGCACATCGAGGCCAGCGATCTGACCAGCGTTCTTGGTCGCTTGCCGCTGAGCGTCGTTGAAGTAAGCAGGCACAGTGATAACGGCGTGGCTATTCGATTATGAGCACCTCGGTTAGTCGGCGACGAGAATTTTCACTTACTTGACTTTCTTGTTCAAGTACTGCTCTGCCGTGTCACGCATCTTCGAGAGGACCATTGCGGAGAGCTCCTCTGAGGAGAACTGAGAAATTTTGTCGCCGTTCTGGACCTCGACGGCTGGGCGACCGTCGCTCTTCGGAACAACCTTGAATGGCCTAGGATAAAACATTAGTATGCATGGAGGAGATGGGGAACCAACGTGCTCACCAATGCTTGATGTCCTCCTGAACTTCCTTGTCCTTGAATTGACGACCAACCAGGCGCTTAAAGGCGAAGACGGTGTTGGTGGAGTTCACGACGGCCTGACGCTTGGCCGGGAGACCGACAAGACGCTCGCCGTGCTTGGTGAAGGCGACGACAGAGGGAGTCGTCCGGGCACCTTCCGCGTTCTCAATGACGCGCGAGGACTTGCCCTCCATGACGGAGACACAAGAGTTCGTGGTACCCAAGTCAATACCAACGACGGGGCCTGGAACGTGTCGTGACTAAGCTTGTGTTCACACTCGTTGGGATGAGTACATACCGTTGACCTTCGAATTCATGTTCCGGGCAATCATGGACCGCGGGAGACCCTAAAAACGCGTTAGGTCACCTCATTACGAGCACCAAAAAAGTAAGCAACTTACAGCATAGTTGCCAGTGCGGGCAACAGCGGTGCGGAGGGAACGAGCAGCGGCAAACATGATGGACGACGAAGACGGGGAAGGGGACGAGGAGGAAGGAAGTGAAGAGCGGGATGGGGCAGCTGAGAGCAAACGCCGAAATTTTAGGCCGCCCGCGTAATGCGCTGACTAAGCCGGCTGCCTCTTCTCACCTTCCGTTTTGGGTGATGGAACATTCCGGAACAGAATCGGACGTGTCTTTTTTCTCTTTCCGTGTCTCGATCCACAAATGTCAAAATTTTTCAATCCGACCCTGCACAGCGCCTCGCACCGGGCCGACTAGAGCGACATACGACCACTTCTCTACGAGTTACCTGCAGCCTCTCGCAGCGTTCAGTGCTTCAGCACTGTTAGTACAATGTAGTCGACTCTAAGACCTGCATAAGCTATGACGTCCAACTGCGTCGCGACCTTTTTCCCATCCGGATGCTTTGACGGCTCTTCCCCAAGTTACAATGAGTCCGACGTGGACGAGCCAATGAGCTTGCAACGATTTACGTTGTCCACTCAACAGCCATGTGCATGAACACCCTAACGCGTTGACGCGTTGACGCGACGCGTCTGTCTAGGTCTGTCTCAAGTTGCGGTATCGTCCCAACTGGCCATTCGCACATCGTCTCTGCCACTGGTATATATTTATAGGACCCAACCATCGTCCCGGCAAGTGCTGTTTTCGCTACACTCATTCCCTTGCGACTCGTGGTCAGAGCGGGCACCCTCTTCAAACAAGCAACTCAGACATGGCTTCGTCCGCCGACCTTACACCGACCACAGCTAACGCAACACAAGACAAGCAGGTCGCCAAACTCTCACCCTCCCCTCCAGTGGTTCGCGACGATTCATTCTACTTCTCTATCGTAATATTCTTGGTATGCTCTGTTCCTCTATTTCCCCCGTTGACGCGTCTCACTGGGGACTCAGGTCGAGAACACCCTCTTCAAGATACCCAGCCACGTTTTGAGTGACCACTCCGATGTCTTTCAGGCTATGTTCTCGCTTCCAACAGGCGAAAGCATCGCCGAGGGCCTTACTGACGATAACCCCGTCGCACTCAAAGGCATTACCAGCTTCGACTTCAAGCAGCTCCTCAAGGTCCTTTATTCTCGGGCTGTCCTCCCTCCTTGGACGTCGACGATCCCGAACCAGGTCAGCGGCCAACTCCCCATGACCCTCGAGGAGTGGACTCCTGTGCTCCGACTTTCCGACCAGTGGAACATGACTGCAGTACATCAATTCGCAATCGAAAAGATGGCGGTGATGAGCATGGACCCCGTCGACCGCCTCGCCCTCGCCCTCGAGTTTGACATCAAGCCTTGGATGATGCCTGCGCTCAACGCGCTTGCACAGCGCCCGGAACCCATGGCGCGACGCGATGTTGACAAACTAGGGCTGGACGTCGTGCTGCAGATCGCCGAAGTACGCGAGAGTTTCCATCGGTCCTCGGTGAACGGGCAGGCCGTCGTTGGGAAGAGGCAGGTGGGGCAGACGGATTTCTCGTCGAGGATAACGGAGGTCTTCTCGGCGCAGTTTAAGCCATTAAAAGTGACGTTTGGGGAGCGTTCTCTTCCAAAACGACCCCGAGTTGCACTACCCCTTAGGTCCCCTCAACACACCCAGCCTCAAGGCTCCGCTCAGAACCAGGTTCAGCCGACCTCTGCTCCCTCGACTCCTTTCACGTTCAACCTTGCCGGTAGCCCCCCATCCGCCTAACGTTTACCCTTCTAACTCGGCCAACTAACTCCCCATTCCTCAAATCTACGAGCGACGACTAATGCACCTATCTAGATGCTTGTTATCTTCACATAATAAGGTCCAAATTTCTAGAACGCACGCCCTCTTTGACCTGGGCGTCTCATAGATCACCCTTCTGGGCTTTCTCCTGACCCTTTCTTATGCTAGCCATAACTTGAATACCACCTTCACTAGTCTGTATACCAGGTAGTATGAATGGATAGTGTAGCCTTGAACCTGACTGCAGCTGGATCCAATGTTGCGGAATTCGATTCCTGTCACGCTCCCCCCTCTTCGACGAATTTCCGCTGAGATGCACAACGACTCCGTCAGCGGGAGCTCGAGGTCCAACGGGCTTGCACCGATGCTACAGTACGTAGGTTGCCCCTACGTGTACCTTGTTCAGCACTCTATTCTCTCGCTTCGCCGATCTTGGCATCTATCTCGTTATCTGGGCCTTGATCACTCTGCTTTCCGTCGTATGGCGTTCTGGACCTCGTATCTCATCTACGTCTGGTTCTCCATCCTCGGGCTCGACATTGTTTCTTGTGTCTTTGTTGAACTTTCAGCAGCTCTTTTTCCGCGACTTTATTATCGAACACAGGTCCACGGGACGTTCATACGCTTGACGTGCCATGGTAACTCACGTCCGCAATTTGCAGATCGAGTACTGCCATTTCTTGCGGACGATAATGAGCGGCGTTGAGAAGAAGATACCTGATTGGTTGTCTCTATAAACGAAGAGATGCTCCGCGCGGTGGTTGACGCTATGCGGTCGGATGTTGCTTCCTCTATCGACACGCCAGTCGACACATTCGTCAAGGCATTGTCCGAAAGCACTGGTTGATTTCACTGGTAGACTTCCTCCCAGCCTTCCCGCTCGCATCGCTTTCACTTCCCTCGGTCTGATGGTGTGGAGTCACCATTATCAAATTTTGGATTTATTGTGTTCTGGCCCGGAAAGGTGTGGTGTTGAATGTGGCAGGTAGTACCACTAATGCTACTAGCTGGTGCTGGTCCTAGTCTCTTCTTTCCTTGGTCTGATGCTCAGCCGCAAGGTCCCCGACGTTTGTTTCGGTCGTTGCTGCCGTCATTGCTCACTTCTTGGGTTTTGCTGGTTTTGTTGGCCTCTTGAAGTTTCGGGTGCATAACAACATCTCTATTCGTAGCCAAAGTTGTCCCTAACTTTGCTGGCAGTGGCTCGGCGCCTCAAGCCGTGCAATAATTCGCACGCTGTCCTTTGTATCATCGCCGTCTTCTCATTCAACGTGTCACCCATAAGACTCTGGTCCCCGTGCTTCTGTCTCGTGCATGACAAGATCAAGCGTGCCTGGTGGACTGGTTGGTAGCACGATGTGGTATACCGACTGCTGTGGTATGGCAGCGGCCTGAACACGCACGCCATGATCCAGCCGCGTCGCGAGTTCGCCGTCAAGGTCATCGAGCTCAGTTCTCTGTGGAGCTCGGACCTGTTCGGTGGTTACTATCCCCTTTTTATGCTCATGCCAGCTTACGCCCCTCAATTCTGCTTCCCTTCATGGAGAAACTGCATGCCATGATGCTCCATGAGCAAGAGTTCATTCACGGACTGGTTTCATGAACACTTACTGGTCGATACCTAGTAGTAGTGCGAAAGCATGGAAACCTAGAATCGTACTCAGCCGTCCTCGCTCGAGTAAGTGAAGCTGTGTCGTTGGGTGGTGCGTAATTTTCTTCAAGCACTGTACTACTTATATTTATCTCTTATACTCGCATCAAATCATAAGTCAGGCTTCACATACATCGCCGCCGTCATCAACTTCATCTGCCTTATTGATCTTCACATTTTATATGTTGTCTGTTCCGGTTATTTTACTGAAGCTCATTCAGCCATCTGCTCATAGCGCTAATTGCTGTCCCATGTTTTTTGCTCCCTACGAGCGTGTGTGTGAAGCAAGAAACTGAGTGGGGTGTGTGCCGAATTACTCAGTTGAGATGACTTTCACTAATATCCTCCACTATTCCGAGTCATGCACATGATCAGCCGACGAATTTTTGGACTTCTGCAACCCCGGTGCACCCCGATCGATTATCGTTCAGCTGTGACGATCACCATCATATATGACGTTTCCTGTCCGGGCGAACCGTCCAAATCAATCACTACCCCCGACTCGGAGTAGATGCTGGTACCTCAGGAAGTTCGTTGCTTTATTCAGTTCCCCTGGCAAAGTCGTAGGGGCCTTACGTTCGCTGGCGACTCGTCACCATTCTCTCACATCAATCTCACATCGACTGCAGCCACCTGGTATGCCAGCTTTCAGGAACTCGTTAGTCTCGGCCATTGAAACCTGGTCCAGGTCAGCCTTAGCATAGAGCTGCATATAAAGGCACTGTGAACGGGTAGGTTGACAAGTATCAAGACCTCTACTTCACTCACACCCGTAACTTCGACGCTGATCATGATTCCTCTGGCGGCTTTGAGTGTCGCCGCCGTTCTTTGTGCGGTGAACATGGCGAGTGCCAAGTATGTTTTCGCACATTTCATGGTGAGTGCTTCTCTTTTATTCGCGACTTGAAACAGCAACTCAAGTGGGGCCGCCTCTGAACCTCCAGGCGCAGAACTCCTACTCGTATTCGCAGAGTGACTGGGTGAACGACATGACAACTGCCAAGAATATTGGTATTGATGGTTTCGGTACGTCAGTATGATGACTGGAGTTGAGGTCGAAGCTCAACATCTGTCACACATGTAGCCCTGAACATGGCTGGTAATGACTATGAAGTCAACCCTCAGCTCGGGTACGCATACGCGGCCGCGGAGCAAGTGGGTTTCCAGTTATTCTACTCGTTTGACATGACCAGTACGTGGGACGCCAACACGATCGCGGGCATCGTTGCGCAGTACGCATCAAGTTCGAGCACATTCCACTACAACAGCAAGGTCCTCGTGTCGACCTACTCAGGCGAGAGCTACGGCGACTCGTTCTGGTCAAGCGTAAAGAGCACTCTCTCCGGCCAGGGCATCGACATCGCGCTCGCGCCCGCATTCACGTCATATCGCGACCCGTCACAGGCCTCGAACTTGCTGTCCACGTTCCCATCTATTGACGGATTCTACAATTGGTGGTCTTGGCCTAATGATGTCGGTACCAACTTGACCACCGACACGGACGTTGCGTACCAGGCCGCAGCTCAGTCTCGTGGGGGTCCTTACATCATGGGTGAGTGTCATTCCTGACGTGCTAAAATCTTGGGTTTCTGACTTTATCCGTCACAGCTGTGTCGCCGTGGCAGTTTAAGAACCTCGACAACCTCGGCGACTGGGTCGAGTACAGCGACACTCTTTGGGACTACCGCTGGCAGCAAGCCTTGCAGGTCCAGCCTGACATCGTCGAGATCGGTGCGCTACCACCCACTATTAATAATCGTACTGCATTCTCATGGTCTAGGAAGTAACCTGGAACGACTACCCCGAATCGCACTATATCGGTGATATCAACCCTAACGTAAGTCGAAGGTTAAATAATGTCATCGTTGTCCATTGCTCATCTCGCTTGGGTCAGGTGGACATCGGCACCCAGGCACCTCTCTATGTCAACGGCTTCGACCACGCAGCATGGCGTGATGTTGCCCAGTACTACATCTCGTGGTATAAGACCGGCAACCAGCCCACCATTTCCGTATGTGTCATTATTTGTTATGCCCACTTCCGAGCGCTACTAACAAAGCATGGTAGAACGAGGAGGTCGTCTTCTGGTATCGCGCCTTCCCCAAGGACATAACCTGCAGCACTGGCACCCGCCCCCGCAACGCCGACTTCCCCGCAGACGCCGTCTTTGCAATCGCAATGCTCGGGTCGCCTGCGACTCTCACCCTCGCGATTGGCTCGCAGGAGACCAACTGGAGCGCGCCTGCCGGCCTCTCGATGGGTTATGTTCCGTTCCCGGTCGAGGACGCGCAGATCCCGTACATCGAGGTGAGCCGTGACGGCAACAAAGTGTTCGATGGTTACGGCTCGGTGTATGTCAAGCAATCGGGCTGCGACTACTATAACTTCAACCCGTTTGTTGGCAAGGTGCCTAACTAACTATGATGCAATGTTTTTTTCTTGGGCTTTTTGGAGGCTTCATCAAATGGAATTAGTTGCCGTCTGGTCGTTTACTTCAACGGCCATTTAGTATCTACTTTCCGGAGTATATATATAGGGAATGATTGGCGTGCAATCTATATTATTCTGTTCGTGACGATATTGAGCATAAGTGGCTGCTTCTGACTTGTGACATTTGCAACGCTGATAATCTCGTGACGATCCGCAGGTCGCATAAGCGTCAGTAGTCTCCCTCGCAAACCTCAACGCGTGCTTGCCCAATACGGACTGTGGCGCGAATAAAGTCCCAGAGGTATCGGCCAACGGAAGAATTTGGGTTCTCCCAAGCCGCGATTTGTCAATGCACGAACTTGGGCAACCAAGGTTTAGAGTTTCGTTTTACGATAACGACGCCACGGGTTTGGTTCACGAGCTCCTCGAAGAAAACAGAGACAAACAATGTATTGTTACACACAAGTTTACACCCATCATTTACAAGGCCCGAAGAACTTTTTCCACGTGTTCTATACGTGTTCTATGAAGAACACGTAGACTAGTACCCTAAGAACGTACACATTTTCTACACGAAGAAACTTCATAAACTAAAAACAAACCCTAATTGAACTTCAAACGTGGCAAGGATCATGAAAGCTAGTCGTTAATCCTGCATTTAGTAGGCCCACGAGCTCATTCGCGCTAGCATCCCGACGAGGCTTGCAACTAGCTAGCGCGGACGTGTTCGCTAGGCGCTGCCAGGTGGTAGCGCTTAGAGGGCCAGGAGGAGGAGGAGGACAGTCAATCCTAGGGTGTCGAGGACACCGACGATGCTGCTGAGGAGAGGGGTCAGAGCGAAGAGCAGGCCGCTGACGAGACCGAGGACGACGAAGAGGATCTTGTAGACCAGAATTCTGTGGTAGTGTGTCAGGAACGGTATTGTCGAGTGATATATGAAGCCTACTCACCCGACGGCGTACAGGAGCGGGATCAGGATTGCGAGCAAGTCAGCACCAACAATGGCGAGGACAACACCGATGGCCTTGAAGAGCAGCTAAAACAGAAAACACATTGTAAGCTTATTGTTTGGAAGGCGAGAATTGAGTAAGACACGTACAACGAGATCGGCGGCAATGAGCGCGGCGAGAGCGCCGACGGAAAGGATCTCGGAGCCATCCTCGGAGAGGAGGAGCTCGTTCTGGGAGACACCCTGGCTCTTGAGGCCGTTGACCGAGCCGAGCGCGTTGTTGAGCGGCGCGGAGATCTGCGAGATGATAGGCGTGATGTTCGCCTGCGTCGCGTTCCCGGAGTTAAGGTAGACTGCACGTAAATTGATTGACAGAGGCAACGACATGCAATAAAAAGATCGACGCGTCAGCATGCATCGAGGGATATTGGTCAAATACTGACTGAGAGACTGAGCGAGCGGGGCAATCTCAGTGAACGCGGAGCTGAAGATGGCCGCGATCGACGTGGTCGACTGCCGAGCAACAACCTTGCTGTCCTCAGCCACAGGAACTGCGACGGAGAAAGCAGCGAGCGCCGCGGTGCAGACGATAGAGACAGTGCTGAAGAAACGCATGGTGAACGAGAATGGGTTTCTTGGGAGTGTTCCTTTGAAAAGCTGGGAGTTATCGAGGTCGACTGAGGCTGATGAGGATTGTTGTTCGAAAACCAGGCCAGCCTTTATACGTTTACGAGCTCGGTACAAGCACCCATACAGAGGGCAATGAGCCGTCGAAGGCTCGCGGAAAAGTCACACATGTGCTCGGTGAATCCTGGTGGAGTGAGCTGAGCTGTGGAAATAGAACACACCGATGAACCCTCCGGTACCGCATGCACCTCTGTGCAATCCCCGTCTAGGCCCTGGGGCTGCACCGAGAGATCCTGACCTGGGAGTCATCTGATGGTTCAAAGTCAATTCTCTAAAAGGTGATATGAGAGACGCGTTGCGCCATAGGACGACAAGGACCAAAAGACCTTGCTCTGGTGCTATCAGGGCCCCGGTATACTTGCACTATAAATTACTACCTACCGGTCGGAATTCGACACCAACATATCAACTCCGTAGTGTGTCACACTCTGACAACATAACATGTGGCAAAACCATATCGCATGCCTATTCCTGAGTGCGCCCAATGATTCTGTACGTCCGGAATGTGAGCGGTAAGAGCACTAATATGAATCTGCGAGCTCGGAAGTCAGCAAAGATCAACTTCAGAACAATGCATTGGTGCAAACTGGCGAAATCATTATCCGTCTGATCGCCCTAGGCACGATGAAAAATCTCCTTAACAAACTGAGGTGGAGTACACAGCGTACTTGACGCGAAAATGGGACCCGAGCACGAATGAAATCATGTATGACAAGAAATGTGCGGGTGGACCTCGTTGCGCGAGTGCGAAGAAATCATTATGGAGTGAGAGCGGACGTGACAAGAATAGCCATCCCAAACATGTGTTTCCGGCGGTCGATAGAACTTCTTTGTTGTCTGGGCATCCCGAGTTCGAGAAGGCCGCCAATAAGAGCACGAGAAAGCCATGTCGCTTCTTAACGTGCCTAACTCTGGGGTGAGAGAGGTCGAGATTGAATTCAATGAACCGCCCAGTTGGCGTGTCAAGCACGTTCTTGAGGAGCTGGAGCATCATTTCCGTGTCCTCTGTACCTGTTTGAAGTGAAGAAAAACCGCGGACGGGAGGGTTTTCCTCTCAAAGGAGCCCTAAACCTTCGTATCCCCGAGGGGAGCACATACATATCCCTTTTTTGTTATTGACGGTAACACACAAGAACCGACCCTCCATGAGTTTGCTCCTCACCGCGCCCTGATCAATTCAAACACTCTTCAGCTTCAGGCCCCAACTTCTGGCAAAACAATCAGCTTGTGCTACCGTCGTTCTGCTAGGAGGAACTCATCTCGTAAAGGGTGAGGTTCAACAAGAATGCGGCCATATTTTCCACATTGCTCTCACCTCCGTTCACTTATGAGTTTACCAACTTGGGCGAGGCTCTAGAAAGAACTCGATGCATGTTATTTGATGTTTGCTCTTCATGTAAATCTCGCGAATGAGATCACAAACAAAAAGAGAGAAAGATAGGTCACCCGCAATAGTATGCATTGTCAATCAGCAGCAGAATATCGACCGTGCTGACCGGATACAAGTTTCGCCAGAAGCACGACCCACCAATAAGGGGAGCACTTCTCACGCGGAAGAATGCGCACTTTATTAGCTGTGCTACCAATGATTAATGATCTTGATGACAGGCCCATCAGCAGAAGCCCGGCAGTACAGACACGGAATCCTGACGACTTGGGTTACCTATGCTGATTGTGTCGGCAGCAAGAGCTAAGATGAGACCGACAAAGACGCCATCCAAGGCGTAGTCTCTAGACATCTGGTGAGTTATGGCGGATAGACTGAGGATAGGTACAAACTGGTCGCACAACTCGAATACACTACCTTGGGGACCATTCAATGAGAACGCTCAGTAAGGGTATCGGATCAAAGCCCCTTTCACCCGACACAAGGGCTCCGAGCTGAGGAAAAGTAGTGAATGCAGTATCGGTGACTGATCAGCACTAAGTGTATTCCAGAGAGCAATTCAGCGGCTCATCCCTGGTCAAAGCCACACAGGTAAGTGGGATATGGTAGAGTAGGTTCCAGGTCATAATTAGAACTGTCCACATGCCTCAAGGCCCGGACGAGCGATATTACAGAGCAAAGTGCTGTCCGAACACCTCCGAGACCCATCGGTGGCGCAGCCTCTCAGTTGGCCGTCGCTCAACACGGCACTCGGCAAGACAGCTGCTGGGAATAAGACTGCCAAGATATCGATAATGCAAGCCTTCGTCCCATTCCAGTGATCGCTGCCAGACGGACGATGAGCGCTCGATTTCGGATGATCGTCCTTTTCCTGAAGATCAAGAGTAGAGAGTATGAGCATCCTCACATGTTCAAGTCTAGGCAGAGAAGCAGAGCGAGCACATGTGGCAGGCCCGTCCTTTCAGTCCAAGGTTTTACGAAGCTGGGCTTATATGTGTAGTTTCGTTGCTGGTCCGTAGTCCTCGTCGAAAATGCTAAGGAGTCGTGAGCATAAGAGCGGTGGCCTTCCGTCCGACTCGCCTGCTGAAGAAGCTTCGAGCTGCATATCTGAGGTGATTTGATCATCAATAGACACCTCGAGATGTGTCCTGATAGGTCTCATGCAAGCGGAGCTTGAAGATTTTGTCCCTGGGGGCGGGTAGAACCATGATTGTTCCCACGGCGTCAGCGTACCTGAAAGGACCGTTAGACTCGAGTTAGACTTGGGTTAAACACGACGAACTCCAAGAGCGCAAAAGCCGGGAACATATCGACAAGTATCCTCCAGCATCACGCCCCTTTGTCAAACACATGTCATAAGGGAGGCTACAAATCTCCCTGGTACTCGAGGACTTGAGTGTAAGTTTAGAATCACCTCGTGCGCGTATCATATAGTAAGTGAAAGAATACATATAAGATAGATGCTCAATAGAAGTACAGTGCACTCTCCCCTTTATCTCATGCAGACGCAACCTCGCCCGGACGTAGCGCTCCTCGAGCCACTTGCGCGTCACATCGTCCCATACGTCAAGCGGCAGCTTGACCTGCCCGGACTAAACTTATTCATCGTTTTGATCTTCCACCTATGTGATTGCCGAAAATACTCGGCTTGAGCGCGCGCACGCTCTGAGGGACCTTTATCTTGCCGGCGTTGATGCAGGTGAGGTAGCTTTCATTCGCGGATTCCATGAACACGTGCAGTGTCAAGTTGGCAGGGATAACGCTCGGCGCGCCAGCTAAATACAAAGACTCAAGTAAGTACTCATGCTCATGTCGCGTTTCACGCAATAATCGATAATACTTTGATCCTACAGTCGTATAGGCACGTAGTACCATCGGTAGGATTCTCAATCAAGGAATATCTATTTTTTATTTTTCCTATGTAACACATTTCTAGACGGCTCTTATCCTCACACGTCGTCTTCTATTGGGGATTAGTTTTTCTTGATGTAGGTCAGTGAGTCCCACGGATCGCTGTGGGAATCGCGCCAGTAAGTACCTGGGAGTTCAGCCGAAGAAATGTATATGTCTTGACATTTGCAACGTTCGGCATCAACAAGGAAACAAGAGTCGGGCTTTCCCCCAGGAATGTCTACAGCCATGATGGGAGAAATTATATCGTATGCGAGGTCGGACATGTCTTGAATTTCGCCAACGTGCTGCCATGCTCCTAATTCAGTGTTTCTAGGTCGTTGTTCTCTAAGCCTATTGAAGTGATCTTTCCCTGGGGGACTCTGGGAATCGACAAGATAACCGACAACGGTGGGTGGTAGAGCTATTTTGGATTTTCCTTCAATAGGATGGTAGGTGATGACTGCGAGATTCCAGGGCCTTTCCCAGTCACGGAGACGAAGCAGCCGACTGTGGGGGTGAACAGCTATAGCAGCGCCATTGAGGGTAGGGCAAGTGAAGCTTAGAGTGTCAAAATCGTAGACCGGGGGGGATAGCGCCAGAATCACAGCTGTGATGCAGATACTTCCCGGACGTAACGTCATGGATGACTGAAGATGCCGAAGATATGCGTAGTTGCGAAAATTGGACCACTGGAAAGGTATGGTTTTGTCGCGATAATCAAGCGGTGCACTGGGCCAGTGTATGCCGCGGAAAAACAACACGGATGGATCGGTCCCTTCTTGCACGATGGCTTCGAACAACCGTCGAAAGGATTTTCCCCATCCCTCTCCATATGCCGTCTGTATGCTGACTCTCATCATACCCATCAGAGAGTATGCTGCATCCTCCACTCGGGTCGTGAAGCGATAGGTAGCCCATGCTATCCTTTCATTGATTGGTACGCTGAAGATAGCGTTTGATTGTGATGTACCTATGAAAATCTGTTCGCTGATACCTGTTATAGTAGAAATCTTCTGAATGAGTTGCTGAGCATTGATTTCCGGAGAATGACAGGTATAATAATTGAAGTGCTCCAAGTTGTTCCAGGTATTGATCCCGTGCAAGTCCCATCTCTTCGCCCAAGCGACGGAAGGCTCCCGACTAACATTGCGGCGGGACGACTTGTCATTTGCGTGACAAGTAAGGGGAATCCAATTTTTGTCAAAGAACTTGACGCGTGGAGGGGCAAGGAGCTCCTGTAGTGTCCACCCACGCTCGAACCATTCATCTCTGTCCATGTCTTCATATCCGCTGGTTTGCGCCAAGTGAACAAGGCAAAGGGTCGAATTCTCGTACCAGTGAAACATCGACCGGATTGCTTCGTCGAGCTCGGCGCTACTGCCTTTGTCGATACAGCAGGTATCCGCCCAGGCAAACATAATACCTCTATCCATGCTTGCTTTCAGGAATTGGTCCAGCTTTTCGTATCCGGGTCCCTGGCCCTCAAGAGTGCCTGCTACAGAGTATGCTGGTTCTTCTTCACCCCATCGATGCGATAATGTCGTATATGTAACAGTGTTTCGGATTATGGGATCAAGCTGAACTCTTTCAAATGCAAAGGCAGCTGAGTAACGCTTATAAATGGCATCTTCCGATTCCATAAACGCCATAACCTCGCATGCGACGTCTTCGTGGACGGAAGCACGGAAGTAATTGAAGATGAAGTCCTTCCTAGCAAGCCGCCTTGTTGGTATATGAATCAAGTGAGTCGGTATTGCATTGTGTATATACATGTTGAGAGTGAGGTCGATCATGGGGATAAGTGATTTGACGTCGGGAAATTCGGATTTGTCAAGAACGGTGAGCTATAGATATATAGTTTATTCTATCAGACTACGTGTGCTAATATTGTGCTAGAAACGCACCAATAGACCCTCATTGGAGACCGTCGTAGTGGCGTGTTGAGCGCCATCCTCAGGTTGTTCAGACGAACCAGAAGATGAAGATACCTGCCCGGTGCTCTCCATGAGACTTTTCTGTCAGTTTTTCATGTTATAGACGCACCGATCGATCCTCATCGGATATGATCACCGACAGAAGTTCCATGCTGTCTTCTTCAGACGGCTCAGATAGCTCACACACCTAACCAAGTCCGCTCTCCAATGAGGTTGTCTGCAGCTAAGTTTGGTGATAGACACGCACCGATTGATCCTCATCGGACCACACAGCCGTGAGAACCTCGGCAACCCCTCGTTCAGACGAGGCAGACGGAGGAGATACCTACATGATGTTCTCTATCAGACTATGCCTGCAAGTTACTGGGGTTGGGAGCGCACCATTTGGTCCTCATCGAACACCATCGTCGTGACAATTCGAGCGTCTTCCTCTCGAGATGACGTGGGTATTGCCGACATGGAGTGAAGGTCCGAGTCTATAGGAAGCTAAAGCGTGTGTGGAGGGACGATAGCTCACGGCAAGAGTTTGTATCTGCTGGAGGAAGAAGCTAGGCAAGTCCAGTACGCTCGGAGACGGTGAAAGTTCTGAACAAGGAGCAGCCTCGAAGCTAGGGCTGGGGTTCAGAACGTTCACCACGTTGCTTTGACTCTATTTACGTCTTCTCCCCTTAACTGCTTAGTGCATGGTCGCGTGAACGTTTAGCGCCATACCGCCATAAGAAGTGTTCGCGAACATTCGCTCGCGCGGTTTTCCGAACGCCCACGCCCGTTTGTTCAACCCTCTCTTCCCTGTGTCGCGAGTCGCGACCTTCGTGTCATACCTTGTATTCGTCATCTCGCAAGACGCCGTATGGGTGTCGTATGAGGCAGGCGAGGAACCTCGCCGAAAGTGAGCTCAAGGTGATCTCCTCGGAAAAGTAGGAGACCCATTGCTGAAGTCCAGCGCTGTAGAGATTCGACTGTCGAGTTTCCGGGATACAGAGATTATACAGTAGATCTGCGAGTGTCCACTCTTCCTCCGTAGTGATCTCGTGGACTCTCTCCAAGGCGGTGATCTTGCGGTCAAAGGGTTTCCCGCCATCAGGAGAAGTGTCGTTCTCAGAAAGATCCCAGGTCTATAGCATGAGTGATAACCTTGCGACGCTTCTGCCACTGTGCAGGTCCCTTAGCTGAATGAGGAGCAGGGACAGTGTTCTGGTCATGAGTATCTGTCGAGAGTCTTCGCTTTGAAGCAGTGCGGCTAGAGCTACTCGAGGCGGCGGAACGCAGGCTAAGGGGTGGGTTCAGAGTGCTCAGAGGAAGTGCAGAATATCAAGAACGACTATCTTCTGATATAGGGTCTGCCTAGGGGAGACACGGTATCGGATCTTTTGCGAAGTGCTGCGAGAATCTGAAGCTCAGGTGAGGGCTCGGTGGCGGGCGCAGGGGAGGGTTTCGACGTTCATTTCGAGTGGAGCACATTCGCCATCCTGAGAATCAATTGCATAAGAGTTGATGGGGAGGGTGTAGGAAGAGGTACGAGAGGTAACGAAGGTGGCCAGTATCGGATGGAACACTCTGGCGTCTTCGTAGTCTTCGTACACATGCCAGTGTGTAAAAAGGCAATCTACGTTGATGCGAGCCAGCGATACTTACCTTTCCCTCGACTGGCAAACGCTCCTCTGACATTCCATCTCTCAGAGAAACTACATTTGCAGGTGGAATCTATGGTTCATGTCTATGGCTGTATCGTGTCCCTTGGGCGACGGTGTGGCGAGTCGTTTCATGAGGAGAGCTGTCGGTAATCGACCACGGTGTTTGCGTCCAGCACTAATAGTCACGAACTGCAAGCTTTGATGTATTAGAAGATGAAATGAGGTCGGACGGTGCAGTTGCTCCTCGGTGGCGTCAGGCAAGGCATCAAGCTCAAGTCACAAACTTTGGGCAAGTTTGTGCTCGTTGAAGATAGGGGTGGCCGTGCGAACACTATTGAGCGCCTACGGACGTTGGCTGTGACAAAACTTTTCAGACAATGATATCAACAACCGTCCAACTCGCTTTCCACAAGCCTTCAAAGCATCACCTCCGATTTCCCCTTCCGCATTGATGAGTAGCATATAAATCACGTCTCGCGGTTCTAATGCAACTCCGTCGCCGTCTGATCAACCTTTGCGACATTAACACTCTGGCTCTTGTGTTGCCACACCTATAGAGGATGACAATAGTGCTTACCAGCCCCGCTCGCTATCTCTCCTATCGCATTGGCGTGGATCTAGCTCTTGAGGTCTGCGCCGTTCTAGAGGCCGTTAGCGTACTCTCAGTCATGAGACCGCTTCTTCTCTCAGCTCTCGACCTTCACACCTCCCCTATCTTTGTAACGTGCCAAAAACATTAGTTGTTGGATCTTGGGCTTGTACATGATTATCATGAATTATCTACATTTTAGTGATACCGTAGCTTCGGGTGCACGAGCCGCCTCATCATGGAAGTTGCGATGTTACTGATACTTCGATATGGAAGGTCGCCTATTAAGTAACAGGGGTAGTTAGTCGGGAATGTCTAGCTGCACTACTGGCAGCTTCCTCCTTCGTTGCTGGGTAATCGTAGTGACGATGATGGGATAATGGGAGATAATGGATGATTGTTCATGTGCCGTCGGTTGCTGCGTAGCCGCGATGCTGAGATGTTGGAAAGCAAGATGATAAGAAAATAAATACTTAGCTTCATCATATCTCCCTGCTACTGCCATCTACCGTCGGCTGCTGTTCTAGACCGCTGACTCCGTGACACATGCAGCTGGCATGATGCATGACGCGAACGGACCCTTTCCCCATTGCAGTCGCAGCAGCTCGCAGCAGCGTCACAGCGCTCAGATCTCAGATCTTAGACTAGCTCATGATCGATTGATCAATCGAGCTCCGTGACGTAGTGATCGGCGCTCGGCACAGAGCCCGAATTCCGGTCTATTCCGGTCCGCCCAAGCGCCAGCCATATCAATTTCGTCCCAGCGCTATCCCACGTCCAATAAGCGCCCTGCGAGTCCAAGTCGTGCCGTCGCATCGATGTGTTGTGCCCCCGGCCACCAGCTAGATCGGAAAGAGGATGGAAATGTTTATGTTCCCTAGCAGGTTTTCCTGAGTGGAGAAGGCACGAGGAAATAAAAGATATTTCTCAGATATCATGTGAGATGATACAATTCAGAGGAGGAAAACTACCGCCAAGGGTTTTGGTATCGTGAAAATATAATCCATATTTATAATATTGGCTGTTTAGAAATGCATGACAGAATTGTTTAAGAACGTTAAATTCTACAATGAATATTCGGGAACAGAAGTCATGGGAAGATATTTCCTTTTGTGGGCTTGGCTAACACTTAGAAAAGCCATTGGGGAATGAAACATTCTATCATTGCCATTTTTGGATTAAAAAGCCATTAGATAATTTACGTTCTCCGATGGATTTCGTCCGCCACGGAAGCTATTGGCGGAGTTTTGCAACTAGACACATTTTCCCATCAATATTAACAAGGGAAATATCGGCGTTTGCCCCTAGTGTATCCAAGGCGCTTTAGAATCTGTGCCAGCCCGTGCCAGCTAAACTTTAGTTGGCTATGAGGTTGCGGATATACGCGCATTGCGTTCACTTCGTCATGGACAGGATTCAGTGTACTTTCCTCATGTCAAAAGAACATGATTTTCGAGACGGCGAGGCAGGATCGAACGCGTAGCCAATAGTTTTCATGGTAGAATACAATGATTATCACACAATAAAGTACGCAAAATTCACTGCAAACGCGATGATATTCATGTATAAACACAGGAAGTGACTGGTCTACTCATTACACAGAAATACGGTCAACCCCTCAACTGCCCGCCGCCTGAAGATTCTGCAGCACAGCGGTGCAGAGTCTCTGCTGCAGTCATCATCCGAGTTGTCTGCGTGCGTGGGGACGCTACCGTTCTTGAGCGCTGCGGCAGGGGCTGCCAATCGAGGCTCCTATCGCGCAACTAGCCTATTGCAAGGGGTTAAAGTAGGCCCTAACTAAATTATAAGGGAAGTAAGTAACGAAACAGTGAGAAATAACGAAGACATACCCAACAAGGTAGATATCCGCTCTCTCCTCCAGTCTCACACTGCTGCCGCTATCGGGGCCTCCGGGCGGGGTTCGAGTCGTTTCGTGAGCGTGCCCATGCACAGGAGCGGTGCGTGTCCGTCGAAGTTGATCAGGATGTAAGCATCGTTGTGGTACGCTCGCGGGCACGTGGTCCATCGGGTTCCCATTCAGACGAGGCGGTTCGCAAGCGCGCGTGCCTGCACGTGCGATGCGCATGGCCATGGCCACGCGAACTCCCTCTGCTCGTTGCCCGCCGCAAGGGCAATCTGCAAACCGAGTGCAAAGGTGCGGCGCACGCCGGTGCTGGTCGCAAAGACCTTAATGTGCCGCCACATTCAATCGTGATTGCCCACATCGATGACGGTGTTGATCATCCTGTGGCGGGATCAGCCCCTTGCTTGACCAGCCCATCGACCAGCCCATCGAGTCAACCTACGTGAACGGTGTTGTACTCCCGCCCTCTTCCTCTTCCGGTATCACGGGCTTCGCGTAGTACACCGAAAACTCGCGGTGCAGGAAGCGCATGGCGCCTGTTGATCTGCTCGAACTCGAGGAAGCCGTTGTGCTCGTCGGGCGAGTGAATCATGAGCTCTGCAGCATGGATGTGCGTGGCGAGCTCGCACGCATTATTGTGCCCCTTGCTGTGCGCCGCGAGCACCGCGTCCGCGTCTACAAGCTGCAGCCCCCCACCCCTGCCCCCGCATTCGGCACGATCGCGGGCTGCTGCGGGCGCCGCCTGAATCGACGCTCGAACGAATCGCGCGAGCGGTAGATGAGCAGCGCGGCCATGCGTACCGTAGCCCGGGTCAGAGTAGATGCTCTGCCGCTGGGCCTCGCCGCAGGAGATGCGTCATGCCGAATGGCGCACGGACGTCGCACGTGCGTCGCAACAGGGATGATGTGCCGGACGAAGCCTGGGGGTGTGCTAGGGACCACTCGAGCACGGCCATGCCGCCCATGGAGTTGCCGACGGCAACGGCACCGGAGGAGACGCAGAGGTGGTCGAGGACGTGCTTTTGGTTTTGGAGTGGTTCTTGATCACCTACCCATGAGGATTGAACTGCGCACGCTAGTGGTGGTGTCTACTTGTGAGTTGTGGAAAGAAGGAATGGGCTGTCGGCGGAGAGGACAAAGACACGTACGGTTGTTGAAGATTCATAGGGGGGTCGTAGCAGTAGTGTCGCGTTCGCTGGTGAAATGTAAATATTGAGTCCACATGGTGCAGGAGAACGTACTTAACAGGTCAAGCCGCCTGTAGCCAGAGCTGCCATATAACGCGAGAGCAGGGGGCGTGGGGTGCGAAGGCGGTGGAAACAAAGAAGGATGACATGGCAGACGTCGATAGGGATGTCAAGGAGGAAGAAAAGACAATGCGAGACAACTAAAGTTCAACATTTGCATTTGTTTGTTAGCTAGGGGTGGAGCCCTCCCCAAACAGCGACGCCACCTGACGTCATCGTGAACATGGTTTCGCATTTCAGGTCCAGGTGCATGGTACATAACTTCAAAATCAAGTCAAAGGGACATTATTTTAGCATATCAAGTACGGGGTACAAATATTATAATCAGGCATACATGCTTTTGCAGTGATGAGGTGTAGAATTCTGAGTCTGAGACACCCGTGATTGATGCGCTCGTCCACGAGACGCTGTGTGTCGCACAGCCGCATAGTACCGCCATGCGCCGTAACCCGAGACCCTTGCCCGAGACAAGGAACTCGAGCAAGGAGAATGTAGAAAAGCTCAGTGTTTTCGACGCTTTCGTGTGGTCACTTGCTAGACAAAATGACTGGCTACTGTACAACGCAAGTCACAGATCTTATTTGTTCATTGATAGGTACAAGTTTCAGCCTGAGCAAGGCCGATCACAGCGACATATGCACATATAACAATGGAACAAGCAAATGAGCATAAATATGGTTAGGCCTCGAAGGCTTATAATGGATCCGCTCGACTCGTTTGCCCGATACGTGTTGTCAACCTCTTCGCCAATAGTTTCCTTTGTGTGAACAAGAGGAAGTACTGCTTTTGACGTGCACTGTGAATACATTAGTGCATATTTGGTTGCATATCAAATAAGTCTCTAACTTATTAAACTTACCTCGCAATTCTTGCATATCTCCCCGCTTTTGCCACCCCCCAGAACCTGGTGTACAGTCAACTCATGGTGTGCTCGACGTTGAATGACTAACCTCGTCGGATGCAACCACCCTGACAGGAAGCCTCTTCCTCGGTGTGAACGCCGGAGGAGGATCACAAGTCTGGATCTTTGAACCCCCAAAGGCTATTTCGTCAGTAGAAAATTTTACCTGAGAACGTAGATCATAAGTGCAAGCCGGGTGGCTTTCAAAAACGGAGAGAAAACGCACCCTTCTACGAGAAGACTTATGTACGCTGGCCGCCTTGAAGCTCTTGCAGTCTTCATCGTCGCTATCGTCGCTCTTCACAGCGTTAATGAGGTCCGAAAAGTCTTCAGTCGTAGCTCGTTCGAAATGAGCCTGATATACAATGAGCTTCGTACTCAATAGGCTTAAAACATCACCAGAGTTGATGAACTGACCTTATTTTCGGATCCATCGGAAATTTTGCCAAGTAACCAGGCGTCACGGACGCGATCCTGATCCTCTTTTCTCAGTTGTTCAAAGCCTTCGAGATCATCAGCTGATTTGAGAGCTTTCTTGATGTTGTTGATGACCTCCGGTGTTGTGCAGCCCCAGTGACGCCATGAGCTGTGCAAGAAATATCAGCTACGCAGGGTCGCAGGAACGTGGTGATGCCCATACAACGCCGCCTTTCCCTCGGGTAAACTGTATTGAGAGCCAATGCGGAGATCTCCTTTGATAATGGTCGTGCCTACACCTACGTTAGAGGATGCAACCCAAACCTTGACAATGCTGCGTACCGGAGCATGGTTGAGGACCTGCGTGATATTTCTGAGAAGGCCGAGGGCGAGCTGGCGCAATATTGGCATACCTTTACATTTAGATCTTCCAGAAGATGCATAACCTATGCAGTAGCGTCGCTTTTTCTGGTCCCCGCTGTTAGACATTTTGCGGTTGAGAATAGGGAACACGGTATCTCCCGCAAAATGGAACATGGTTGGGGCCGGCACAACCCGGATTTGGTCGGTAATACTTGCTATGATCTGCTAGCGTGGCTGTGTTGCTATGAGCGAGTTGAAGGATCTGGACTCTGGAGCAAGACTACTGTGGACTCGGCTACGCCGTACTATACGTGGCTCTTTCAAGCACATCTATCTGCGCCGGAACGCAGAGGGTCGCATAAGAACATCACAAAGCACTTTTTGATGCGAGTATAATTTATATAGCCTCTTCGTAAACTACACTGACCAAAGGAAGAACGATGAGAAGAAAAACGAGCGTTACCGGGGTTACCCAGTGCCAATCAACCGGTTTAGGGTGAGCGTTGCGGCGCTCCCTACACCTGTTAACGAGTAAGAACATTATTGAATGGCGAACATGGTGATTTCATAATGAAAGCAGACCTAATCAACGTTGCTAAATGGGTATCATCAAACTATGATCCAGGAGACGCATGAGGGCCGATAACATTGTGGTTAGCTGAGATCGTAATTGGGACTTATACAGCGCTTACCAAGAGTATTCGTGCCACCACGCTCTAATGAGCCTGAGGTTGCCTGGTATATACCATCGGATTAATGTCCTACTAGACATGACGGAAAAGCGAAGGCGAGTTCTCTGAACCGCGTGCCTTGTCTAAAATCGAAGTCTAGAGGTGAGTCGTACTGATACACAGTGAGAAGTGCCATTTTTATTGTTGTTATGGTGTTGGATGGTTAAGTAGGGTGTCCATATGAGGCAAAGCCTCAATCGCAAAACCTACTCCTGTAAAACTGGCACAGAAAATATTCATACGCATTTACCTTCGATGACATAAGGAACGACAACGCCAGCATCTTAAAGAAGCGCAATCGTGCGTCACGACAAATCTACCCATGCGATGTCCCATCAGCTAGAAATAAAACGGGCAGTCAGTCTCTTACTGCATCAACTGTCAGCGAGCTCACGAGCAATATTGGAGCGGATTTGCATGCAGGTATAGTACTTTGACCAGCTCAGCAAAGTCCCGACAAGTCAACAGAAAGGTCTTCTACGCCCTGAAGCGGGCTGCTTTTGAAAGCCGATCTTCCCTGGATCTCTAGGTATTAGAGACAAAACCGTTGATGCACGTTCGGTCTGAAAACTCACCGCGACGTCTTGGGTCAAGAGACAACACGCTCGGGTCTCCCTCCGTCAGGCGTGTGATCTTCTGCGCTGCGAGAGCAAAGGGTAAGCCAGAGTACGCCGCACCCGGGTGGAGGATCGTGACTGTACTTGTTTCGCTGTTGCCCGTGGCTGGAGGAGTGTAGTGCACCCTTATATCCAGCTCTATCGCTGGCACGCTGATCATGACTGCCTGGTCGAAGCATGATGATGCTTATAACGGTGAACAGGCCTGATCAGGTGTCTTTGGCTTGCGCCTTTGCCTCGAGCTATCATACACTTTAGCACCGGTCAGAAAATGCGGATAGTACAAAGGCGAACATTGAAGGTGGGCACATGTTCGAAGATCTAGAGGAGCTTGATAGGCCTCTTCCTCTTCGTTGTCCTCGTTGCCAAGAGTTGCCGAAGCTTGCGAACCGCGATTGATTTAGACAACGGAGGGGCATTGACGCAAGTTGCTCGCGCGCCGACTTGCCCACTGAGGGAAATTCGCGGTAATTGTCCATTTTGGGTCGTTCCCTATTACACATCTAGGTCCGATGCTGCCGTTATGTCGCCTCCGCATCTCGGTACTCGTATCTCTCATCCTATCTTCTACGCGATCATCGTATCTTTGGTGTAGCCTATGCTGCTAAGTCTTCATCTTAGATGGTGCACACAAACTGGCTTATCAAGGTCTTTCGACGAATGGCGGACATCGACAAATGTTCTAATTGTTATTGAATAGGTACAGCAGCTCAACCTCATGCCTGCCCCGGCAGCGTTCTTTCTTCGTAACACTTCTAGTTACACTACCGTCAGCTCCGCCTCGCTCTATCATGTGTCTGAGAGGAACATTCTTCATGCCGATGGTCATTCGTCGAGAACTCTTGGGAAGAACCGAAGAACGAGCGCTCGGAGGACCTTATTCGGGCTGAGCTTATTGAAATCAGCGAGGGATGGTTGAGAACACCCGGGAAATGGGAAAGGCGGCACATGTTCCAAACTACGTCAGCAAAACTGCGCTTTGGACCGAGAGCGCTACACCACTTTCACGACCCCTGGAGTCCTAGTTTCGGAACAAGGCGGCCACCGACACCATCCGTTGGCACCCACAACTGTTTAAATAGTCTCACCCATCAATGTGGATCGTTTCGAGAAGCTCAGGTGAGCTTGTCGCCCTGGACCGCAAAGAACTGCGCGACTATAGCAAGCTCTCCCATCCCTGAACCGGCAAGCCATCGCCCTCCCTGTGCCGTGTCCGCGGCTTCGGCTTCGTCCCGGTCAGAATGCCGTCATACACCCGTCCTTTTACATGCTGTATGTCTACCCCCGGACAGCAGTGCCAGTTACCCCTTCCATCCCTTTTTTACTTTCTTCCTACCACCATCTTCACCATGCTCGCTTCGGACGACTTTGTGCTGACCGACTACTGTTACGTCTTTGCAAAGGTCTACGAGCTGATAGACTTTCGCTGGGTCGACCAGGGCACCGCATATTTCCATGGTCAATTCATCGAGGAGACCAACCAAGCGTTCCTCATTGCCCGCGAGGAGGAGGAGGACGAGAGGACGATCCTATCCACCGGCAGTCGATATAAAGATGTATACCAGAGGCAGCAGGGTGCGTGTCGCGTCGCGTCTCGTCCCCGCCGTGATTTTGCGCCATTGCCCCTACTTACCTTGACCTGTATCTCCATTCCAGATACTCTCATCATCTGGACAGAGCCCGATAGCGTCGACTACGCGCTAAACTTCCAGGATGCCGAGAGCTGTGCGGAGGTCTGGAACTTCATAATAGAAGTTCAGTACCATATCAATTCCTCCGGTAAGCTTTCCCGTCTCTTTCAGGAATCCGTATACAGCCGGTGTGTACCCGGAAACGCGATCACACGATGCTCATCCATTCTTCGCGTGCCAGAAGCGGGCGGTTTTGACTCTTCCTCCCCTAACCACGATGCCACGATGACCGCAATTATTCTCCGCACCGGTCATTTACCCATGCCTGATCATGAATCGGGAAACGTTGCGGACATTGAGCGTTCCATAAAGGCTCTCGCTCGAGGACATGTCAAGGAGAAGATATGCGACTACATACAGCGTCGGTGCGCATTTATTCCTTGTTTCCACCTATCCTATGTGCTGAGCTGACAGCGCCGCAGGATTAGATTAAAGCCATGATCAACGTTCTCAATGTAGCAGAAGATTTAGTCTCTGGATAACCTGCATGCACTTTTAGCCTTATGCAAACAATACGTGAGTCTCGCGCGTTTTTCTTTGCTACGGGGGTGCTTTGCCAACGCGTTTGACAGTAATATTAAATGACTATGGCATGTATGAACATATTCTCGATGACGACAACTTCTTCGCAGTTGTAGGCATGTTAGAATGTGCGTCATATTTCCCGTCTCATACATCATCATCAATGGTGTCCTTAATGTCCCTTACTTAATCTCGGCTACCGTCCACGCATAGACGACCCCGAGTTCCCCACGCACAAGACCAACTACCGCGAGTTCCTGCACCTCACCTCGCGCTTCCACCAGCCGATCCCAATCCCGGACGAATCGATCCAGAAGAAGGTACACAACACGTACAGGCTGCAGTTACTCAAAGACGTCGTGCTCGCTTGTGCGCTGGACGATTCGACGTTCAACAACGTGCTTAACTCGTGCATCATCTTCAACCAGATCGATAACGTGCAGAACGACCCGGTGTTTATGCGCGAGATCGCTAGCTTGTATGTCAACGCGGAGGTTCTTGGGAGCGTCCACGGGAACGGGAGCGCGAAGCCGGCTAGTAAGAGTGTGGGGGCGAGCGCGGCGTGGGCGTCTTCGTCGCCAGATGTGTAAGTGAAGAAGGAGGGGGAAGGGGAGGGCGGTAACAGTGCGGAGAAGGCCAACGGTTCAGCGATGACGAACAGGACCGGGTCGCCCACGCCGGCCCCTCGACGTCGTCATCACCAGACGCCAATCCCCGGTCGAGCGGTAGTTCCAATCCGGATACGAGCAAGAGCGCGATCAAGAGCGAGGATGCCGACGCCGACAGGCCACGGCGACTGCCGCAGCGGAGGCGAAGACCAACGTCAACACGGCGGAGGCGAACCTGGTGAAGATCAGCACGGCGAGGGAGGTGCTCAGCGCGGTGCTTGACCACAACCTCATCGGCGTGCGGAACCACGTGCTGAAGCAGGTGCGGGCGGTCGAGAAGGAGAAGTAGGGCATGCTCGCGGGCAGCCGGACGCGCTCCGGACGCTGCTGGAGATTTCGGTGGGGAACGGGCCTGAGACGCTGGTGAGTACCTACCCTCTTTGAGCTGTATAGGAAGCATTGTGTTGACCGGCGGGGTGCGTGTATAGGTGGCGATGGGCGCGAAGCTGCTCGCGCGGCCCAAGGACGACCCCGCGACGGAGATTGACTCCCCGCCTCCCTTACTCCTTCAACTCTATCCTTTACCATACCCCGTCACAAAGCGGACACCTCTTTCGAGGATGATTAAATTCTCGTCAAGTCTGTCGCACCGGGGCCGTGTTCCGTCGTATCCTTCTTGCATTACATCGAGTGGGGGGACGCCAAGTTTTGTTTCCGTCCCTAAATCAGGCTTCGAGACGATGGTTCCCCGCCCATCCGCTCCTGGTTCATGGGTTATATCCGCCGTCTATTCCCTCCCCCACATCATGCGCTTCGCGCTCTCTCTCCCATTAAAAAAAAGCCTAAGTGCCATGACAGGGCCGGGGGATTTGAGCCTCACTGCAGAGCTACGTCACGCTTTTCTCTCGCATCTATTACGAACGCTCCTATTTTTCTTACTATACACGGTCTCTTTTCATAGTTATACTTTATGCTAGATCTACGCATTCACTATATCCGGGTCCCCGCTTTAACTGTCGGGTCGCGTTGGCTCTAGATGATACGGACGCAACGATACCAGAGACTCTGGCCTGATCAGATTTACATTCATTATTCCTTCTATCTTTTGTTTTATGCCCCTGGTGGGCCGCCTCTCTCCTAATGCTAACGCCATTGGTTGTTCGGCACAAAACGTATGCTCTCCCTCAGGCTCCTCTCCGGATTTCTTACGCCCTTCGACCTTGACACTTATTACGAGACACACGGTTATCTTCGAGGGCCTGCTCTTCGAGCTCAAGCACCCCACGCGACAGGACAGCCTCCCCCCGTGCACGATGCCACTGTACATGCCCCGCCCGAGATTGAGACTACAGGCCTGCTCATGCTGCAGGTCCGGCGTGTGGACTTCAAATAGCACTGGGAGCATCTTGTTAAGTGGTCCTCAGACAAGAATGGCTTCAATCTACTCTCGGCGCTGCCGGACACGCTCAGCAGCCGATGCCCATCGGGTGGGGCGAGACGTCGGACAAGGCGCGGGAATGCACCTCCGCAAGTGCCTCTCCAATGTCGACCAGATCGTGCACTGTTCGCTACTGGCTCAAACCCTGTGAGCCAGTCCTCATCTTCGACACTGAAAGAATCGGTCCACAGTCCGTGAGCTATTGCATTTGGTCCTCTCACACTGTCGCCAAATCCTGACACGTCGTGTACGTCAGCGTCCCTGTGCCTGCACCCGGGCCGCTGGAGTACTACTTGTAGAAAATGAGACGAATGTGAGTGGTGATATGAGTGCGGGTGGTGCAAGAACGCAGAGTTCGGGAAGGACGAGTTTTACAGAATCCTAGGACATGAAGAACACCCAGGTGCCGATATTTCGCTGTTGTATGGAGTGGGAAACGATATCGATATCTTCCATGCATATAGTGTTGTAGTGATCAATAGTCACTATTATGCTGATAATCATATTCAATCCTCAGCCTCATGATTATCGGGCGGCTGGTGTACGTTCTCAAAGGGGCTCCGGGTGAACAGGAGCCCAAGTAGACTGACCAGTTGATGTGTCTGCTAGCCCGTCGCGCGGCATTGAGAACTCCGTGCTTTTCTCAGGCGTCCCATATATACACCCTCCGACTCTCCTTCAAAATTCTCCACTCTTGAGGTCATCTCCGTATCCAATGCCGGCCAGTAGGCACGCTTCCATCTCGCACTTGGTATCACAGCCATATTCCAACACCTTGTCGTCCCGTCCATGTCATGTCCCATCTCAAGAAGTAATCGTCGTCTCTGATGATGAGAGCCCACCAGCATCACAGCCGACCTCCATCAAGGCACAAGGCAAAGGCAATCGAAAGAAGAAATCCAGTCTTACCTCTAGAAATATTATAGAGCTCACCTCCGATGAAGAGTCCTCTACGCTACATGTTTTAAAGGAGACTCGTGATGGGCCGAGATGTGTTAGCGGGCAAGCTTCAGACTCTGGAAATACAATAGCCAAACTGCAAGAGGTAAGTGCAACAAGCGCCGTGTTCCATAGCTCATCAAATTGCAGGAAAATCGCCTGTTAAAAGCGCAGATCCAGGACATGAACGCCAATCTTTCCAGTTTTGCCAACCAAGCTTTGGACCTTGAGGATGTGACATCCAGGATACAAGAGGTAGTTGACCGCTAATAATTATCTATTAGCCATGACCCTAGCTGATTTAATTCCAGGAGAACCGCATGTTAAATGCGCAGATTCAGGACATGAACACCCGCTTTTCAAGCTCTGTCATCATTGTACGTGAATTATGACATAGTCCTCACTAGGCATATGACTTCTTACTTGAATTCGTTAGTCTCGTAATGATCTCGACGAACTGGTGTCATGCAAAGTCTGCACCATCAAGATGCAGTCCCCCTACTTGTACATCCTCGTTGTTTCCTCCCTGTTCGTTTCTAATACAACTGTTCCTCTTCAGGTTACCTGACTGCGGCCACACACTCTGCCAGTCATGTCTGGTGAACTGGTTTGACATCATACTCGCCCAGTTCACCGCATCTCACCCCCAGTACAATCCTAATGATTCACATGCTCTGAACACGCATGATCGTCCTTTGCCCACAGCGTCTTCATATGCAACCATGCCCGAAGAAGTTGTTGCTTTCCTTCGTCATCCCCAGATCATGCACCACCCTGTGTTCGCCCTGTCTATGGCAGCACGCCAGTTCCTTGATTGCCATGAGCAGGAACGTGGCCAACAGAGACATAACCAGGGCGGCCAGGGAGGCAATGGGAACGTCGGCAATAATAACGGCGGTGCAGGGCCAGTGCAGCCAAGGTACACTTGCCCATTTTGTCGGACTGCACTGCATTCACGCCCGGTGGAAGAATTCTTCTTGAAGGAGGTCATTGACAAGCTCTTGAATATTGCAGGCGAAGAGGAAGAGCCCTTGACGAGAAGCGCAGCCTTGAGGAATCTGTTTGGGACATACATTCCCTGAACGAATAGGTCACTTAGGAAATTTTCGAAAACCATGCACCACTCATATACGCGTCAAACTCCAGGTACTTATCGATTATCAACAGTATGGATTGCCGAATGAGCTACTACATAGCTTACGGTAGAAATGGGCCAAATGGACTTTTATAATGAATTCACTCACTAGCAGCTGAAACTTGGAGGTCGAAACGCCGGTGCAACCTAGCGAATAAACTTGAGATACGCAACGCTCAGACGATATAGAAGTGCGATTAGAGAGAAGCGGAGCTTGAATGCATTTACCCCTTTCGGTGAGATCTGCACGCAGCTGCTCCTGGTGGTGCGCTTCTGACCCTTTCAAATTTTCATCACCCAGTTTTCTGCTTCGAATTCGCACGTATCTGCAAAAAGCCATGTCATCTCCAATCTCTAGCCCGGTATCCCTCGCAGAAGATGAAGCTCCGCAAGATATCTCGGGATCCACATTACCCAACTTCACAAAAGAAAACACACTCTATTTCTTCGACGGCAATATCGTCATCGCTGCTGCCATTGGCAACGAAGAAGGCCTCATCTTCCGCGTGCACAAGTCATTGCTCTCCCTCCATTCCCCAGTATTTTCCGATATGTTCTCAATTCCTGCTTCGCCGGATGGAGCTTTGAATCCCAACGACTTTTTTGAAGGCGTACCCCTTGTACGGATGTACGACAAAGCAGCGGATGTCTTTGACTTCCTTAGAATCTTTTATCATGCACCGTAAGTTGTGTCAACGCAACGAGATGTCGCTTATCATTTAATACGAATATGGATAGATCATTTATGCTTACACGCTACGACCCTGAGACCCCAAGGAAGATCCAAGGAATCCTACGTCTTGCCAAGAAATACCAAATCACCTTCTTATCGGACAGATTAATCAAGCAATTTGAAGCAGACTGGCCGCAAACCATTCCAGAGTGGGACAGGCTTGAAGGCGAGGTAATGCTTTGCCAGACACGACGCAGGACTGAGGATCTAGAGGAACACATTCCACCATTCAATGATGATATTTTCCCCGAACCAGGATCTGCTATCCGTCTTGCTCGTGAATTTCACCTGACCAACGTCTTACCGGCGGCATTTTATCATCTTTCCCGACTCGAGATATCCTGCGACCGCAGTGCAAAGGAGATTGACCGAGGCGTTGCTGCTCGCATTGTTGAAGTTCAAGAAGAAGGCGGTCGCACTGCGGATTGGTCATTCTTGACCAACGGCGACCTCAAATGCCTTCTACTTGGTCGGGAGCGCATTCGGCAATATCTGCAAGGCAAGGCGACCCTGAGCGTATTCCATGTGTCGCTTAAAGAGGTCAACATGTGCCATCGTGATTGTAACGCCGCGAGCTTAGATTCCAAGCTTCAATCGCTTGCTCGTTGCACATCGGACGCTATGAACGATTTGAAGGCTCTTGTAGCTGAAGATGGGGAGGCGATAGAAGAATTGTGCCCAACCTGTCAGCGCAGGGCTGGAGAAATAGCGACTGGTTTGCGGATGGCGATTTGGGACAGCCTTTATGAGTTTTTCAACCTTCCAATCCCCTCGTACCTTGAGTAGTTTCGGAAAATTAGATTACGGCGAACGCATAGCTCGTAGTTTTGGCCAATCCAAGTCCTTCCTCGCCCACGACCTTCCCATGCAGGCTGATAGAAGCACATATGAATATATTAGGTTGGATGAAGTGATTTACACTACATTACGGGGGACTGATATCCGGGTGTGTCCCCGACGTGCACACTGCCCTACACGCTGACAACGCTGATCACCTGGTCCCTTATTCTCATCGTGTTCCTTACACAGCGTCAAAAGAGCGCAGCGACGAGACTTTCGTGTTCCTTCGCCCACTTGTTTCCATTTCATCCTCCTAGCGTGGCCCCATTCCCGGGACATTCAATTAGGCACCTTGCGCCGTACCATGAATAAACAAACGCAACGAACCGGACTTAATGAAGGCCTATGTCAGCAAATTACGACCATATTCGTCTCCTGCACCACACATTAGAACATGTGAATAAGATACTGGACAGAAAGTGCATATACCCACCTGTGGTTCCTAGATAAAACACGAGCCACACAGCCCAGTCGACTACCTCCGAACGGAGAGGGAAGCGCTTGAAGCGCACGAGACCTCTTGGCACCGCATCTTGCAATTGAGCAACATAGATCCGGATGAATAGGGGGAGGAAAAGGCGAACATTACCGGGCCTCATTAGAAGAGCTCGGGGGACCTTATAGGAACTAGCGATGGTACGGGTTAATGGCAATACGGGGATGCAGTGAAGTAGGGTTCACCTGCCTGAAACGCTGGGCGCTCCACGTATATCTTGGAGACGTCGCAGCTAAGGAGCATCTGAGGAAATACAATTCCAATGTAGTGGATGCCCCTTCGCTTTGAGTAACTTGGCGGCGAGTCCGCCTGATTGTATGTATGTACGCGTCCAATCCACACTGAAGGCCAACATTTCGGTCGTCACATGGAAAAGGAACGGTGGACGTACCAAGCCTCTGGCAGCCCTAGTTCACCGTTCGCCACCTTCACGTCGGGCCCAAACAAATTCGAGTGGTGTGGCTGGTCGCGCAGGGGAGCGTGGCCCTTAACCTTGTCGAGCTTGACGCGCTTCAACTGAAGCTGGTTCTCGCGCGTTGCAAGGAAGATGCCGCGTGTGTTGACGCCTGCCTCACAAGATGGCAGTCATGAGAAAGAGGGACGGAGAAGGGAGAAGAAGCGGAATCGGGGTGTGCGAGATCACCCACGTGCACAGCGTTCGGAGCAGAGAATCTGCCCGAGATAGCCCTACCACCGACGGAACCCACATGCACAACAAAAGGAACATGACGCTAGCTGTCCACGCCTCGAATCCAAGATAAGGAAAAAAAACGTACAGAAACTCTTTCCTCCCTCAGACACTCGCTGTTTTGGAGCACGCCCAGCAGCGCTGCCCTTCGCTTGCTGAGGGCGATAAGGCGCGGCGGAGCGTCGTTCAAGCTGACTTGACGGCGAGCATAGAGAGGAGGTTCGGATGGCGCAGGGCGGAGAGCCTGATCATCTCAATTTCCATTCGGGTGAGCTTCTTCTTTCCTGTAGAGGTTGTCATAGTCATGGGTTAATGAGCGCGGAGAGAATGCACAGGCAGACGGTAAAGCTGACCGGGACCTTGGGACAAGCCATGGTACTCCGCGTTTGACTCGATGATGTGCACATCGAGCGGGCGAAGCGAGGCGGGGCGGCGGCTGTTGCAGCGAGGGCTTCGAAAAGTTGCCATACAGTACCGGACACTGTACAATACCTAGTATTATTAAACGTTAGAACATTGGCGCGTTGGCGCCGATGATCAAGCGCCGATCTCCTACGGCCGCCAATTTCCGATAAGTCCGGTAGGCTCGCCGATCCGCCTACGCCATATCGTGCAAGCCTGTCCCGGCTGGCGACATATAACTCAAGCAGCTGCGGACCCCATGATCAATTGATCACCGGCACCTCTGACCAACTATAATCAAGTTGCAGTGCACACGGAGCGCGCACCCCGTACAAGCCCATGGGCCGCCCTCGTCGTCGGGTTCTGGCCCATCAGGCCTCTTGCATCTCATTGACATTGCATTCATACTTGACCGAATGAAGTGCCATCAGTCTGTCACCTCTGCCGCCCCCGTCTTGCTCAGGCGCCTGGAGGTGCGCTTCCTCACTGCTTGCAGATCCTCAGCGCTCTAACAATAGCAGGATTACCATCGCTCAGATAACGTTCCAACTGCGTGGGGTCAGCTAGATGGGGTTTGTCCTCAGGATGTTGATCTACCTCTCGCCTTTCCCGCCTTTCACTGGGCACAAAGGGATGGAAACGAACGCGCGGACGAACTGGCCAAGGAGGCTACCACCTCACCGTCGTCCAACGGAATCTACCCAGTGCCTATGTGGAGAGCCGACCCAGACGCGCGCTCACTTCCTCGAATCCTGCCCACTCTACGAGACCCACCGTAACCTCCTCCGCATCAAGGAACGATCCTCAGAGATTGTCCTCTGCGACGTCCTTGGCACCGAAAACGGCATCGCTGCCCTGATCAAGTTCCTGAAGGTTTCCGACGCCTTCAAGAAGTACCAACCTCGACCAACGCAATTACGAACACGTGGTGACCACCAGCAAGTCCAAGTAGGAGATCTAGAGTGACCCTTCGACAGGGCTCCCACTGCACCCAATACTTATTTACTATGGGGTTTATGCTACGTTTTCTCTTTCCCTTTCTTTTCTCTTATGTCTTTCCTATTTACTATGTTCGGACGTCTATGACTGTCGTGCTACACGCTTCACACCTACACCACTCTACAACGCTTACAGTGAGCTTCGGCGATATTCCCATCTACTTTACACTATGTACAATTCATGTCACGTACGCTTCGGCGACCGCGTCTTAACGGTAATTGGCACCGTTTGTGGCGGTATACAAATATAGATTTCTGTCTCTCTCCCGCCTTTCACTATCCAATCCACGCAAGAGCCTTCTTAAGCCCCAGGGCTTTTTTGTGTCAGCGATAGCTTATCGTAATTTTACTAAAGTTCTAGATTCATTAGCGTGATCAATTAGCCACTCACATCATAATGAAATGTACCGTCAAGACACCAAGCACCCCAGCCTACCAATTGCACCGGCCTCAGATTCCATTGCGCAGCTTAGACTTTCAGCCAGTCTGCACTTAAAGCGCATCAATATGATGATGCTCGATGCTTTCGACGCAGAAGCGTGACGTTGCAGAAATTGGATATTCATTACAGGACGCGCGAGACGCTTACTAGAAAAAAAGGGAGGCTGCGACTGCATAAAAGCAAAATCAAACGAAAGCATGCCAGTCGGATTCTACTTGAGGCCCTGCAACCCAGGTGCTGCTACCTGCCCCTCCTTGCCTATCCCAATACGATAAAACGCCTTCAAGGGAATCAGCTAAGTACCATAGCGTAACCCTTCGCAGCGCTGGGTGTGGTACTTGACTCCTCAACGAATATCTACCCGAACCCCCAGTCCACAGCTTGATAAGCTTCTTTTCACTGGACTTCTTCCCTGGCTCATCGACCAGTGCCGAGTTTGTCCGCAGAACTAAGCGGTTTAGCCTAGGCATGGCAAGCAGGTCTCGAGCCCAGTTTCGGACGTCGGTCCAGGGATGCGCTGAGGGCTGATAATCACGCAAAGCCTGATAAAGCAAGAGTGAGAAATAGCCACGCGTGATTGTACTGAAAGCTGACCCAAGATTTCTCAACGAGCTTGAGGGCTCGAAGCTTAGCCATATTGGAAATTTTATGTAAGATTTGAGTGTCTGAGGGGTGAAAGTCGATTTCAAGCCGGGTAATATTGCTATTCGCTGGTTCCAGCGTCTTAAAAATCTTGGTTGGCGACGCAAGGCAGTCTTTTGTGAGGTGGGCCTTGATATGCTGAACGTGGCGACTGGGAGAGCCTTTGATAAGGGCTGATACGCAGGCGAGTGGCCCTGACACGGTGGAAAGATGAGGGAACTGGGTGCATGAGTTACAGCACTTTCCAGCTGCGCAGTGGCTGACGGCGATGTCGACCAGATGTGAATGGCGACTGAAAAAATCAGCCAGGATTTCGTGAGAGGCGTTGGACTTGAAGGTGGTGAGCCTTCGGAACCTGACTTCGCGAAGAACATGCTTCATGTATCCTGTAGAGGCGCCGCTGATAACGAGTTCCAGCGAGGACACGTTTTTGCATATGAGGAAGCAGTGTCGAAGCTTGTGAACGGACACCCGAGTCGCGGAGCATCTAACGTTGAGAAGTAGCACTGCCGGTGCAAGCCCCCCATTATGCTTGCTGCGGGTAGTAAAATTGTCTAAATCCGAATCACTGGTGATGCATAGGATAGACTTGAACAGCGATAAACACAAGATAAGCAGATGACTTAAGCGTGTTGCATTGCAAAACGTACTGAGGGTTTCTGGCGAATAGCTGCCTGAAAAGAGATTAGTATGGCGACAACCTCAGATACAGGGTATACCTACTTCTTTTGCGCCACGTCGAGTGGACAAGACACTCGATAGATTGGAAATGCGCATCGATGGCTTTTACAGATGAGCCTCTTGCCCCTAAAGCAATGTAAGTGAACAATCCGCGCGAAGACCGATTTTTGGAGCCAATGCTCAGGCGTACCAGTAGGGTTTCGCCGGAAAACTTGCCCTGAGGTTCAGCTAGCGCTTTGAAATCAACGCCGCAAACCCAATTGCAATATGCACCGCAGCTCACGCGACTACAACATCCGAGTTGACGTGAAGCACCGGAAATACACGTCGGATATGTTCGAGGAATCGATCACACTACCGTGCCTGAAGGCCTGACCCGTCAGCCGTCAGCAGGAAGTCTAGCTTAGAGTCGATTCAATGGTGGGGGCTTGTCGCGGGTCCCTTTGCATCTGAGCGGGCAAGAGTCCTAAGGCATGCAGCGTTTCGGCAGCCTAGAGCAGCAATGCAGATGCGCAGATATATGGTGCAGGCGTTGCGTGATGCATGGTGTATGATGCATGATGCACGATGCGTGATCATGCTCGCTGGCGCCGGGTACCCTCGCGATCAGGTGCCTCAAACCTTTAGGCTGAATAGTAGCCTGCACTACTTGTCGCCGGGTTGCTGATTAATCATTAATCATTGGTCGAGTGCGATCGGATTGAGAAGCAATCAATGCTGCTGGATAGCTGGCCGGTTGCGCATCAGCCCAGCTACGAATATACCAGAGTTATAACAGCTCGCGACTTTTCCTCCACGCTATTTGCCATTTACCGATGCCGGTTCCGAACTCCGACAAATTCTCATGTCACAGCAGCACTTGTATTACTGCGAAACAGATTGTCTGATTAGTGTCGCAGCTGCATACACAGGAAAAAGAACTCGATAGTTATTGGCCTACTACTCAAAATGTAGGCAGAAATTTATCAAAATCCTTATTACATAGCCGGCGACGAGCCCAAGGAACGTGTATGGCACGCGCGTCTGATTACCGATGTCAATGATCGTGTGCTCATCGATCGCTCCAAAAGAGTACCTTTTCCCCCCTTGCAAAACATGCTTTGCTGCCCAGGTCGTGTGTAATATGCGTAGGATGGTGTAATCAGAAGTAAACCCAACGCATATATTGCCGCTCGTATCGACCGCACGAGCGGCTACACGATCTTGATAGATCCAGAGCGGAGCCCGAGCGCTATTCGGCCTGTCGCCTCTGATAATGCGCATAGCGTGATGTCCTCTATTTCAACATATTGTGAGCTCGGTGTCATCAGGGAGGAGAGCGGAAGGCACGAACCTCGAAGATCGATAGACGGCACCTCCAACACAATTTTGCTATCCATAAGCGGCACACCCGTCTGCACCCTCACAAACCCAACCTCCTCCTCCCCGTCGCTCGACTCCGCCTCCTCCGCCTCCACCACAATCCCATCCACCGCGTCCGAATCGTCCACCGGCCCACCACCATCCTCAGGTCCCTCACCCACAACAACGCTTTCCTTCAACCGCGGCCGTACATTCTTTCGCGTGCGGTCCCACGAAAATGCATACAAGCTCGTCGTCAGGCTCTCCCGCATGCGCTCGACCCACACGCCCCTCCGCCCCTGCGGACCTAGCGCCCACGCACCAACGAACGCGGGCTTCCCCGCCCCGCGCCGAACACGCTCGCGTACGCGTGCACCATGTCGCGCGCGATGCCGACCGGGTGCAGCGCTGCGAGGGCGAATGTGAGGGAGGGGACGGGGGCGAGGGTGAGGGTGAGGAGGTACTGGAAGAGGCCGTGGAAGACGTCGTAGCCGACGAAGGAGAGGGCGTAGCCTGTTGGTGGAGATAAAAAGGAGGGACGGGGATGGGAAACGGAGACGCGGCGGAAGGTGATGTGGGAGAAGCGATGGATGAGGACAGGGATGTGGGGGTAGTGTGCGGTGTGGGGTGAGGATGCAGTGCCAGGGAGGGAGGGGGTGGGGTAGAGCTCGATGGAGCGAGTGTGGAAGCAGGGTCCACAGAAGGTCATGGCAGTTTTTCCGTTCCACTGTTTTAGCCAAATCAGAGCTGGGAATGGTCATCAAGAAACGGGAAGCACATACGAGCTCCTCAAGATCGTCGTCTGCGTAGGCGGTAATAGGAACAGAGGTGTTGGTCCGCCAGTTGACTACGTCCATGGACGACACGTGCGAGAAGAGAGTGATTCCTGACTCAACGTTGATGGCCCGTAAGCCCCTTGGGGATGAGAGGTCGACTCCGTTCACGATGTCAAAGCACCGGATAGTGTTCGCGTTCTCCGCATCGAGTCAGATGGAGATTATCCTCGTGATGAATCTAGAGTCCAGGCTTGTCAGCTCTCGACTCGACAGCCAAGCAGGCAAAAGACGTACACCTCAGCCAGCGTAACAGCAAGATACAATCCTGATCCCATGCGCGCTTGATAGTACCCGTAGGTCCTCATCAAACGCGTACCATGCATACAGCCTCATATCCCTCCGCTGCCCATCCTTGTCCATGCCCGTGTCCATGTACCATAGATCGACCTTGCCCCGCTCGTACACCGCCAGCAGATACCGGTCACGCACGAACTCGAGGGAGCACAGGGAGAGCTCGGATCGTATGGGGGCGGAGGGCGAGACGAGCCTGGTGGGGATCCGCGGTCGCGGGAGGAGCCACGAGCACTCAATTCGCAGGGATGCGGCGACGAGCTGTTTGACAGATGGTTGTAAGAGTGTTTCCAATGACATTGAAATGCGAGCCCTTTGATCGTGGCTAGAAGACGAGTCCAGGGTGGGGACAGGGAGGAACGACCGCATCCAGTGGTAGAGCCCGTGCCACAACGTGCGGGCGTGTTTCAGGTCTCTTAATGTTGCGCAAGTCTGTCGGTATCAAGATAGAATCGGCGAAGATGGGATGGATGTTGGGTGGCCCAGGAAGCAAGCGACAGCGCATGGGGGGAAAACGTCAATAATGAGCAAGACATATTCCGGGCCAGTGGGAGAAAGCACGATGCCTTGCATAGTGTGAAGACGGATTCCACGTCGAGGAGCGCGATAGTTTGGAGAGCGAGCTCTGCTTCCTCGTGGGATTGGCTTATGTGCGAATAAACCCCTTTGCCCTTCAACAAAAGGCTTTTGCTTGCGTTCCCTACAATCTTAATCTGTTCTTTTCAATGGATGTTAAACCTCGCATTGTTCTTCGGCCTTTGGATAATGAGCTCGAGCGCATGGTAGCGCTTCACTTGCAACCCCTTTTAGATGAGTTGGAGATGCCTCTGAAGGTTTGGCGCAACATCCAGGTGCGTGGCGTACTAGTCGTTCTGTATCTAATCCATATTGACACTGTGTTTGATCATCTAAGGCCCTAGCCCTTCCTCTAATCAAAAGTCGTCTTCGTATCGACAAGCCATATCTTCAACAAGAGCAGGAAAAAGTGTCCAGGATTTGTGACCTGGTGCGTTTGTCCTTTTTGTCGTTCCATGCTGTTTGCTCACTGCAATACATCGTAGGTGATGAAGTCCATTCAGTTCGATTGGACCTACGAAGCTGGGTGGCCCGTTGATGTCTACGTTCGTCGCTACCTCTATGAGCGTAACCGGAAGGTGTTTCGCTCTGGAAGGCATCCCCAGCGGTCTGCGCCGCGCCTTGCACCCGCCCATCAGCCTACCAATGCGCTTGCCATACGGCCGCACCGTGCTGCATCTTCCAATTTGCAAGCCTTTCTCAGTCAGAAGTTGTCTTTGAACTCATCTCGGGTCATTGAGACTTTGCGGGAGCATGGTCTATGTGATGAGACCAGCCTTAGAGCTCTGGTGAGCCTCGGCCGTGATGAAATTGAGCGTTTTGTGGACAAGCATAGTTCCTGCTGGGATCTCTCCAAAACCGGGGAGTTTCTTCTCGCTCATGCATTGTCTACGTACCCTGTTTAAGTTAGCGTCACAATAAGTCAGTGGCGGATACTTTGACTGAGATGTGGGTGTTTTGGCACAGTGTAGTAGATTTTCGGACATCCAGTTGCAAACCTACAGTAGCCTTGTCGATAGTAACAGCCCGAGTGGCGGCCTGGCCTTAGATCTCTCCTGCAGTGATAGGCACGTCGCTTAGCATCTCCAACCCCATCTTTCAGCCTACCCTCTTATGACTTGTGTACGCCTCCTCAGATCACTGTAGCCTGAGCTGCCGGCTTTATTATGGTGGGTCTCTCTGTCGTTCCTGCTTGTTCCCCAGCCGGCCTGGGGTCAGCCATCCGTCACTAGGGACAATTGAAAGAACGCCCCATCGCCTTCCTCATCATACACATGTCTTCAAGCGAGAACTCCGCCGTCCCAGATCAAAGCACGCCTTTGCTCAATGCTTGGCCCAAGAACGTTAACGCTCGTAGCAACAAAACCCTCAGGACACCTTTACCCAATGTAAAGACCGGAACTCTGTCTCTATTGCATGTTGTCACACCGGTATCCTCTCAGAAGTCCCTGCATCAACGCCTTTGTATTACACTAGCTGTGCTAAAGCTCGTTCATGAGCTAGACAATGAGAGCAGAGTTGGGTGCTGCGTGGTCTCATAGTGAGTACATTCCTGGCTCATAAAGCCGACTGGTTTTCATGACCCCTGCAGGAATCAACCTTCTTCGCCACGTATGTTTGTACAACATTAGCATTGAGTCTGCTCCTAGGCTATGTAGGGCGGAAACCGTGACCTACCATGCCACCCCTTGCGTGTCGATCAGGCTCGGATTTTAGGCCTCTATGTCTCCATGATTTGCTTGGGCGAACTTTTGCGGGCAAGAATGTGTCTTTTCGCTCCGGGATTGCGGAATTATGCATCCACTCAATTCATGAGCTCACTGAAGACTCGAACCTGGCCTAAGGATTTGAGCTGCTACATATTATGTGGTATGTCGGGGCAATTCCAGGGTGCGTATCTTACAAGTTGTATCTTTCTACCATCGTTTCTTATTCGACTTGGCTCAGGGCCCTTCGTAGCTATAGGCGGCTACTGGCACGGCCGGCGGATAGATGGCCGCAATTGTTCTCGCGGCAATTCCGGCAAGTTTATCCTTATTTTTTCTCCTTTGCGCTGATGTCTTCGTTTTTGTTATCTTTTTTCGCGCTTCTCGTTGCGCTCTTCCTCCTTCTTGAAGTCCAAAGCTGAACTCCATTGGCAGATTCTGCCCAGGCGGAAAGCCAAATCGATACCACTTAGCTAACGACGTACAGGCTCCAAAAGGCCTTTGTTCTTTTATCTCTGTCACCAGTGCGCCTCTACCTCTGCGTGCCCTCCTTGCTCCCTCCATCCCTATCCCCATCGTAAACAACAACCTTCTCGGAGCTGTTGAAGCCGCACTTGCAACCCTGAAAGCTCTTTTCTGCTCCACTTCTACGAGTAGCAGTGGCCTGGGTTTCTCTCCCGCTACCATTGGCACCATACCGGCATGTTTTGGCGTTTTGGACGAGCTTGCCCAAGTCTTCGTCTTTGCTTTCGTCGTGAGTCAAATTAGGTCAATGCACGTTCGTTATTGTAATCTCAACGTGTTCCTATCTTCGCATTGTTTCCAGTGATGTCGCAGTATGCTGCGCGATGGGCGTGGATAGGGTTACATGGGCATGTTTGGTGTTGCGGCGACTGTCGCTGCAGACCTACGCCAACACCGGGTAGACATGTGGGGCATACAATTGGCAAGGATAAGACACGCCTTTGCGCCCAGGTTCCAACGTTCCAGAAGCAAGCACGAGATGTATTAGTAAATAATTGTTATGTCCGGGATTGGTAACACAGGCGTTAGACAAATCATGTATAGTAAACTAACCAGCTAGGCTTGAAATATATGTTAGCGGGCTCATATACCCCGCGTCACTCTCAACTTTTGCCTTCTAAACAGCCTCTAGCTCAGCGAACGTACCACCCTTGAGACATATGATTCTCTTTCTGCTTCAGGTTCATTAGTGTGTCGATCCTGGCGATCTTGCCCTTGTCGAGGACGACCAGCTGGTCATAGTTGATGACTGTGCAAGCGACAAGCAACTGCAAATCATAATGAACGTCAACGGTGGCCAGACGTATAGCTGCAACAACTAGACTTATCGGTAAGGAGCAGAGAGAGTCGGTGAATGTTTCGCGAATTGCCGCCTGGATGTCTTAGCGTCCGTAGCGAAATCACTGCTGCTTGTGGCCTTGTCAAAGACGATGATCGAGCCATGACGGAGAAGCGCACGCGTCGAAGCGATCAGCTGCTTCTGGTCCCTGAAGAAGTTGGTTTCGCGCGCCGAGACCTGGGTTATCGAAGGATATCTTCACCTTGGCATCGATCTCGTGGGTGAAACAGACACGACTGAGGCAGCCTCGTCGAGCTGAACACTATGCGAAGACGATGCAGGGGACGGGGCACGCGATGGAGCGCAAGTCCGCTGGGACTGGTGGGCGCTCTCGGTAAACATCCGAATATGGCACAAAACCTTGAGATATTTGAAGTCTTCGTGCTCATCTACACAAAGCGTTTAGGTTCCGTGTCGTGCCTGTGATAATTTCACTCACTGAAGGGATCCAAAATTTCCCTCAAAGTGCCGGAGAGCAACGTATTGTCCTAGGGTAGCAGTAAATATCATACATCATATAGCAATCATAACAGTTACCTGGGGCATGGAGGTCTACACACTAACGCAGCAGCACATACTTACAAGAAGATAACATATGTACGCACCAAACATGAACGAAGCTGATCTTTGAAAAACCAATCCCATCGATCACGATGCGTCCGCTCGCGGGATCCGCCTGCACACGGGGCAATATCATTAGTAACATAACATTTTGGCATTCCTTGCGCACTCACGAAGCGTAAAATATTCATCGCGAGCGTCGTCTTGCCGCTCCCTACGAAAAAAGGATTAATTATCGGAATTCCCATGAGAAGGCAATTATACCAGCACGACCGAGCAGTTGGATTTGCTCTAGGTTTTAGCGTGAACGAGACGTTGTGAAGCACGAGCGGCAGCTCCGGCGCATACTTTATGACAAGGCTCTCGGCCGAGATAAGGTCCAAAGCGATGACTGGTTTTTCTTCCCTAGCTTCCGTTGCGGAGCCTTGAGCGATGTTATCTGAAATACCTTGCGCGTATAGGTATTAATTCGTTCATCCAGCATACGAACGAAGTAGTAGGTTCTTGGCAAGACCAGCCCGACGCAATGGGTAACGACAATCTACGCTGGCATTAGAAAATGTAGCATTACTTTATTACAAAGCGAGATCCTTACGACGACAGTGTGATTAGCCGGCAGCAGTCCACGTAAATCATACTCGTACAAGGATCGAGCGTATGATTGTCCTGAGCGCGGAGAAATAAATTATTAGCACAATTCATTGTCGCTGGATTAATCCGAGCTGAACTCACTACCGCACCCAAAGGGTCGTCCAAGAGAACATACTTCGCTCTCACATACACCGCTTTCGCAAGAGCAACACTAGTCATTTATTTGGCTAGTCAGCCAAGCTTGAATTGGAGATAAGGAAGCAAGGAAACTCACCGAGCCTTCTGCCCCCACTCAAACTGACACCCCTCGGCCCAATCTCCGTGGTGTCCCCGTCCTCGAGGATATACGAACTCTGCTTGAGTGCACAGCACTCGACGACAGCGTTACGCTGCCCCTCATCGTACAGGTATCCAAAAAGGATGCGGCCCTCGATCAGCTTGTGCCGGAGCCGTGGCATCTGCGCGGTGTTCGGGAACGACTGAGTGTCTCTAAACACGTCGACGCGCTGTATGTTCTTCGACGTCTGCAGCTTGCACTGGGTGAGGGACATTTTGCCGAGGGGTTCCATCTATTTTGTGAGATTGTCAGCAACGATAGTCAAGAATATACATAAAGCAAGATGGTGATGCGTACAGGTAAAGCCGTCTTCCCACTCGCAGTCGGGTCCAGGGTCACCGTCAGCTTGCTGTCGGGGAAGCTGGCGTTGAGGTCCTGCAGTACGAATCGATGGTCCTGCAGCAAGCTCTCCGCGACAGACGCAGACTCCGCCAACGTCATCGTCGCGGCGTCGCTTTCGGACGCCTGGCCATCCTTGTGCGGCAACGAGGATGATCCGTTACTGTTGATATTGCTGCTGTTTGCCTTATGCTTGCCATTCTTGACTAAAGGCGAAGACGGGTTTATGAGCCGATTGTATCCATGATAAAATAATGAGCCATACCTTTACTCTTCCCTTCAGTTTGCCCATCGATCTTTTGGGAATCTCGTTTTACTTGAACGACCGTTTACCGATTGTGACTCCTTCGAATGCACCCTCTACGGGCGATACTTTCTTCAGTTTGCTTCAATTAAGACACCCGCGGGGGCACTGTCTTCGCTGATATGCGTCTCGAGACGACAGACATCAACAAGCGTCTAATTAAATGCGGATGGATTTAGTTCTCTCGGAAACTATTTTGAGGCCGAAAACGTACCTGGAGAATTTGGAGGGTGAACGTCGGGAACGCGTTCAAAGTAAGCCTTTGCGGGTAATTGTTAGTAAACTACACTCATACGAGCTATTACGATGCCATTCTCACCCATTCATCATGAAGAAAGTAATTGCCTGCTGGAAATCATTAACGCATTGCCCTAAACAAGGTGAAACGGCATTTCCTTACCGTGAATACAATGAAGGCAGTGAGCCCCTTCCACCGATAAACGTCCGTGAAGAACGACATGAGCGACACTAGAGCGGGTGCGCTCGCCCAGATCACCGAAAAGAAAACCGAGTTGATCCGTGCTGTGCAACAGGGCAGAAATAGCGTCAGCATCCCATACAGTATCGCAACGTTGGATCCCATAAAGGAAGGAGTAATTTAAATCAATTACACACACCTTTCACGATCCATGCCAACTCCTTCGCAAAGGAAGAGTTGAGCGGGCAGCCTGCGAGGAGGAAGACGGTGCCCGCGAAGGCAGACCAGTCCATGACGCTAGAAACGAAAGACGCTAGTTTGAGGAAGATAGAAGATTGGGGGGGGGGGGGGGGGGGGGGG